GGGGTGCAGAGCAGTGCGATTAACAGATGTGGCAACCATGGTTCTGAGTGAAGTCGAGTGATAGTTATTATTGCGCTGCTTTGCGACTTGTTGTTGGAAGAAATCAGAGTAGATAGGACCTTGTTCGGGGTGGGAAGCAGGGGGTATATGAATGTTCTCAGCAGGGGCCATGATGGCAGTTGATGATGGCTGATGACTGATGCGAAGAAGTATAGACGACGTTCCAGGCTGCGATCCGACACAGCTTTCTCCACAGTTACCGCGGGTGATGTCGGGGATGAGGAACAATGACTTGAAGCAATGATGGTTAGCCGTGGACAGTAAACCCCCAGGGGGAGAAAAAAATGCCTCTACCAGCTAGCCCCGAGTTGACCCGAACCCCAGATGTGGGCACGAAATGGTTACGGAACAACTGGTCGGGACGACGGGCCAACTAGAGACAAGGAAAATGAGAAATAAACGTACTAGGGGCCGTAGGGAGAGCTGATCGGGGAACTGGGATACAAATTATTGATTGATGATGACTCGTTGCAGGTGGGTGATACTGCACGGCAAGATGCGTCGGGTTGACAAGAGGGAGTAGGAAGATAGAAGTGGGAATTGACGGGGAGGGGGGCAAGTATACTTAGAAGTGCCAAGTATTGTACGGGGTACGGGGTACTTACCAGATTTTTTTTTTTTTACTTGGATACTGGGTATAAAAATAGTATGGACTGTACTGGTATTGTAGATAGATGTTGTCTACGAATGCATTCAGCAGCTGAATGCAGCAACAGGGGTGGTTTTAAGTCTCACATGCAGACAGAGTGAATGTCTATCTACTACGGATCAACGCCATCATTATGGTTCCTGTGGCTATCCTTCTGTCCTCCATAGCGCATACACATGTAGGTAGCAATGGAGAGAGATTTTGACGGTCCAATGGAGGTATGACGTTGAATGATCTCAAGAGGCAAGGATTGAGATTCAGATGCTCGGGCAGATTGCGGGGGAGGAGGTATCTACTATCCTCGTTTCTACTTAGATACCTGGATCGGGTACTAGTTGTATCTACAGTCTAGAGAGTGCTCTACACTCTACACCGTATGTTAGGTAGCTTCATAGTCTGGCTGAACTCCCTTGAGTCCAGAACATACCCATACATACTCATACGCAGGACGACTTACTACTGAGGCATTTTTCTTGGGATCTTTCTTGTGGTTCACAGACCCTTCGTCTCCCAAGCAACCTATCGACTCTCTCTCGCTCCCCAGTACAGCGGAAGTTGTTCGGACAGAATGCAACTCATGACGAAATGGCCGGCTGAGGATTCGGGAGGTCACGATGCTCACCCTGGACGGAGGCAAATCTCTTAGTCATCGCTGGCCGAGGCCAACCGCAGGGACAGCCAATCAGGATGATTTGTTTAAAACTCTCACGTCACATTCTGGGGCAGAAGATATTGCCGCCTTCTTGTTTGGGTCGACACTAGCACAAATATTAGGTAGCTGGTAGCTAGACTAGTCTGTAGTTTGGACAGTGTCTGAGTGTACGGAGTACAGTCACAAGTACTATCATGGGCCATGGCAGATAGTGAATGCCTTGGTTAGAACGAATCTACAACAGTACGGCTAGGACTATTCCTGTTGCATGTAGAGCTACAGACTGAATCTGACGTCGAATCGCAAGCCACATGATTCAGCCACCCCCGAGTATGCACAACGGATAAACCATACTGAACCCGGCAGGCGGACTGCTCAACCCAAGCTGACCAAAGATGCAGTCTAGACTACTCAGTGCTTTGTAGTCAGTACTCAATTTTTAGTCACTAAGCAATAGTGGATCCAATCAATATCCACGTGAACTGCGGTTGATTTGAGATTTGAGTCCCTCGACATGAGGGATAATGGTCATGACCTCAAATATCCCTCATCACAATCCTGGCCAAGGGCTGCCGATCTCAGAGATCAAGAAAGACACGAAAAGACACGAGAATAAGGGCCAATGAGCAAGTGGATGCATCGTGACTCGTGAGTGCATGATAGCGAGTCAGACACTATCCGAGCCTCCTAGATACTGGAACTGGGAAGGTAAATAGCCTGGCCCTGCCGCCCTGGACACTTGTAGGCTTCAGGCTATACCCCGCATCCGCCAGTCCAGCGCCTGGGCCACGTCTTCCCCAGACTCTCTATTAGTATCTGTATCTGTATCTGTATCTGGTGATCAATCTAGTGATTCTAGTCGAAACAGGTAAGTCGAGATACACCGTATTTTTCGACTCTACCTCCCGTCCATCTAGGTACTATCTATCTAGATAGATAGATAATACCCCTGAGGCTGTGCTTCTGATGATAGGTATCAATGCTCTCAATTCCAGCCCTTTCCTCAACCGAATCATATTGATTTCCGGTCCACCATTTCGGAGAATATAGGAACCTCCAATTGAAAGCACCCTGACTTGAGCAGTAATACGTCGTCCGTAGTCTGTACTTTCACAGAAATTTCTCCAGTACCTACAGAATAATAATCATCATCATCATCGCAATAGTTGGGCAGCATGCCAAGTGGAGACACCCTGTTCCCAATGCGGAAGATTTAGGAAGCGATTTGATAACAAGAAACAAAAGGGCCAAAAATGCCTCATGTCGGGATCAAATATTGCAAATCTCTGCCTGTCTGCTGAACGCTCAGGTTTCCTCTCTCCTGGAGGACTATCACAAGCTCCGTCGTGCTCCGACTGTTCGGCATCAACTCTGTCTCAGAATCGGTGATCCCGTGATGGACAACTCATCCCTAGTCAACTACACAGTACCACTCAGTAGTACTCAGTAGTAGTAGACTAGTCAGTAGTAGGAGTACTTCGTGGTAAAATCCCTTTACCCTAGGCCTAACCTGAACTAAATGACCTTATAGAATCTCTTCAGGCAGTCCATGGTTTATGGCTTGACCCCGTGGTTTTCTTTGGCCGTGTCCACTGTCCAGTGACTCCAGTCACCGGACCAACCTCCTATTTTCTTTCTTTTCTTCATCCTCCATACTCTCCATAGGCCATACTCTGTGCCACCTGTGGTTTATCCAGATGTCCTCGGTACTGACTGTAAACTAGCTACGGCTGATAAGTGATAAAAATATCTGCTCCTTTCCCCCGGAATCCCATTTCTCCAGTCTCCACAATCCAGTCTCACCCGAACCCGCCAACTTGTTCCGAGTGCGAACCCACTACCCGACTTTCATCACAATGAGTCCACCTAATCCTAGTCCTAGTCCTGGATCCCGAACCAAGCTCAAAAAAAAAAAAAAAAAAAAAAATACTCTTCTGGAATCTGGACTCTGGGTCTGCGTAACAATGGCTTCTTCCGATCCGATCCCGAGGTGAGTCGAGGAATGAACGTCGAAAAAGTCGGAGGATCCCGTCGCGGTCGTAATCTCTGCTTCTGGTTCTATGAGAATTGTAGATTGTATGATTAGTCCGAGATTAGAACTGAGACGGGGATTAGGGCGGAGTATCGGCTCGGCCGATACTCTCTTCGAGGTTGTATCTACGTGTATGTGTTCGCATGTATCTATATAGTCAGCAGAAGAGGTATATATCGAACCTTCCGATCTACCAGGAACACTGATCATGAAGCGTTTACGGACCAATATGGAGGATTCTGTCTGCTTTTCATCTATCATCCATCTTAGTATCTTCTATTTTTGTAAAGAAGAGGAGCCGGGTGAGCGCTAGGAGGAGTGGTAAATCTGACTCCAGACTGATTTCCCGATTAGGCAGTTTGGTCGATCCGCGGGAGTAGACTAGTAGAAGAATAATAGTAGTAGTAGGAGTACAACTGTAACTACCACACTGTATACTATACTTGCTCTCTTGCTATTAATATCAGCATGGGATCAGAATCTTCCTGTTGAAGATCATCAATATCCTGTTAATGAGTTATAAGGATCCTTGATCCACAGGGACTAGGGCTTAGTGAACTAGTGTAAAAGGAAGAATGCTTATACAGGATTCAAGAGGTAGGGATCTTTATTTAAAGAGATTATTACTAAACTCCTAAGTTTGATATTTATAGGTAGAGATTATAATCTTGATATATTATATAGTTACCTATATAATATCTTATAAGAGAGCCTCCTCCCTTATAAAGGTAACTTCTCTCTCTATATATTAAGCACCTTTCACAATCCTTACTTAAGTTAAAGCTTCGTGATCTGCTCAGTCAGACTCTTCATACATATATAAGCACCAGAAAATCATACCAATATCTCTCAACCTTCTATTCCTCATATAAGCCATGAACCTAGTACCACTATTTAATACTCAACTCTAGAATCCTCATAGTGACAACTAACTATCCAAAGACTAACCGACGACCTCCTCTGTAGATACACTGACTAATCTCGCGATAGCGGGGCACTTCGTCTGATTCTAACAGCGGGGTAACCAAAATCCTTCTCATCTTTCAATCTCCCATTCTTCCTGTTTCATCTATTATCTAGTACTACTACTACTACAAGTGAAAAGTCCTAAAGGTACTCGAACCCATCTCTCATCCTCGTTCTAGATCCAGGTACGCTGCACTGCAAGCAGGGATCTGAAGCCAAGTCTGACCAAAAGCTATTCGCTCCAGTCATACTACCACAATACACAATGGCCGGCCACAACGCTTGTCCCTCCTGCGGCGCCTCCATCCTTGGCGAGAACAAGACCTGCTCGTCGTGCGGAAAGGTGTGTTCCCCTTTCCACTTCCCATTCTCCTTTTCTATATAGACAGATGGGAGATGTGGTGAGGCTAACGTGTCTGTCGGACTAGACCTGTCCTGTTTAAGCCCGATTTTGATCGAGGGGTACTCTGGATTCTGAATGGGAGGCTATTGTCATCAAAGCGTGATGAAGTTATGAGATGGAATGAATGAAACGTGAATGTCAACGTGAACAGGATTTCATTTGTTTTGCTTTGCTTTGCTTTGCTTCGCATTTCGTCGTAAGAAAAAGAAAAAGAGTACAATACAAGCGTATTCCGCTTTCAGACTATATCCCTCATGTCCACGTCCGTCTTGCTCGACTCTGAGCTGTAAGGCTTGGCCAGAGCGTGCCTGCAGCTCCCCTCGCTTCGACAGAGGGTTACCTGTTCGTCATCGTCTTCGGCTTCAGCTCCAGCTTCGCGGCTCGGGGATCGCGAGAAGCGATTGTTCACGATCATCGAGTGCCGGCCCGGCGCGACGGTGCTGTTGTTTGGCACCGGCTCGTTGTCCGAGAGGAGGAGGATTTCCACCGGGTGGTCGCGCATGCACGGGACGTTGAAGACCTTGTACAAGGCGTTGAGGATTGGCACGGAGAGCCCGTGCACAATGATCGAGAAGAGGACGAGCCAGTAGACGACTGCGGAGAAACGATCAGAGATGATGGCGCGGGTGCGATGGGAGCAGGTATGGTTAGGCAGGGGGGAAGGGGACAGGGTAGACTACCTACCCGGGGTGATGGCGGCCGTTAGGTCGTTGATCTCCCGATCGCTTGCCCCGGGAGCAGGGAATAAGCGGCGTGTGTACTCTGCATATGCGACTGCGCCGATGCCTGTTGCTGGTCAGTACGGTTTACAGTTTCCCCCATGGCTTGGAGTCTGAGACTCACCGATTGGACCAAAGTATCCCATGAACAAGGCCTCCCTCCAGTTCCCGCAAACCTTCGGCATAAGCCTATATCCGAGGAGGATCGCGGGGATGCGCCGAAGGAGCAGGACCAGAAAGCCGAGCGCCACGAGCCGCCACACCGTGATGCCTGTTGTGCTGGGCATCTGGAACTGGCTCCAGGGCATGACTGCTCCGAGGTACATGAATATCGCCGCGTTCAAGAGTGAATCCAAGGTGGAGTTGAATGTGTTGTGGCGGGCTTGCGACTCGGTGTGGTACAGCCCGTCCCAGTTCAAGGCGTTGCCGGCGACGAAGCAGGCCAATGTCTCGTCGGAGCCGAAACACCCACACGTGCCGACAATGAATAACTAACGAGCTGTGAGTAATATACAATCGTTATGTGCAAGTGACTTACCCCGATGGCCATAGGCATGAGAGAAAAACTCTCGTTATCGACCCATCTCCTGTGAAAAGAAATCATAAGCACAGACTCTCTATCTAGAGACATGCGCTCACACTCACCTCCTGGAGGCTAGGTTGAGAATCTTCCGACACCCGTAGCCTATAAAAGCACCGTATGCCGAGCCCATGACAATCATGTACAGCACACCCTCGATGGCCCAGTGCTTCATGGCGAGTGCGAATCCTCCGCCAAAGCGGCCCGTGTCCGCCGTGCCGAGCAGATCAGGTATTCCCCTAGCCAGATCAAATTCCTCCAAGCTGACGGCATTCTCCGGCGTCTCGGCATATCGTAAAAGCGCCACGGCGAACAGCAGAAACGGGAACCCGAACCCGTCGTTCCCACCCGCCTCGGACGAGATGAATTCGCGCAGAGGACGCCGGACGTAGTTATCAGCAAAGGGGCCTTTGGCGATTGCCTGGGACAAAATCGGATCCGTGCACGCCACGCAGGAGCCGATGATCAAAGCTGACAGCTGGGGAGTATTAGTTAATGATCAGGGTGTACAATTGCGCCCACTTACGAAGGAGACGCGGGGAATCATGAGCATGATACAACCCGACGTGGCCAGCCATCCGATAGCAGTAAGTGGAAGAAGGCAGAGAGTCATCTCCTTGAATCGTTCCTTGAGGTACCTCTTGGGCAACTGGTATCCGACCTTGACTAACTGCACGCCAATGGCCAGACGAGCCACCGCCTGATCAGTCAGTATGTTGATATAAAAGAGCAGGGTCAAATCATACATAGGTGAAATCGCTGTCCCCGTCGCCATCATCTTCAATCCACTCCGATGGCTTGAGTAACTTGGCAGCAACCGGACCAAAAGCAATGCCAATCAGTAGAGCAGGCACTGATTGTAATCAGCAATACTCGCAAGGGATGACGAACAGGCAAGACGCACAAGCTTCACCGAGGTACCATCTCTGCTTGATTTTCAGGGAGATAAACCCAAACAGGAGGATATAAGTGCCTTGACGAGTCATCAGCACCGAGTCAATATTCACCTCTTCAGGAAATCCATACTTAGCACCGATAATACAACATTGAAGGTACTAACATCAACGACTGGATGTAACATCCTTTCCCAAACCAGTGTCGAAAGAGAAGGACCTCAACTCTCCACAAGACTCGCACAGCTTGTCCGGGAAGTTCGTCCTGGCAATATCTTCATTGAATTGAACTGGCGCTCTTTGCAATCGTGATGCAATTGCTTCCCAGCGAAGAATCCCAGCAGACTGATTTCTGCACATCAAAGTCATACCAGCAGCTGGCAAGGGGAGGGCCTCGATAAGCATTCCCCCAACCTGCCGCACCCTTCGTCACATTGTTTGCCATTCATCCCTTTGTACAGCGTGGATCATCGGTATCTTTTCACCCTTGGACACAGCTGCTCCAGGGGAGCTGCATGTCCGAGTGGGTCGGTGCTGGTCCTTGCAGGACAAACTATGTGGCCATAAAGCTTGGCTAGATAGATGGATCGACGGCCAGGCTGCAAGATTAGAGAAACTGCCACTGTCGAGGAATTGAAAGGAGCTGAGATATGCATTTGAATTGTCATTTTGAACAGATGTGCGTGCACCTAGTGCTTTACCACTCTGACGGTCAGTTTGATCAGCAGACGCCCACAATGGGCATAGATCTGATTCTACCCTGGTGTCTTATCAGTAGACAAACATTTGAAATCCAAATTCAGAAAAAGAAACGGTCCGGGATGTGATCAATAGCTTGCAATAGATAGCCACAGCCACCTTCCCGGCGTCGATCATCTTAAGTCGTCCCACCCGTACGGATCGGGGAAAAGGACGTCGACATCCACGTCGGTACATGTACCGATAGTCGCTATCAGGGCCAAAGGAGCGGGGTTTGCTAGTACACATACGCTGAGAGATCCTGGTCATGTTGTGTGAGATTGACGATTATCGTATGTGAAATTGGAATTGGATGGATGGTGACCACTCCTGCAGATTAGCTGTCGACACCTTGGTGCCTGAAAACACAGGCTAGGATTTACATGTGGCATTCCCAAATTCACACGATAAGAGACATTCAGACGAGAGACAGAGATAGAGAGGCGTTTTAGGCTATACCTTGCTTGAGACATTGTTTGAAAGGTGTTCAGTGGGCTGAACCTGTCTTCCAATGGACAGATCATACGCAGCGGGACGGATCTAAGAATACTCAATTTCTGATACACGATATTCTAGACTCCTGACACGAAGTGGATTATAGATGAGAAGTACACACAAAGGAGGATCATTGCTAAGCCGTGCATACAACAAAAGGCGTAATGGAAAAAGATACATATGTGCATGAAGAAGACACTGAGCAGCCAATGCCGCACCATCGGATTTGGCGCCCGAGAGCCAGGATGATCATAAAAAGACTTGGTTTCTCTCCTCCTCTGAATAGAAGAAGTCATGTAGAGAACTTCCCCCGTCCAGCGTGCCGTACTGGGCGATACAGTTGTAGCCCTCCTGTCAAAGCTGATACCCCGTTTAAGCGGTCTTGCGCCATTGCGACCACACGCCGATCAAACTGCTCACGGTACCGGCAATACCCACCAATCCGTCGTCGAGAGAGGCGAAGCCCAGTGCAGAGACGGGCACTGTCAAATCGCACAGATCCGAGATCAGTTGAATACGCGCTGCAGCACGTTCCCTGGGTCAAAGTCAGTACAAGCTCCACCTGAGCTGGAAAGACCGGCACATACTTCTCGAGCTTCTTAGCCTCTACAACACCCTCACCCTCCTTCCGGTCGATCGTCTTCTCCTTCTCCTGCAGTTTCCACAGCGTATAGAGCCCGGCGACAGCGCTGCAGGCCAAACCCGCCATCCAGGCGCGGTACGCCGACTCCTGCAGCCGCTTGGCCGAGGCGAGCTTCTTCACGCCGATCACATCGACGACAGTGATGGTGTCGAGGGACAGGTATCCGGCGTAGCCGAGCTGGCGGCCGATGGCGAGATAGCGCAGCACGGGGTCGATGGGGCTCTTGTTGTCGGCGGCGAGCGCGGCAGCCTTGAGGTGCTCGATGAACTTGCCGATGCGGAGGATCTTCCGTGTGGTGCCGAACTGCTTCTTGATGGCGTTGTAGGGGTCGATGGCGGACTGGGGACGGTTGGTGCGGTATAGGTACCAGGCGTAGAAGCGGGAGAAGTATTGCAGCGTCCGCAGGATCTTGTCACGGCCGACTATGTTTGGTCAGCGCTTGCCTTGGAGGTATTTCATGGTGACTGGGTTCATTGCGATGGTCGCGTGTGATAAGGCATTTTCTCGGCCGAGGCTCTATTGATTCCCTCTTCCGGGACTCTCCGCTGCTGGTGAGCACGTACCTGTCGTCGCGACGAAGCGCAAATAGTGCGCCAGGGCAGGGTGGTAAACTAAAGCGTCGGCAACCATTTTGAATTACGTATGCTTGAGTTGTTCTAAATGTTTTTTTCTGATGAACGCGGTGCTCGGATGGACCAGCTCTAGTCGTTAGGGAGAAGAGAGAGGAAGTGAGAAGACCGGGGAGGATATGACAGGCCAGCTGGTAGGAGTGAGAGGAAGAAGAGAAGAGATAGAGATAGAAGACTCGGGACTCAGAGGTCAGAAGGAATAGTTAAAAGTCTAAGACACTCCACAGCACAGGAGAGAAGAAGGAAAGATGGGGATAGGGAGAATTATCTAGTCTAGTAGTAGTAGTGGAATACGGAGTAAGTAGTAGTCTGGGGGAAGATTATTAGACGACGGTCGGCAATTGATCGCCCGGCGATGGAGCCGCTGCTGGGCACCGTCGAACCTCGGTTCATTTTGACTGGTGATTGCTGCTGTGGAATTCACATCCTGAGCTCCATCCTTGTGAATAGTCACCCATATAATGCTATATCTATCATCTGGAGGGAGTTTTCCCGTTTATTATTGTCCTGTGGATGGGTATAGATAGGCACGTTCAATACAGCTATTTACGGTGTCATGTGACCGGTTGACAACAGAGCTTGTTCTCTTCATATTCATATTTCGACTGATCGCAAGACTCTTTTGATGGCAGGAACTACATCTGATGACGATTATATATTACTGTGGGCTCTAGAGGCCGATATTTGAGGTACGAACACACCAAGCCGGGCTCTGCGACTCTAAAACTCCCACAGCATACACCCACTTCTTCTACCAGTATCTCGCTTCAGGACTTCATGTTCATCGCTCAGGGGCTTGTCAATCGCTCAAGGAGGTCGCTCGGGGTGATGGAAATGCTCGAAATTGAGGTGATATGGATAAGGATTTGTAAATCGTCGCTCATGGGCCGTTTGGGGGTGATGTGGTTCTGAAGATTAAGAATGTTGCGGTGGCTCACTGGGCAATTCGATGGGTGTGAAATGGCATGCGGAAGATATAATGCTGCAAGGTAAGTAAATATCCAATGGCGCATTACCGTTGCTCTTTGTTGCCCAGAGATGTGGTATCATAACCCTGAGATTCAAGATAAGCGCGGAACTTGGCGTCCTCATCAGTGATTGTGTCCTGGGCAGGTGTCAGTGACGTTCCCGGTCCGGAAGCGAGTACTCGAAAACAAAACGTACCTGTCCGATATGTGGTAGCAGAAAGTACGCTAGGAAGGCGCTAAAGATGCATAACGAGCTGGAAACGAAGTACGGATCCTGGCCTCGGCGAATATCGTTGGGTGCATTGTCCTGGATGATCGGAAACACATATGTGCCGACGAAAGCACCGATTTTGCCAAACGCAGCGGCAATGGCATAGTACTGGCCCCGGATAGAGGTGGCACTAGTCTTCGCGGCGCATAACCCGATATTGTCGCCAGGACCAAATTCTCCGAGTGAGGAGAAGATGCTTCAACTCGATTAGCTGGGTCTATGCTCGGTCCTTGGAGAGGGTGCCTTACCCATAGACAACGACAAAGGCCGCGACGTTCTTTGGATCCTTCAGATAGGTGTAACAGCCTGCCATGATGAAACCAACAATGCCCTGCAAAGCAACTCCGAGGGCCAATGTGTTGCGAGGACCGATCCAATCGCTAGTGAGTGCACCCAGGAAACTACCTGGAATGTAGAAGAGGTTGGTAACGGTGCTCCAGCCAAAAGTCTTCCAGAGGGGAGCGGTGTCGCCGAGGATGACGGACAGCCACTCCGACGAGTAGATGCCAAATGAATAGGATGAGAAGTCATAGATAAACCAGATCACGGAGACCACGAACTGCAACAATTAGCTAAATGCGGCCACAATCGGAGGGGTTCTCTAACCAGACGCTTCCAGTAGTACCTGAGTTATCGGGGTCAGCGACAGGCAAAAAGGAATAGAGAGAACCAAGGTTAGAGCTCACTTAATGATCAGCCACACGGGAAACTTGTGCATCCGTTGCCTATTGAACTCCTCTGGCTCGTTCAACTTCAACCGCAGGTAGAACAAACTGAGCGGCGGAATGACACCCAAACCCAGCGCAACGCGCCATGCGGCACGCATGTGGTCTTCGGTGAAGATCAACATCAGGATCATGGCGACGAACGACGAAACAACGAAACCAGAGTCGATCTGAAAGTTGGTGAACATGATGAACCAGCGATTGCGATGACCGTTCTTGAGCTCGCCGGTACTCTCCGCCGCGGCGACGGACCCTGCAGGATATTCGCCGCCGATGCCAATGCCCAGGAAGAACCGATAGGCGGTCAAAGCAGCGAACAAGCCTGATTGACTCCCATGCGCCCCGTATGAGCCGGCGGAGAGCGCGCTGAAGATGATCAGGATAACCGTGGAGATCATCAGCGCCCATTTTCTTGACCAGTGATCGCTGACGTATCCAAAGATGAGCTGACCCAGCACCGTTCCCGCGAAGACGATGGAAGAGACATTGCGACTGGCGGGGGAGTTCTTGTATGTATCGGGGTAGATTTTGCTCAGCAGGGTGTTGACCGGCCCGATAACCTAGACGAATCGGTCAGCCAGCGTTCTTCGAAAGCCCAGACGGGATGTTTAGTAATCTTACTCCATTGAGATATCCGTCAGAAAAGAGACCAGCACCGCAAGCAATGGTTGGCCAACTGCGCTCCCATCGACTCTTTCGGGCGTCCTCGAGCGGCGCTTCTTCCAGAACAATAGGATCAGAGGAGTCTGAGATCTTATCAGGAATCCTTTTCTGGTCGCTCTGAACTTCTGATTTGGGTTCCATCTCGAGGGGTCTGCAGTAGGCAGATAGCTCTACAGCGTTGCGAGAATGTTAGTGGGATGGAGGAGGGGGTCAACAATGGGCCTGTTGACACCAGAGACCTTCTTGACATTCACAGTTGCCCGCGTAAACTTTGTTAGATAGTAAAGAAGGGGGGTGGAGGGGGGGAGGATCCATGAGATTTAAGTAGTAAATAAGTAGAAGAGTCCAAAGAAACGAAAAGAAAAGAAAACGAGTGCGACAGAACCCCCAGCGAATGCACATGACAAGACTGCATACCTGCTGCCTTGCTGTTACTTGTTACTCCCACTCCTTCTACGGGACTATCAATTTAGTCCCGTCATCTACCACCATCCAGCGCAGACTATGACCAACTTTTCACTTCCTAGTTGGAGGAATACTCTCTTATCCTCCAACAACATTCCTTTATCAGCAAGAGGAAGTATCCCCGTGGACCTAGTGGGGCCGACGGTCTTTGCGGCCAGGGCTAAGCTTAGCCTTAAGGTGGACTGGTCCGGGATCATTTTCTGGCTGTTATTGGACGCCGCAGAGCTTCTATCACCTGTTCTAATCTCAAGCCATCGAATCCTGTCGAAGCAAATAGGCATGTGGCCAAGAGCAACGCATGCTCATATTACCGCGACTCAAGACTCGAGAGAGAGAGAGAGACATACACTGTCGCAGAACTCGGCAAACATCACTTAGAGCCACACGGTCACACCAGATACGACTTCAGACAGGGAAGACCAGCTTGATGGCTTGCGTGATACAGCGAAATCTCGGAGTTCTCCGAAGTGAAGATTAGAAGAGGTAGAAATCAGGTATCTGATGCTGGCTCGGGGACATTTTCTAGTATACAGCACCCCCAAGTCTATTGTGTTCGTTCATGCGCAGGATCATCACACTGAAACGCAATATCCCACGAGCAATCCGAATGGCGAGATCAGATGGTTGTTGTCTGAGTGGATTGGCGTTGCTCTGGAAGAATATATCTTTAGGGGCCCGTTGGATACCACCATTCAAATGAAGTGCTCTAGCATCACAACCTACAATCTAATCAATCATTCGATGCAGCAGAGAGAGTGCTGGACATAGTTGCTATAATGGAAGTCTTCCCAAATTTACAAAATTGAGTATGTCTCAGAATTGCTGCCTAATCATCCAGCGAGGATGTATTATCAGCGGTACAGAGAACGGGGAAGAGATTGAATATCAATCCACTCTTTCGATGAACAGACTTGAGAACAGCTCTTAGATATCTTCCCTCGCAATCGCTAAAGTAATGAAGGTTTTGATACTACTAAGAACGTACTCCGTAGAGTCGAGGTAGTCCAGGGAACCCGGAGCGGAAGTACTTTCGTCCAGCTGAGCTCGGGTCAGCTACGTTACGTGATGTGATGCTTCTTCTGCTGCGACCAGCTCCCCAGTTCCATCAACATTCCTTCTTTCCATCATCACCTCCGAGCTCAACATCCCCTTTCTCCCTTTGAACCCTCTGTATCTACTTATTCGCTGTCCCTCCACACCTCATACTCAACATGGGCTCCGATCCTCAGTACATCAAGTTTCCCGACCTCACCCTCGCCCAACATGTCTTCAACATCTCCAACCCTTCATGCCCCCAGGTCGTACGGCAGACTTCCTTGAAGAGGATCCAGGATGCCATCTCAGAGCACAAGATGGCCCCTTTCTACCGACACCTCGCACACCCCGTCGAAGGCATCCTGAATTATTCTGGCGAAGGCGTACCCCAGCTCAACGCCGGGTCGACCAAGAATCTGATCACCTCCAACATGCTGGTATCGCGAAAATCCTCTCAGAAGATCGATTTCCCCTGGGACGAAGCGCTGTACCAGTCTTTAGTTGAGGATAACAAGAAGGAGCTGGAGGCGTTCCAGAAGGAGGAAGATGAGGCGGAAGAGGCTGCAGGCGAGACTGAGGTGTTGGCGGCACGGGGGAAGCGTGCCGAATTCTGGGCGCGAGTCGGAGATAAGGTGCGTGGAATAGTCATAAGCCAGTTGGAGGGGCAATTTACATAGAGCTCTGCTAACATTTGTTGATGGCAGGACAAAGCAATCGAATCCCACGAAGCCCTCCTAGAGAAGACGTCGTTCCTAGGCACCAAGATCGATCTGGTGCTCGCCATGATCCGAATCGGTCTTTTTTTCGGCGACGTGGTGTCCGCCAAGAAGAACATCGAGAAGGCGAATGCCCTGATTGAGAGCGGTGGTGACTGGGACCGCAGGAATCGTCTCAAGGCCTACAAGGGTCTGCACCTGTTGACCATCCGCTCCTACAACCTCGCCGCTCCCCTCCTCCTCGACAGTCTGTCCACTTTTACGAGTTACGAACTTTGCAGCTATTCCGCTTTGGTGATCTATTCCGTCCTCGCGGGCTCTTTATCATTGAAGCGAGTTGATTTCAAGGCCAAGGTTGTGGACGCTCCGGAGATCAAGGCCATCCTTGGCGCTGGCGAGGACCGCCTGGCCGCGTTGACTGGCGAGATCTCCGCGGGACCCGGGGCACAGGATGAGGAGATGAAGGATGCGTCGGCCTCAACGGCCACACCAGGCACGACTACGACCGCGGTCAACCTGGCGACGTTCGCCACCGGCTCCGGCGTGCAGGCCGAGACGGAGGCTCCGGTAGACTTTTCGCCGCTTGCCAACTTGGTGGACAGCCTCTACACGGGCAACTACCGAACATTCTTCCGGGCCCTGGCCGCGGTGGAGGACAACTTCCTCACGCAGGACCGCTACCTGTACGAGCACCGGGCCTGGTTTGTGCGGGAGATGCGACTCCGTGCGTACCAGCAGCTGCTCCAGAGTTATCGGGTGGTGGGACTGAACAGCATGGCCAATGACTTTGGCGTGACAGTGGACTTTTTGGATCGGTAAGAATCTTTTGTGTCTACATGATGACTGTGTACTGATCAATGAGCAGGGACTTGGCCAAGTTTATCGCCAGCAACCGCATTGCGTGCACGATTGACCGGGTGAACGGGATCATTGAGACGAATCGACCGGATGACAAGAACAAGCAGTACGCAGATCTGGTCAAGCATGGAGACGCCCTGATCACGAAGCTCCAGAAGTATGGGCAGGCTGTGCGTCTGCGGGGGAGTGAGAGGAGCTAGACGTCGTTTGTCGACGCATGGCATTCCCTGTACTTGAATCCAATTAGAGCGAAGTGAGTTGCAGTATGATAGCCATGACCGAATACATACCCCGACAGGTTAATGCATTCAACTTTTAGTAGTCAAGATCGTAATCAAACTCGCATATACAACTAGTCTTATATCCCAAAGTCTCCACGCCCTCCAAAACCCTCCGTATTCACCGCAACAGCTAGAATCACATCGACGACCAGAGGTTGGGGTTGTAGCTGGAGGTGGGGGTACTTGTGGTAGTGGCATTTGGGGTTGGAGAGGTGGGATAGATTTCTGTATATTTTATAGCTATGGTATACCCACTACGTCTTGCGATGGTACTGTCCTGTGGGAAGAAAGAGATCAAGACCCGCAGGCCTATTCCTCGGCGCACTCCCGCCCAGACCGGGATACTGTTGATATGCCTAGGCATGGAGTGTGACCGGCGATTGTCTGATGATCTCGAAGCGTCTTGAGCAAGGGAGTCACTTGCAGATGGATGGGGTATCAAAGACCACTTCAAACCGGAGTTGCTCCCCCGAGTCGAAATAACTCCAGGAATATCGACTATTGTGATGATGTGAGCGGGGTCAAGACGGAGTCCAGGAATCAAATATCATGAGAGCATGCTTGGATGCATACTCGGTGTATCTCCGGTTTGCTGTCGGAGCTGGAGAACGTGAAGAGGTGTATAGGGGCTGGAGTCTGAAACGATCGCCAACACAAGAATGGAGAGAGAATGATTAGACGACTACATACCCCCGTCGAGCGACACGTAGAATCTCTTCTGGGAAGGCAAGTATACCTTAACCCCCTACTCTGGAAGTAAACGGGAACTGGGCCGACAAGGGATGTCGTATCTGGAACCGGATCGTGGCTTTGAACTCTCCAAACCGAAGACGTATGCCTGCTACCGCGGCCCCTCCATGATCTCCTCCATACCAAACAGAAAAGCGTCAAAGTCAAAGCCCGCATCCTGAAAAATATCATCAAACAAAAGCCCCGAAGTGCCCGCCTCGAGCGGTAGCGCCCCGCTCTCCGGAGTTGGGTACCGTGTCTCCAAGATCCTGGTCGAGAGCGTCTCAAACGTCCGGATACACTGCGAGACATATGTGCTCAGATGCTCGTGCGCCCGGAGCGCCGCGAGGACATCGCGCCAGGACTGCGCCACCGACTCGGTGAACAGGTCTGCTCCGAACATGGCGGCGAGGAAGTTGGTGCCCGCGATGTGGAGGTAGTAGATGCGGTACCACCAGGGCAGCAGGCCCATGGGTTCGTTGGGCTCGAGGGCCGCGATGACCAGCGAAGTGACCTTTTGCGCGGCCTCGACGCACATCCCGGCGCATTCGCGGAGAAGGCGGTCGCTGAGGCTGGGTGGGTGGGAGGTTTGTGGAGCCGTGGCAGTGGCTGTGTGCGATCGCATGGAGTAGAAGCGGGCGAGGAGGGGTCTGTAGAGGAAGATTCGGGAGTGGAGGAGACTAGGGAGATGCTGGTGTCAGTAGGTTGACTTTGAAAGGGTGAGAAAATCAGATATCTACCGCAGATGAAGCAGGTATCGCTCTGCTCGAGCGGTCCTATCGACCACCTGGGACAGATTCTGCAACCTGCAGTCGCTGGGGAGACTGTCCTCCCATCGGTTGAGGCAGGCATCGAGTTGGACTGCCACGGCATGGTACTCATCCTGTTGGTACAGTCGCGGCAGTCTCAGCCGGGCAACGAGGCCATTCCGTGTCTGTGTCTGTGCCAGTTGAATCTGATTGCCGATCTCATGAAGCTCTAATCCGTGTGTGAAGTGCTCGGCATGAGTCCCAGCCTGGGTGGTCGAGCACATGGTTTCGCTCTTGTTCGGCAGGGGAGCCAGAGATGGTGCCGAGGTCCTGCCGAGAGACCAGGAAACGCATCTGCACGGGTCAGCTCGGAAATACCTGCCAATGCTGCCGAATGAATGATGAGATCCTCACCGGTCGAGCGCAACACAACTCGCCCAAACCCGTTGCTTCAACTGCCTGTCCTTGTGGGCCTCTTTGGTCGAAGTCGCCTCGGGTTGTTGGCCACACAGGCTCTGCGTGATACGCATCGCCAGGCCCGCCGTCATCCACGTCTTCTGCTGGTTATTGGTACAGTGGAGGTATCTGTTCATCAGCATCAAGCACTGCACCAGTTCCAGCGAGCCAGGATTCCACAGAATAGTCTCAGGGAGGAGAACCGCCCATGCGCGCTGGAAATAGCGATTCCCCTCCTCGTTCCGTTGGTGACAGGGGATGGATTCCTGCCTTTGCACCGCCAGGGCGAAGACCACATTCAGAACGCTCACCCAGATCTCACGGTCCGCGTGAGACAAGAGATCCGGACGGGCGTACGAGGCTTCGTAGTCACGGGTAAAGCGCTCTCGATCTAGGATGGGCTCCACTGGGTCGACGTAGCGCCAGTAGATGTCGACCAGTCGATCCGCATAAGCCCGGTGAGGCAGCCCAGCCGACCCGCTCGGGACTCCAGCTGCAGCATGCAAGTCAGTCTCGCCGAACAAAGGCGCATCCACAAACGGAACTAGATTGGATATGGCGGCGGGCGCGAGCCCTGCTCTCACGTCGATGGCGGCTGCGACGTCCACGGCAAATCTTCCATGTGCAGTGTACATAGGACGATTCTGGTCGACATCTGCATCCAGATCTTGGTTCTGGGGTCGGTCTTGGTCTTCCACGTGCACTGATTGAGACGATGTGTCGAGCGAGGGAGCCCGCGAGGCTGGCGGGGAGACCGGGGCGGGAGCATGACTGCGTACCGGTGGCAACCTGCGCTTAGGTTGTTGGCTGTAAGGAAGCGAGCTCAAACTATATGTACACGTCTTTCCTCTTCCCAGGCACCTGGCGCATGCTAGTAGCAGAAGTCACACTCAGCGAGGTGTCAGCGAGCATGAGGGATTGGATTACCTGGGCGAGCACCGTCACATTTGACCTTACGCAGCCGGCAAGTCTCACAAGCGGTTGTGATTCTCAGCCGCTGTCTGCGCAACGGTTTAAGCAATCTATCTTGTACCGGAGTCATGGTGATGATGCAGGCCAGTTGACCGTCCGTCTTGGTCGTGTATAACCGACTGTTATACATGGGATAATTAATAATCAGTGATAGTTCAAGCCAATCAGGTCGTTTCCCGAGAGCTGAATGCTCCATGGCGGGAAGGCTGACCATTGGCTATAGAATAAGCTATAGTGGAGCGTTTCAGTGTTTTTCATCCAATCACATTGCGTTTGACCAGCTCACAATTATATCCCTACCATCCAATCATATCCCTTTCCGCCTTGCACTGTAGATGCTTCTCGGAGCTGACCTCCAGATCGAACCTTTAAAAGGCCAATGTGTTGGCAATCAGAGGGCTTGGACATGCTATACGCTTCTCTCGCTTCTTGTCTTGACCCTCTAGTCAAGTATGTCTCAATCAATTGACTCCAAGGCGTCCGGCGACCTGGGCGTGGTCGAGAAAACCCACGTCTATGATGGCCAAGGCACCGAGGAAGACCCCTTTGTGGTGGAATTCCAAAAGGACGACCTCGGTAACCCGATGAATTGGTCTCCGGTACGGAAGTGGCTTATCACGGCCATTGTGACATTCTCTGTGTTTGCGGTGACCTTCACGTCGTCGGCGTACTCGGTGTCCGCCAACGAACTCATCCCGGACTTTGACATCAGCACCGAGGTGTTTATCGTGGGGCTTTCTGTCTTTGTGCTGGGATTTGCAATTGGGCCGGCTGTTTGGGGACCTCTGGTAAGTGCTTCTGTATATCCTTCTCAATCTTGGGAGACCCAGCTGACAGTGTGCGACATAGTAAGTTTGACTGCCCTCACGATCGTACCAAGTTTCTTTCCTCACGAACAAAATCAGATCCGAACTGTATGGACGACAAATTTTCTGGCTCACCTCCCACATTGCAATGGTGGCCTTCATTGGGGGCTCTGCCGGAAGCCGCAATGTCGCTACACTCCACGTACTGCGCTTCTTCGGTGGTACCTTTGGGGGCTCACCGCTGGTCAACTCGGGCGGTGCAATCGCTGATCTTTTTCCTCCGGCCCAGAGAGGCCTCGCAATGACGCTCTACTGCGTCGCACCCTTCCTAGGTCCCATTCTGGGTCCCGTCGTGGGCGGCTTTGTCTCCGAGAATATCGGATGGCGATGGGTGCAGGGAGTCTGCTGTATCTTCATTGGTCTGCTTGGCATTTTCGGCGTCATCTTTGTCCCTGAGACGTATGGACCCGTGCTGCTGAGCCGACGGGCCGCTCAGCTCTCCAAAGCTGACGGCAAGGTCTACATCAGCATCTTGGAGAAGAGCCAAGGCAAGAAGAAGCCGTCCGAGGTGTTCCAGCGCGCGCTCATCCGGCCCTGGGTGCTGCTCTTCCGCGAGCCCATCGTGCTAGTCGCCTCGCTCTACATGGCCATTATCTACGGCACGGTGTACATGTTCATGGGCGCCATGCCCATCGTCTACAACGAGGAGCGTGGCTGGAGCGAAGGCATCGGCGGACTCGCCTTCATGGGTATCGCCGTCGGTATCATCGTGGGGCTCATCTACGCCATCTGGGACAACAACAGCCGCTACATGCGGCTGTTGAAGGCCAAGTCCGCCACGGCCGAGTCGCGCCTCCCGCCCGCTATCGTCGGCGCCGTCGCACTCCCCATCGGCATGTTCGCCTTCGCCTGGACCACATACCGCAGCATCCACTGGTCCGTCGGCATCATCCTTTCCGCGCCCTTTGGCTTCGGCTGCGTGCTCGTCATCCTTCCCATCGTCAACTACCTGATCGACGCGTATACCATCTACGCGGCCTCCGTGCTGGCCGCCGCCGCCATCTTCCGCTCCGTCGTCGGCGCTGTCTTCCCCCTGTTCACACCGCAGATGTACGAAACCCTCGGCATCCACTGGGCGTCGTCCATCCCGGCGTTCCTGACGCTGGTCTGCATGCCGTTTCCCTTTATCATGTACCGCTATGGAGGTCCGCTGCTGATGAAGTGCAAGTATGCCTTTGAGGCGGCGGAGATGATGAGACGCATGCAGCAGCAACAGGCGCCTGCGCCGGTGAAGGAGGATAAGTCTCCTGAGTAGTTGAAGTCGTTTGGATTGTTTGAAGGTGGGGCAGTGAGGAACATCAGCATATGATGCTGATGGGATGCACCACAGGATACCCAATAGAGGGAGAGAGCTGTGTCTAGATTGATATCATGTGTACTCGCTGCTGAGTCTATAATAATACAACTTCATTTAAGCGCGAGCTGCTGGCGTCGCGCGACAGCTTTTTCATTAGCGACCAGTTGGCGCTGGATTGCTCGGACGCTGTTGGTTCCATTGTTTCCATTGGAGTCGCGATGATCAACGTTTTGACCTAGCACGGCGACCCAGGCAGCACTCTCCTCCCACACTCGACAAAAGCCAGAATGTGACTCTAGATTCTGGCCCTAAGTCTTTGAGAGATCTCAAACAATGTGAGGGTAATTATTGGATTACCCCATTTTATATATTATCATTACCTATTGTTGGGGCTTTGTCGGCCATCCACGGGGGCGCTATACCTCGAAATGATAAGAGTATAGAATCTCGTTCCTGTATCTACCAGGGATCATGGTGCGTTCATGACGCTGACAGAATTGACCTGACAACTTCAACTCCGGCCACTGAACGCTTAAGCTCCTGAGACTTCATCTCAAAGGTTTTCGCACGGACTCAGCGATTGTGCATTGCTGCCCTAGCGCAAGAGTGTCATGGGGACTCCGAAGCACATGAATTGAGACTGATGGATGGTCATGATGCAAGGCTTTTCTGTCCTTTTGAACATAGATTGACAAAAGAACAACCGAGTCTTCTCCGCCTATCTCCCCGGAAGACTGACCAAGCCACTTCCCACCTCACTACTGTGTCTGGGGGCTGCTTGCAGACGGCCACCATGCCGCTGCTCTGATGAGAGAGCGCCACGAGCGAATTGCTTCTCGCCAAGCCTCATGCCACTGGGAAGAAGCCTTCCTCACGGTCCATCTTGGTTCGCAGCGCACAAAGTCTTGAGAGAATTTGGAGCAGGTTTTTCAGCCCGCGTGTGGGCTTGCAACAGGGGATGCACATATGGCCACCTCGGAAAGGGACTCCAAAAGAAAGTAGAGTGCCGCTCTCATCTGGTTATCCTCATATCGGATCAACCATTTCATCGCCTGGGATTAACAGCTATGGCACAGACCTCGTGTGGTGGGCAGACAGAGTATCAAGGCAGGTGTAAGTTCGCCCGGCCCTGGTGAGCCCAGCAGCCGGAATGATATGTGCGTCGCTCATACGATCTTGACAGCTCAGATGAGGAGGAGTTCAAAGGAGTCAGTTATTGGGCCAGGCGCTGGCATTCATTAGTCGTCATGTGACCTGGTTGGGGAAGACCAGGAGCAATTTTGCTTCTTCCTCGACGCCATCTCGAGGCTTACGGTGAGTCTCACTACTGCAGCACAGTATCACATACGGGATCATGCACTTCGTGCATCGGTGAACGGATCGAGATCATATGAAATTACCCATGGTAGTGCTGACTGCGGAGGAATGACATGGAGTATTGGTCATCAATACCACCCCGTGTAGTCGCCCGATGGGCTAATGTCGTGGCAGTAAGGGCTGGTGCAGAAATATACGGGGTATGGAGTGCAGGATCCTTCGATTCTTCTTTTCTTCGTTTCTGCTTCTGTTTCTCCACACTTTGGAGGATATAGCCTGAGAACGATGGTTCCATGGATCGGTTGGATCCGGGCGAACGGACATACACTAGAGATTATTCAACAGCATCGACATCAACCCATCGACTCCAGGGTGGTGGTGAGGGGCCTTGTCTGGGGTTGAGGACCGCTTCCCACGACGTCTTGAATAGAGTTGGAACTTGGAAGGATCTGACGATAGAACTGCGATGATATTGATCCTATCAGAGTAGATAGTTGTATAGGAGGAGAACGACACCGAGTGCTCCGAAGATGGTCGCCGCGCTGACTCATTGTCGCTCACCGCCTGCAGAAAAAATCGCTCATTTTTGGGGTGTTTTTGTTGATTTTTTTTTTTTTGTTCTGACGAGAAGATCGAACAGAACCGAGGGTTTCGCTCTCTTCTCCTTATTCTGATTCTGCTGTTCCATCGTGGGAAAGAGTGTTAGTTCAGGTTGTCTGTCTCTTGCACAAACCCCAGTCAAGACCAAGAGAATCCCAACAGGAGACACTATGACCTGGCACAAGCTGGCATCCCCCTTGCGGGCTTCTCCGCTACAACGCTCACTTTCCCGCCTGAATCCCCCTAGCCGGCAGCCTCTCTGCTGGGCCGCAGGGTTACCCGCGGGGGTCTTCAGGGCCAAGGCTGCTTCTCCAGGTATGTTGCGATTCCGGGACTCTCCTCTAGCTCCGTTTGGCCCCCAATAATCCCCGTCGTTATTGGGCAAAGATGCTGCGAACTTGCGAGGCAATCACCCAGCGTGGAGCAAATGGGAAACAAAAAGAAAAGAAAAAAGAAAAAAAGAAAAAAAAAAGGCTCATTGTCCGTCGCGTACGGCCACGTCCTCTTCCCCTCATCTCGTAATACCCACTTGGGGATGCTCCCTCGCTGAAAGACCCCCCCAGCAAGACTCCCAGGTACAAATGCGCGCTGCATTCTCCGGGGGAGGTTCTCGACTGTTCAAGCATTTCATGATCTACAAGAGGACTATCTCGTACTGACTCTTGTTTTCTGAAACAAACCCATAGTGCCCGCCATGACCGTCACATACAACCCCAAGCGGACCATCTATGCCGACTTCGGTCCCCGCCGGCTGCATGCCGATAACATCAACCCCTCCGTCAAGGCCGCTAAGTATGCTGTTCGGGGTGAGCTCGCTGTCAGGGCCGAGGAGTATCGAGTCCGTCTGGCGAATGGAGAGAAGGATCTGCCCTTTGACAGTGTGATCTTCGCCAACATCGGCAACCCCCAACAGCTGGACCAGAAGCCCATCACCTTCTTCCGACAAGTGCTCAGTCTGCTGGAGAACCCTGCCCTGCTGGAGAAGCCCGACGTCCTCAGCTCCGCCTTTGGCTACCCGCAGGATGTCGTGGACCGTACTAAGCTGCTCCTCGACGACGTCCAGAGTGTCGGTGCCTACAGTCACAGCCAGGGTGCTCCGATGATCCGGGATAGTGTCGCCCGGTTCATCGAGGAACGGGACGGCTTCCCCGCCGATCCTCAGGATCTGTACCTTTGCGCCGGTGCCTCGTCCGGTGTCAGCACGCTCATGAACATCATCTGCCACCACCCCTCCGCCGGTGTTCTCGTCCCCATTCCGCAATACCCTCTCTACACGGCCACGCTGTCGCTGCTGAATGCGCAATGCGTCCCCTACCACCTGGAGGAGGAGAAGGCCTGGGGTACAAATGTTAGAGCCATCCGGGAGTCTCTGGCGAAGGCCAAGGCTGAGGGCACCGACGTGCGTGCCATCGTGGTCATCAACCCGGGCAACCCCACGGGCGCGTCGCTGAGCCCCGAGGACATCAAGGACGTGCTGGACGTCGCTGCGGAGGAGAAGCTGGTCGTGATCGCCGACGAGGTCTACCAGACCAACATCTTCGTCGGCGAGTTCACCTCGTTCAAGAAGCGGCTCCGCCAGCTGCAGCAGGAGGTGCCGGACAAGTACGACCACGTCGAGCTGGCGTCGCTGCACAGCGTTTCCAAGGGTATGGTCGGCGAGTGCGGCCACCGCGGCGGCTACTTCGAGCTGGTCGGCTTCGACCCCTTGGTCGCCGCGCAGATCTACAAGTCCGTCAGCATCATGCTGTGCCCGCCCGTCATCGGCCAGTGTCTGGTTGAGCTGATGGTGAACCCACCGCTCAAGGGCGATGCCAGCTACGCGCTCTACTCGCAGGAATACAACGGCATTCGCGACGGGCTGCACAAGCGCGCCCTCGCCCTCTATGAAGCCTTTAAGCAGATGGAGGGTGTCGAGTGCCAGGAGCCTCAGGTATCTAAGCCCCCCCCTTTTTTTTTTGATTGTCTTGAACTTCCCCCACACATTATTCACAGTTGCTAATTTTCTACTCTCCACCAGGGCGCCATGTACCTCTTCCCCAGCATCACGCTCCCCGCCAAAGCCATGGAAGCCGCCGCCGCTGAGGGCCGCACCGCCGACGAATTCTACTGCCTGCGCCTCCTCGACGCAACCGGCGTCTGCGTCGTCCCGGGCTCGGGCTTCGGACAAAAGGAAAACACGCTCCACTTCCGCACCACCTTCCTTGCCCCCGGCACGGACTGGGTCGACCGCATCGTCAAGTTCCACGCCGAATTCATGGCCGAGTACAAATAAATCGACCACGCGACGCGCAGTATTTTACTTCTTCTTCTTCTTGTCGTTTGTTGTACATGGCGGTGACGAATTTCTTTTTCTTGCGGACACATGGGAGTGATAAGGATGGATACCAATACCCATACCCAGATGCATACCCAGACCCGGTGAGATCCCATCGAGTCCGAAGAGGACTGGATTGGATTGGACTGGACTGGATGGGCGATGCTGGTCAGTGAGTATATAGCCGGTTACGTCGTCGGACGTATATGTAAATACCAATCTCAATATAAAAAAAGATTACTCACTCAATCACCTACCTACCTAACTCCCGCCGCCTTCTATCCTGCACTGCATCGCATCGCATCGCATCGCATACCCTTACCTCCATCTAGCACCACACCGCTTGATCAATCATCAATACCTCATCATAGCTGCTAGTCTACTACCTACCTAGTCACTAAACTATCCAAGTCCAACGAGGCAACAACAGCGTAGGGCACAGCCAAGCCGACTCTCACTTAAGACCTGCCCGGAAGAAAACAGCTTGTATTGTAAGGATAGGTAGTATCCTCCCCGTCTGTAAGTATGGAGGTAAGTATAAAGGTAAGTATGTTATAAATAAAACGGTATCGATCGACATCCAGGAAACACGCTTACCCCTGATGCCTAGGTACCTTACCTATATAAAGGAGGGAAATACACACAGACACACACACAACACACAACACACCGCCACATGCCGGCGTATCGTACACACCGCTCTTTCTCAAATGTTAATACTCCAAGTACTCCGTAGATACAGCAAGAGTATTCCGTCCTTTGAGATAAATACCAGGGAGATAGGTGCTACTAGATACTAGGTAGATAGTATCTACTCGACCTGGCCGGTCACTGCTCAAGGTTCGGGACATACTGTCTCTGTCTGTCCGTGAAGGAGACTGCTAAGTAGATCCACCTAGGTCAGGACATGCAGGAGACGGGTAGCCCAGAAACCAAACCCTACGAGGGTGCAGGATGCAGGACGCAGGACGCATATGCACTGTGATGGTATGCCGTGTAGATCGGTCAAGGCTCTATTGTGCATAATCAAGATCTGTTCGCTCGAACCACGGTCAGGATGTCTATCTATGTGCGAAAATGACAGAGGCCCACGGGGGCTGAGGAAATCCGGACTGCTCCAGAAAGGATATACAAGGGCCCTGAAACGGTGGAAACACGGGGATTATATTCCCAAAAAAAAAAAAAAAAAAAAAAAAAGTGTAAAAAGGGTGTAGATTTGAGAGAAATGCTAGGGTCGCGTCAAATAGGTTGAGCCGCGCTAATGAACAGAAGAAGGGAATGAATCAGGCAATTATCATCATCTCTCATCAAGGTCATGAGGGCGTAGGTGTCGTCACTCAGACGGTGTGGAGGTGGTGGTAAACGGGGGGCTGCGAGCAGGCTGGGACAAGAAGATCGAAGAAAAACAGGGAGAACCGCCACGACTGGTCCAACCAGACCGGATGTTATACCCATGGCGGAGCATAAAAATTGCCGTTGTTGTCGTCCATGGACGGACCGTTGGGATCAAACATGGTCGCGGGCCACATGGACTCCGAGGGAGACGACGTCGTCGTCATCGGTAGACTCGTCGTCGGAGTGGCCATAACCTCGAAGCTGTTCTGCGCCGGCATGGGCTTTGGTTCAATGGCCATGCTGGCCTGAAGCTGATGTTCCAGCGCAGCCGTCGACTCGTTCGCGGACTTGAGGAATTCGTCGATGTCGATCGCCTCCAGGTTATTCGAGGAGAGCAGCTGGGCTTGCGGTAGGCCGATAAACGAGGAGGCCGAGCTGATCCGGAAATGGTCCAGATCGGAATTCTCGCTCACGCTGTGCAGGTCGTGCAGGTCGTTGCCGGCAGGGCCCAGGCCAGTCAGCGGCCCAAAATCCTCCACTTCCGAGATATCGCCCGAGGAGGATGGCGCGGGGAATCCAGGCGCCACCGAGTTGTAGTCGAAGCTGGCATAGGATGGGGCCTGCGTGCTCGTCGCGGCAGGGACATCCGAAGAATACAACGGAAAATTCGACCAATCGACGGGCGGTGCACTGAAGGTGGCCGAGCTCACCGGGTGCTCGCTATCGGGCGACGCAAAGAACGGCTCCTGGTAGGGATCTTGGAAGGCCATGCCGGTCACGGGGGACGTTGTCGTCGTCGTCGTGGGATACGTGGAGAACGAGACATCGAGCGGTGGCATACTGGTCACGATCTGATCAAGCGGTTCCATCGAAGGCTGTGGCAGAGTAATCGAGTCCGATCGGCTGCCACTAGGTTGATCCAGGTTGGCGGGCGGTGGAGGAAAGAAGGGCGACAGATCCAGCGGGGAAATGGTCGCGGTCATGTCTTCCGTGGCGGTAACCGGGGCATTTTCGGGCGTTCCGTGCTCGGATTTGGAGAGACGACGAGGCTGCATCGCGGCCGGCTGGGCCCTGTTCGACGGTGGCTCCGACCGAGTTTGAATGGCAAAGGCCTTTTCCAGAAAGGTTGGCTCGGTTAGAGGCAGGAACTCGTACGATCGACGGGCGACATCGGACGTCGCATGAATGGTATGGGACCGGGGAATCGTGTACGGCAGACCACACTTGTGCGCCATATCGTTATGCTTGTGCGCCGGCTTGTGATGACCGTCGCGGAAGATCGTGAGCGCCCCCTCCGATTTGGTCGACGTCAGCTGTGGCTTCTTGGGCGGTTCTGACGGTGCGGCGTGCGGCAGCGGCGGATGGAGGCCAGTTTCTGGTACAGAGTCTAACTGAGGCTCCTTCTTCAGCGCGCAGGTACAGCGCTGACCATGCGTGCAACCACATCTTGGACGGGAGTCCTCTGTATAAGAAAAAAAAAGGCTCAAATCAGAAACACGGAACCAATGTGTTATCGCCAACATGCTCACGCTTGAGATCCCGCTTTTCCACAGCATGGGGATCTGAATCATTTTTGTGGCTATTCTTCTTCTTGTCACCACACTCGCACTTTACGTGGGTTGTCCGTGACTTGCGTAGGCCGCGACAGTGAGCGCATTGAGAGACTGGTCGGCCTTTTTTGTTGATATGGGTCAAAGGGCGGTCTATTCGAGTTAGTCTGCTGGGGTCATTCGCCACAACCAGTCGAATCGCACAGAGTGACTTACCACTATGATGACAGCTGCTGACACGGTGACCCCGGACGCAAGCTTCACAAGCCCACTTCTCGCCATCAATGAGCATCGCGGTTACTGGGTCGAACACATGCGACGACTCGCGACGAGTACTGATTTCAAAAAAAGGATATTAAGAAAATAAAAAAGGTGGGCGGATAAAAGGGAAAGAGCGCACGGTCTCTTCCCTCTAGTGATGTTTCTTTTTAGGAGTAGATAAACCGAACAGGAAGCCCTGTCGGGACAAACACAAGAGCCGTCAAGGCGAGGTTTGATGAGTTGTCTGTGCGGTCCGTCGAGGAGATCGGACCGACAAAAGAAGCCAGCGAAACGTTGCAACAAAGCAGGGGTATCTTCCAACAAGAGCCGTTCTTTTTATTTTCCCAAGGACCCAAATGAAGTCACAGCAACGCCGTTTTCACAGTATAAGGAATCGAGTCGCAACTGAGATTTTTGAAAGATCTGGTGAGGATGTGGTGGGATTGAGAGCGGAGAGGAGTGTAGTGAGATCAATCGGGGTTGGTCTGGCGAATTGGAGCGTTGACTGGACTCTGTAGCATGCAGGAACCAGGAACCGGAATAACCACCGAGGCGGGCGTGAGATGGAGCGAGACGAGTGACTAGAGAATCCCAGAGAGGCGAGAGAAGAGAGAGGGAGGGAGAAAGGGGGAGGGGGGGGCCAAAGCCTACGCACCGTTTGGCGCCGGCCGTGAGACAGGACACCAAATACCGGCTGTGGCGGCCAAAGTAGAGGAAAAAAGGCGATCGATAACGGGGTAGGATTGCGATATAACCCTGTGAGAAGAGAAGAAGAAAAGAGGAGAAGAAGAAGAAGAAGAAGGGAAAGAAAAGAGACGAGGAAAAGGGAAGAGGGGAGGCAGCAGAAGTAAGTGACTAGTGTGTCAGGTTCAGGTCACTTTGTGTGGGAGTTTACCATACCTCTTGCCTCCATATTACCTAGGTATGTACTCCGTACTATACACAGAACTGTGTCAAGACGGGTAAAATCCTCAGTACCCTTGTAAAGATACGGCAATGGTGAAACCTGGCTCAGCTGGATCAGTCAGCCACTGGATCGACACACCGAGTTCCACGGCGATGACCACGATGACCACGAGTGAGGAGGGCTGCCTGCTCTAGGCTGAGCCAAACGGCTTGCGTCAATGGCTGTTGCGGCCGCCCCGACGTATGGTAAAACTCGATCGTAATCTATCGAAATCTGAATACGCCGTCGCTGGCGTTACCGATGAAAACCACGCTAGACCCCAACGAAACGGCTGGTCCCGAGAATGGCCACGCTAGACTGTTTTAGTCACCCTTTCTTTAGTCTCCCTACCTTACTAAGTTACTACTAACCAACACTCAGCCTAATAGGTAATACTGGTCTACTCTCTGATCCCATACATACCATGCACAACATCTTGCCTTTATCACCCGGGTCAGGGGTGTATCCCTCTAGTTGATATTTCTTCCATTCGATCTACTCAGCGGTACTCAAATACTATCAAGAGTACCCGTATCTCGTCACCTCACATTTGATCATTCATATGCAATCTAGCCTCGACTATCGACCCGGACTCGTTCCGCGTGTCCCTCCCTTGGTGTCCTTCCGTGCAAAGCTTTGGCAGATTGGCCAGGCTCGGGGTTGGTTGAGTTGTACAACTGATGCAGTGATGGATTGTCATACATTGGTCGGTAGTCGGTACTACTGCTACTACTAACTATCTGCTATTTCAGATCTCACCGGGGTCAAGACTGATGGATGGTTCACGGAGCCTTGATTAACACATCCGATGCACAAAATACTTGGTTGTCGATGCAATTACTTGAGAAAATCATGGATGCAAGGGTCGTTGAGAAGAAGTTCTGTGGTGAGATGCTCAAGATGCATCGACTTTTGTACTCTGGGACTTCTTCAGGGACAGATCCTACAGTGTGCGCCCTAGACATACCAATTACCTTACAGATACCGCTCCTGGATGAAGGAGGAGCACGGCTGCACGATCCATTTCCCCACGTTCTTGGGCCCGACTTGGCGAAATTGTGTCCTTAGGTCTTAGGGTTAGGAGTGGAGATGAAGCAGGTTTTGATGACTGTTCACTTTGCCTATGGGGTATGAACTATGGAGCATGGGATTGGAATATCTAGATGGACTTGGAGACATCCAAAGTTCAACCGTTGTGTGAGTTGATCAATGGATCTCCGTCGAACAATAGCTGAGAAAGAGATTGTAATCCGTATTATCATTTGCCACTCAGATTCTGGAAAACCTTTGGCCGTCTTCCATGCAGAAGAAAGTGTCAACCACGACAACCAACCAGTGCGCCACAGCACCAAAGAATGGGCGTGGAAGCGTGCGGGCTGGACAGACCAGATGCTCGCATTTTGAGCCATGGTTCGGCCATCTCACGCTCCCTGCATCTGATCGAGTCGAGTCGACTCCTCCAAGGCAGATGGGACTCATCGACAGGAGAATGGACATTATGATTTATGGCTTGACAATCAGGCCACCTGTCAGGATTTGCCAAGGATGGATTGGTGCCTTAAGGTACCAGATAGATATTTCTGATTTTGATGTTTCTGATGTTTCTGATGCTTTTTTTCAATCTTCATGCTTAACAAAGCTGAGGTTATCATCCTAGGTGCACAGAAAGGACGATACCGTACCTACCATCATGGCAAATATCAAATTGATTTTGAGAAAAAAAAAAAAAAAAAAAAAAATTGTACCCAAACCCTGCCCGTCTATCTTTTACCGAAAACTGCAAAAATGGCGTCACAGTTTCTTCTTTGGGGTTTTTGCATCCTGGCCAGTCAGGTGGTGGGGCTTGGATCTGCATCCATGTAGCCAATCATATATCACCGGCAAGGGTAAACCCGGTCCGGAGTCTGACCTGTACGGATGGAAGTGGAATGGATACAGACTTGGTAACACTAACAACAGTATCATGACAGTACCAGACTGATACCTACCACAATGAATAATACATCCAGGAACTTTCAACTTACCTTATCAAGGCATTGTTGGCCGGTGAACAGCATTACTTATAAAGGACCAGCTAATCTTCTTTAGGTGCTAGGGACGTAGCGGAGGGCAGTCCGGTACCTTACAGTCCACAGAACACGAACACCGAAGATATTTTGGGATGGTCGCTTGAAAATGATATCAGATTTAAGGTCTAAGCGTGGAAGCGGTCGATCAAAATCGCCCTGGTGGTCCGAGGACGCATTCCGATGGTGAGATCCTCTCATCTTCATTGTTGAGAGAAGTTGGTCAATGTCATGATGACTCGTTAGCATTCATTCTGGGCGTGGTGAGAGTTGCTCTTCGGCATTTCTCTCTCTCTCTCTCCAATCTTCTCCAAGTAGTCAGTGGTCCACTGTATCTATCCACTTCCTACAAAGTTGCCAGTTGATGATCTTCGGGAGGGAGATATCATCCATCCTTCTATCCGGCGGATTCATATGACTGATATCGTCAATCTAGAGGCTAGACAGATGTCATGGTCACTCGATGCTCGCCAGACCAAATGCAACAGGTCTTCATAGACACCATCTATGATTGGATTGGCATCATCCAAAGGGACAGGAGTGATGGTTTTATGCGGCTAACAGCATCGTGTAGCGCACTCGACCAGCATTACACAGTCGATCTATGTGCACCAACCCGTGAATCTGTCTTTTATATGGATAAAGCCATCTGTCTACGCTGAGTCGATAGATGCTACTTGCAGAAACATTGCTCATATCATAGTGGCTTAATTTCAGGACTACGCTCCAATGCAGTGTCGACTGGGTGTACTTACGCAACCATCCATTCGCATAAGCATAATAATAGATAACATAGTAGAAGACAGACACTTGTTGAAGGTCCCGTCAAAAAAAAATTGACTTGGCCATCTCGGAACACTGTAATATGCTCATTGTCCCCTATGGACCCCCAACTCTGCAGCATAAGCCTGGTCAACCATATACACACTCATGGACAGGATATCCCCGGACCTCGCAGCTACGACTCCTCCCCCAACCAAAAAAAACTAGCAAACTACTTCGTATACATTCATGCTTCATCCATCAGCAGATGCAAAATGAGAATCATAGAGCATCAATAGCCCTAGAATTGCGCTGTTGTTAGCTGGCGAGAGGCCGGTGACAGCACCCAAGGTCGTGTCAATCGCCTCATATCTCGAAACCGACAGGGTCAGCACTGAGCGACGCTGGAGGTTCCTCTCGAGCTCCGAAGCCCCCAGCTTCGACCAGAATCGCCTTTCTCCAGCGTAGAATCCTCCTCCCCGGAACTCCATCGTCCACTCGAGATGCGAATTAGTCGAGTTCTGGGCCGGTGGGAAATAGTGTTAATCCGCTCGCTGGACGCAGAAACAAAAAGCCGGATCTCCGCGTTGGCGCGACTCATCCCCAATGATGAAAGTATATCTTCAATTCCGAATCGCAGACGCTTGAGATCCTGTCCTTTTGCTCTTCTGTCGCGCGATCATGTTTGCTGAGTCCTGCTGCCAGCGCCGAGGACTCCTCGGCGCTAGCCCCTTCACTATGGGCTCCCCGCCCAGACAGTTTTTAGCCTGTAAAACCTTGCCTGCTGTCACTTCGCGTCCTTTCAATTTCCTCCCAAACTCTCTCTCCCTCCCTCCCTCCCTCTCATAACTACTCTCCGCCATCAACTCCCGGAGCACCGCTCCACCATCTACCTTTATAATTTTACGCGTGATCCTCGCAAAAGCAGACATAATGAATTCTCGCGAGCATTCGGATATGCCTCCAGCCACCTCTTATCCATCCCCGAACGCCGCGCAGATGGGACAGGGCGCCATGCAGTACTACACGAATCGCCAGTTGACGGCCGACGAACTTTTATCCGCTGAGCTTTCGCGCGAAACCTCCGGACAGGGCCTTGCTGATGGCTCGAATAACGGCGTACATCATGGCCAATCGATGGTTTTGGGCTCGTCGAACCCCGGTGGCGCGGAGATGGGTCGTCCGTCGTCGCCAGACCAGCATCAACAACAGCACATGCTGCAGTTCACCCCCAGCCAGCAGGTGGGCGTCGACCCGAATCACGACTTGAGCTATGGTGATCAGAGCGCTCGGAGGAAGAGGTCGAAGATCTCGCGGGCTTGCGATGAGTGCAGACGCAAGAAGGTAATAATACTATGGGTCTTTTTTTTTTTTTTTTTTTTTTTTTTTTGCTGTTGTGGATTGGTTCGCGCAACGCCACCGTGCCGTTCGAAGTGCTAACGCTACCCGTTACAAAGGTCCGTTGTGATGCGAGCTCCGAATCCGGGGTCGAGACTTGCTCGAATTGTCGCCGACTGGGCGTGGCCTGTCAGTTCAGTCGCGTGCCGATGAAACGGGGTCCCAGCAAAGGGTAAGACGCGCGCTTGTTGATCGATCATGCCGCAAAATAACAAGGAGCTGACATTAAGGGGGGGGAATAGCTACATCAAGGAACTCGCGGAACGTCTACATACCCTCGAGAGTCAGATGCAACCCGCCATGGTCCATCCCGACATGCCATACCAAGCTATGAACGAGGTGTCTCCTCCCAGGCCGTATCAGGATTTCTCGCCTCCAATAGATGCCGGTCCCATCGGTCGCAAGAGAACATATTCTGTTTTCGAGGGACTTCCGAGTGGATTGCCGACCACATCTTATTCCCAGCCTTCGTTCAATCCTCGAGGTTCTCAGAATGCGTTTGGTTCGTTCCCTAGCACTCCCACGCCCGCCATCGATGATACTTTGCTAACCATGCTAGACGCTGCGGAAACCTCGACAGATCCGATGAACCCATCGGTCATGAACAACGCCGCCCCCAAAGCCGGAAATCTGTTCTGGTCTCCTGGCAATGAGCATGAGCTTCCAGCCGGTATCGACATGCCCGATGTGTCCAAGCAGGGATTAGAAGAGGACATGACTCCCTTGGATCCGGATGAAGGAGCTCTTAATGCGTAGGTTTTCCTTTTTTTTTTCTTACCCTTACCCTGTAGGACTGTATGGAAACGTGCTGACTTGCACAGTTATTACACCAAGATCCATCACATCTTCCCGATCCTCCCACATTCAAAGGAACGCCTCTTGGAGATCCTTCATCAATGCAGCCGTGAGATTCAGGAGGTGTTTCTGTACGGTCTCTATACCGTTACGTGCACGAATTTGGATCGTGTTCTGAGCACCTTTGAGCGAGTGACCTCCTTCGATAATGCACAGGATCTTCTCTTGTACTACACTCGTCAATCGGTGCTGGTCCGTCCCACCGTGGTCAACCTCGTATGGCTCCAGACGATGCTCCTTATGATCTTGGACTGCGACTTAAGGGGTCCTGAGAACTTGGTTCTGAAGGATGGTGTACCCAAACATACTCTGATCCAGTCCGCCACGAAGCTCGGCTCCGACATGGCGAAGGACTTTGGTCAATTAAAAACCAAACGCTCCTCTGATGCTGACCTTGATTCGGATGCCAACCTGATCAGACGGAGCTGGGTCTCACTTACCATCATGGCTCGGTGGTACGCCATCAGTGTAGCCGACCCAAGCGTTCTGGTGAACCAGGCAATTGGTGGGCGAGAGGACGAGCGTGTTGTTGGTTCTGTTCCCATTGGACTAGGCGGTATGTGCATGACTCCTCTACTTGGTTCTGAATTTTCTGCTAACATAGATTCCTCAGCGTACTCTTCCTTCCTAATCGAGCTGACCACGCTGGCCGCCACGGAGCACAACGTCTGCCAAACAAACACGGGTCTAGGACGCGTCGTTGGGGCCAATCTGGTCGCGTCTCTCGAACGTCTGGGCGACATGGAAGATATCCGGAAGCCTCACGAGATCGACGAGGATGCAGGGTCCCAAGCCCTCTACGAGAGCCTGCAGAACCAACTCTACTGGACCATTCGGCTCCTCATCAAGCGCCACATCTTCGTCTACAGCCCTTACGAGATCATCTACAGCGCGGTCGAACTCATCAACGAGCTGCACAAGGCCACTTCCGAATCCCGCCCCACCACCCCCTTCGACCTTCACAGCTTAGCCCTCGCCTCCATGACCCTCCTCGAAGCCACCGCCCTTCCAGACCACGCGGCCGAGTGCTGGGACGCCCTCCGCAAGGTCGAGGAGATCCTCGACCTCCGCGCCAAATCCCCCACCGACGCCTCCCCAGAGTTTGCCTCCATCTTCGCAACCCCAAGCTGGGACTCCAAGATCCGCAGCTTCATCGACTGGCGCCGTTCCAAGTCCCAACAGGACTCCCAGCTCCACGACACAACCATCCTCGGCACCGGTAGACCCTCCGTCTCCGGCTCCTCCGCCGCGCCCCCGCCGCCCATGGGCCCCAACGAGCAGCGCTCCCTGCAGCACCTCGCCGACCTTGCCGTCGGTGCCGAGGGCTCCGTCGCCGCAAACCCGGCCTCACCGCCCCCGCTCGCCGCCCCCGAGAATCATCCCAGCACCACCTCCCCGCACCTTCCCGCGTCGCTGCAGGCGCCCGGCCGCGTCGTCGTCGACTTCACCCTCCTGACCAAGGAAGGCTACTTGAATGTTTTCTCGGGGTTGATCTACCGGCGTTCGCGCTAAGTCCGCACAGAGGGGGAACATGCGGTTGATTGTCTTGCTTGTGCTCGTTTGATCTCATCTCATATACTGTATTTGCGTCCTCGGCCTCGTTTAGCCCTGCTTGTATACCTATGACCTATTTCCGTGAAGGAAATATCTTCTTCGTGTTCTTATGTGGATCTGGCTGTAATTCTACTGGAAGTTATACGTCGCTTGGTAATGGAAAAGTCGTGTCATTATTCATTCTCTTCGAATATATTGCACTCGCTAAGTAAGAGTCGTGGCATTTATACCGTTTTTCGTAAGATGTTTTCTTTCTCAATCCCCCTGCTACCATGTATCGTTCTCCGAAATCGGGGTATATAAGCGTCAAATGCAACAAGGAAATAAAGTCAACTTGGATCATTTGCCAAATGCTATTCTCATCCATACTCCTTCAACATCCTGGCACAACTTAATGAAACCATCGTCTTCGATATGCTGACATATCCAGTTCTCCAGCCTAGCTGTTCGCTCGTGCGTAGGCGCAGAGAGGTACGTCGACAGGTCTGCGGCAAGAGAGTCATCCGGACGCAGCTTGTGAGGTTGAATGATGTGGTTTTCCACCGTGGGCGTTAGATCCTTGGCACCAATTGAGCAACTCGGCTGTTGAGAATCTTCCTGCTGAGGATGAGATACGGGGACAGGCGGGGGATGGGATGCTATAGGCTGAAGCAGCTGACTAGGAGGCTGATTGTTCACGCTGGGCCGGGGTGCTGAAGTTGCTGGCCGCTTTAGTGTACCAAGCCCCGGATTCGGAGTCCCCTTTCTGTTTGACGATGTCTTCCTGGGAGTTTGACTTGCAGGTGGTGCTGTTTCAACTCTGTAACTGCTCTGTGGGATATTAGTCAAGTTATGCATTTGCGGCAGGGTGGGTGGTTGCGCAGTAGTCCGTGCTCTCTTCGCGGTGGGTTTTGAAAAAGGCAATTCCCGTTTGGGTGGTAGAAGCTGATCCAGGGTCTTAATGTCAGAACAGGCTGGGGTAGTGGACGATACGGAAGCAACGTTGGTACTTCCAGCTCCAGTTCCAGCTCCAGTCTGCGGAGTATGTAGCTGTATAGTTCCGCGCTGTAAGCTTGCTTCGATGTTATTGTGGCTCATTCCGTCGAGGTCTGTAGCGGCAGTTTGAGCTGTACCAGAGGAGGACGGAGGAATAGATGACCCTGTCGCAAGTTTATGTTAGCAATGTGGCTGATGCTTCTTGTTGTTTGATCTTCAACTCTACCGGCAGTGATGCTTGACGCGGGTGCACTTATTGGAACTGAAGGCAATGCTCGGTAAATAGCCTCGCCGGTGTTGCCGGTGTACTGCTCCCTGATACCAGGTATAGGCGGTGCTAGCGTAGAGCTCCAATGCGATGAGGTTGGCCTTCGACTGAGCTGTGTTGCACCAACATTCGACTCTGAGAACGGGCACTTGATATCACTCAGAATTGCCAGAGCGGTATAGAACTCGCGATCGGAAGAGAACTTGAGCTGAAAACGACGAACCTGTTTCGAGATTAGAGATGCATTCTCATAGGATGAGGGAGGGCCGCGAACAACACCACTGCTTGTTGGATACTTCACTGCAAGGCAAGGCAGCTTGACAACGACGGCGAAGATAGGCCTTGAGTAACCGTTCTGGCCCGATCTGTTCTGACCTGAGGCTTCTCCAGCAAAGTGCGCAAGATCAACTTCCTCCTGTAGTCGCAGCGCTATCAGTGCCAGCCTCCAGTGTCATTACAGGGCGTAATGCAATACCAGGATATTTTGATTTTGCAGCACTCTCAGCAAGACCTGGCTCTGTGCTGAAGAAATCCCTCCTGATATCTTGTCGATATGACAATAGATCTCCCCATTGCTAAAGATATGGCTCCAGTTCAGCGGGCCATTGTGGTTGACTGCAGTAGTTGTATGAGAGAACTTGGCTAGAGATAACCGTGCGAGCTGTGTTGGCTCATAAGACCGCTGGGTTAAGTGATACATCTGGTAAAGGTTGAAGAATAGGAAGATGAATGAGAGGTGTGTAGAATGGTTTGTCTAGCTATGAACATGAAGTCTCATATCATCCTGGGCATCTAAAGGCATGGTCAAGTAAATATGAGTAGCGAAAGGAAGTGAACCGGGGAAGTATAAGCAGTACAGATTGGGAAGGAGCAGCATATATGGCCGGCCTCAGGCAGATATATATATATATTCATGCTTTGCCTTGTCGTCCATCCAACCACCACTGTGTTCAATTCCGTGTGTTGTGGAGCCTATGGCGAGGGGGGTATATGTCCTGAAATGAGAGAATTTTAGACTAGCTCATCAAATTACTCTGTCAAAGAACCACAAATAGAAATAGTGATACTACATGAAAGTTGCCGGTAAGATCGCATTGTTAGGGGTATGACAGTGGCCTGAACCCTAAGGCATTGGTATTATGTTTACTCAGCAAAGCAAACATACCAAACACATAATACCGCATTCGGCCGGAACAACCTGTGATCCGCAGACGCGCCTCAGGCCGCCGCAGGAGCAGCGCGGACTTTTTGCCTGGGATGCCAGAAACGAGCATCGCGGGATCAGCTTCTTTCACAGAGTGCCAAGGGCATTGACGCTTGAAGTCCAGTTGAGGTTGTCGCGAAGCGCTGTTCTACAACGCAAAGGAAACTGTGATTCTTTCCTCGGATCTTGGCCCTTGCAAAGCTCAGTATTCGTTGTATCCCTGTCGCATCCTCCATTGGTCTCCGATAGCTCCTCAATTCGCGGCCGATCTCTCTTCGCGGGGCGAGAATCGAATGACCTTCGCAAACATTCACCTCAACTTTGAAAGCGATTAACTCACGGTTAGATAGCCTGTCACATCTACGTCAATACATTTTCTCCTTTTCCCGACTCACCAAACCGGGTGGCTGGAAGCCTTTCTCCAACGGTACACGAGCGTGTTGGAAGACAAAAAAGAAGCTGCTTCTTTCCCAGAAGAGCGGAACAAGTGGATTATAAATCAATATCTGGTGTACTGCTGCTTGAGTCGACCCGGTCTGGGTAGAAAGTACCTCAGGCAGGCGCGCCCCTGTTCCCAAACACGCTGAGAATCGGACACTCTCCGGTTCATCACAATGTCTGCTAACACCCCTCGATCTTCTTTACGAGGCAAGTCTTCCGGGATTCGTGTTTTTTTGTATTGTCGCCTGTGTGGCTTGTTCTGACTCATTCGGTAGAGGGTTTGCGACAAGCACCCAAAGCCAATCAGCCTTTTATACCTGACACTGCACCCGTACGACGATCACACATTCACGCGCATCAATCGCCACAGCCAGGTTCAGCTCATCTACATTCCCACACCCCGGTCATGTCGGTCGGCTCGCAGGGCACGTCGGAGAATTGGGAAGGGAGGGATCAGAGACATGTGCCTATGTCCACTCGGGAGGTAGCAACGCCTGGAAACAGACCCGGCCTGTTTACGACCCTGCACGACAGAGGGAAAGTGGCCAAACAACCAGATTTCTATGATCCTTATTTCCCGCTCAAGTATCTTGAGGTACCCAAATGTATGTGGATTCGAGTCATCAACCTCACCTTGTGGAAACAGTTGACTAACTGGCAGTCGGTAGCGGATCATATTTACAAGAGGGCCCATTATGGATTACAGTCTGGAATTGCTGATGAAGTCGATTTCGCGCTCTATCATCTCGTGCAGATTTCTAATCAGCGGTGGGACAAATTCAAGTTCGAGGGCTTCCCTCTGCTTGCGGAGAACCTCATGGAAAAGGCCTTGGATATCTCCCTGGTCACAACCGGCGTGAAGTGGAAGCCTCGGTATGATTTTCGGCAATCTACCGACCGCGTCAATGTGTTGAACTCTTTACACGGCACACGGGATCTCTTGGAGAAGATCAAGCAAATACCCGTCACCTTGCCCCAAGATACCCTCGAGACGTACGAGTTCAATCATCAACTTCGCAACATCAAAGAAGCCACCTTGGTTTTGCGAAACATGGTGCTCCTGAAAGAGAATGCATACTATGTATCGCGGTACGCCAACGGACTGTTACGGGATTTTCTGGTCATTATGATCAACATGCCCAATCAGCCTCGTCTTAACGAGATCAAAAATGATGCTTTGGACATTGCGGAAGAGGTCACTAAGTTTATGAAAACAGACCCAGAGGACCCGCTTTGGATCTCGCTTCTCAACTGCCTCGAATCGCCCGATCGTGCGCATGTGGTTCGTGCGCTTTGGGCCCTCACCCATTTCTCGACCGAGTTGGATGAGCCTGAGGCCAACCGGGCAATGGAACGGATACCAAAGGAGACTCTGCAGCAACTATACTTCCACACTCTTCTGGATATGGACAAAGACATTTTGAGCGGTGCGCTGGACTTTTGGTACCAGTATACGCTCTCTTCCGAAAATGTTGAAACGCTCATTGAAGTGTTCAATCTACCCACAGTCTTCGTCCCCCGAATGGTTGCATTGTTGACGCATGAAGGTCGACCCAGCAAGAAAGAAACCGTGTTGCAGGAAGAGAAGGTTGCGCCGCCCCCGTCGGAGATTCCTCGAGTCCCATCCGAGCTTATGAAAGACTTGATGGAGTTATCAGAACCTGAGCGCAGCTCGCGCTGGCTCCGGTGCTGCTTTATCGAAGATCTTGATTGTGAGATTACTCAGATTGCGCTGTGGCAGGCATACCAGAGTAGATTTGCCGATCCTCGGCTTCCTGGTGGTGGTGTTCTCCCTGCAGCGGAATTCATCAAGAATGTGAGTACCACCTTCACCAACGCGCAGGCTCAAGTGATCAACGGTCCTGGCGCTGCCACCAAATTCATCATCAAAGGCATCCGACCCCTGGAGACTGCCCACACGTTCCAGGGCTTTCCTTATCTGTACTGCAAATGGGCAGATAATGCCACCCCGACCAAGACGTGCCAGCGCGCATTCCCCAGTCCTACGGATCTTCGTCACCACGTCTTCACAGAACATATGAATCTTAAGCCGACGGAAACTCCGGGACACTACAATTTGGACAATGCGGAGTCGGCGGTCCACACTTGTCAATGGGATAACTGTACCAAGTTCCGCTCATCGGGGCCCAGTGCTAACACTGCGATGGTCGCCGGCCACGTTTCCGCGCACTTACCCGAGGAACGTCCCGCGGATGCAGAGCCATCGAGCTCGAAACGCGCAGTGCTGCAGGAGCGCATTGTCCGTAAATGGTATTACCTGGATACGCCGGTCAACGAGAGGGGCGAGCCCTTCGGCGTGGCCTACAAGGCAGCGTTGGTCCTGCGGAATCTGGCCCGGAATCTTCCTACGGGGATTGCCTCACAGTATGACGGGCTGCCGTGGAAGAAAGCGGTTTTCCTCAGTCACCGGCCGAAGATCATCGAAGCATGGGACCGGAATCGGTCATTACGCAAGGAACTTACCGAGCTGATAATGGTAATAGAGAAGGAGGATTACTACTAAGATGCTGGACGAGAAAGAGCAAGAATATAACCTACGAGATTTCCGAGAGGCGTTTCTTACATCATTCCTAACTTTTTCGCCTTCCACCATTCTCTATTCCTATGCTAATTGTGGTTCTGGGTTTCCCTGCATGGTTATGGTTGTACAATAATACCCTTTTTTTTTTTCTTCTCTCGATGATGTCTGTTTCAATTCGACGTATGTGGCGACGCTGCTTGTCTTGTCTTGTCTATCACCGAAGGGTTATCTGAGGTGTATCCTGGACATCGATGACCGTAGTGTAGGTGTTCTGTGCTTCCGAAGGTTGGGGCAGAGAACACCAAGGTTAAGTGAACAGTGATTGGGGTCGTCTGGGTGTGGAGGTAAGGCAGAACTGGAGAGTGGCAGCATCGCGTCTTCAGTGACAGGTGTACCATATGTAAAACACAGACCAGAATCAGACTCAGGTTTTGATAGATCGAGTTTACGGTGTATAATGATCTTGCGAAGTTCCAGACCAGAGTTTCTGAACATGGCCCTTGCACTCAGAAGCTGAGCCATCTAGCCCACAGCACCGCTCCAAGTAGACATCAGCGAGTAGTCAATGCTCTCATACAAATCGCCGATGAAATCCTCGTAGTTCGTCCACGAAGCCTCGCCGGCGTCGCCGAGCCCCGCATCCCCGGACTCCATCGCATCCCACACACTGAGCCACGGGCTGATCCCATCCGACGGCGCGAGAGAGACAGTGGCCGTCTCAGCAGACGACGACGCGCCGCCATCCAGACCCGTGGGCAGCGGCGCCGGGAATCCGCCACTCAGCAGCTGTGCTCTCCGCGCTTGCGCGCGCGCCATGATCTTCTCGATGGGTTTCCAGAGAAGACCCCTCCGGGTATCGGCGACGAGCCCGCCCAGGCGCGCGAACGCCGCCTCGACGGGGGGCCAGTAGCGGTGCATGAGCGCTGGGTCGTCGCAGACGCAGAGCTCGGCGATAGCGACGGCGAGGCCGTGCCATGGGACGAAGAGGTGTTCGATCCAGCGCCAGGGGCGGGAGCGGGGGTCGGCGACGAGGTTGTGGGAGCGCTGGAGGACGGTGGTGGCGAGGCTGAGGAGGCTGTCGGCGCGGACGCGGGGCGGGACGAAGCTGGTCGTCCGCTGGAGGGGTCGCAGGGAGATGAGCTGCAGGGCGGCAGCGGTGCACTGGGCGACTTGGTGGGCCATCCAGTGGAAGGGGATGCGGTCGGGGGAGGCGGTGTGGAGGAGCCGGGATGCGGTGTGTTTGAAGTCGAGGACGAGTTGTTGGCGGAGGGTCATGGATTTGACGGCGGGTTCGGTGAAGTCGGAGAAGCTGAGGGAGCGGGCGACAGATTGGGCTTTGAGGATGATGAGGGTGAAGGTCATGTCGGTGAAGGCGTCGGAGTCCGGGACGGGGTGGTTCATGTCGAATTCGATGTCGGTGTCGTTGACGTTGGCGAGCGGGTGCGATTCGAACCAGCTGGCTTGCATGATCGGCTCGGATGCGCGGTCCATGGCGGTTTCTATGTCTAGGAAGCCGATTGCGTGCCAGAGGCGTCTGCGCATCTCTCGCTCGAATGGCCGCATGGGGAACGGCGGCTCCGGGATGTGGAGAGACAATGCTTGTGCGATACGGACGGCTAGGCCCAGGAGGGTCCAAGCCCGGCGGTTTTGGTCTTGGGACCGGGACGCCATCTGGTTGGAGTATCAGTAAACCCATTGTATGGTTCATCGGTTGGGGGGCAGGTTAAGTCCGTACCAGAGAGAGGACGAAGGCTTGTAGGACTGTGAGATCATTGGTCATTACATAGTCAGCTCTTGCCAAAGCTGACTCTAACTCCTTCTGAAGCCCTGGAATCAGCTGTTCCTTGTCGGTCCTGAGTAGACGGGCGCATTCGTCTTCGTCCATTGTGCAAGCCGCAGCATAGTAAACGGCACAAGCAAGCGCTTTGGGTGCTGGGTGTCCCGGTTCATAGTCAAGATAGGCCTTATCCTCTATGAGAAAGACGCTCAACGAAGGAAGATGCAGAATCTTGAAGAAAGGATCAACTCGCTGGACGTATAGTTGGAACAGCTTCTTCTCATGTGGTCCGTGTTCGTAAACAGCTCCAGATCGAGCCCTGATAGATCGGAAGTAGTTTTTTGATCACTGAGGCCAACAACTTGCGGGATACCAGAGCCACCACGAGACAGACTGGGCCTCGAGACCTCTGCAGAGATGATACCTGCAGCAGCATGGTACCCCAGGCTATTTACACCCCCCGTGTGCAGCGAGTCTCCACAATTGGGAGTCGCAGGCGAAGACACATTCTCCGCTATGCTGTCCTCGGGGGCACCGGTTAGATCTCGAATCAGCTGCTCCAGCCTCGATACTCGCCTCGTCAGGCCCCTTGCCACTTCGGACTCCAGCGCATGATGGCCTGCTCGCTTCCCGCTCCGGCCGCGTGGTAGACGCGGCCGTTCTACAGGGACGCATGGAACGCCGGCGCGGGAGCAGTTGGCGCAGGGAAGGCGTTTGTCACACTTTTTCTTGCGCCTGTGACATGCTTCGCAACTCAAGCGTACTTGATGTTTGGAAACAGAAGTGTTTTGAAACGCATCGTCTGATGCGAGTCTCCGTTGATGGCGATCTGCCATCATTCGCAGTGTGATACGAAGAGATGCCTTCTCTGTGAGTGGCTGCTGCCTGAGGCATGAGCGTTGACTAAGCCTTCTCACAGCTCCAAAATCCAAAAGTCGTCAAATCCTCTAACAAGCTGTCGATATTCTATCTTACACGATCTACCAGCCCGGCAGAAGCTCAGGTTCGGTGCCCAACGATTCTCTCCCAAGTCCCAACTATCTCCGTCTTATCCTTCTTCCTGCTAGTTGCTAGCTCTGAGTTATGCTGTGTTTAATCATGAAGCGGGCACAGAACACATGAAGAGCCATTGCCGCTAGACTCAAGAGAGTAAGTGATAGTGGAGGGACGAAAAAAAAAAAAAAAAAAAAAAAAAAAACCCCCCCCTTTAGACTCGACTTTTTTTTTTCCTCCTCCTCCTCCTTCTCTTCTCTTCTTCTTCTTCTACTTCTTCTTCTCCTCCTCCATCTATCTCTCTTCTCTTTCTCTCCTTCACACTCTCTCATTCCTTTCTTGTTTTTCTTTTTCTTCTTCTGTTGATTTCTGTGATACCCCCCTTGAGCTGTTTGTCTTCTTGCAGGCAGCTCAATTAGTCCTATAGAAAAAAACCTTTCGTCAACAACAGGGCTAGAGACAACCCCGCCATTTGAGAGACGTACATATTCTTTTTCTTTCTTTCTTTCTCTTATTCTTCAGAGGAGCCTCTGTTCCATATCATCCATCATGGATCAACAGAGATTCTTGCAGCAGCTTCAGATTGTCTTGAACCGTGAGTACCTCTGATCGATATCGCCGAGTGTGTGTGTGTGTGTGTTTGCTAGCCGAAGAGGACGATGATGCTGACTGACTGGAATTAGCTGCCCAGGGTAACGTCAAGGAAGCTACGGGGATTCTCCAGCGGGAGTTCTACAGCAAGCCCGACTCTCTGGTTCTTCTCATCCAGATTGCCACTGGTCATGAGGATCCCAACCTGAGACAGCTCGCCGCTGTTGAGTCTCGGTCGCTGGTCAACAAGCACTGGGTTAAGGTCCAGGCTGCCCAGAAGCCTCAGATCCGAGAGCAGTTGCTACGCTCGACCATGAGCGAGGGTTCCTCGCTGGTACGTCATTCCATTGCCCGCATCATCTCTGCGATCGCTCGTGTGGACCTGAATGATGGCGAATGGGCGGAGCTGCCCAACTTCCTCATCCAGGCTGGTAACAGCGGGAACAAGGATGAGCGTAGCGTTGCGATCTACATCCTCTTCACCATTCTGGAGACTCTTGGCGAGAGCCTTGAGGAGAAGTTCTCGGATCTCTTCGCGCTGTTCAACAAGACCATCCGTGACCCCGAGAGCGAGGAAGTCCGCACCAACACCCTTCTGGCTCTGGGCAGGCTTGCCATGCACCTGGACTCCGACGAGGATGTGGCTCCCGTCAAGGCCTTCCAGGACCTTGTCCCTTCCCTGGTGGCCGTGCTGAAGGAGTCCATCGACCAGTCGCAGGAGGATCGGGTGATGCAGGCCTTTGAGGTCTTCCAGACCCTTCTTGGCTGTGATCCTGCTCTTCTCACCGTTCACCTCAAGGATCTTGTGATCTTCATGAACGAGCTGGCTGCGAACACCGAGGTCGATGAGGACACTCGCACCCAGGCCATCAGCTTCCTCATGCAGTGCATCCAGTACCGCAAGCTGAAGGTCCAGGGCATGCGCCTTGGTGAGCAGCTCACCCGCACCGCTCTGCACATTGTCACCGAGCTCGGTGATGCCTCCGCGAGTGATGACGATATCACACCCGCTCGCTCGGCTCTTGGCCTGCTCGATATGCTCGCCCAGAGTCTGCCTCCCAGCCAGGTCGTCGTTCCTCTTCTGCATGCTCTGGGCCAGTACTTCAACAGCGAGAACCCTGATTATCGTCGCGCTGGTATCATGGCCCTTGGCATGTGTGTCGAGGGTGCTCCGGATTTCATCAGCACTCAGATGAAGGACATCTTCCCCATGGTGCTGCAGCTGCTCGCTGACCCCGAACCCAAGGTTCGCCAGGCTTCGTTGCATGCCGTCGCTCGTCTGGCCGATGATCTCGCCGAAGATCTCTGTGCCGAGCATGAAAGAATCATGCCCCTGCTCTTCAAGAACCTTGCCAGCGCTATGCAGGAGTACAAGGGTGAGGAGGATGGCCCGACCATCGATATCATGAAGGCCGGCATCAGCGCCATCGACGCTGTCGTTGATGGCTTAGATGAGAAGGACGTTGCTCCTTATCAAGGCGAGCTGGTCCCCATTCTCCACAAGCTCTTCAAGCATCCCGATTTCAGAATCAAGGGCCTGACTGCCGGAGCCCTGGGATCCCTGGCCTCCTCTGCTGGCGATTCTTTCCTCCCTTACTTCGACGAGTCCATGCACCTTCTGCAGGAGTTCGCTGCCGTCAAGGACAGCGAGGAGGAGTTGGATCTCCGTGCCAGTGTCACCGACGCCATGGGCGAGATGGCCGCGGCGGCCGGTGCTGAGCGTTACCAGCCCTACGTCGAGCCCCTCATGCGTGCCACCGAGGAGGCCCTCCACCTGGACCACTCCCGCCTCAAGGAGAGCACCTACATCTTCTGGGGTGCCATGTCCAAGGTCTACGGAGAGCACTTTGCTCCCTTCCTCGATGGTGTTGTCAAGGGTCTTTTCGCTTGCATTGAGCAGGACGAGACCGATCTCGACGTCTCTCTCGGCGAGGCTGCCAAGGATCTTGTTGGCCAGGAGGTGATTATTGCCGGTCGCAAGGTCAAGGTCGCCAGCGCTGACGACGACGATGAGCCCGTCGGCGAGGACGGCGGCATCGAAGATGTCGATCTCGATGATGAGGATGCTTGGGATGACATCACTGCCACCACTCCCCTTTCCCTCGAGAAGGAGATCGCTGTTGAGGTCATCGGTGACCTGGTCACCCACACCAAGAGTGCCTACCTGCCCTACTTCGAGAAGACCATTGAGGAGGTTCTGCCCCTGGCTGAGCATCCTTATGAGGGTGTGCGCCGCAGCACCATCAGCACTCTCCACCGCTCCTACGCCATGCTCTTCGCCATTGCTGAGGAGACGGGCCAGATGGCCAAATGGCAGCCCGGTCTTCCCCTCCAGGTTGAGCCTGCCAAGGAGGTGAAGAAGTTCGGCGAGATCCTCATGACTGCCACCATCCGGATGTGGACTGAGGAAGATGATCGGTATGTACATTTGTCTTTTTTTTTGGCTTTTTCATATTTCTTTGTTCCACACAAGCACCCAATTTTCGATGATGAACACACTCGTTTACCCAGCTCACTCAGATGCGCAAAATGCGTACGTGATGTGATACACGATTTTCCAACGTAAACTGAGAAAATGCTTCCACATTTACTATTTGATTGATCATGCATATCTGTGTCGACGGATGCTAACCAATGGACACAGCGCTACCGTGGCTGATATCAACCGCAACATGGCTGAGAACCTCCGCTACTGCGGCCCCTCTCTGATTGCCAACGAGACCACTCTCCAGAACCTCATCCAGATGGTGACGGACATCATTACCAAGAAGCACCCTTGCCAGATCGAGTTCGGCCCTGAGGAGGAGACTCTTGAGGCCGGTGAAGAGAGCTCTGAATTCGACTGGGTTGTCGTTGACACCGCCCTTGATGTCGTTTCTGGTCTCGCCGCTGCATTGGGCGAGAGCTTTGCCGAGTTGTGGAAAGTCTTTGAGAAGACCATCCTCCGCTACGCTGGCAGCACCGAAGCGTTGGAACGTGCCACTGCCGTGGGCGTCCTGGCCGAGTGCATCAATGGTATGGGCGGTGGTGTGACCCAGTTCACCCGCACTTTCATGAAGCTCCTCATTCACCGCCTGGGTGATGAGGATCCCCAGACCAAGTCCAACGCTGCCTATGCTGTTGGCCGTCTGGTTGAGCACTCCAACGCGGATGCTGAGCTCATCAAGGAATACCCCACCATCCTGTCTCGCCTCGAATCCTGTCTCCAGATGAAGGTTTCTCGCCTGCAGGACAATGCCACTGGATGTCTCAGCCGCATGATCCTGAAGCACCGCGAGAGCATCCCCCTCAAGGATGTCATTCCCGTGCTTGTCACTATCCTCCCCTTGAAGAACGATTACGAGGAGAATGATCCCTTGTACCGCATGATCTGCCAGTTGTGTATGTATCCTCAATGTCCATTAATCAGCAACATCAGCTAATCTGTCTACAGACAAGTGGGAAGACCCTACTATTCGGGAGCTCACTCCTCAATTCCTCCCCATCTTCCAGTCTGTCCTCTGTGGCGATTCGGATCAGCTTGAGGACGAGCGCCGGGCCGAGCTCATTGAGCTTGTCAAGTGGCTCAACCAGATGCAGCCTGGTGTTGCTCCCTGGGCCGAGCAGCTGTAATCGCCTTGCACGACCTCTTTCGATTTGATAACGGCTTGATGACTTCAACACCCATACCTGAATACCTTAATGAATAGAGCCCATGCCACAGAGGCAGGACATTATGGACGACACTTAGACGATACCCCGGAGCGTTCCTTCTTCCCCACCAAGATGCTTAGACGTGCTGGATTGGGTACGCGCAATGAATTATGAATTGAGAACAACAAAAGTTTGTCATTGTACATATTTTTGGACCTACTTGAACGCGGTGGAGGATCTTATCCTCGATATTCCCATACCAAAGACATCTCCTCGTAGCCTTGACTGTAACCGTTGTCCTCGGCCGCTTATCAACCCGGATTGGGTCACCGCGCAATGGCAGCCTGGATCCGTGCCTCTGATCGGCCAATTTCCCTTCAGCGCGAACACACTTCCCTACGCCCCTGGAGTCCTATCGGCGCACCGCGTCGTCCAGCAGTGTCACCGTATGCCTCTAAACCAATTCCGGCGTCCCCTGTTCCTGATACTGCGCGAGAACCGTCCTCCTTGGCCGAGAATCCCCCCCTTCCAGTCCAGCAGATACGCTCCGCTTCCCACCTCCCCGCTCATGCCCGTCGCCACATCGCCCGCCTCAGGCGGGACGACGCCCTGTACCGCGGTTCCCTCCCTCGCGGGATACCGCGCGGAGCTCAGATGGAACAGATGGCGCTCGCCGCTCTCGCGCAGACGCACAGAGGACGGACACATGAGTAGCCACAAGGCGTAGTTGTAGAACATGGAGACGGGCGCGGGGAAGCTGTTGGAGTAGATGTTGGTGCCGACGAGGCCCGGGTAGGGGCGTGGATAAAGCTGACGGCTGAGTGGGTGCGGGCGAGGTGCTCCACGCTCAGCGACGAGACATCATTCTCATAAGTATCTCAATTGAAAACCATTGCTGTCATCGTACAGCCAGCATGATAATGCCGCCATGGAGCACTACCACAGAGGTCGTGCCAGTCAACGCATATTAAAGAGTCTCCTGCATCAACGCCCTTGGGTAGTGAGCTAACTGCCTTAGATATATAGCGCTTCCCCATGCTCAGAATGGTTTCATATATCTAAGCATACTGGATGCTTTCTTTACAATAGATATTAGATTGTATCTATACAATGGTAGTGTAGGCCTATGGGTGCCTCAGCACTCAGGAGACTAGACAGACGCCCATGACGTCAGTGGTAATTGACGGCCTGAGGCAGCAACATGCAGTAAGATGTATTTGTTGTAGCGACACCCAAAGCTATGCTATGCTGCCATATCAACATCCTGTAATGAAAAAGAGGGATTGGGCATTTAAGTCATACTCACTTATAGTCTCCATGAATATTGGGATGGTATTGTGATTGAGCAGTCATGCTTGGGCTGTGTGTTGATGGTTGATCCTATTCAATTGCTTCTTTTTTTAGCGCCAGACTTGGCTGCCTGTTGTTGTTTTAGATGAGCCAAGTGACAACTATTTATCCTGTTGAATCCCAGACCGCAACTCTCTGTTTGTTCAACCTCACCTCTACTTACTCTATAGCAGTTCAGATCCACCAAGCTCCTATAAGTGAGTCCATCTACCCCTTCCAAATCTCACTCTCCTGAAAAGCTTCTCAGAAATCGACTAACAAAGACAAATTACGTCACAGATCTCAATCTCTGTGTCTATCAGCATCCGGATACTCTCTCTTCCTCCAGAAGTCAACACTCGAGACTCCATTCACTTGAGCAAGTGGAAACAATGGCCGCAGGTTCCATCTCCTCACCTATCAACTGGGTGCTCCCGTCCTCCAGCTCCAGCTCCGGTTCCTCGATCAAAAAGCCCATCAAGACCGTTTCGAAACCATGCTTTGGATGCGATTGTGGGGATGAAGAGTGTGACTGCTGCATCTGCACTGTGATGTGAAAAAATTATACCTGCGAATTTTTGGTGGGAAATGGATGGGATGGCTGGGTGAATATGGTGTGATGGACGAACTGCTTTGTGGTGATGATTGATATGATTGATATCCTTTGTCTGGTCTGATTGATCCAGCTATATAGCGTTGTTATGGATGGCATGTTTTGTCCTTTTATTGATTAGTCGGAAGCTTCCTCATTCCTTGTCTTTATATTTAGCTCTCTCACACACACACACACACTCTCTCTCTCTCTCTCTTTCTCTCTGAGTCATCAAAATAGGGTTGCCTTGAGCCGCTGACAAATCTGCCTGTTGCACACTCTCTTATCTTTGTCAGCGGCTTTCGGGGTTTTCGATCTCTTCCTCTCCTCCGCCTGCTTATAGATCGATGCCCCGCGCGACGCCGCTGCCGGCCTAATTCAAGCTGGGCTTTTAGCATTTTATGCTTAAATCGATAAGATTCAAGACCGCATTTACGTAGAACAGCCAGCCACTTGGGGTCATACCCGAGAGGTACGTCAGCAGTCAGCACCAGATGTCTCCGTCTCCGGCCTCAGGCGCGGATGAGTCTCGCGGCGCGCAGACTTCGACAAGGCGCACTACCAGAGCATGTGATTCATGTTATAAGCGGAAGGTATTCTTACTGCCCTTTTTTGGGGAAAAAAGAAAAAAGAAAATAAAAACCGTGTATGCGGCTTACATATCATCATACTGACCACGGGGGGATGTAGATCAAATGCGACGCCGCGGTGCCGCAATGTAACTGGTGTAGCCATCATGATATACCATGCACATTCGAAAGAGTCGTTCGAAGGAGGCGGAAAGAGAGCACGGAAGCGTATGTCAATGAATTTACGCCCGTGTTGAGCATCAAGGGCTAACGCGTAGCAGACAACACAAGAGCTCGCGGCTCGCGGAGCGTATTAGCAGAATAGAGAAGCTGCTGTCGGAGAATCTCCTGAGAGAATCAGGTTTGTGAACTCGTCTCTCCTACCTAGAGACTTGGCATTTCCTTACCCGTGCTGTCAGTGCCGAGTCTGTCACCGAGCAGTTCGGAGCTCGAGTCACCACTACCTCCCCCACACCCTTTCCAGTGGTCTGGATCTTCCGCCGCAGCGCTGCATTTCGCAGGCCGGGAGTTGGGCGTCACCAGCCTGATTACGGGAATCCCGTTTCTGCTCCCAGAAGGCCGAGAATGGATTCAAGCACGCACTGGACAGCGTATGACCCTCGACAAACCTGGCTATGCCCGACCACTATGGGAGAAACAGAGTGCATCCAATCCGAACCGGCATTTGGCCAATATGCAGCCTCATGATCTGTATAACCTCCCGGATCGACAAATCGTCGAGTGTCACCTCAACATCTTCCGAACCACCCTGATGCAGCGAGTCTTCCCAATCGTGGACCCAGTCTTGTTCACCGAGACGATTGATGCCGCGTACTCGCAGCCCAGGGCTGGCCTGGAACGAGCTGACGTGCGGGCCTGTCTCTTCTCTTTTCTTGGCTTTGTTTCCATGCTCCAAGTACCGGAATACAAGAATCGACCCTTGGATCTGCCGCCCCTGGACAGCGAGAAACTCGCCGTGACGGCACAATGCCTGATTCCCCAAATTCTGCGTGGGGATGCGACTATGCAAGGACTGGAAGCGGTAACCATTATGGTGAGTGTCATCGATCTGACTCACAGTCCATTGTTTCTCTGCCGCTGGAAAATAGAGCTAATTTGTTCGAGTAGGCGCTCTTTGAACTGGTGACAGGGAATCTGCGAACCGCCAACCACTACGGCTCCATCGCAGCACGACTATTGTACATACTAGGGGGCCATAAATTTCCCCCTTCACCAAAATTTTACCCGGTCTCGCCTGCAGAGCAACTGGAGTACCGGAGGAAGTGGCATGTGAGGAATCTGTTCTGGCTTTCCTACAGTATCGAGAAGGATGTTTCCCTCCGGACAGGGCAGCCCGAGGTCCTGAACGACGAGAATTGCGACTTGACCTTACCCTCCGGATATGTAGAGCAGTTGTACGTCAGTCTCGGCATCCACCACCATTCCCAGGAACTGCCCGAAGCTCCAATGTTCCCCGTGGACCTCCGGCTGAGCATTATCAAGTCGCGCGCCTACAGCGCCCTATACTCCTTCCGGGCACTTCAGAAGACAGACGCAGAGGTTCTCAAGGAGATCCGCGAGCTGGACGACGAGCTCGAACGATGGCGGATCTCGGTGCCGTCCGAATGGCGGCCGACTCTCTCTTTCTCCCACGAAACCCCGGACCCAAACGTCAGCATGCACTCGGTGATGCTCCGGCTGAACTACCACCTCTGTATGACAATCATCCACCAAGCCAGCAGCAGATGCAAAGCCTGGGTCGAGGGCCACGGCGGGATGATCGAGGGCGTCAGCTCCAGCCTGGCCCTGTCGGTCGAAGCGAGCCGCTCGACTTTGCTCTACCTGCAGGCAGCGGAGCACGTCCTCGTCGACGGCGTTTTCTGGTATGTTTTCTATTCCTTTTTTTTTTCTTTTTCTCTCCCCCCCCCAATGCATGTATTCCAGTCCCGTGTCCCGCTAAACACCCTTGCCTCAGGACCCTCATTTTCTACCCCATGTCCGCTCTCATCTCAATCTTCTGCAACATCCTCCAGAACCCCATCGACCCGCAGGCCACCAAAGACCTCGGGCTTCTGCAGGCGGCAACGAGTATCATGGAGCGCGTCTTCCTGCGGCAACTGTTTTCCATCGACGAGGTGGTCCACATCAAGCAGGTTGCCGATTTCGTGACCGAGCTGTATCGGCTCGCGGTCTGCGCGGTCGAAAAGGCTGTAAAGGAGCGCGATGAAATGGTCTAGGGAAAGGACTACTTGGGCTTTTGTTTCATTGCTCTATGGGCTGCTTGCCGCTCTGCGGTGGCGGGGCGAGGGGGAGGTTGGAATGTTACACGGCGCTGGGTTTGGGTATATTGGGCTTTTATGGTGATATGGGTTTCAACCACTACTGGAAAGTATCTACGTAGGACAAGTTGCTAGCAAGGGTCTCGAGTTCAAAGATAACATATTCTTGATTCATTATATCATAATGTAGACTGCACTATATGATGACCTAGAATAACTGACCACAAATGTTAGCGATTGATTCAAGTTAATCAAGTGGAAACGCAGCAAAGTGATCATGTCCAAGCTTCGGAAGCTTGTTTTCAGATTAAAATGCACAGATGGAATCAAAAAAGCACAATTGTACTTTCATATGGGGTTGAAACAAAGATAATGGCATGTTCATCATCTAAGAACAGATTGGGAGATGGTGGAAGTGAGACTTACCCATGAATCTCGAGCGATTGCGTTGCTTGGTGCGTTAGCAAATGATCGAATAATTAACCGCGGGAATTGACAATCCTATAATCAATTAATAGGATCATGCATGTTCCTCGGTCGTTGGTCGTTGCTGTGAAGTCCGAAGATTGGATTGGACACAGAAAACGAAGCCGTTCTCGAAAAAATTCGCGGGGGATTTAAACACGCGAAATTAGTGCAGCACGTGACTTTCGGGTAAATACATCTCCCGACCAAGCTCGACATGCGTATGTTGACCGCCTTGGCTGCTTGTCGAAACATGCGGAATGGCTCCACAAACATGAGTGTCACAGTTGTTGCTTCAATCAAAGGATTTGAATCATGTGGATGGATCACAAGAGTGAGGTTTGATGCTTAGGAAGCATGCGTACTGTACTGGCTTAGCGTAGGGCCCGACAGTGACCACGGTGCGCAAGTGTGTAGTGTTCCGCTCCGAAAGCCACAAGACTCTCTTCGTAGAGAAGCTTAATCGATTTCGCCGAGTATATCCCAAATGAGCCCAGAGTCTTCGGCAGCTCTTTTGTTCGACGTATCGTCCTTTTTGGTGGCCTTACTGACCGATTCAGCTGCGGAATCCACGTCAACTCCTTGAGCTTTCAACTGATCCAGAAAGCCCTTGATCTCCGTATGCAATTTGTCCATCTGTTCGATTTCTTCTCGGCTTCGTTTGAGCTGCTCCTCCATCATCATAATTAGGGACTCGCGTGCTTGATGTGGTCGGTAGAGATTCAAGAGATGATGCGCGTTGATAAATAGATTGCGCAAATCCTCCACTTTGGCCTGGAATTGCTCCGGGGCTACGGAGAGGACACCCACAAACTCCAGGAAGTTCAAGAGCAAAGATTTGCTAATTTTTAAAAGATAGTAGGCGTGATTGAATGGACGAGAGGGTTGTGACGGGGCTTCGCGGTCTGTTTCTGTTGGGGGTGATGGGTAGAGCTGTTCGATACCCTGCTCTTGTAGAGAGGGGAGAGCCGTGGAGAGCTGTCAATAACTTTATCAGTCAAAATTCTATCCAGCGCCTGGGTGGAAGATCATACACTTTGTAATTCCCCAAACACGCTATAGTGTCCTTTGGTGGGAATCTCTGGTGGCACGAGGAAACCGAGCTCTGGTGATAGATCGAGGGCGCGCAGCTCGGCAGGCGTCCAGTCTTTCCTCCGCGCTTTGCCGTCTTCTCCTTTCGAGGCCTCTCTCTTGATCTCCTCCAGTTTCTTGAGATTGCCCGGAGTAAAGTGCTTCCAGAGAGGCGGCGGTGGAGCAAAAGCCGTTGGAAGCGCTCTTGGTTGTCCAGCTTCGGCCATGGTCACAGATATAGAATTATTCAATTTCAATGCAATCTATGGAAGCCGCCGGGGTTCAAGATAGCCTTGTCGGTAGTCGAGATCAGCCCAATGACGGCCGCGGGCAGAAGAGTGGAATGTGGTCAACGGGGAAGATGCGGAGAATGGCTTGCCATAACGTGAGGAGTGGCCCGTGCTTTCAACAAAGGCGGCCAGATTGTGGCTTGCTCGTGTTTCTCAACGGCCAACTGGTGCTTCCTCAAGCTCTTATCCTTTCACTTTGTGCTTGCGACTTCCCACCGAGCTTTACGACATGTGCATGAGGGGCTTGACTCTCATGAGTGATTTATTTGAGTGAAGACCGCAGAAATGCCTCGCAATGGCTCGGCGACGGGCCCGAAACCGACCGGAGTGCCGGGCATCCTGGCTCGATTCTATCAGCGCTCCTATCCAGCGGTCGACTATGTCGCTCTGGCATGCTTAGCGGGGATTTGGGTTATGGTAGTCTTCTTCTCTCCTTGTATAAGTTTTGTGGACCGGGCTGATGGCTTTTATCACAATAGATCCAACTCTTCGTCGACCCGTTTCATCGCATGTTCTCTCTTGACAACCGATCAATCCAATATCCTTTCGCCGTAGTGGAAAGAGTACCCGTGTGTGAGCATATCTACAATCTATGGCACGCTCACTGAATGCTCATGTTACTTAGTGTGGTCTATCATATACGCAGGACTGATTCCGCTTCTGGTCATCATCTGCTGGGCTGCTGTCTTTCGGCCTAAGCCTTATCAAGTCCAACTGACCGTATTGGGCCTGCTCGTCGCTCTCATGCTGACCTCGTTGATCACGGATATTATCAAGAATGCGGTGGGAAGACCCCGCCCGGATTTGGTTTCGCGCTGTGTGCCCAAGAAGGGCACTCCGGGCAATGCGCTGGTCGCATGGACGGTCTGTACGCAAACAAATAACCATATTCTCCAAGAGGGATGGAGGAGCTTCCCAAGCGGACACAGCAGTTTCTCTTTTGCTGGACTCGGATACTTATCAATGTGAGTATTGGCTTGCCGATGCTTTCTTACCACCGATGCTGATGTAGGTTTGTTCTAGGTTCTTTTCTGGCCAGATGCATGTCTTTCGCCCCAGGGCGGATCTCTGGCGTTGCATTCTGGCACTCATTCCGATGCTGGGTGCACTGATGATTGCGATTTCACGACTGGAAGACTACAGACACGATGTATACGACGTGACCTGCGGCTCTCTTCTTGGCTTAGTCGTCGCCCATTTTTCTTACCGACGTTACTATCCTGCACTGCGATCCGCTGCCTGTGATACCCCGCATGATTTCACTGATTCTCCTGGTCCGAATGGATTCTCTAAGCTCCCAGCTGATGAGGAGCAACAGATCCATGGTCGCAGCTGGGAAGCCGAGACATATCCACTCGAGGAATTACCACCCCATAATGGTCGGTAGTCGATTTTTCAGCTCTCTGCATTATCGAAGTTCAAGAACATGCTCAATGTAGATCTCCTCCGCAACTCTACTACCTGCAGCCGAATACGCCGTTGATAAAATGCACCTGTACTGCCATACTTCTGTACAAGCGTAAAATCATGAGCTCCGCATTGGAATTACTCCGCGCTTGGACTATAAAGAGGAGATGTTCCTATACTGTACATTTGTCCAATCTTTGACCTCATGGAAGTCCATTACACTGTTAGGGCCCCCGAATCTTCCGAGTGTATCTCTCCAGTCCCGATTGGCAGCAATCTCAGGGTTCCATCTGATTATTTCACGAATCTTCTGCGGGACCTTTCCTTCCATAGTATCGACAATCAGACCCCCAATTGAAGGAAGATATTTGAAGCCTGTGAGATCATGAGTCGGCGCTTGTTGAACTAGGGATTCTCGAGCTTGAAATCTTACCTCTGCCAGAAGCACCGCAGCCTAAGATGAGAGATTGATACTGCGGATGTTGATCAATAAGAAACTCGCGGTTAGCGGTGTCAGCGCACCAGCAGATTCTGGCAAAGCTGAATGGGCGGTCCGCCAACTGAGGCATTGTTTCAGAGAGCAACGCCCTTACTCTTATCTCGGCCTCAAGGGGAACTTGAGTCTTCTCGAAGGGGATACTCATCGCAGTCCCATTGGCAAAGTGCACCATATTCGTATGCCCAGGATGTTCGTCGCAGATCTTGATCTCCCCACGCTCTTCGTCTGGCTCAAAGAAGAAGCCCCTCTCGATGTTGAAAATGACTGGAATGTTCTTATATAGCGCGCGTTCTTCTGGCTCAAGTGCGATATGAACCAGGGTCCACGCGGTCGGGCGAAGTTGATCTTTGAAGTCAAGGAATTGGCCAGCGCTGGCACCAGCGCAAAGGAATGTACGTTCCGCGCGCCAGACCTTACCGTCTGCCGTGACGGCGCCCTTCACATCGTTATTCTCGAAGATCAAAGTGATCACTCTCCCTTGCGGAGTCCCCGTCACGAACCGCACGCCTAATCTCTGAGCCTCTCTAGCTGCAGCCACAAGAGCATCGCGAGCGTGAGCCCAGCCAGCCCCAGAACGGGTGAAGTAGCCTTTCCAACCAGGAAAGTCTCCCTGAAGAACACCTGGAGGGGCCAATTTACGAAACTCATCGGGCTGCGTGACCTCCACGATGTTGGGGTCCTCGCCCGGTCTAACACGGATTCCAAGCCGGTCAAGACCCTCATTGGTGCAGGCTGACATGAGCAGTCCGGTATCGTGGTAGTGTGGCTTGAATAAAGGGTCGTTCTTCCAGCCGTCGAAAGCTTCCTCAGCGAGTATCTCATTGATCTCGATCTCGTCCTTTTTGTTGCTGTATTGACCCGAGGAGATGATCTTGTTGACATCATTTCCAGCCGATATCGCTGAAGGAACGGGATAGGGATCGAGAACGGTCACGTTTGTGTAGCCTCTGCGGGCTAGATGGAGTGCAGTCGATGTGCCCCAGGTGCCTGCACCCACGATTAAGAGCGAGGATGACTTGATGACTGCCATTGCTGTGCACTTAACGTAAACGCTGTTTGTAGAAGTATAATGCTATCGCTTTGACCTGAAGTTCCGAGTACGAGTTTTATAACCTTCATAATCACACTATTCCGGCTTGGTCGTCCGTGACAGACTGCCGACCAGCATGCATGAAGGTCCACGCGAGGGTCTGTCGGGGGCGAACAAGCTGGCTTCCAATAATAATAGGATCAATCGAGTCAGTAAAGTTCTCTGCTCCAAGGTCCAAGTGATCGAGATAACCAGGTTGGATATCGACCAGAGTAGTAATTTAGCCCGATGGCTATGAATGAAGCCTGCTGGTCTACTATTGTACCCCGGAGTCTGCCCGAGATAGCGTCTCCACCAGCACAGTTGGAGTCACTGGACAGCGACTTCAGCAATGGGTAATTACTTCACTTGTACGAGATAAGCCTTCTCGCTCTTGGTGAGGCGCCGCCGATTATTCTCACCAATGTCCCGACAAGTAGTGTTCAAGTGTCTCGCTTGGACCTTACCTGAATCTTCGGATCATCGATGTTCAACGCCATAGCATCTGTCACTTCTCTTCTCTGGCTATTCTACGGCCACTCCTGACGAGATCGACGCTATTACTGGAATGCTGGGGTAGGACCTTCCATCTCATGGATTCTCTATCTTTGGTCTTTATCAAATATGGGGTTCCCCCCATTTTCTTCGGTTATATGCATTGGGGCCGATATGCCACTGCTGGGGGGTTATCTCTAAGGCTACTGGTATAAAAGCATGCGGGATGGCTGTCTTCAAATGGAGTCATCTTTCATCAAAGCGACGCTTCTATCCTCTTCAGCACCGTTGTGGTTTTGGAACGTTGGTTCTATTCGTCGTATATTGCTACATTGCTCCCGGAACTGTCATGGCTCGATTTCAGACACGAGCAGACGGCAACGATGTGGAAGAGTGTCCTGATGATTTAGCGTTACGTGACGATGGAGCCCCCAAGAAGCCTGTTACGGCCGAGGAGGCTATGGAAATTGCTATAGGGGAAAGCAGTACGGTCGAATACACTGTTGAATCGGACAATTCCCCGTACCTGGAAGTCCGCGCCAATGTGCCTAACACCGATGACCCTACACTGCCTATCAACACATTCAGGATGTGGTTCTTGGGTGTTGTCTTTACTCTGGTGAGCTCAGAAGCTCCAGCTCATCTTTCATCTCATTTTCTTTTCCTTCGCTGACTGTGCCGAAATGCAGCTCGGCACAGGAGTCAACCAATTTTTCTCAATGCGTTATCCCAGTGTGACCATCACCTCGCTTGTAGCACAGTTGGTCAGTTATCCCGTGGGATCCTTCTTTGCAAAGGCGTTGCCTATCATGAAGGTTCGGCTCTTCGGACGGTGGGATCTGGTCATCAATCCCGACCATCACTTCAATGTGAAGGAGCACGCTGTGATCACTATCATGTCAAATCTCAGCTTCAATCAGTCATGGGTGGGTTCTTCCCTCACCCTCAAAGGAACAACTACACTGACACATAATAGGCAAGTACAATCATCCAGGCCCAGAGGGTGTATTTGAAGATGCCAACTCGAGTTGGTTACCAGATCTTGCTGGCCCTGTCTATGCAGATGTTTGGTCTTGGGCTGGCTGGATTGTCTTATCGATATATCATCGAACCTCCGCAAATGGTATGCACTATCCTTCCCAGCGAGGCCATAAAGCTAACACACAAAGATCTGGCCGTCCACCTTGGCCAATGCTGCGTTGTTCCAAACACTTCATAGCGGCGCAAATCCTATTGCCGATGGGTGGAGAATCTCTCGATACAGGTTCTTCTTGTATGTCTTGATAGGCAGCTTCTGTTGGTACTGGTTACCTGGCTACATTTTTACTGGCCTGAGCACGTTTGCTTTTGTCTGCTGGGCCGCTCCTAGTATGTATTTCCATTTCCGAAGTGAACCAAAAAATGACGCTCATGGCCATGTCAGACAACAAAGTGCTCAACAACCTATTTGGTATGACGACGGGTCTTGGATATCTACCAACGACCTTCGACTGGAGCCAAATCGCCTACAATACGTCGCCGCTGGTCATGCCGTTCTGGGCACAAGCCAACGTCTTCGCCGGGTGGCTTTGCGTTTATGCTGTGGTGGCCCCAATTCTATACTACACCAACACTTGGTTCACCGCGTACCTTCCTCTGACTGGCTCTGACGCCTACGACAAAACTGGAAGTTTCTACAACTCCAGTCGTATCTTAGACGAGAGCGGCACAATCGACGAGACGAAGTATCGCGAGTATAGTCCTATATTCCTGCCTGTCACTTTTGCCCTCAGCTATGGAATGGGCTTTGCGGTCCTGAGCTGCCTTATCAGTCACGTCCTGCTGTATCAGTACATTCAGAGGCCAAAACAAGAAGGACATCCATGCGAGGCTGCTGTCTCACTATCCAGATGTTCCATGGTGGTGGTACGGGATTCTGACAGTAAGTGCATGCTCTGCACATACTCCCTCAGCGGCTGACATGCGAAGGTTATTGTGGTGGCGATAGCAATCTTGACTCAATATGTCTGGCATACAGGACTACCATTTTGGGGTCTATTTATAACGCTTGCTCTGGCGGCTGTTTATGTGATTCCCGTCGGCACCGTTTACGCAGTGGCCAACCTCAACAGCAATGTCTTGACTGTGTTAGGAGAGATTATATCGGGATACGTGCTAAAGGGGAAACCACTTGTTCTTCTGATCTTCAAGGTGTGCTAGTACTTCCGTTCTTTTCCAAAAGATTACTCACGGCTTTGCAGTTTTACGCATACACCGGCTTGAGTCAAGCGATGTATTACGGTGCAGACATGAAGGTCCGACACCTTTGACTTGAGATTCGACTAACCTTACTGACAAGAGAATCATAGCTTGGGTTATATATGAAGATCCCTCGCCGGACATAACTCGTTGCTCAGCTTGTAGCCTGTATTCTTGGAACATTGACGCAAAGTACGTTCTTGATTCATTCACCACCAACTTGCACTGACAATCATCTTAGACGGTGTTCTCATATGGATGCTTGGGAATGTGAAGGATATGTGCTCAAGTGATCAACCAGATAACTTCACTTGCCCACAGGGCCGGGTCAATTACAACAGTGCTGTCTTCTGGGGTGGTATGTCCTTCCACCTTGTCACCTTGCTTCGTTGCGCTAATGACACAATCCAACCATTGGTCCAGCGAGGCTCTATAGTATTGGCCAAAGATATTCCGGTCTACTGCACATGTTTTGGATTGGAGCCTTACTCCCAGTCATCACATACTTCATTCGGAAGAGGTTTCCTAAATCGCGGTTTCTCGACGCAGTGCACTGGCCTATCTTCTTTGCAGGCACCGGAAACCTACCACCAGCGGTATGCCTTTGATCCAAAAGGAGGTTTTATTCTATGTCTAATTTTTATTTTACTAGACCGGGATCAATTACACAACTGCGTTTGCAGTCAGCTTGATATTTAACAAGGTGAGGTATATATATGCTTGGGAATAAATGCGGCATGCTGATCGTCAACAGATTATCAAAGGCCGCAGACCACATTGGTGGGCCAAGTACAACTATGTGTTATCAGCTGCCCTGGACTCAGGCGTCGCCGTTGCTGCCATTCTGATCTTCTTTGCTTTGGTATTTCCTGGCGTCAGCTTGAACTGGTGGGGAAACACCGTAAATAGTGGGACGGTTGACGCCAAGGGAGTGCCGTGGAAAGAGCTAAGTGCAAACGAGACGTTCGGCGAGAGCAATTGGTCATGAACAAGAAGCTCCTCACTGTGGTTATCTGCTTCTCATTGTATCTTTGGTGGCACATTGCAACTTAGGTGATGTATATAAATTTCGCGCCTCAGGCACTAAAGGCTCTCCACATAATGCACGCAATGGAGCGTTCCGATTGGTAGATGCTCTTCTTCCACACTTCGCCTTAAAACGACTCTTCCATCGCATCTCGACATAAGCATATTGTTCATCATTGCTCCGTACTTCTTTTGGACCCTTGTAATATCGACGGAGTATACTGGCTATAAAATCACAGTGTAAGGCCAGTGCTCGCTGGCAAAAGCAATTTTCACTGCTCTGCCCAGCCACTGATCTCATTCGCCACTCCATCTCATAACAACCGCCCCAGTGAGGCCGACACTCCTCCAACGTATTAATGATGACCGGAGCCTGAAACCCGGCAATGTGAAAATCCAACCTCATCTCACAATCTTGAATGCCACGCAAGAAGGTCGCAGACCGCACGGGTCCACCCAAGACCCGAACCCGCAGCGGCTGCCAGGGGTGCCGCGCCAGCCGTGTCCGGTGCGACACCCAGAAACCCGTCTGCAGCCGCTGCCGGGCGAAAGGCCTGCCATGTTCGACGGAGCTGGTGCTCAAGTGGGAGTCGGAGTTTGTGAGCCGGGGCCTGGCCTTTGGGAGGGCGGGCGTGTGGAGTAAATCCAAGTCTCGCTCCGATGGCGCGAGTGCCGGGGCGTCGGCTTCGCTGTCGGCGGGGGATTCTGAGTGGTGTGACTATCCGGCTGTTGGGGCGTGGGGGTTTGTGAACAGTGATGCCTCCACGTTTGAGAATCCGTATGAGGTGAATGTGGCGTGTGATGCGCTGGATGCTGTTGTTGTTCACGGAAAGGGGAGAGGGGCCTCGCCTGCTTCTGTGGATGATGGCTTTGTGTCGAGTCCGAGGGCGCTATCGTTGTTTCCGCATATGCCGGAGTCGAGCCAGATGCACTTGTTCGAGTATTATCTTGACCAAGTTTGTCCGCGTACGACTGCTAGTCTCAAAAATGCTTCCCCCTTTGCGTCTGTTATTCTGCCTTTCTGTCTGACCGCGTCACCGACCCTCTTCAAAGCGATCCAAGCGCTAGGCGCTTGTCATTGGTCTCGGTTTGATTCAACATACAGTGTCATGGGCCTCCGTTTAAAGTCTGAAGCTTTGCGAGGGCTTCGTCATCGCCTCGCTACTCAAGGTTCTCTGACCTGTGCTAACGATCCCGAGGTTCTGATGACCATGATGATGCTGTGTCTCTATGAAATTGTCGATAACTGTGACCAACGGTGGACTATCCACCTTAAAGGTGCAAAGGAGTTGATTCGCGTTCGGAGACAAGAGCAGGCAGTTGCCGGGCAGTCTCAGAGTGGGCGAGATCCCATTTCTGCTTTTGCCGAGCTTTTCTTTGCTTTCCAGGATGTCATGGGTCGCACTGCCTGTGGCGAAGAAGTCTTGTTTGGGACGGACTATTGGCGGGAAGAAGACCAGAAAATCGATCTATGGATGGGGTGTAGTCCCGAGCTTGTTTCGATTTTATCTTCTATCACAGAGCTCAGTCGGACGAGAAGGCAGATCGCTACGGATGCTGCGCAGGCTGCATTCTCCCTCCGGACCGCTTCATTGGGAAGTCGACTCGAAACTCTCGTACAAGAAATCGACGGCAGCGAAGATGAAGTTCTTCAATCAGCAGCTGAGTTGAAACGCTTGGCTGCGATACTATATCTGCACTGCGCCTTGAATGGTGCCTCCCCATCTACCTCTCTGGTGGTTGGCTATGTACGACGCATCCTGCAGCTTGTGTCGAACTTGCTTGACTCTGGCTCCCTTGTCAGCATGACATGGCCACTGTTTGTAGCCGCAGTTGAATTGGATCCGTTGCAAGACGAGCTGTGGTCGGATTCTACCGATGGAACTGTGGTCTATGGACGATCGCTAATTCTACGAGCATTGGCGGTGATGGCAGAATCCAGCGTGTCCAACATCGCTCGTACAAGAGCTGTTATCATCAAGGTCTGGCAAGCCCGAGACAGCGACATGCTCAAGGGATCGCCTGTGGGCAGTGCCAGTGATCCCGCCGGCTGCAATGACTGGGAATGGTATGTTGCGCCGGTCAGTACGGCCATGAGTCTGGCATGAATGATGGCATTTTATGATGGATGAGACATGTACCAGGCTACCAGCTATCTAGTCCCCCTTATTTTATTTTTTATTTTTTTTCCTTTAGATTTCTCCAGGTCAACCTAGTAGATAGGGTTATGCACTGGACATGGGCAGTGGCCCGGCCAACTGGTCAGTTACTATACTCTATCAACCCTATACAAACTAAAATCATGTTGTGTATCATCTCTACCAAACTCTTCCATCCAATACTGTCTCTTGAAACCCCTTCAGTCAATTATAATCTTCCGTTGCAATTGGAATGTTCTCTGTCTACCAAATAGCGACTGTCTGCAAGCGGGGCACAGATTCGCGTGATTCGTCCAGGAAGCCAAAATGAACGTCAGCGCGACCAGACAAGAAGCGGAAGCGAAACCACCACCAGCGCTTATCGATCTATCTGCAATCATCGTCTCTTCGGCTTCAAAGCATCTCGTAACTCCTTCCACCCCTCTACCACAGTCGATACAAGCCTTATATAGGACGATAGAGTCTATCTCCTGCCTGGCACCTAGCCACGGAACACCCACGGCGCGTACACCTGGACGACAGCTACAACGCCGACATCATCCATCCTCTCGCTATCCTTCCATATCAGCCAGAACTTCCCATACCATTACTATGCCTTTGATGAGTTGCATGGCGTGACTCTGGTCTTGATGCGTGTGCAAAACCTGTATCGATGGCTAATCTGACTCCCTCCTCCACCCCTTCGACCCTGTCGCACAGTCTCCCTTCCGCTCCGTTCGCGAGCAGATTGAGCGAGCAGTTGTCACGAAGCAAAGAGCATCGTGAACCGTCCAGCGATACGGATTCTACAAGAGACAAGGCGAGCAGCCTCGAAGCACCAGTACGGCCGTCATCCAAGTCCCGCTCGCTATCCGATGCCCCAAAACCCGTCTCCGTTTCCCCGACCCTCGCAGCAGAGACTCGCCCTTCCAGCAAAGATGACAATTCCATCAACTCAACTCCCGCAACTCCACAACGGTCATCTGTGCACTCTTCAGGCCTTTTTCTGAATCTACCCTCCAAGCTAGCCGCAGCCGCCCCGATACCTAACCGCGCCCCGCTCTCCCCGAAGCTCGACTCCTCTCACATCTACGGCTCCCCCGGCTCAGTTCTCCCTCGGCGGTCGCGCGGTCTTGACTTCTCCCGCGCATGCACGAATCTACATCACTCTATACTCGCGGAATCCTCACCCGACTCCTCACCGACGGTGGGTGGCCGAGGAGTCACCATTCCGCAGCGTCGCGGCTCGCCGGGCGCAACCTGTATGGGTCCATTCTCGACATCCGGGCCGGCGGACCGGACGACGATATCTTCTTCGGTCTCCAGTGTGAACATGATGGAGTCGGATACGAGTAGCAGTGAGGAGGACGATGAGCCGATGCTGGGCGACAGGGACGACATCATGATAGCGAGTACCCCTCAAGCGAGCAGGATGATCGGCGGGCCGAGTCCGTTTGCTTCGGGCAACGTACCCAGCCCCGGTAGTGACTGGATGGGGGGGTATTCGCAGGCTGCTGCAAGTCTGCTGAGTTTTCAACGGGCTCGGTTCCGCAAGGGGCGGAGCAGACATAGCTCCAGCAGCGCCAGTGCGAACAGCTCGAAGTTGAGCCCCGGTCCACTTTCGCCGCCGGTGATGAAAAGTATTGAGAATTCGAGCGGCGGCTATTTTGCTACAAAACAGGGGTTTGGTCCGCGGCGCGAGAGTCTCAGCCTGGGGACTCGCGACCTGCGCTTGTCGGATCTGAGTGATGAGGGTGAAAGTCGGGGCCAGAGCTCGACTGGTGGATCAACCTCTGAAGGCGGGCCTTTGGGAGTGATCCGGCGTGCTGTGACGCGGCGTAGCAGCTTATTAGTGAGTACAGACGTTGGCCTGTGATCCTGTTCCAAGCTAACCGAGTACACAGCCTAAAACAAAGACATTTGCGCGAATCCGGGCTGCTCTACTCGAGGAATCTGCTCCCCTAGATAGTGATGCGAAGCGTGAAGCAGAAGTCATTCGACAGGTCCGCGAAAGTGAACCGGAAGTTCCGCAGACATCGCCGAGTCTGAACCCTATGCCCTCAACGACTTCTTCAATACCCGGAGAGAGTCTGGACGAGGGTTCGATCAAGTCAGGGGCATTGTTTTCCGACGAGCCCAAATTCAGCGAACAGGCCCATCGCAATTCTGCCGGTGCTGACTTTTGGAACTCCTTCGACGAACGTTATCGCACACCGCCGCCCTCCATGCGCCCGTTAGGTCCCCCCTCCATCTCAGAAGACGATGTGATCATGGACATGACTCCTTCCACTACACTCGGCTCCAACACCGCCGAGTTTGCCAAACCATATGACCGTCCCGGGTCCCGAAGCTCCACGCCCCATACTAGCATTGCTGCCATGAGCGAGATCAACCGGAAACGTCGTCGGGATGATGATTTTGATCCGAACCTTTTCAAGCGAAGAGCCGTGTCTCCAAGCATGAGTGTTCAGAGCAGTCCGATTATGCCCAATTCTCCAGCCGTCAAGGATACCGGCCATAACATCTGGGGTCCGCCGCCCAAGTCTAACCTGGGGGCGCTGTTCCCGGACCGACCCAGCACGGAGATTCCTATCCGGAATACTCCGAACACTCCTCATGCTGGCCCCCTGAAGCGGGTTGGCTTACAGGGAATGACTGAGACCAATGACGGTTTTATGAATATGAGCATTGAGTAAGACCCAGCACGGAGATTCCTATCCGGAATACTCCGAACACTCCTCATGCTGGCCCCCTGAAGCGGGTTGGCTTACAGGGAATGACTGAGACCAATGACGGTTTTATGAATATGAGCATTGAGTAAGGTTTGAAGGGCCTGGGTCAGCCATAGCCCACGGGACTTGCCCAGGGCGAGCCGGTCTCGCATACTATATATAATAGTTCTCTTTTGAATCTCTAGTCCGTCCCTTTAGCGCTTGCAATTGTTTTCAGGGCGCGTCTTTTATATCTCATAGCGTTGGGGCGTGTGTACTTTACGTATAAATTGGCGGATCAAATCTGGCGTTAGTATAACCCCCGAAAGTGCGATCACACGATCTCTAGGTTGTGATCATATATCAATTTGGTTCTTTATTATTCATCCCATCTGAAAGAGATTCTTAGAAACTGCATAGAAAAGGATGACAGAATGGGCTTCTTATCCCTTGGACCACGTGCCTGATAGGCGCTTATCCCGCTAGAGCTCCATCTCCGCTGTTGACAAGCAAGCAAACCATTGAGCAGCATCACAAAGCTCTCATTTCTCTGCATTCCTCTTTCTGTCTTCTATTCTCGTTTGGTACTTCCCGGCACTTGCTCTTCTGTAGATACAAGAAACAAGATACATCGAATCTAGCCCCCAACGCTGTCATGTCTTCCACCATTGAAATCGCATCCTCGTTCATCGAGGGTGCCCCGCCAGGCGAGGTATGCAAGTCTCCAAGCTCCATCTCTCGCTCCCAACCCCTCCCTCGTTCCCTCGAATCGCTGCTCTCGCTGCACTAAAACTAACATACGAACTTACAGCTCGCCGACGTCGTTGCCGGTACCTCCTCCCCTCCTCCCTGGCACCGGACCTTTCCCCACATCGCCGAAACCCGTCTGACTGAATCCTTTCACGCGCGTTACAGACATCAAGGCACTTACCTCCGACGAGCCGGATATTACTCCTTCGCTGGCGCCCGCTTTCCAGCGATACAATGAGAATCAGCTGACGACGGTCAAGCTACCTGGAGCTAGCCAGGAGGTGGGTCCGACAGAGCTTCGGATGTATTCGAGCTGTTATGCTGATATATGAATTGCGAGCAGGTGATTCTTAGCGAGTACAACAGACTGGAGGGGAACCGGTACTTTGATGTGGAGAGTCAGACGTCGTTTGAGGTCGATCATGTTACACAGGTAGGTTGTTGATGTGGGCGGGAGAGATGTGGAGGGTTGAGGCTGATGAGGGGTGGTGATAGGAAGCGTCTGCTGCGCAATCGCATGTGCTGGAATCGCAGAATGCGGATCTGATGTGAGTGGCTCATATGTTGTGGACCTTGCACCTATCTGGGAACTGACGGGTTTCTGACGAATAGCAAATCCCTGCTCAAGTCGCTCGCGAAACATGCGGCGGAACACTACCCTAACTGCTCCTACGGTGTTTACCCTACTGAGGACGATACGGCCGTGGCGATCCTGCTTGTGGCGAACCGCTACTCGCCAAACAACTTCTGGTGAGTCGGTCCGGTCCAATGAGGTTCACATGGTGAGTGTCTGGACTAATCTGGATGTCGGATGGTAGGAACGGCCGCTTTCGTTCCATCTACACAGTCCCCGTATCTGAGTCCACCACGGTGACCGGTAAGATCCTGGTGGACGTGCACTACTACGAAGACGGCAACGTGGCCCTCAACACGAACAAGCCTGTCAACGTCTCGGTCCCCTCCCTGTCCGCCGAGAGCATTATCTCCCGCATTGCTGCCGCGGAGCGCGACTACCAGGAGGAGCTCAACCGCGCCTTTGTGCAGATGGCGGACGGCGCGTTCAAGCATCTGCGGAGACAGCTGCCCATCACCCGGCAGAAGGTGGAGTGGGAGAAGGTCGGCGGGTACCGGCTGGGACAGGATATTTCTGGTGGAAAGGGACGGTAGACGGGCATGTACAGATGCTTCTTAGAAAGGCGGATCGAGATTAGTTCTTTGCGAGCGTTGTAGATGATTCAATATTTCCTCGTATGTATATGGATGTTCTGCCAAGTCGGCAAATGACGGTGAAGAAGATGCCGATAATCAAAACACCAAGTTATAAAACTAGTTGTCGGTCTGGACTCCGAAATGGCCAGGCCCCATCCACTGAACATCGCATCGTATCTCCCATGATCTGATCGAAGCAAGCGAACCCCAAGGGCCGTTGCACGATCCCAATCGACAAAAGATGGCCGTAACCAAAGCTCCATCATCGCCCCCACAGGCCCCAAGTCCAAGTGCCCTGAGGCAATTCTCCAACTTCACTCACACCCAAGCCGGGCTCGAAAAAACCCTACGGCTCATCCAGTCGCTCGCGCAAGTCGTCATCGAAACCAGCATCGGCAATGCAACTGTGAAGAGCTGGTCGATCGCCAAGTCGCAGCTGGCGCTGAGTGCGTTGCCTCCACCCCCTGTCCCCATCTACCCCTGAACGCCCCATCACCCAATATGAAAATACCTACATACTAACGGAAATCAAGCGCGGCGTTTCTTCCGCTTCTTCGCCTTCGTCGATTGCTTCGAGCGTGTCTTTGCCCTCCTTGGCGGAGCAGGCGACGAGGGGATTCCGCTTCGGCTCATCGAGCTGGGTCGGTGGAGTTGCCTGGGGTTGTATTATGTCTTGGAGGATTGTACCCTTGTCCGTATTCTCCTTTCTCTAACTACTCTTGGTGAACTAGGCTGACTAGGACGCCCCCCCCCGCAGCTACATGCCATGAACGTCTGGCGCGTCTCCTGGGGCGACTCGCTCTTGGTGGAAGCCTACAAGTTCTGGTTCTACGGGCTTGCGCTGTCGATTCTGGGGGCTTGCTGGGGTTTGCTCTTCCCTGGGAAGGTGAAGCAGAGTGCGAAGGGTGCTTGGGGGAAGGGGAAGGGGAAGAAGGTATCTTCTTCGGCTGGGTCTAGTGTGTTGGTGAGGAGGGTTGTTGTTGATGGGTGTGATTTGTTGATTCCGGGGGCGTCTTTGGGCTGGATGGCGGTGAGTGATCTTGTAGTTGGGATGGCGATGGTGGTTAGTACGTTGGTTGCTGGCAGGGATGTGTGGATGAAAGCGCAGTTGGGCTGAGTATGTGTGTATATATGATGTGGTGGTGGTGATTTTAGATGCTAGTCGGTGTTAGCTTGTGAGAACATTCCAGTATATATGGTGTGAGATAGACAGAGAAGCATGTTAGTGGTTTCTCTTGACTCTGGGAGAAGTGATGATACAAGTGGTAGACAAGGATCGTATATACTTAATCCGAAGGTTCATCGCATAACGTGTGACTTGACTGTATCAGATGACCAGGATATACATCGTTGCCCCAGCAGCAAGAGTCTAGCAACCCAGGACACTTCCGACTTTGAACTACTACTTCCTCTTCATCTCCATCAAGCATCTCATACAATGAAGAGACTCATCAATCGCAACAAACCCCGTCTCTTGCTGGGTTTATATGCAAGACCCAAACATCCTGACAGCCCCCACTACGCGCTATTGATTACCCCAAAGATCACACCATCACAGAACCAGGCCCTGCCAGCAAGCAAATACCACGTTAAGAATACGCTGGAGGTAGTCAACGACCAGCCCTCGCAACCATGGCGATTTGAGCAAACCTCTTTACAGGATATAGCTGAGGACCCACGCCTGCTTGTTGCAGTGGTCATTGGGAAGGTGGTCTCGTTAGATACGGCCGAAGAGACATTACGGCAGACGCCCGTTTATCAAATCCATGATCCGGACAGGGAAAAAGCATTGACTTTCGATTGTCGGATTTGGGTGCGAGATGCGCTAGATGGTCTCCGTGCGTCAGATTGTGTGTCAAGCCTGGTAGATTGGGATACACTCGACCAGCGTGCACTAGGATATATGCAGCAGAAGAAAGAGTCAGGGATATGGATCGCCGGCAGGGGTGAAAGTGGGAAGGTTGGAATTCCTGTACTCGACTTGTTAACTGGCGAGGAGGTAGAATTTTGAAGAACTCTTTTTTTGGCATCAAATAATTCATGAATGTGATATGTACAAGTCTAGTGAGGTAGTCATTTCTCATCAGGGATGAACCGGTCGCGCTCCAAAGATGAGCACAGCGAGCGGATCATCCGCCAAACTGGACCAGCCGCCCCTTCATAGCTGCAAATCATATTCGGTGAGCCTCATGGCCTGGTGCCTCGAAGACATGTGTTTGACGGAGTTCCGCGTACGGATTCTGCTTGAACTCCGATGCTGGTCGTTGGGGGTATGCAGGTAAGAACATGGGCTGCGAGGACTATGTAGAAGATTAGTCGCCTAGTCTCGAGCTCTCGTAGGGTGAACTTACTCTCTTCATCTCCGTTAGCAACTGTTTCCTCCTCCATCGTCGCTGCATAACCAACAATACCACCACGAGGATGATTGCAACCGCGCCAAGTGGTATACCGACACCCAACCCTATCTTCAGTGCATTGTTGCTACTAGCGTTCTGCTCGGCTGCGGTTGGCGTAGCGGATTCAGCTGACTTTGATGATTGGGCGCTTGTCATTGCTGTTGCTGCTGTTGTTCCTGTTGTTGCCGCAGTCGCTGGTGCTGTTGCCGCCGATGTCGTGGTCAGTTCAGACGTAGAGGGAGCGGTTGTCGAGGTGGATGTGCCCGGTGGCCGCTTGGCTCCGATGGGAGTCAACAAGGAGCTCGTTGCAATGACTGTGTCCAGCGCAACTGACGAGCCCACGAGATCCGAGTACTCGGGCAGGAAGTCGCGAATTTTCTGGGTATTGGCGCCGGTGGTGCAATTGCAGGCTGGCCCGTCAGCGCAGCAGTATGTGTCAGCGGAGCAGCGAAACACGGAATTATGGACATGATCGCCTATTTCGGTATGAGCTTATACTACTTCGAAGTGATTGTTGAGGGATGAAGGGAAGATGTACGGAAGAAGCAATAGCTCGGACACGCTGGAGAGTTCCAGGTCTTGTCGGTGCAACTGCCGATCACATAGTACGAGGCATCATAGAAGGCACACATATTGTTCGTGGCACAGACATAGGTGCTACCTCCACAGCAAGAGGACTCTGGGTTCTCGGGGAAACAGGGCTGGTCGTTGGGGGCAATCTCGCCATTGGGGAGATAACATGTCCTCGTTGCGTATGATGAGCCGAACAGACAGGCAGCGAGTGTCAGCTGCGAGAAAAGAGGCCGACGCATGGTGTCTGTAGTTGCTGCGTTGCACAAGGAGACTGACAGGAGAGCGTGACAACCAAGATATCAGAGTTGGCTTTCCAGAACACGACTATCGAGCTCGTCGAACCTGGTGCGACCTCCATGATGCAGGGTCTTAAATGTATTTCCATTCCCGCCCCTGAGCGCGCTCTCCTGATGCTGTACCTGCGCGAAAACAAGCGCGGCTACAGGTGCTCTCTCGAAGCACCTGAAATGCTTGTGGAAGCTAGAACGCCATAGGATGATAAATTTGGGGATATGCTTGGCGGTCCACCGGCCATCGACCAAGTGGACTTGCGCAGGGTCCAACACTGCAATTCTGGCTTCAATTGGCGATCAGTTGCGGCGCATCGGTGCGCCAACTGGCTGAGCCAATCCGCGATGATCTCCACGCGCCTCTAGTCGCCGGGCCCCTGCTAGCACTAATAATCGTGATGTGACTTCATCGGGACTTCGAATGGAAGAAAACCGGGCGAGATCTCCTGGCTTCAGTGCCCGAAGATGGGAGTTTAGAGACTTGCGCGCACATCTGGAGAGAGGAAACATCACGGTCTCCTGGGCAAAATGCCGTTTTTCGCACAGATTCGGCACCTTCGGATCTGGATCATCGCCGCGGGTCTGGCTGCATTCTTGCTCATCTCGTTCTATTTAACGACACAGCGACCGTCGGGAACCACTCCGATCCATCAACATGTGGAATAAGCCTGCTGCTGAGGAGATAACTGCAGTAGCAACAGATTCTGCCGCGCTTTCGCTGCCATCATCAACTTCACTTCCATCGCCACCGGCATCAGTATCAACCCCGGCAAACGGGGTCTACACCAGGACAGTGGTCATCGCTAAACTGGAGGAAGAAGACGCATCATGGATTGATCCCTTGGTCGCAGCAGACCCACATCTCTCAAGTGCTGTGTACACTGTCGACAACGCCAATGCATCTTTGACCGTTCCGCAGAACAAAGGCCACGAGGTGATGGTCTACCTGACCTACATCATCGACCACTACCACATTCTTAGCGACGTGACCATGTTCATGCACGCGCATCAGTTTACCTGGCACAACAACGACTTCCTTAACTCCGATTCGGCGCTGCTCGTCAAGCGCCTGAAAAGCGAGACCGTGCAGCGCAAAGGCTACGTCAATCTCCGTTGTCACCTGGAGCCCGGCTGTCCGGATCACATCCACCCGACTGTCTCAGGCGACGACCTGGCGAATATCCCCGAAGCAGCAATCTTGGGACATGCCTGGCAGGAACTCTTCCCCCAGGTACCGGTACCGAAGGTCCTGTCGCAGCCGTGTTGTGCGCAGTTTGCGGTGAGTGCAGAGCGGCTGCGGAAGGTCCCGCTGAGGGACTACATCCTGTATCGGGAGTGGCTGCTGGCGACGCCGCTAGAGGACCGGCTATCAGGGCGGGTGTGGGAGTATCTGTGGCAGTGGCTGTTCGCAGGTCAGGAGGAGTTTTGTCCGGATGAGCAGTCGTGCTATTGTGAGGGTTATGGGGTTTGTTTTGAACCGGGAAAGTATGAGGAGTATTACAAGCTGCGAACCGAATCCCGGGAGTTGGAAAAGAAGATCGATGACTTGAAGAAGCCGGAGGAGGAGACGGTTGAGCCAGCGGTGGAAGAAGAAATCCGGTCCTTGAGGGACAGGATTGATGTGCTGCATGAGCAGATGAACGTGATCAAGAAGAAGGCCGCTGGGGGGTAGTCATGAGAAACGCACAGTTTTGTATATTCAATATAGTAAGTATACTTGAAAGTAAATAATGATTTGTATAATGGAGCACAATTGTGGATATTGGGAGCTTCTGTCTCTAGTGTAACAAAGTCTATCTTTATTTGTCTGTGCAACAAATGCTTGTGAACCAGTCACCTCACAGCAGCAACACATTTCATCTCCTTCTATCCTGATCGATCTTTTCCATCATCAAGACCCATCTCTCTCATCCATCACTTCTGCGCGTCCCTCTCCTGCAACAGCTCCTCAATATGCGGGTTGAGCCAGTATCCCTCCAACTCCTCCCTTGACATCGTCTTCGCTCCCGAAATCCACCCCTTGCACTTCTCCCCAGCACCACAGTTACAGTTAAACGACTGATCCATCTCCCACTCCGAGCTGGGATAGAAGAATGTTAATGCATCCCCAACCCGCAGCGGCCGGTCGTCCACCACCCGCACCTCCATCTTATGCATATCGAAATTCAATGACGGATCACACGAGTGGTTGCAGAACACCAGGTCGGAGTTCAGCTCAATGTGCGAGTCGCGGCCCGTCTGCACGGAGGTGTAAGCCTTGCGGGAGGGGGTTGCGGTGGTGATTCTGGCGAGCACGGCACCGGCGGGGAGGTCGACGAGCGAGGAGGCGCTGCTGCCGAAGGCTTTGGCGGAGCGGTTGACTTGGATTGTACCGGGGTGTGTGGGTGCTGGTGGCGAGGAGACTGTTGGTGACTGCGCGGGTGCAGGCTCTTGGACAGCGATGGGGGCCATTGTGAGGTGAGTATGAAGGGGTGGTACGTGGGATGGCGGGGTAAGGATGTTGGATAGGATGCTTGGTATGCTTTTGGGGGTCCGGTGGACTTGCAATCGATTCAATTGAGTGCAGTAGACTTTGCTGATGGCTTTTCTAGCAATACCAGGGAGAGAATCGGATACCCCGCCTACTATTTATATATACAAGCCGGAAAGTCGTGGTGGTCTGTCCCGTTCGGTCGACAGTGAGTGTGGGGTGACCCAACCCCTGCCGACCGCGTCTATGATGGCATATGGGCCATGGCGTTCCTCAGCCTCTACTGTAGTTAGGACTGAGAGTCAACGATTCCCTTCTGCCGAGGAATGCTGGGCTGCGGAGAGATGGAACGCGGGTTCTGGTGGAGTCGCGCGCAACGGTCCGATTTAACCTGAGCTGTTGCTCAGGTTCTACAGAGAACCAGAGATAACGCGTGTCGTACCGAGGTACGTTGCCAACACGTCCAGAAGAGTCGAGCAGTCCTACAATTAACCCGTTGAAAAGTTTAGGCATGAGATAGAGGCCGTGAAGGGCCCATCGCCTGATGTGCTTGCATTAATATTAACATAGCATCGGCAGGTCATTGAGCATCTTTTGCCCCTCCAAACCCAGTAAATACATCCGAGGCACACGACAACAGGCCAGGCACTAACGGAAGAAAATATATAACGCATTCCCAACATTCTATCCACTGTGTCCAGTCAACGAAGGATTCCGGGAGGGTCTAGATATCCCACCAAAGCCACGCATGTTATTAGGCTTGAATAAGGTTGTGCATCGCGTTGGTATGCGGCGTGGAGAAAGTGACGTGGATGTATCTAGCGCAGGGAACGACACAACGACTGGCTGCGGTCTGATGGGACTTGACGAATCGGTCGATCCGGTGAGCAGCATCCACATGCAAATCAGGCTGAGTACTGAGTAGACTACAGTAGTTTGTTATTGTTGTTGTGGTTGTGGATGTGTCTCACATTGGTCTGGTCAAAGGGAATCATGATGTTGAGCATTATTAGCACGACCCTGCATCTATCACATGTCTTATGTTTTATGCATGGCGCATTTGCCAACTGCGCAAGAAAACACTATCTGATATCTAGAATTCTAGATATACGGAGTACGAATAATTCACTGCATCCTGCTAATTAAGCCGGATCTGCAATTCCTTCCCGTCCAACCACCGTTCTAAATTCGCGGCCACCTCCTTGTACCACCCATTGATCAGATCTTCCTCCCCGTATCCCATGTGAGGCGTCAATAACACTTCACTCCGTCCGTCCTGGCCCCAGGCAGTTGTCCGCCAGGGACTGTCAGCAGGCAACGGCTCCGGATCGAACACATCCAAAGCCGCACCTCGAACTCGACCAGCATTGAGCGTCTCCAACAACGCCGACTGATCAATCAATGGACCCCGCGAGGTATTGATGATCATCGCGCCCGGCCGCAGAGACGCCAGTTCCGACGCCCCCACGATCCCCCGACTACGCTCCGAAAGAACATAATGCAGGCTCAGCACGTCCGCGCGCTGCAGGAACTCCGTCTTGGACGCGACCGCCTCAAAGCTCCCTACGGGCAGACCCTGCGCCAGCGCCTGCTCGTCCGCCTTCTCCTGCGTCAGGTTCGCCGACCACGCGATCGCCTTCATCCCGAACGCCAGCACCGCAATCTTGCCCACCTGCGCCCCGAGCTTCCCCAGACCCAGCAACGCCAGCGTCTTGCCGGACAGGTTGACGCCCAGCGAACCCTGCCAGCGACCCTCCTTGACGGCGGCATCGTCGCGCGCGACGTGGCGTGCCAGCGCCAGGATGAGCGCCCAGGTATGCTGGACGGTGGAATCGACACCCGGGGGCCGACCGACGGTGCCGGCGACAGGGATCCCCCGCTTAGTGAGGGCGTCGAGGTCGAGCGACAGGTTTCTGTTTCCCGTAGTCAGGAGGAGCTTCAGGCAGGGGAGGGCGGCGATGGTGTCCGCGGAAAACGGGGTCCGTTCGCGCATAGCCAGGATCACATCGAAGGGCCGTAAGCGGTCGACTAGGGTCTTCTGTTGTGCGGGGTCACGCGGGTCGAGTGTCTCGGGGAAGTAGGAGATGTCGACGCGGGATGTGATGTGGGCGAAGTGGGCGGCTGCGACATTCTGGTAGTCGTCGAGCACGGCGAACTTTGGTCTCGACATGATTATAGGGAGGAGGAGTTGGTAAAATTGTCACTGTGCTACTGAAGTGATAACTAAGATGCAGCTCATGGACAAAACGGACTGTTCAGTGAAGATAAATGAGTGATGACAAAAGATATAACTATCCGACATGTTGCTGACCAATTGCTTCTATCTCGAGTTGTGGAGGTCAATGAATCGAGCTATCTTTGACCCCGCCATTCTGCCGTTTCCCCGAAGACCAGTTACAACTTACAACCACTTCAATGGCCGGGCCAGCACGCTCAATCCTCCCAGCAGGGCTGTGATCCCTGTAAACACAATCAACCCCCCGTATCCACTGCCATATCCATATGCGGATGATTCCCATGGCTCCCCCGCTAACAAGGCACCGCTCAAAGGACCACTGACTACATTGCCAATGCCCCGACCGGAGCACAAAAATCCCAGTACAATAGACGGGTCGGCGAAGGGATTCTTCTTCCGTACCTCACCCGAAACCGCGGGCCAGGTAGAACTGAATGACCCGGCAAAGATGCCATATGCCACACAGAAGATGAATAGCGGTGCCAAACTAATCGAGAAACCCCACAGCAGGAAGGTCGCCAGAACAGTTCCGACAGTCGAGATGAGAATGCATGTTGTTGCATGGCACCGATCCACCAGCGTACCCATGATGATACAGCCAAACACTGAGGCAAGATTAAGGAGAATTACTGTTAGCGATGCCGTGAGACTACTGGCCCCGATCGAGCGAGCATAGGTCGGCAGGTAGATCGTGGGAAGGAAGTACCCCAGCGCCTCGATGATGTTGCCCGCCTGGTAGATGAGAAATGTACGGTCGAGGACAAAGGTGAGATTGAAGGGCCGCACGTTCGTCGATGCAGAGATGGGGACGCGGGGTTTGACGAAGTAGAGCAGTGGAGTGGCCAAAACAAACAGGATCACTGCCCAGGCGCGTAGAGTGAAACGGTGGCCATAGCTGTCCAGCAACCACTGCAACGTTACGGGGAGAACGACGCCCGCAAGGCCTGTTCCCGCCTGTATTCTGGCATCACTAACTCGTCACATCGCACCAGGGGATACGGAGGTACTCACCCACATGATTCCAAAGGCCAGCCCCTTCCGTTTTGCGAACCACTCATCCATAAAGATGATGGTAGGCGTGTAGGCGATGCTTGCTCCGAGGCCATAGAAGACGCCTTGAGACACAATCAGGTGCGTCGTGGTGGTGGAGAAGGAGCTCAGCGCAATGGCCAGGGCCATAGTCACGAAGCCCGCGGGGGCAGCCCAGCGCTGCAACCTCGGGAAGGAGAGGAGGATGCCGAAAGTGATGGGAGAGAGAAGATAGGATACACCCTAGTCTATGGCATGAGTATCGTGACCATGCAGCTGAGTCAAGACGACATACCATTGCGCACGTTCCGATGACAGCGATGTTGGAGGATCCCTTGAAGGGCTCATGGGTGCTGTAGTAATCCTGGAAGATACCGAACGCGAAGGAGAAGCCTTGTGAATGACCCGTTAGCTCTACCTCAATGTGCTAGACAGATTCAAATAGATACCCCATATCAACCCCTCGATCATGAAACAGGCTGCGAGGAAGAGCCAGGCATGCTTCCCGCCGTCCATCGGGGGAAGCTGTTGTTCATCATGGTTGTTATCAACCTCACTCGGGCTCGAAGTGATAGACCGGGCTTGGGGTCGAAGACGAAGCTGGATCTCGGATTCCATCTTTTCTCCCGAGATACTGTTCTGTGAGGAAAATGAAGAAGAAGAAAGGGGTGGATATGGTGGGTTCTTTTTCTCTGGGGTTTGTTAAGTGAAGGGCGTGGGTGCGTCAATATTATGCGGGTGTTTCCCAGTTCATTGGCGGTCGATGGACACTTCCATCCGTTAGTGTCGAGCAAGATAACTAGTCAGCTTACTTGGCGGACCATTTCATTCTCAATGCTATAACTAGACATTATTGATTTACCCGCTGCAAGAACTGAGGAAACAGGTCATGAATGCCACAGATCGAAATCATCAACTCCGTCACCCCCATCTATCATCCCAGTCCTCTAGCACCGTAGTAGGCCCATTCGCCTTCAGACTGGGCAGAGAATCCCCCGGGATCCAAGCCGACAACGCATTATCCCGCGGAAAAGGATTTCTGATTTGTCATTGGGGTGAGAGACTTGATAGTTGCTCAAAAGCGATTTACGATCGTGATGATGGAGGTGAGTTGGAAGTGTTCTTCTAGAACCCCGCATTCATTTCACAAGGATGCCCTGGCTGAAGACTTAGCATTCCAAAGTACCTGGGATAATTTCCTAATATTTTCTAACTGAGCTCAAGGCGTCTCAGAGACATTATACACCAGCTTCTCCCCGCTGACCTTGCCTTCTCTCATCGACTGCAATCCGTCCAGCACGCCCTTCAATCCACCGGAACACACCTTGACCTGGTGCACCTTAATCTTGCCCTCCGCCAGCAGCTTCTCGGCTAGTGACCAGAACTTCTGCGCGAACTCAGAATCCTCCGGTCTGGCGGGAAAGGGCTGAGGACCGAACTTGAATGCCTCTCCAATAGCCGTGTATGCCAGAGTCGAGCGACCGTTGACGTTGGCGCGCTCAACTTTCAACGGCAGGAGCGAACTGTACTCGCCGCCCTCGGTGCTCAGCGCCTCGTCGCAGAACTTGGCGCTCGACTCGAGTGAGATCGTATCGAGAGCAAGCTTGAGCTTGTTGTCTGTGTCCTTCCGGATCTCCGCCGCGGCGCTGGCGTCGTTGTAGTCGAACGCCGCGTCCGCGCCCAAACTCTTCACCAGATCAAAGTTGCGTGGTGAGCATGTCGTGAGCACCTTATAACCAGACAGCTTGGCGAACTGGATCGCCAGTGTGCCCGTCGCGGAGGAGCCACCGTAGATGAGAATGGGTTCGGCGTTCTTAATCGGCTCCGTGGGCCAAGCCAGTTTCAGACTCTGATACAACGACTGGCCAACAGTGGTGATTCCCACGCCCAGGGAGGCGGCCTCCTGGAAGCTGAGGTTGTCAGGAATATGAGTCTGCAGATCGCCCTTGACGACGATGTACTCGGCGAAAGTGCCGTCCTCGGGCTGCACGGCATTCGATCCGTGGGCGAATCCGCAGATTCGATCGCCTTTCTTGAAGGGCTTCTGGACGTCCTTGCCGACTTCTTCGACAATTCCGGCGTAATCGCAGCCGACGAGCACGCCGGGGGGAGCCACGTAGTCGATATGTTTCCAGTCTGTCGGGTTCACGGCCACGCTAACGGTCTTGACGAGGATGTAATCATCGCGCAGCTTCGGGATGGGTCGATCGGTGACTAAGCTCCCCTGCTTAGGGGCCGAGACGATAACGGCTTTCTGAGTAGACATTGTGCTAGAGTGGAAGGATGAATATGGAGATTGATCTACTTCGGAAAAGACTTGACTGGTTGCCTTTGTACTAGAGCGTCGCACGGTGGCTGATAAATCCATGATGGGTCTATTACGTAGGGCCGGAGGAGATTAGGAATCCTGATTACTGATCACTCCGAGCATGTATACTGCATACTAACTACGGAGTACATGGCCAAGGTATAGTTAAATTTCTTCATTATTGTAGCTACTACTAGCTAATCCAAATCTAAGACATCTATCCCTGGCAATCACTTATTCCTCGGTTCGATCATGTCGATCTCAGCGCCATTACCGAGGTATCTCTATCGATAGGTCACTACTCACTACCATCCTCAGGACCAGGCTCAATAGTTACTCCGGAGTAATAATGATAACCTTTCTCAGTTCTCACTGTATCCTGAAGATCCAGTCAGAATTTCTTCCGGCGATAAGCGGATTTAAGCCTGTCGAAAACGGAAGCAATTACATAACATGCCCGTCTTCCCCACGTCTGTACTACGTAGTACTATCTACCTTATCTTTCTCCGACGGGAATGTTCTTTCCGGTTTCCACCAGTCTTCTTCCACAGAACGTCACAGAGAGTACCTCTACTCTGTACATTCCCCCTACCTTCTTTCGGAGGGAAAGAGTGCGTAGGTAGTAGAGTTACTTTGACTCACTGGCAGGGAGGGAGGTGCAAAGTAGGTGCTGCCCTGATCTCTCCGATCGTTTCGTATGCAAAAGCGAGTTCTACGTGGAGTTTATATTCATGGATTAAAAGTGTTTTTTTTTTCTGGATCTGACTGTTCTTTTGCCGTGAGGTTGGTGCCTTCGTAGGTTTAGGGCATGCTTTATTGGTCATGAACCGATAAATGCAAGGAAGTACAGAGTGGTCGAAGATGGCATTCAAGCTGAAGTAAACTGTTACCCATGATGAATGAAGCTGATGACCCGAGTCTTGGTATCGTCACTTCCAGGGGTCCCGTAATTTCTCTCCGATAGATTCAATAATTTTATTGCATCACTTCAAACAAGGGATGTGCCTGCAATGCCGGCCGGCTCCATCTTTGGCATCAGGGTAGCATTCGCTTCGCAAGATATTGAGAGACATGTGTCATGCGCGTCAGCTCATGTTCGCATCCAGGGATAAGCAGGAGATTTGGCAGGCTCCAGGGATGGACTTTGGGAGTATCCCCCCTTGTTTCCTGCAGAGCACACAGTGACGTTCGGCGTGGCCGATGTGGCTCTGTTGAATCTCGAGTCCAGGCGCACGAATGAATTACCCCGAGGATGCAGCTGGGTTGCTGACTCATAGGCCGGAGGCTGATGGATGAAATGCACCAACAATTTCAGTAATCCTTGCGAAAAGCCGAAGAACTGAGGCAGTTGGATGGTTAGCAAGGAAAAGAGGTGATGGGTGACACCTACACGATGATTGGCTCGATCGTTGTTGAGAGGTTGATGGGAGTCATTTGTTGTGCAACTGCCGTTAGTACAAGATGTGTGATCTGAGGCAATAACACCTATCTTTCAATCGCCAAGCAAACTGGATGAAGACATAGCGGAGGACTGGGTGGAATTCCGCCCGCTCAACCTTTCAAGTAAGTAGTAGCTAGTCCGTTTCCCATGATGCAGAAAACCACCAACCATCCCAACGCTCGGAGGAAGAAACGATTTATTCCAGATGGTTCCAAAGTTTCAATCCCTTGAGATAGGTTGAAGATGCTGTGCGATGGGCTGATTTATTGTGTCCCAGTGAGGTCATTTGTGACGGCCATGTGGGCGTGGAATTCGAACCTGCCTGTACAGTCCGCTGCACAGCGTGCAACACATGGAAGATGATGCTCAAATGACATTCTGCCACTGAAGCCTGGCATTAGGTCAAGAAACACTTGGCGACGGGGGTTTTTTTTTTATGAACCATAAAATACTATGTAGGGGTGCAGGACGAAACAGACGGTAAATCAAACCTAATAGATCGTGAGGGTGGGAAAAAGAGGAGGCTGGGGGTGGAGCGGAATTGGCTGACTCAAAAAGTCCTTGACACCACTTTCCTTCATCAATTGTACCGCCAAAAAGAAGGGAGGGAAGCCAGGCATGAGGAATCGATATCATTTGTCTTACTCGATTGATGAACAATGTAAAAGTTCATACAGTTGCACTCGGTGCCACCTTGCTTCGTTTTGGATATCAGATGGTCTGCAGTACAAAGGAAATTGGTACGTGGTGGAGTGATCTGTCTAAAAATAGGGCCCAACTCGTCCGTAACTCAGTCGGTGAGTGTGTCCTTCTAGATCAATAATTTGACATAATTGCAGGCAGAAAATGCAATAGAGGTTCATGAGTACACAGAGTATTGATTTATTTTTTCATCAAAGCAAGCGGCCAAGGGTCTTGGATGAGCGCTGTAAAACGGTGTATTATTATGTAGAGATATACTCCGTACCTCGACAGTGCCCGTACTTGGTAGATTAGATAGGCAGATCTTGGAAGCCCATGAAGGCAGCTATCACGTGCTACAAAGATAGCCAATGATGATTGTCCAGCCACCAGAAAAGCGCCACGATCCAGAGCCGGAGTCAATGACAGGATCGGGAAGGAATGGGAAGTTGCGGGATGATTCAGTTCATTACGTGTGGGTCCAGCATGCCTCAGGCCCCAAGGTTGCAGATTTGGAGATTGGCAGATTGGGCCCCCACTCGGCGCATCCACTTGGCCCAAACAGGAAAGATGATGATGAGCATGATGGCTGTGGGAAGAGGGAAAGTAGGAGGCTGGACTAACGAGATACCTATTACCTAGGTAGTAGGTACTTTACTCGGGAGATACTACTACTATGTAGGTAAATACTGTGGGTGTGAGTCGGTGACTGCCTGGTTGCCTCAGTCTCCATAAAGAATAAAAACTGACTCGGACGTCCCGTTCTTTCCTTCCAGAGCAGCATCAGCTTGCTTCATCTTCATCTTCATCTTCATCTTCATCTTCCCCCTCGTCCTCTCATCCTCTCATCCTCTTCTTCTCTCTACAACCCCTGCTCGTACTACTCTACTTACATACCATCTATTAGCTTTCCAATCTCATCTTCTCGCTTGTATTATCACATCGCCTTGCTTATCTCTTCGTCGTCTTCATCCAAAAGTACCCACGCTCCTCGTTCTATCACCATGAGATTCTCTCTCGTCGGTGTGGCCATTGGCCTGCTCTCGACCTCAACCCATGTTGTGGCTCAGACCTACACAAATTGCAATCCATTGCAGAAGAGTAAGTTTTTTTCTTTTTTTTTTTCAGCTCCAATGACAGAGACCCGAGTACACGTGAGCTTTGCTAACGTGCCGCAAAGCTTGCCCTGCCGATCCTGCTCTAGGAAGATCGGTCTCGTATGACTTCACTCAGGGTCCTTCGTCAGATTTCTCAGCGATTGGCAGTCCGACTTACGACGGTAACGGTGCTGCTTTTACCGTGGCCAAGCAGGGTGACTCCCCGCTGATCCAGTCAAACTGGTACATGATGTTTGGCCATGTCGATTTTGTCATCAAGACTGCTCCAGGCACGGGCATTGTCAGCAGTGCAGTCCTGCAGTCGGACGACTTGGATGAGATTGACTGGGAGTGGCTTGGAGGAAACAACGCCTATGTCCAGACCAACTACTTCGGGAAGGGAGATACTGGCAGCTACAGCCGCGGTGCCACTCACGACAATCCCGGAAACCATGACGGCTTTCATACATATACGATCGACTGGACTAGCAAGCAGATTGTCTGGCAGATTGATGGCAAGACCGTTCGGGTTCTGACTCCTGAGACTGCCGCAGAGAACCAGTATCCTCAGTCCCCCATGATGGTCAAGGTTGGCGTATGGGCTGGCGGTGACCCCAGAAATGCGCAAGGCACAATCCGTAAGTACCGACATCCTTCTCACCGGATGGTCAGGCCTTGCTGATGCATATATAGAATGGGCTGGTGGCGAGACTGATTACAGTGCTGGTCCTTATACCATGTATCTGAAGTCGCTCGTTGCGACCGACTACTCGACGGGCAAGTCGTATACCTACAGCGATAACAGCGGGTCGTGGCAGTCTATCACTTCCGAGGGAGGTCAAATCAATGGTAATAGTGACGCTGAGTCCATTTCAACAGTCGAATCTGCCCCGCCTGTGACCGCGACAATTGACACTGCTCCTATTCCTTTCAGTGGTACGCACCGTGAAACGTCGATATTTGTAACTCCGAGCGTCTATCCCTGGGTCCCCAGGCCGACCACCTTTGCTTCCTCGGTCGCCAAGCAGACAACTCTGCCCAGTGGCTGGACCTTTTCTGGTGCGCGACAGGTTCAGCCGCCCAGTGCGGCCTCTGTGAGTGAGCATTCCCCCCCCCCTTCTCTCCGTCGCCTTCCCCTTGCCACCGATTGATCTTCTGACGACCAGCTGCTAAATCCTATTGCTTCTTGCTATAGTCTTTTTCCCCGTCTACATCAGCCTCATCGGTCTCTTTGTCGGTTTCAGTGGTTTCCTTCTCCCCCTCCGCGGTTAAGACAAGCTTCGTCAGTTCCCGTTCAGCATCAATTGTGACCCTAACTACCCATCGTTCATCTGCTCCTAAGACTAAAGTGCACAATACCCCTGCTGGTCCGACAATCTCGTCGTCTCAGACATTCGCTGCACAGGCTACTCCTTCTATTGCTGCAGCACATGGTCTGATAGTACCAGTCAGAATAAGTGCTTGGTGTGCGCTTCTGGGCGGCATTATGGCGATTGCTTGAGTTGATGCTTTTTTAGGGCTTATACGCTTTTTATGGTTATGGGACATGAGACCACTGATTAATGATTGCAATGATTCTTATACGACAACGGTTTGTATAATGTATAGACACGGGGCTGGCGATTTGTTTCTTTTTCTTTCCTTTTTCCCCCCCTCCTTTCCTCTTCTCTCGGGCTGGTCTTTTGTGTTACTGTTCGGACGCGAGATTCCTTTGCGCTTGGGCACGTCCTCTTTTTGATCCGCCTCTCTTGGCGTCTGAGATGAAGGTATCTTTGAATGGGGATTGGACTGGCCGATTGTTTCGTTTCTCTGTATTTTTTATTCCCCTGAGGAAAAACATAGCCTTGCTAGGCCAGACAGCACTAATAGTATTAATTCATGATTCAAGGCATCGAGTACCTGCTCGTACAAGGGATTATCTATCGCTTTGTGCAATGGCGGCTTCCTTTGTAGGTCATGTTGAGGTCAGATCTGAATCTTCTCTGGAAGACCATTCCGAGAGCTGGAATTCCGTCACCGCATACGAAGTATGATATCGTTTCATTTCTATTTATGAGCGAGAGCACTGTGATGGGAGAATTGCAGCTCATTGCCAGTACAATACGGTAGTGTTCGCAGTCTCAAGCCGTGCAACATTGCTCCAACAACTTCCTCGCGAGTCAACCATCATGAGCGCCCGGGTCTTTCTCATTCGTCATGGCGAAACCGAAGGCACTCTGGGGAGAAAACATATCAGTACCAGTGAGGCTACTTTATCGAAGTTAGGAGAGAAGCAGCTCGAAAGGACTCGGGAGCGGTACCTCGGTGAGGGCAAGCTGATTGACCCCAAAAAGATTTCACGCATGTATGTCATCTGTCAAATCCATGCCCATCTGCCCACCTGATACGTTGGACAACTAACTGCAAACAGCTATATCACACCTGTGCAGCAAGCGCGCCGTACGGCCGAGATCCTCCAGCTCGGCCTTCACGAACACCGGCACTTCTATGACCGGACCGAGAAGAAGACGTCGACAACCGCGACTCCCCCAGTCACGGGGGACATGGCAGACTCCACGATCCAGATCACGCCGAGCCTGGTGGAGTGGAAATATGGCGAGTACGAGGGCCTGACTGGCGACCAGATCCGCGAATTGCGGAAGCAACAGGGCCTGGACAAGGACCGGCCATGGTTTATCTGGCAGGATGGTTGTCCTGGCGGGGAGTACGTTCCCCCCCCCCCATCTCTTTCCTTTTTTTTTTGTCTTTCTTTCCTTGTCAAGTTTGATGCTCTGAAAAGGCTTCTGTATGCTCATCGGGTCTGGTCATTTAGATCGCCGCAACAAGTCTCTGATCGCCTTGACGAACTGATCGCTGAGATACAAGGCGTGATCCAGAGTACTGCGGCCCAATGGCCGGGCGGCAACCTGGTCACGCATGCTTCGGACGAGCCGCGGGATATCGTCTGTGTTGGACCGGGACATTCGCTGGCTGCGTTGGCTATGCGGTGGGTTGGCTTGCCGTTGGAGCACGGCGTGAGGCTTGTCCTTGAGCCAGCCAGTATTTCTATACTGGGGTTTGTATTCCCTTTTTTTTTTTGGGAAGCGTAACTAACAGGGTATCCTGGGGTAGATTCGAGGATGAGGATCTCAGTTCCCCGTCCATCATACTGGGATGGAGACCGGTGTAGGGTGATAGTAGTTCTATATGAATCTAACTGCTTGAGAGCTGATATAGAATGAATAGATGTGGTTTGGTCTGTTTCTCATCATTTTTCCTTATCCTTCGTAGAACAAAGGTAACGGAGATGGATTAAAATCCACGCATTCAGCGTACCACTGCGGCAAGATGAATTGGGAGGCCATCTGGGGGGAAAGGAAATGACTCTTCTGCACATCACGGTCTTCCGCGCTCCGAGGAAGAACATCCACCGCGCCATACTCCTGGGGAGCAACATCCGCCCTGCTACCTGGTAAGAATCATGGCCCTCCCCTCCCCCCTCCCCCTAGTCCGAGAGGACCACGCGTCTGCATGCCCGGGCTCGAACTTGACATCTGCCCAGGCCTTCTGGCAGCGCTCGATAAGCGAGAGCGCCGACCCAGCACTCAGTATATCAGCTTCTTCCTCCCATCCGCATAATCCCCAATCCGCACAGACAGAAACCACAGCTATCCTCACCTCCGATCCTGATACTTTCCTTCCAACAACGCAAAGGCCGCCGCCTCCACGTCCCCGATATAATTCAGTTTCCCGGCCTCGGGATCAATGACGTCCACCACGATCACCCCTTCCAGTCCAACTTGTCCTCGTTGACGACGGCCAGCGCGCCGAGCACCTTGACGCGCTTGATCTGTCCCGGCCGCGGGATTGCGCTGCCCACCTGACAACCGTCGTCGATGCGGGGGTCTTGGTATGCCTAGCCGGTCCATCAGCACTGGTCGCGAGTATAAGCCAGAGAAAAAAGAGAAAGGGGAATGGAAACCTGAGGCAACATCCCGTGATTCCAGGGGATATCCCTTATGCGGGAACACGTTGGGGATATACCCCAGCCGGCCGTTTTGGAGGGATTGCTTTAGTAGGGTGAGATGTTCGTCTTTTGCTATCTGTGGATGCTGATGCTTACTTCTGCTGTGATTTCGATAGAATAGGATCCAAGGAGAGAGAGAAAGAGGGTTATGGGGCCTTCTTCGCACCTCCGTCTTCGCGCGCTCCACCACCTCGGCACCTCGACCGCTATATGCACGATGTGTCTGTCGCCTGGGTAAGGTCCAGGTCGTGCCAGGCGGACAGCAGCTTGTCCTGGTGGCTGAGGTAGATGCGATACTCCTTGGTCAGGAGCTTGCCGACGGTGCGCAGGACGTAGTGGCCGAGGGAATCGGCGTCGCGTAGTTTCTTGCCTTTCTTGTCCATTTGGCTGGTTATTCGGATTTGGGGTGTGGGTTGTTGTTGGCTGGTGTGTGAGGCTATACGAATTGCGCTGGGCTGGGCTGGGGGTGATTTACGCGACTACGCGAGGGTGGAAAGGAAAAGGAAAGGAGATTTGGTGGGGGGATTCCTCGAGGTAACGTTTATTTCTTTCGCGAAAGTTGGATATGGTTGAGGTTATTCATGATAGCTGCTGGTGAGGTAGCTGGTTTCATCATGACGCCTTGGAGATCGGATGTGAGTTCCAGTTGATGGGAGACCAGCCTGAACCTGAACCATCAACAAGAGAAGACAAGACAAGACCATTCTCTTCCAGGCGCAAACAACCCTAAGTTCAAGTATTCAGTAGAAACGGAACTCGGCATTCCATCAAGGTTTCAGAAGCCTGCAGAAGTCAGGACTCTTGGACATTTGCCAGAAAAACCAATGCGGCATCTTCTCATAGTAGTAATCTAGAGACAGACACCTAGTAAGCATATACTATAGCCATTGAGAAATAGACTATGGATGATGCGGTGGTATTTTCCCATGATAGATGTGGGTGTTTGTGTGTCAAATAGCATATGAATCGTTTTTCACATGGTCAATTCAAAACAGATCTTCGAGAAGTCTCTTCGTTACACGCTGAGCATTGTACAGAGTCTTCCATTGCAGCCATTCAGCTTCAGCCAAGTACTCGTGCGTAACATGGACACAGGGATACGATAAATGCTTGTTATCAAGAGGACGCGTGTGACAACCGCCAGCAGTGCATAGAACCGTCCTCTTTGTATAATTCAGCTTCGAGAACACTCTTCTCCCAATAAACATGCTGGATTCAAAACCAGCCGGTCTCATTCCTTGCACACTTTGTACCACGGATCTTTAGACGCAACCTCTCACGTCCTGTCATACTCGAGTGTGCGAGTGAACAGGCTTTCTACTCAACGGCCAGAGTAGCCGCTGAAGCCCCATATAAGGAGTGTTGACTGGACTATCGGTTCCCGTGTACAGGAACATGTCGTATAGCCACCCACCAAATGTGCACCCCAGGAATGGCGCAACTATTGGGATCTGGAGCAACATAAGAGTTAATATTTTTTTATTTTCTCAGAGCAAGCACCTGTCAGGATGAGACGTACCCAAAAGTAATAATTACCCGCGGACCACACCTCAGGGCCATATCCAACCATGTAGGACACCAGTCGTGGCCCAAAGTCTCGCGCTAGGTTGATGGCATATCCCGTCTCCCATCCGAAGCAGGCACCGATTCCGAAGATGAGAAAGAAGAGCGCAAGGGGTGTTAATGGACCAGCTCCAAGATTCCCGTCGTCCTTGATTGCAAAAATCATAAACATCAAGATCGAGCTGGCCACGAACTCTGAGAAGAACTGCCCAGTCTTGGTCATGAAAGCCGTTGGATAGGTGCAGAAGATGCCACCAGTGGCTGTTGATGAATAGCCAGGTACGGTCCTGATGCTGGGCCCACCCTCATACACATCGATGGCTGACTTATAGTTGCCATAGACAATGGCCGCTCCACACATAGCCCCCAATACCTGAGCAATTGCATAAATGGGAAACTTGCGCCAGGGGAAGTTGCGGAAGACGCAGTTCGCAAATGTCACCGCGGGATTGATGTGAGCCCCAGACATGCCACTTACATAGATGCCCAGCATCGCCCCAATCCTGGAGAACGGAGAATCCTTAGCATGGGGTAGAGGAGAAGAGAAAAAGGTGAACAGGTGCTTACCCCCAGCCCCATGAGATAGATTGATAGTTGCCTTTTTCGCCCTTGCTCAATGTGACCTGAGCAACTACTCCATCCCCAAAGAGAATCAGAATCATAGTACCGAAGAATTCAGAAAAAGCCTCGCGACAATGAGCCCGAAGTTTGCTCCAACCGTATTCATCAGAGGGAGCAACTCGAGTATCGTCTGATCCAAAACTAGCGCCTAGCACAGAGAGTTCGTGCTTGTCACTGGCCTTCATTGTTGATGAAAGAAAGTGTCTGTCACAGCAACGAGTAGATAGAGAGACAAGATGGACTATATAGTCCTGGAGACATGTAAAGAGAGAGACCCAAGCATGCGGTTCAGGGTATCACTTTTAAGGAGTGTCATATAACATTTCACTCATCCTTGTTCTGGCAGACCTGGTGTTACCCTCGACGATGCTATACCCTTTGTTGGAATATGCGTGAATTGGTCCATAGCACGCAGACAAGCCATTCTTCTAGAACAGAAAGTAATGGCGAGCAGACCCAAGAGTAAGATGGAAGATGCCTCTGCTGAACAGGGCAGAGCGGTATAGTACAGCCACGTCACGGAGAAAGCCGTCGTATTTCGAGGGATTTATTGGGGCATGCACCTGATGGCTCAAACCTCGCTAGGGTTGTGAATGGTCGTTGGAAACTAAACATACACGGCCATGGTGGGAGGAGCCATTCACTGTCTGGGTCGGAGAGCCACCCTACTTTGTCACAACGAAGAACACGGCATGCTTCCGTTCGACCCCAACTGATCATAATCTCGAACCATACCATCTTGTGGCATACCAAGCAGCCAAGGAGTATTCAATTCCAGTCCACGGAAGAGGGGCTTTAGGCCATGCCTGCATAACGTTGGCGGACATGTCTCCCAGTTTGTGCTTGTGTTACGCCCTGAAATATCGATGTAGCAACGAACCGGCAAGGTTTGAGGGTTTTGCTAGGATGGTCAGCTGTCTTCGAGATTGGTGACCTTCACTTGCAAATCACCCATATGCATGATACTAAATGGCAGTGGTTTGAGCACGCAGGCACAAACACCTTAGCTAACTTCATGAAAGAGTTCAAAGAAAAAGTGGGTTTCCATCGCGGAAAGAAAGCGCTGTTGTCGGAACCAAGCTCATTTGAGCCTATCCATCATGAAGTGAGGATTGTTCTGCGGCTCCATTGAGATCGACTCCCGACGTCGACGGTGTCCTGCGAGATGTCTCCCGTCGCTGCTCCACAAGGTTCTGGAACCTTTAGACGGACGGCAAATCGTGATTATCCATTGCTGACAGCCCCCGCAATTCCTCCAGCAGGGTTGCTATGGACTGTGGAGAGCCTATAACCCCCAGCGAAGACAGCAAATGAAACGCCTCTCCGATTGGGAGAAGACATGCTTCTCATGCGAGTCAGAGTCAAGATTACTGCACATTGTATGTGGCATTGCAGCAAACCAAAATCTAGCAAACAAAAGCAAGTAATCAGAGAAGGATGGGCCGACCGATTTTGGTGATGGTTGAGTAGAAGTGCATGCTTGTTGTTGGAGTTCGGTTAAACTGGATGCAATCTACGAACTTGCCAGTGGGTTGCCCGAACAGGCCAAGTCTCGTGATCCTTTTCTATCGCCATCCCTTCTACTCGGTGATTCCACTTCATTGCTTTCCCGTTGCAGGCCTTCTCTTGACAATACATTGTCACAGGGTAGATCGGAGTCTCAGATACAGACGTCCAGAGACCGAATCATGCATGAGTTTATCATCCCCTACTCGGCGGATCTGACAGCGTCTTCCCAAGGAATATCCTTGTTGATTGATATGCAACCATCCGATATGCAGCTACAAGCGACGACCTGACAGGACAATATGCTGCAAGCCGTTCGGCTCGTCCATTCATAGCCAAAAGAACTGACAGCCATCAGCATCAGGATGGCCGACGCTCAAGCCTGTCACTTGTCGCTCTCCTCTGAATTCTCTCATTGGGGCACTGCACAGACAGCTCGTTAGTAGTTCCTTTCTCCCTAGGCATGGGCTTGGCTTAGCCACTAGGCTAAGGCAACTCTTCGAGTCTTTCTACGTTATTGGATTCCTTCTATCTGGCTCGTCTCTCGGCTTACGGGAGGCCTCAGTCTATGATTGTGCTTTCTCCCTTCCTCGATTTCGGCCACCCCTCTCTAACCGCAGCACCACCCACTCGATGACCCCCGTCGCAAGGGGATTCCCCGCAGATCAACTGCGAGACGGAAAAAACTGTGCGACCAGGAACACAGTGTGGGATATCTTGCTGGCGAAGTATTTAAGATACGATGTTGTTCTGCTTCAAAATGTTCTCTTGTCATTCTCTGCTTCGGAGTACAGGCACTTGTTCCGTGTGTTTCTACCCTCTGTTTCCTGTTCAAACCCCCGTTGGCAGGAGACCGGATTGACCTAAAGTTCTTGAGCGCTGGCACAAACCATTAGACCAAGCAATCATGCAGCCCGCAGATATTTTCGTAGGATCCATTGATCAGGGCACCACCAGCTCCCGATTTCTGATCTTCAATCGAGACGGTGAGCCCGTGGCCTCCCACCAAGTCGAATTCACACAGATCTATCCCAATCCAGGGTATGCCCGGCGAAACAACATCGCTTAGCAGCATTGCTTCGTGCTAACATTCTCTCCAGGTGGCATGAGCACGATCCACTGGAGCTCGTTTCGTCCGTTGAGACCTGCATTGAGGAGGCGGTCAAACAGTTCGAATCGACAGGCTACTCCCAGTACAGCATCAAGGGGATCGGTATCACAAACCAGCGGGAAACGACCGTCGTTTGGGACCATGAGACTGGCGAGCCTCTTTACAACGCCATCGTCTGGACTGATACCCGCTCACAGACCATCGTACACGAGCTCAAACAGAAATGGGAAGCATCGCAACTACAGCAGATCTGCGGTCTCCCTCTCTCCACCTATTCCTCGTCTTCAAAACTTCTGTGGATGCTATCCAACGTCCCAAAAGTGAAAGATGCATACCAGCGAGGCACGTTAGCATTTGGAACGGTGGACGCATGGCTTGTGTACCGTTTGAATGGTGGAGCAGCAGCAAACGTGTTCGTATCCGATCCTACAAACGCCTCACGGACGATGTTCATGAATCTTGAGACTCTGCAATACGACAACTTCCTTCTGGACTTCTTTGGTATTAGAGGAAGGGTCCATCTACCCAAGATTGTGCCTTCCTCAGACACCAAGGCCTACGGAAAATTGGCATCTGGAATCCTCGCTGGCGTTTCCATCATGGGCTGTCTCGGTGACCAGTCGTCGGCACTTGTCGGTCAGAAGCGATTCTCACCGGGCATGGCAAAGAACACTTACGGAACAGGGTGTTTCCTCCTCTACAACGTCGGCGACAAGCCAGTCATTTCGAAGCATGGTCTGCTAGCCACTGTCGCTTATCATTTCGATGGTAAAGCAGTGTATGCTCTTGAGGGCAGCATTGCGGTTGCCGGATCTGGCATCAAGTTTCTACAAAATAACCTCAACTTCTTCGGGGATTCCAAGGAGGTGAATGATCTTGCCATGACGGTCGAGGATAACGGCGGCTGTGTGTTTGTCACGGCTTTCAGTGGTCTTTTTGCGCCGTACTGGATTGACGATGCGAAGGGAACGATGTGTAAGTTGATCTCAATGATTCATTCTCTCGCCATTTGTGCTGACATGAACTTGCAGTTGGGATTACACAGTACACTCAGAAGGGGCATATCGCACGAGCAACGCTGGAGGCTACTTGCTTCCAAACCAAAGCTATTCTAGATGCAATGGAGAAAGATAGCGGGCACGCGCTCTCGGAACTGGCCGTTGACGGCGGTGTTAGCAATTCAGATCTGGCTATGCAGGTACAGTCACCACTCAACTTTTCTTCGAACACAACGCTAACCTCGGTGTACACTCTAGATTCAAGCAGACCTGATTTCAATTCCGGTGTACCGCCCCAAGATGCGCGAAACTACAGCACTAGGTGCCGCAATAGCTGCTGGACTCGCGGTTGGAATGTGGAGAAACTTCGCCGAGCTGCGGGATATTAATCGTGCTGGAGGCGCCGTCTTTGAGCCCAAGATTAGCCGGGAAGCAAGCGCTCAGTCTTTCTCCCGGTGGGAGAAGGCTGTCGGAATGTCCAAGGGCTGGGTCGGAGGCGAGCAAGTGCCTCCCGTGCAAGCCGTGCAACCTATTCCAAAGGAAAGCAAGGAAGACGCCCCCGAGGTTGGAACGAATCACACCACCATGAAGGTTGCGCCGGCGAAGCTTAACGGAGAGATCGTGCCACCCAAGGTTCCCTTGATTAGTATATCCGGGGACCTAGACGATGCCGACGAGGAGGAGTTGTATCTGGAGCTCCGGAAGGTGGAAATCTTACAGCGGCTCAAGAAACTTCGAAAACTCAAGATTTCCTTTTTCTGAAATAACTTCATTTCGAGTTCAATCACGTCTAATAGCGGAATTCATGGTGGCCATTCATCCTACGGTGCTATACAAATAGATTAACATATTTCCTGTACTTCCTGAACTTTATGCGCGATATACATTCTGTAGTGCATTCGGACCCGGAAGCAGCTCTCCCAACTGCATCATCCTTGGCCATGTATGTTGCACAGCTAACACCGTCGCTGATGTGAGAATGACTGATTGCGTCCTCCTGACTCTTTATTACTAGCTTTTGCCTCTGGGAGGTAAAACTATCATGTCCCTATCTAGGGACTATCTGCCGTTCGAACGAACCACACAACTCGGACGCGTTGAAGACTGCTGACTCCTGATTATTAGGATTTGGTCTGATTAACTGTGTAAATGACGTGGCGGTCGCGTACAGAAAAAGTGAACTTGATGTCGCATAATCTCGTAAGTGGAGAAATCAGGCACGGCATTCTTATATATCTGAGGTAGCGACAACATGTCATTTCATCAACTGATACATAACCCACAACCAACAGGGTCAAAAGTGATAAGTGGCGAACGAACATCCCAAATGATCAGGATCAGTGTCCCGTACGCTGACCCTCACCCTCCCTCACAAAAACACAATTCAATTCCGAACCAGGGCTGAGCGTAACCTCAAACCGCAGAACAGGGTCCTCGACCCGATTCTTCCCATTGGCAGGCAAGGCGCAGACGGACTCAAAGGCTTGCAGAATGCGCACAATCGTGTAACCCATCTCGATGGTAGCAAACTGCTGCCCGATGCAGATCCGCGGCCCTCCATTGAAGGGGATGAAATGCCAGGGCCGAGGTTGCCAGGCAGACAGCCAGCGTTCGGGAGCCACTTTTCCGGGTCGAAGTACGTCGGCGAGCCCGGGGGGTCGTAGTTCTCCGCGCTTCGCTGCATGATCATCGTCGAGTAGATGATGCGGGTGTTGGCGCGCACGCCGATGGGGGAGAGCCCGTCAGGCCCGCCGCCACGCGGGAGGGTGGTGTCGCGGAGGGAATAGCGGACGTTGAACGGGACGACTGGGTACAGTCGCATGGTCTCGTTGAGGACGGCGCTGAGGTATTTCATTTCCTTGAGGTCGTTGTAGGTGGGTTTACGGCCCTTGGGGCCGAGGCCGAGACGGGCGTCGATCTCCTGGCGCAGTTTGGCAACGACGTGTGGATTGCGGGCGAGTTCGAAGACGCAGAAGGATAGCGTTGCGGCTGTTGTGTCGCGTCCGGCAAGGAGGACGGCAACGAGCTGATCGCGTAGGACGCGTGGATCTCGAGTGAAGCGGGCCAGGGCGTCGAGGAAGGATTCCTGTTTGGTGAGCTTCTGGTCGAGTTCGGAAGGTGTTAATGAAAGCACCCGGTCGATGTATGGTTGGAGGAAGCTATCCATCACTTTGAGCTCCTGCCGAAATTTTCTCTTGGAGAGGATGAAGCTAAAGACGCTGAGCGAGTCGGGTGTCAGTGGGGATGCTTTGGTCATGATTGAGTGACGAGACCTGGACCTACCCCAAACGAAACAACTCCGACTGACGGCTCTGCACATATCTGAATGCCTCTGCAAATCTGGTCTCGGGGTTTTGCAGACTATCCGTGCCTTGACCCAAGAGATAATCCGTTGCCGCATCCAAAGTGAAACGGAAGAACAGAGAACCGACATCGACTTTCTTGCTTCCGCCGGGTGCGTCGCTCCCCGCCAGCAAGGGAATGAGGTGCTGAACGTGCTTCTCGAAGATCTCGGTGTCGACAATGCGCTCCCGGGCGAACATGGGTCGGATAAGATGGCGTGAACGCGACCACAGTTCACCGTCAGTAGCGAAGATACTGTCCCCAAGGAACTCCTTCCACTCGCGATGGAAAGGCTCCCCTTTCCCATAATCTGCAAACTGTCCGGTGAGAAGAGCTTTGATGTTCTCAGGGTCCTTGGTTAGAATCACCCGATTGGAGACGCCTCCGTCCACCTCCGCGGTCTTGACATGGTCAATTTTCGATGCTCCTTTGGCGGTGCGAATGGCTTGATGCCAGAATTCAAGGTCTTCGTGAATATTGTGGGCTTTTAACGCTTTATAGATGAAATCGATGGCTGAGACGAACAATTAGCAACTTGGAAGGAGTCTGTTATGTATCAGATACCTACCATATGGCAGACGGAAGCCAACTCTAGGAGCTCTGTATCCTAGCATTGAAATTTGCGTCGACACTTGTGCCTTACGGAGCAAGCAGATAAGGAAGAAGGCCCCCAGGAGGTAGAGAGTCGCCATCCCAAGGGGCATTTGGGCAATGAGGTCTTCAATCATGTTCGATTTGAATGTCGTTGAAGCAACAGGGCAAACCGTGATTGACACAATATTCAGCTAGGAAAAACAACTCTATCAAGCTGGAATCCACTGACAATAAGTATGGAGCATCTCAGAAGCACAAAATGGATTAATCTACACATGGGAGCACAGGTAACTGGGCACTGGACATACGGCTATGGCGCCGTTGGCCTTCGGTCTTCGGTGGGATCGCCCCCCGGATGATTCAATATTATTATTCCCTGTCAAACTGCCAACCTGCATCCTGTCTTCGAGTCATGAATCTCTCTAGTCCCTGACTCACACCGGGAATACGATGCTGGAGATGTCTGGTAAATCTCGTTGGATACGAGGAACAGTCGAGTTCGGTCCATGCTCCTCCAAGACTCCAGAGGCTCAGGCTCTCACATGGGATGATATACCCTGTAAGTCGATGATCAATTAGTCTCTCCTTCTCCGCTAAGCCCGCAATTGCTCAGTAGAGTCTAAATTGACATTTGCCCCTTTCGAGGCATGCTTGCGAACCCCGCTTGTCGAGTCCTTGTCCGAACTCCGAAGCATAAAGGCGAGCATAAGGGTTGGGATTCAGAAAATGGTTGTTTGAACCCCGGTTGTGCTATTCTCATCTCAGATGCGCAGTATGTCAAAGGGTGTTCCAATCCTAGTTTACCGGCTTGTTCCAGTCTAACAAAGGAGTATTTGAGAGATCATGATCAGAAACCATGGCGCATCAACAGGAGAAAAATGCGAATGCAGCCACGATAGATGGCGAGTCATAACGAGACTTAAGTCGGCAAGTCAGCACACAGCCTGAGGCACCAAGTCAATGATTTGCTATGATATACATTATTATGGACCGGTGAGGTCTTGAGTGCTATCTGAAGCTCTCATAAACAAGCTGTAGCACTTTTGGCCTTCATGGTAGTTATTCTTGAGATTGTAAGGCAGCAAGGCACCTAACTGCTCGTGTGGAGAAAGGTTTGCATCGTTTGTTCAAGGCGCGACCTCAGCCTTCAGCACGTGACGCTGTGGCTTATGAAATGAGCTTGGCGTCTATCATCATCAGCAGCCAAAAGTCTGGAATATTGCCTAAGACAAGCAACTCTGAATTCCGTGCCTTTCAACCCTTTATTCTCGCAGAAAATACTTTCTTAGGTCGAAAAGTACCCTTGAACTTTTCTTTGCAAACGAAAAGGCAGACAGACTCTGCCAAAAAAAAAAAAAAAAAAAAAATATAAAGCCCCTGCAAACAGGTGGCGGGAACTAATACTGCACAACCCAACCATCAGTCCTGTGCATCAGTCACATTCATCCCCATACGATCACCACAATGGCTTCGGTAGTCGCGGCTGGCAGTCCTCTGGAGCAGGCTCTCAGCAATGTCATCCCACCTAAACTCGTGGAGATGGGCTGGAGCTCCGATGGCGGCGATGATTCTGCTTTGACCGAATATGTGATTCTCATGCTCCGCAACGGCAAAACTCAAGAACAAATCGCGAACGAACTCTCAAACGATTTGCTCGGTCTGGGCGAAGGAGACACACAGGCTTTAGATTTCTCGAGATGGTTATTCGACCAAGTTGAAATCTTGAACCGCCAGATAAATGGCGGTGGCGCACCGACAGCAAACCAGTCCGCACCTACGCAAGCAATCCCATCTTTTAACGATCAAACACCAAGTCTTTCTCATAATGGGCTTCGCGTTGAAAGCTCTGAACAGGATGCTGAGATGGGTATGGAGGATGCCGCGGCCGGGGATGATTCGATGTGGGTTCTCGCTTGCGGACGACTACCTTGGACTTGAGCTAACAGAGACAATAATAGACCTACAGGACCTAAAGCGATGCGTGGCGGCCGCCAGGCTGGAAGGGGTCGCATGTTAAACCAGATCAACAGGACATTAGATCGCAATAATGACTCGTCTCTCCATCGTGTCCGTGGTCAACAGGGTCGAGTCAATTCACATGGCCGTGACCAAAAGGGACGGTTCCACCAGAATGGTGGAGGTAGACGCCAAGGGAATGGAATGGGGATGGGCCCCAACCAAGCGATGATGAATATGACTTCGCAGGATCAGATGCATCTGATGTCTCTGTTGGAAGAACAGGCTCGGATGATGGCGCAGTTCATGCCTGGTTTCGTCTCTCCCGCGATCAATCCCGCCTTCCAGCAGAACGCGCAACAGCAACAGGGACGCTCGCTGTTTGATCGTGTTGAACGCCAAGGACGTCCGCACGGCCACTCGAATCGCGCCCACAACCAGGGTGCTTACGTCAAATCGAAAGGTGACGCCGATACCGACATGGATACCAAGCCTGATGGTGCACAGGATGAGAACAACACCGACAGTGTCTGTCGCTTCAATCTGCGCTGTTCCAGAAAGGACTGCCCTTTCGCTCATCAATCGCCGGCTGCCCCCGAGGGCACCCCTGTAGATGTTGCGGACCCGTGCCCATATGGAGCTGCGTGCAAGAACCGAAAATGTACAGGACGCCATCCTTCGCCTGCCGTCAGATCCGCACATCAAGCTGAGGAGCTTTGCAAGTTTTTTCCAAACTGCGCGAACCCTCATTGCCACTTCAAGCACCCCTCGATGCCTCTGTGTCGCAATGGAGCCGACTGCTCGACGGAAGGCTGCAAGTTTACGCATCTTCAGACTGCTTGCAAGTTCAACCCGTGCCTGAACCCCAGCTGCCCTTACAAACACGCCGAAGGCCAGAAGGGTGCTTTCCCCGACAAGGTATGGTCTGCGGATTCAAACAAGCCTCGTGTCAGTGAGAGGAAGTTTGTTTCGGATGAGAATGCTACGGAAGAGTTGATCAAGCCGGGTGCTCCAACCGAGGATTCTACGCAGAACCAGGAAGTCGTTACGTGATACCCCGCCGAATACTGGTGATGGATTTTAGAATTTGCGTCAAAAAAAGATATCTCCAGAGCTTGAATTTCTATTGTACTATTCTCATTTTGTGGATGGTGGGCAGGTGGATGGGCGTTTGCGTGTTTTCTTTCGACGATCCGTGGGAGTATAATGACAGACAGAACATCATGTTGGTTTGTAAATAGATTAGGATATCATCAAGGGTGCTTAAATTGCATAACACCTATTTTCATGCAACATCCGATCATCTATTCAATAATAACATCTCTCTGTAGCAATGTACCTGGATTCGATAACATATCCATCTCCTGGTCGAGGTAGTTGGTCCAGCGTATAGGAAGTAACTGCTGATAATTTTACACCGCCGGGCGTCGGAAGTAGACAAGAGAGATCTCTCGTATGATCCCCTCCAATGATGTTACTCTGTACACTCTGTCAGTCATTTCTCGTTCTACAAAATCGCTGAGATGCGACTGCCATGTGCTCCTAGCCGTGCACTCAGAGCAGTCCGGACGCCATTGGCGTTCGCTCGCAATGGCCAGTGGCACTCGCTGCATACCGGCACTTATAATGCTGCGGTCATAGGAGGTGGTATCACAGGCCTAACAACAGCTTTCCGCCTAACACAGGACCCAGCATGTTCCAAAATCGCACTCTTTGAGGAAGCCCCTGAAGTAGGGGGGTGGATGAGCTCTTCAGTAGTCAAAGATCCTGCTGGGAACCAGGTCGTCTTCGAAGACGGGCCGCGGACCTTGCGGGCTGTGGCACCTGCGTGTCTTCCGCTTCTTGACTTGGTATGGGGAGAAATTGTTCTTAACCTTTGATTCTTGTCTTCTCTTTTGATTGCTAACTCGTTTCTTCTTGCAGCTAGTCGAGCTCGATTTACTAGACGATGTACTCATAACCAGCAAAACCTCCCCGGCCGCCACGAACCGTTTCATATACTACCCAGATCACCTTGTTCGCCTACCGACCCCTGATCCCCGGAGCGGTTTCTTCGGGCACGCTTTCGAATTAATTAGGACGGTGTTCACGGAACCCCTTTTCGAGAACGCAGTGTGGAATATCCTCTCGGAGCCGTTGAAGCCGCGCCCGGAGCGCAGGCCTCAGGATGAATCCCTCGCGGAATTTTGGTCACGGCGGCTGTCCCCCGAAGTCGCGGATAACCTGGTGTCTCCAGTATTCCATGGCATTTTTGCGGGTGATATTGACCGTCTGAGCGCTCAGTACTTGATGGGAGCAGCTCGGGAAATGGAAAACCATGAACGTCGCGTGATCGGGGGCTACTTGGACACCATGTCATCGGGAGTCAAATACATGGTGATGGATGACCTGCTGGCTTTGCATTCGCTGTCGAAGACTAAGCAGAAGGCATACTGGAGGAGTCTCCAGACGTTGATCAGGGGGGCTAGTGTCTTGACGTTCAAGAATGGGACGCAACAGCTTGCTCATCGTTTGGCTGAGGTGTTGCGCCAGTCTAACAAAGTACGGTTATTAACTGGCACCGAGGTGACGGCCATCAGCCAGAATCCGGATACTTCTGACTTGACCGTGAGTGAACCATTCGATTTGCGGCTACCGAAGCGAACTACTTCCTGATACATGTGATTGCAGGTCCACTATGGAGAAAACAAGTCTGAATCCTACAACCGTATCATTGCTACAAACCCGGCCCCCGATCTCGCAGAGAAATTGGCCAAGCCTATCAGGCCGGGACAGCAACTCCCGCAAAACTCGATACGCCACTTGAAGGAGCACAATTACGCTGTGACGGTGGCAGTCGTTAACCTCTTCTTTGAGACGCCTGACCTACTCCCCGTTCAGGGTTTCGGATACCTGATCCCGCGGTCCATCCCATACGAACAGAATCCCGAAAGGGCGCTGGGCGTGATCTTTGGGTCTGAGACCAGTATAGGCCAAGATACGAGAGACGGCACAAAGGTCACGGTGATGATGGGCGGTCATTGGTGGGACGGCTGGAAGGAATCCGACTATCCCTCCACCGAAGCCTCCATTGCCATGGCCCGTGACGTACTCGCAAGACATCTTAACATCACCGAGGAACCTATATTGGTTGGGGCAAATTTGAAGAAGAATGCCATTCCACAGTACACCGTGGGGCACCTGTCGCGCATGGAGGAATTATCAGAAGCTGTCCGCCATGACTTCAAGAACCGGCTGACTCTGGCTGGAAATTGGTACAATGGCATCGGGGTGACGGACTGTATTCGGCAAGGATACATGGCTGCGTCGTATGGCGTTGGTGCAATGAAGCTCGACGCTCCGAACCGCAATGTCCCGTGGGTAAGGCATAACTGGGAGAATTGGGATCTGGAGGGAGGTATTCCAATGTCCCCTGTGCGGTGGACGGATACCTTTGCATCGGAGCGCAGTCAGTTCTACTGATTAGTGTTTGAAGCTGGCCTGCTCTTCTCTTGCACAATGTACAATATTCTCTTCTCTTGCACAATGTACAATATTTGCGAATTTTGGGTTGATAAAGATAGGGACCTTGAATTTGACGATCAATGCACTAAGATGTTTTCAAGTATGAACTCGATGACTTTGAGCCAGCAACAACTCAGATGAAATATGTCTGAATAAAATTGGTATATGAGCATTAGCAATCCCGGAGCTGTCAATTAGAGGTCATTCCCCATGGTCATACCAGACCTCGCGATGGAAGTCCGCCAGACTTAAGCCATCTAACGAGAATAGTTCGTAGTAGCGACATTGGTCCGTCTGCACATGGCCATGGCCAATCTCTGGCGCTGTCAAGAGCTGCTTAGAGGTGTTATGTGCTGCCAACATCATAAGACAGCGCTCGTGACTGGCAGCAGTCGGTGATTCGGTAGCTGTGTATGCTTGTACATGGCACGAATATGCTACTCCCAACGAGGACCATAGTCGAATGCGGCAAGAGTCTTCTGGTCGTAATGGTGCAACGCGTTTCTGAATGCAATAGTGCATCCAGTTACAAGTTCACCTCAAGCACCCCTCTTCTCCTTCTCCTTCTCTTCCGTGGCGCCTTTCTTCTCTCCCTCAGAATCGAACCCTAGCGCGTCCAGCTGCCGGATTAGCTCCTGGATTTTGATCACTTTCTCCAACTGCTCAGGGAGCAGTGCCTCGCCCTGGTTCTTCTTATCACGCAAATCGCGAGCCTGTCGCAGTTTCTTCTTGAGATTCCGTGCTTTCTTCTCCTTCTCAGCTTCGGGATCCACCTCGGGCTGAGTTTCTGGGGCGGCCTCCTTCTTGTCGGCAGCAGGCGCACCCGACCGCCAGTTCCCCATATCCCTCACGTTTTGTCCGTTCGCGGTGGTCGTAGATTCAGCACCCTCCGCCGTCTTGGCCTTCTTCTTTGCCTCGCGCCGTTTCGCGTTCTTGTTGCTGGCGGCAGTGTTTGCCTTGCTCTCGGTGACTTCGTTCAATCCTTCTGCGCCAGGAACCCCGCCGGTACCGCGGTTTCGCCATGCAGCCGCGGCGCGGTTCTTGTACAGCTCGACATCTTCTGGGGGGCGATATCCCGGTCGAACACGGATCTCGCGACGCTTCGAACCGTCTGCTCGGACTGATGAGGGGATGTAACGTTCTCCAGTCTGGGCATCCTCGGTGATGCCGGAATTTGTGGGGGCCATGTTTTCTTTTCTTTCTTTCTTTTTTTCTTTTTTCTTCGTGCTACTGAGTCACGGTCGGATCTGGTGCTGATCACACAGAGCGTATGGTGAACAGTGTAATATGCTGTGGAGTGTCTAGTGAGTCTCAAATCAACTCAGAAAGGACTTGGGAATGATAGATAGGCGCTGCAGTGATTCCCAAGCTTTCACTTGATCGTCATCCAGGAGACTATTCAAAGGAGGCTAGTAGATAGATGGATAGAAGATGAAATGCGTCCAGGCGGAAACCCGGAGGCTCTGCGTGAACTGGTTCCGGCGGGCCAATCAGCGACCCGATGATTCCCGCTGCTGCTTTTCGCGTGGACTTGAAACTTCAACCTCTCCGTTCGGCAGTAGAAGTACCTTGTTCAGACTTACCTGGCCCTGCTCTTCTCGCTCGAGTTCCCCCCTCTCCTTTCTAATCAACTCCTTCATAACTCACAATGCCCGGCGCCGTAAGTGGATTTTCTCTCCTCGAAGTCGAATGGTGACCGTGCAATTGGCTAACCGCAGTCCCTCCGTCACAGATCGCTTCCTCCCTCTACCAGCATGTCTCCCTACCACCTTCGCACGATACTGGACACGACTAATCTGAGCTATCCGTCACAATCTATAGGGGCCTGTTCCGCAGAAATGCCGTCTACCTGACCACCATTTTCGCCGGTGCCTTCGCTTTCGAGCTGTACGTTGGGATAATCCGGCCCGGCATTCCCTGGAATCAATCGCTGACAATGCTATCCGAACAGCGCCTTCGATACCTCTACCAACAAGGTCTGGGATACCATGAACCGCGGTGTATGTGCCCTTCCCGGACGTGATATCTTTTGTGCGCAAGATACGGATCATATGACTGACTGGGCTCTGTCTTAATTCAACAGCGGCAATGGAAGGATATCAAGTCCCGCTACATCAACAAGGAGGAGGAAGATGAGGACTAGAGGTGTCCATGCTTGCTAGACTAATGGAGACGCAGCATCAATCGGCATCAGATCCGTCCTCGGGGGGAGTGGTCTGATGTCCATGTTACAATACTGCTGAGTACAAAGGGGGACTTGTTGTTATTATTTTCAGCCTGACTGTATGCAATAGAATCTGGAAAATCTGTGATCAGTTCTAAGTCTACCTTGTTCTTGCGTATCTTCTGATCGTGTTCGGATTGAGGGAGGTTCATAGACGGCCGGATATCGTAGAGCATCACCTAGCGGCGAGTAGATACACGAATGGGGTTCCGAGTGGCGGTGGTGAGACTCGCACGCAACCAAGAAATAACAGAGCATCACGTATATTCACCCTTCATAGAGCGGTAATCCTCATATTATCTACATATCTTGACGCAGACTAGAAAGATTTATCCATGGGTTGAAGGGTCTCCATGGTGTGTGGTGTCCGTTTTGGCGAGAGCTCGGTTCCCCCCCGCTGAGTGACATGATTAAATATTGTTACGTCCTCATTTAGTTCTCATTCACAAGTGATCAAGCATCAACTAACATCCTTTCTTTTGTCTCTTTCTGATTAGGTTGACATTATCTCTATCCCTTCTTGTTTCATATATTATTGAACAATCGTTTTAGCGCTTCTATCGCGACGTCAACCTTTTCTACAGATAACTTCATCCCGTCCGGAATCGATCATCGGTCCCCCGCCTCTGCGCAGCTCCCACCTCATCGGCCACGTCTACGGAATTATCACTCCTCACCTCATTTCAAGCTGATCGGGAGTGGCGCCGCTGCATATTTTACCATAAAGGATGCTCACGGAATGTGAGAGACGACTTGGTGAAGGCCTTCTCCGGCTTCCCGCCCGCCACGAGTACCGTTACGGACATCGAGCCGAACAAGAGCTTCTCCAGCTCCTCTTCCGGTCATTGGTGGGATTCGATGAAAACCGGCTCCAACAATTATTCCCGGATTCTTACCCGGATGGGCCCTGGAAGCTAGCACAAGCCCAAGGCGCGAAGGAAGGGGCCGAATATACTGAAGCTGCGCGGGGAAGACGATGCGGTCATATCTTCCGGGCCGGCGAGGCGACATACCGATGCATCACCTGTGCCGTGGATGAGACGTGCGTGCTCTGTAGCCGCTGCTTTGACTCATCCGACCATACTGGTCATCAGTACCAGGTTTCGCTTTCCTCGGGCAACTGTGGATGCTGTGATTGCGGTGACGATGAAGCCTGGCGGCATCCGCTGTTCTGCGCAATCCATACCGATAGCGGCGAGGATAAGGGCAAAGAGCGTGCTCAGGACCAGGTGCCGCCTGATTGGGTGGATAATATTAGGATGACAATCGGCCGGGCGATGGATTATTTCTGCGACGTTCTCTCGTGCTCGCCGGAACAGCTGAGACTACCAAAGACAGAGGAAGGGATCAGACAGGACGAGAAGGATTCCCGACTCACGGGCGAATGGTACGGTGGCGGTGATCCGGAGGAGGACGAACCGGAATGGGCACTTGCCCTCTGGAACGACGAGAAACACACTGTTCGGGATGTTGCTCATCAAGTATCTCGAGCCTGCAGGGAGCGGAACCGCTTCGGTGATGAAAAGGCCAATGAAACCAACGACATTGGACGAAGTGTGATCAAGATCTCGAAAGATTTGCGGCAGTTGCTCCACGTCCTGAGCATCATCGAACACATCAAAGTCACTGTGACGGTGCGGTCAGCCCGCGACACGTTCCGGGAGCAAATGTGTGGGGCCATTGTCGAATGGCTGTCCGATATAGCTGGGGCTAGTATCTTCGATGACAACCAGATCTTGCGCCATATTGTCTGTGAGGAGATGCTCAAACCTTGGCGACGGGGCAGCCGTGCCCTCAACGCGGGCATTGGCATGAAAGGGATTGACGATCATCAAATGGAGGATAATTCGCCTTTCCGTTCATTCATGGCGGCCGCTATCGTTCGTCAGGGCCGGATGTTTCTCGCCGAAGATGAACTCGACGACGATGACGATGATATCGCCAACGACCGGGATGACGAGGACGATATTGACGCTAACGAGGAATTGGATGATGAGGATGAAATGGTGATCGATCTTAACAGATTACGAGAAGAAGTTGAAGACGAGGACTTGGTCATGGGCGATGCTGATTACACGGGAGATGCCATCCAGATTGCTCAGACACTGCTGGAGGAGGTTCGGCGCAATCGCGCTGCGCAGCCCGGGCAACCGCCGCGAGGTCACCAAGAGCTTCTAGATCAACCAGCAGTACAGCAAGGTCAGCCAACTGAGGCAATAGAGCCAGGCCGGGGCGAGATGCCTGCCCGTGCCAACGAACCAAATACGGACGACGTTGTCGAATCTGATGGCACGTCCACGGTTGCGATCCCTAAGACTCCCGCGGGGGTGATCAGGCCTCCACCAGCCAGGCCACCGGGATACTGGCTCGCTCGACCTGCCGGCTTCTCCTTCACGGAAAATGTGCCTGTGTATGAGGACTTCTACAGGCGTACGCGCTTAGACTGGATGATCTTATTCGATTTAAGACTATGGAAGAAGACCCGCACTAATCTTCGCGACCTCTACATCAGTACCGTCGTCAGTATACCTCAGTTCAAGAGGATTCTAGGCTTACGTATGTCGGCCCTATACACTGCGCTTGCGCAACTGTACTTGATCGCAGACAGGGAGCCGGACCATTCCATTGTCAATCTCTCCTTACAGATTCTCACTACCCCCTCAATCACTGAAGAGATTGTGAGGCGCGGGAATTTCTTGACTAAAGTTATGTCCATTCTCTATACGTTCCTCACGACCAGACAAGTTGGTGAACCGTATGAGGTGAATCCAAATGCAACATTGGCATTCGATGCAGGAACCGTCACCAATCGTCGTCTTTACCACTTCTTCCTCGATTTACGATACCTTCTGCAGTCCGAATACGTGCAGAATCATGTTCGCAACGAAGAGCAATACCTCTCACAATTCCTGGACTTCATCAAATTGTCACAAGGCATTTGCCCCAACGTTCGTGCGGTCGGTGAGCACGTCGAATACGAGACGGACGCCTGGATCAGTGCTTCGATCTTGATGCGGGAAATCAACCGTCTCTGTCGTCAGTTCTGCGAGGCCTTCCGCAAACCGGAACTTGATGGCGGGATGAATCTGTTCCGAGCACTTCAAATTGCGACAGTTTCAGCAATCGTTCACTCTGCTGGACTCGAACGCAAGCGATTCGACCAGGCAGAGATCAGGGATTACGTACGGTTCAAAACCCTGCCGTGCTTTGATTTCGAGGTCGACCAAGCAGGTCAGATCCCGCGCTATCGTGTTGTTGATTTCGTCGTGGAGAAGGGCTATATCAGTTTTCACCATGCTGTCCACTATACTCTGTCTTGGCTGCTCGAATGTGCCCGTAATATGAGTGATACTCAGATGCGTGAGGCGCTCCTACTCGCCGCCCGTGCGGCAAACGACAATTTTATCCACGACGACTCTCTGAGTCCCGACGATTTGCTACTCGCAATGTTCGACTTCCCGCTTAGAGTTTGCGCCTGGTTGGCGCAGATGAAGGCGGGAATGTGGGTGCGCAATGGTCTCAGTCTCCGGCATCAAATGTCGCAATATCGAGGGGTATCATCGCGTGATTTTGCTTATTACCGTGATATCTTCCTGCTCCAGACTGCGCTAGTGACGTGTGATCCCAGTAGGGTTCTGGCATCCATTGCGGATCGATTCGGAATCGTCGATTGGATGACCCGAAACTATACTCCTCGAGCTGGCTTCGAGGACGCCCAGATCATTGATGTAGCGGAGGAGTTTGTCCATCTTCTGATTGTGCTGCTGACGGATCGGAACTCACTCACGACCGCTGACGACAGTCAGACTGTGACTCGCGACAATATCAAGCGAGATATCGCACATGTCTTGTGCTTCAAGGCTCTTTCGTACTCAGACCTGTCGACGCGTCTAAGTGACAAGCTGCTCGACTCAGACATGTTCCAGGATACTTTGGATGAGGTCGCTGGATTCCGTCCACCGGAAGGCTTGAACGACACTGGCACTTTTGAGCTCAAGCCGGAGTATATCGATCTCATCGATCCATACAGCGCCCACTACACCAAGAATCAACGGGATGAGGCGGAGAACATCTACAGAGAATGGATGGCCAAAAAGACGGGGAAGAAGCCGTCCGATATTGTCTTTGAGCCCAAGCTTCGACCTATCACCTCGGGGGCCTTCTCTGATCTGTCTCGATTCACGGGGACCCTGCTGTTCGCTCAGATCGTACACCAGTGTCTTGATTTCGTAATGACATCAAAGGATCGTTCGCCTACTGTTCCGCCCACACGTGTTGAAACCTTCCTACAAGTGGTGCTTCATCTTGTACTCGCTGCTACACTTGAGGACAATACCAGAGAAGACGAGATACATGATGAGACAAAGGGATCGTTCATCTCTTATGCACTGTCCAAGGCTAGGCAGACTCAGGCGGGTAACCTAACTATCATCGGATTGTTGGAGAAGATATCTGTCATGGCCGAATTCTCTGCCTGCGGGCCCAAGATCCGTCATATTCTGAAACGTCTGTGGCAGAGGCGCCCTCAAGCATATGCGTCTGCCACAGCTTCTCTCAGATTCCCATTCGACAGGGTGGACACGAGCTCTCCTGCTATTGATACGGATAATGAGAGGGAGCTGAAGAAGAAACAAGCTCTCGAAAGACAGGCAAGGGTCATGGCTCAATTCCAACAGCAGCAGCAAAACTTCCTGAATAGCCAAGGTGACATCGACTGGGGCGAGGAAGATTTCAGCGACCTCGAGTCGGAGCCTGAGGCCGCTCCTGAAGCCCGCGTCTGGAAGTACCCTAGTGGCACTTGTATTCTTTGCCAGGAGGAGACAAACGACTCCAGGCTCTATGGCACTTTTGCTCTAATTCAAGACAGTGGAATTCTTAGGCAGACCGATGTGCAAGACCCTGACTGGGTTCGAGAAGTGCTTAGAACACCGTCAAGTTTGGACAGGTCTGCCGAGCACATCCGACCATTCGGAGTAGCAGGAGAGAATCGTTTGACCGTTCGGAAGCTGAACTCCGCCGGCGATGAAGTGATTAGTGAGAAGATTGGTTTGAGTAAAGGCTTTGACGCCAAGAACACAGTCCGCGGACCTGTGACCACTGGCTGCGGACACATCATGCACTACTCATGTTTCGAGGTATATTTTACAGCTACTCAGCGCCGTCACACCCAGCAGATCGCACGCAATCATCCAGAGCGGTTGTTCCTAAAGGAGTTCGTTTGTCCTCTGTGCAAAGCTCTCGGAAACGCATTTCTTCCTATAACATGGAAGGGCAAGGAGGAGTCATATCCAGGTCCCTTGAGCACTAACACGTCCTTTGACGAATTTCTCAAGACCGGAGTTGAAACTGCGCTTTCTCGGCCCCAGAATCACGCAGCCCTTGGAGACACTGATACCTTGCAGCTACAATTGTATAATGATATGTTCTTTGAGTATCTTCAAAAGTCGTTTGTGCCTCCTCTCGCTGGCAAGGTTGAGCAGCTGGTCTCATCTTCCCCTCTCTCGACTGCAGAGCACATTCCGGTGCTACGAATGCCGATGCCTGGCCTTTTTCCATCCCAGGACGACGCCGGTGCATCGAGTCCGTTGCAACAGGTCTCGGCTCCGGTTGAAAGTCCTATGTCCGAACTCCTACAGATCTACAAGCGTCTCAAGAAAACCTTGCGCGTGAATCATATCCATTCGACATTCAATCATCCTCCAGAAACCACCCACAATAGCAATGACGATCTTGTCTACACTGACTCACTGTTCCAAAGTTTCGGTTTCAGTATTGCCGCCGTCGAGATCGCACAGCGGGGTATCGAATCAGAAGTGGGCTCAACATTGCTTGATAAAATTCCGCAGCTAACATTAACCCATCTTCGTGTCCTGGCGGAAACAGCCCTATCATATGCTGCCGTCGGGTGTCTGTACAACAGTACTGGCCGTCACAGCCGTGCCGCGGATGAATTCGAAGAGATGCATCGCCAGAAGATATGCCAGCTGTTTGCGGGTCATCCTTGTTTGGAGGGTACAGCCTTGCTTGAGGGTGTTCGGGACATTGAGCCCATTTTTGCGAAAGACACCTTCGTTTTCTTGGCAGAATGCTCTCTCTCCCTCCTACCTGTCTTGAAGATCGACATCCGCCATCTCGTCCAACTGTGCTATGTGGCTGAAATTGTCAAGGTTGCTATGGCCTTCATTATGAACCCCAGTGGGTTGAAGAAAGAACTTGCCGAACATGGAGACGCCCACTACCTCCTTGATGTCGAGCTATCCGATGAGCGGTACGGCTACACCAAACATTTCTTCAACACCCTTGTCTCGGCACTCAGAAACAATGTGTTCGGACAAGAAGGAGGTTTGGCATTCCCGGTTGAGAGTGGCTACGTGAAGGACGGAGAGGACTCGGCAACACCGGGCGTCATCATCGCTCTCAGACGTCTCGTGTCGAGCTATGCACTGGCATTCCTTCGTAAAACCGTCATCCTGCTACATGTGCAGCATGGCGTCGATTTCCCAACCGCAGGCTTCAACGACATGGTGGCTCCAGAGTTGGACCGGCTTACGAAACTCCTACAACTGCCCTCCGTTGACGAGATCTTCGTATCTCTCAACCCAGCAAAGCATGTCACCCAGCTCGACGAGGTGGTTGCTGGCTGGATCTCCCATTGGAACAGTTCCCGCTCCGGCATTCGGATTGCCGACCACCAACTGTGGCCTAGCCTCTCCCACCCATCAATTTTCGAACTGATTGGGTTGCCCAAATACTTTGACAGCCTGATAGAAGAGGCCAATCGCAAGCGCTGCCCGAATTCGAAGAAAGAGCTGAGCGACCCCAGCATCTGTCTTTTCTGTGGAGATATCTTCTGCTCACAAGCTGTGTGCTGCATGACCAACAACCGTGGCGGATGCAACCAGCATCTGCAGAAGTACGTCTCTCCTTGTCTTCTTGCACACAATTTGAGAAGATCATTGCTAACTATCAATCCCAGGTGTGGCAAGAACGTCGGCCTGTTCATCAACATCCGCAAGTGCATGATTCTCTATCTCCACAACCAAAACGGCTCTTGGCACTTTGCCCCGTACCTCGATCGTCATGGTGAAGTTGACCCTGGCCTTCGACGAAACCGCCAGTTGATCCTGAATCAAAAGCGATACGACCGATTGCTTCGCGACGTCTGGCTGCATCACAATATCCCGGCCACCATCAGCCGGAAGTTAGAGGCAGACATCAACAACGGGGGGTGGGAGACGATTTAAAGACAACGAAAGGGGGATATTTCTCAAAAAGCAATTCTGAATCTTTAGATACCTCTTTACGCTTTGAGTGCGGATAGGAAATTGGTGTTACATAGTAGTAGTCTTCGATGTCACACGTATTCAAAAGCTTATGTCTGCGTATCTCAGTGAAAATCTAGCCACCCTTTTCAATTAAATTAGCAGATGGGACTTACTAGGTATTTCTAAATTCGTGTATAAAACGAGGTTATTCGTTCTTCCCGATGTGATCAAATAACATGAACTATGGCGACAGGTGCCAAGAGTCTTTGACGTATCTGTGCAGATGCTCTGCTGCTGCTTTTACGCTGCCGCCAGTCGCGATAAGAGCTGTTCCCCCCAAGTCTCTCTTTTTCACCACCACGAGAATTAAATATCCTAATTCAACGAGATATCTCGAGTCTTCGATAGACCCATCCTCCCTCGCCGACGTGGTGATTATTCGGCCATTTTGACCCCGTCTGTCCGCCAGCATGAACAACCAACAATTTCGACGACTGGTGCTGGACACTCCGGTCGGCAGCTCTAGAGATCAAAGAACATCATCCACTGGAGCAGCATCAGGGACATCACTGGAGCAAGATGCAGGACTTGGCGGCGCGACGCCACGCGCATCAGCACTGGGATCGAGGATGCGGTCCAGCATCCCAATGACGCCGTACGTGGATTCCCCCCTCTACCGATGTGACGATCTACGACAGGTATCTACAGATGACGAACAAAAGATTAATTGGTTGACGATGTTAGTCGCTCGGTCACGCACATCGATTTCTCCCGCCAACTCGCCGAACAGCGTCGCGAGGCGCACCAACCGCCCTCGAAACGCTTCAAGTCGTCCGCCGCGCCCAAAGGCACGAAGTTGCCTACCGGATACCAGGATCGGGCGGCGCTCCTGCGCCAGGTGCAGGACGAAGGGGAAACGGATATCGAGAAACGGATACAGGCGTTGGAGGAGATGGTGAAGTTGGGACAGATAGATCGGGCGACGTTTGAGAAGCTGCGGGTGGACCTTGGTGTGGGCGGTGATCTACAGAGTACGCATATGGTCAAGGGGTTAGATTGGGAGCTTCTAAAACGGGTCAAGGCTGGGGAGGATGTGACGAAGACGCCAGAGAAGGCGCCCTCGCCAGCTGAAGAGGCGGAGGAGAGCGGTACAGTGGATGTGGACGAGGAGTTTGATCGGGTGCTGGAGAAGGGAGGCCAGGCAGTGCTGCCTTCCGCGCCACAGGAGAAGAAGGAGAAGAAGGGGACAATGGCACCTCCGCCTGCGCCGGTGCCTGCGCAGACGAAGTCGAGGGACGAGATTCTGCGTGAGTGGAAGGCTAACAGGGCAGCGGCGGCTGCTGCTGCTGCTGCATCGTCGCAGCCTGCTGAGCCGGCATTGGGTGACAAATTCAAGAGAATCGGTGATACCAAGGTTGAGAAGAAGCGGTTTATTGAGCAGGATGAGACCGGGCGACGGAGAGAAGTGCTTCTAATTACGGATGCTGAAGGCAAGACGAAGAGGAAAGTTCGATGGCTCGATAAATCGGGTGAGTCGGTAGTAGAAAACGGCCTACTGATGCCTGATAAAGACGCGAAGCCGCTTGGGATGGAAGTCCCAGCCGAGATTGCAGCCAAGGCAGCAGTTACTCTTCCTAAGGAGGATGATGATGATGATATTTTTGCAGGCGTTGGGGCCGACTACAATCCCCTAGGCGACGACGAAGACGACGATGCCTCGTCATCGGATGAGGAAGCAGCGCAGGCTCAGGCTATAGAGAAGGCACCCATCCGGAAGGACGAAAAGCCAATGGTGGAACCATCCCGACCTCGCAATTACTTTTCGACTTCCACCACGGATGAACCAGAAGAGGCTGATCGCCGTGTAAATCCCCTAACCAAGGATCCCACTCTACTTGCAGCGTTGAAGAGAGCTGCTGCCTTGCGACAAGCATCACCCTCGGCCGAGGCAGCTGCAGGAGAAGGAGAGGAAGACGTTGATGCGGAGACAGTTCAACGACGCAAGAAGTTCATTGAGGAAGCTCGACGGCAGGAAGCGCTGGACGCTATGGATATGGATTACGGATTCGGGGGCAGTCGCATCGAGGACGAGGAGGATGACGAGGACGTGATTTTCGAAGACGAGAAAAGCAAGAAGAGAAAGCGTGGTCCCAAGAAGAAGAAGGGCGATAAGAATAGCGCAACTGATGTTCTGCGTGTGCTGGAAGGACGAAAGAAGGACTGATCATTCGTTGTGTTTCTTGGTTGAGTGTAGGCAGCATTGGAAGGGACTGCGATGATACCGCTACTTTTTCTATATTTGTATCGTGCAAGCAGATTCAATCATGGCTTCTCCTCAGTAGACTCTACTGCTGCCTTCCAATTTTCCTCATCGTCGAACATTCTGTAGTAGCATATTTTCTGGAACCTCTGCCTGATCCGCTCATTTTCTCTTGACATCACCGGCTTCACTTCGTTGCGAATGTCAGCTGTAATTGAAGCCTGATACATGCTGTCATCTCTTCGTGACTGTCACCTGGGCTTTTCTCCAGCATAAATACCCCCTTCTTTCTCCTCTCAGTCCTTTCACTTCCTTCTCTCTTTCATCTCCCTCCCACTCACCCATTTCACTGCAATTGGGCTTCTCTTGCCATCCCAACAGGTGGAAAATCATCTTTTCATCTCATCTATTTGCTACTTTGGTCTCTTCTCTAGCATCTCTTTCCTTTCCTACTTCTGTATATAATAGGAACAGCCTGGGGCAACTCGCTGTGACTTCTTCAGCTACTGAGTTTCCGCTCATAGCTGCGCCTATTCAGGTAAGAACCAGAGCTTTTTTCTTCTCCATTCTCCAAGGAAGAGGTAACACGAGAATGCGTGGCACTTCTTGCTAAGCGCTTCATTGGAGGCTGCTTCTTCCAGTCCTCTGGCCGCGAGGTTGGCCAGTCCCCAGGGGGACCTCGGGCATAGCTGGAATTCTTACCACGAGTTCCAGTGTGCCATCGGGAGAAGGTCACTGGTAAGTCCTCGGTTGAATCCAGGCCGCAAGCTTCCAGTTTGCGCAGATGGGCTCAGGACGACCCCACTCTCGGGGTTGTCTCCTTTCTGCTGGTGAAAAAGCCTCGGAGCACAATGGAGTGCACTGCGAGATTTTGTCTGACGCCATGCAAGAAGCTTTGGTCCCAGTGAAGAGGTCAGACTCTCATGTATCTGTATCACTAAACAGTGTTCTTTCTTTGTACATTGGTTGACCAAGCACTTGCTATGCGAGGATCTTGGATCGCATGCGTGGCGTGCATGAAGTTCACGCTGCCTCCCATTGTCTCGATTCTTGCTGCGCCGTTGAGTTGGCCTGCGTGGTAGAGAGCTGAGGGGATGATTTGGATGTTACAAGAGGCGATTGAAGAATTTTCGTTCCATGTCACTGCCCTTCCTTGGTTGGATGTTGAGTTGATCGGCGTGGACGGTGGAAGACCTTACCAGACTTTGTGCTGACGAAGGGGCACTGGTTGTCCCTTCGTTTGAGTAGATCATCGACACAGTTCATCTTGTCCTCAAGACACTGCCACTGGCACATTTGTTGAAACCCCAGGTGAGCCATCCTTCCACATCCAGATATTCCCCTGTGAACATGTACTGATGAAGCACTGTAGGAACAACTATCTGCCCATTAGAGACATTTTCATTGCACTTGAGGTAAGTGACTTTCGTCTCTGAGCAGGGTGGGCTGGCGGGAAGTTCATTGCAAAGGATCTTACCAGCAGAAATGCTGATAGGAGACGCTGGGGTGGGGGTTGATTGGTGTAGGTCTCATCTCATCCGATTTTATTGACCTCGTCAACGCATTGGGGAATCTCTGGATATACGAGGTAAGTGAATTCTTCTATAAGAAGGGCGGGCTGGTGGGAAGTTTATAGAACAAGGATACCAACATCGAATAAACATCGTGCTGACGGAGGGACTTTCTGTTTCTCCTGTCCATCCTAGTGATGTTGCCGTCCTCTACTCAATTGCATCGGACACCTCAGTGAACTATTCTTCGGCCAATATATGGGTAAGTGCTCGTCGCTATCCACAGGGAGGGGCTGGCGGGAAGTGTATAGGGACAGCCTTACCAGCAGTCATGCTGACGGAGGTGCCTTTTGATCCTCCAGGTCTACAGATCATCACTTCTCAACATCTACACTGGTTCTACAGACTTTCATTACTCAGGTAAGTGCTACTTTTCTTGAACAGGGTGGGACCCGGAGGTGGCGGGGCTGGCGGGAAGTTCTTGAAAGTGCCTTACCAGCATTCGTGCTGACGGAGGTGGTTTTTCTCCTCCAGGTTCGACAGCAGCATTCCGGCTCAAGCGGTCGTGTGATGGTCATTGTTCAAAGCATAAATGGTGAGTGATATCTCTTCTAAACAGGGAGGGGCTGGCGGGAAGTTTTTAAGGGAAGATCTCACCAGCATTCGTGCTGACGGAGGTGCTTTTTCTCCTCCAGGTTCAGCAGGTCTCGTTCGAAGTTTTGGAATTTGATCTGATTTATTCATTTACCTGTAAGTGTGATCTCCTTTCGAGTAGGGCGACGGTTTTCGCGGTGTCCGCAGCGACACCTCATAGGCATTTATGCTAACTGAGAGGGCTTTGAATACTCCGGCTTTCCAGATTCGATCATTCGCGGTCTGTCACGGCTTGTAGGTCTTTGCAAGGAGATACTGTATAATTGCTTGTAGGCAAGATCTGTCTAGCAAGACATTCGCAGAGAAAGTACTACCAACGTCGACGCTAATCGGGGATGCTCCTGTAGGTACTTCGTAGCTCAAGTTCACGGTGAAAAAACAGTAGTGATGGCTATAAAGCTGTCCATAGTGATTCTCCAAGTACAGTCGATGGTACGCTATACTCTACAATACTTTGGGGAGTACAGGACTGATATGGATGATAGCGGCCTGGGGTAAATGACTTCATGATGAGTCGACGAAGGCGCATAATCCTAGGCACACACGCTTTCTCTTACCACGACATGGCTGTGGAAGCCACTACATCTTGGTGAGTAACCATCAAGTCTAAGCGCCATGATCTCTGCTGATTTTATCGCCGCAATACATCAAAAGGCGCTACGACACTAGATTCCTAGCCTCGGGCCTCTCCCAAAGTTAAGTTTATTTTGACAAAACATACCCAACAGTGGTCCATGGTCGCGCCATGGTCGAGGCCCCGTTGTCGACGATATCAGCAGCAAAGCGAGCGCACAATCTTCACCAAACAGAAGCCGAGATGGCCACGTAGTGCCACTGGATGACATTCTCAGTGGCCGCCCCTCCCCGCTGTCAGGCGTGGGTCTGGAAGATAAAAAAAGGTTCACTTGAGACCCAAGGACAAGGCGAGGGGGTTAGTGAGGGTATGCCAATGACAGGCCCCGTGGCTTGCTCTGATGCTGGCGTCGACCCATCCCCGTACAATACCCCCGAGAACGAACCGAGGGGACTCCTACGCTGCACCCACGGGCACAGAGACATAGAGACCGTGGGGTGGGAGACTCGAGACCCTTGGAGGCGAGAATTGTGGCCAGGACGAATTTTCCTGTCATCTGGAAAGATTGAGAAAATGGCGATTGTTGTTGGCCATGACGTTAGGATTGTCGGTTTGTTTTCCCATCAGAATTGAGAAAAGAATTGGATTCAGATAAGCCACATCTACACGTCTACGTCGTCTGCATTACACCGTGAGAAGAGAAAAGGTGACCTGATTTGCTGCAGGAGGAGGGTGGTTGAAAAGAGCACCAGCTAACAGGCTAGGGCACACACCGGCGATGCTTGGTAGTGGCGGCAAGTGTACGATCGGCGCGTTTCAGCTCGCTAGTTAGTGTGTGCAGTTCATGAGCTGGAGCCTGGAGCATACGTATGACAAGCCACTGACTCAAACGGGTGTCAGATTGTCAGCATTGCGAGCATCCTGAATGATTGTTCAGAACTGGCGCATTCGGGGGGCTTTTTTCAGGGGCTATCTTTGACTCTTTTGCGTGTTTCGTCTGGCGCCTCTGAACCACAGCAATATTGTCAGCTTTGCCGAGAAGCCAAGAGCAATATATATCCATGAGAAATGGAAACGGAATTCATCGGGAATTCTGGATTGTGGCCATGGATCCTGGTCTGGACTGTCGTGGAGCCAATGTGGAGAGACCACAGCGAGGCCTCAGGATGGACTCCAGAGAACTTACCAGTGACCAGTGACCACCGATCAGGCAGTCGGACTGTCGGAGTGATTTCCTGAACAGTTGGATTGGAGATGATTAGACAATCATTGGGCTAATTTGATGGGATTATTCGCGTTCCATCTGTTTCTTTCCAGGTTCTTTCCATACTATTATCAATAGTCCAATTATTGTCTCGGGGCACACACACCCGTCTCATCCGCCAGAAAGACATGTCACTTTGTCAATCACACAGATGACAGATCAACCCCCAATCACATTGATTCCACCTGGGTCCATGTACCACTTCGGTATAGGAGATTATTGTCAAACGGTGCCTGCAGATATTCGGGTGTACCTACTGGGCCAGCTGTTCGCTCGCCTCTCATAGGCCGCGCTGCGCTCCTCCACCATGGATGCTGTCCAACTGCGATCCGTGGATATGTGGCCCCCGTTCAGGAACGGCCAGACTGTGTGGGTTTCACTCTGATGGGCTGCCACACTATTATTCTGACAGACAGAAAATGGAACAAGCCCAAGATAATCGGTTTCTATGGCTGAGTTTGTCGCTGGGTACCGCTGTTTAAATGGCGCACTCCCCCCGTCTCTCGACGTTCTCTGGATCTTCTCTCTCTGGTCCTTACCACCATATCTCACTTTCCTTTCCTTCAGCTATCCAATTCGCATCATTGTCCTGTGCCGTGCACGGTCAATAGTCATTCCTTTTCTTGTGATTTGCCTTTGCTTGCTTGCTCAAGCACATCGTCGTTCCCTTCGACTCCCTACTATCACCACCAACTTCCTCTCACTCCTTTGAGAACCTCTTGCATCCTTGAGAACGGGATTTTCTCGGTTTTTTTTTTTTTTTTTTCCCTTGATACCACAACAAAAAAGGAAAGAATCAAAAATTCATCAAGATGGTCTCCTTCAAGAACATCCTGGCCACTGCCCTCTTGGCCTCTTCCGTCATCGCCGCCCCCACCGGCAACATCCAGAAGCGCTCCAGCGGCAAGCGTGGCGCCGCCTACAATGACGCCTCGACCGTCCACGCCCTCAACAGCAAGGGCACCATCTCCTGGGCCTACGACTGGAACATGCTCGCCGACGGCGTCCTGCCTTCCAACGTCGAGTTCGTCCCCATGCTCTGGGGTACCAAGATGTTCGGCGGCTGGCTCACAGCCGTCCAGACCGCGCTCTCCAGCGGCAGCAGCTACATCCTTGGCTTCAACGAGCCCGATATGGGATCCCAGGCCGCCATGAGCCCCTCCGACGCCGCCCAATCCTACAAGGAGTACATCACCCCCTACAGTGGCCGGGCCAAGCTCGTCTCGCCCTCGGTTACCAACAGCGGAGACGCCAGCCAGGGCCTCGGCTGGATGGGCTCCTTCCTCGAGCAGTGCACTGACTGTGGCATCAGCGTGCTCGCTGTCCACTGGTACGGTGAATCAGCCGACGAGCTCAAGGCCTTCGTCAACAAGGCTACCGAGTTTGCCAGCCAGCACGGCTTGGAGAGCGTCTGGCTGACCGAGTTCGCGCGCAACAAGGATGTCAACGGTAGTGGCTCTTCCAGCGACACTGCCAACTTCCTCAACGAGGTCCTCCCCTGGTTGGACTCGCAGAGCATGGTCGGTCGCTATGCCTACTTCATGTGTGCGAATAATTACCTCGTTAGCGATGGTGGACTTTCTACCGCTGGTGAGGCGTATGCCTCTTAAAAGTTGTTGATTTCCACTCGACACCAATTTTTTTTCTTTTTAAACTATTATCTTTTCCGCATATATAAAAGCAGTGTATGATCCGCAAAAAATGGAAACAAAAACAAGTGGATACTCTGTTCGAGACCAAAAAAAAAAAATGGTCTAGATTGTAAGGTAGTAGTCTTGCAATGAAAAAGTTTTGAAGTTGTTACTCAATTCTCAAGCTAAATCACTGTCTTCCATGGGCAAAACGTAACACGAAACTCCCCAACCATTAACACAGTTCATCCCTAGTGCCTTTTAGCCTCTCGCCAGTCGTCTTTCTTCTTCTAGTACTCTTGGAAGTTGACGCTGCTTACCCGGAGTTCCCAAAGGAGGATGATCTATTTACCAGTACGGGACGCCGGAGTATACAAACCACAACAATCCAAAGGATCCAGTCGGTGTGTTGTGTGGAAAGCAATGCGATTGGCTGCAGAGACCAATCTTGGAACACAGGTGCTTTGGATGGGATGCTGATTGGTGGAGAGAATACCTATCGCAATCTGTATATGAATATCAGCCGCTGATTGGTCAGATGGAGGGGAGCTTGGGGTACCTTAGGGCAGAGCAGATAGGGTAAGGTAGACTAGTAGAGAGATAATGAATTTTGACTTCTCTCGTACTTTGAGTGGAGAGAGATAGAAAAAAGGGACTCGTGTTGGATTCAGAGGATTTGTAATATTAATGGATTAAGTAAAGGGATTCATACGCAGTACAGTATCTACTTCGCATCGGTTGTGAATAATATCCCATGCCCCAATCTGTAGGACGATGTAATCCCCTAAATGATAGACGCCGGACCCCAGGGTATCCCAATAATGTACAACCACCTGTAGATGCTAAATGCAAGACCATCCGTCCGTTCATGCCATCTGCGTGTCTCCATCCCGATCCTTGTGGTCACCGTCATTGTCCTCGCCATCCTCTCCCTGCTCTTTGGGAAGTTCGGCCTGGACTTCATTTTCGGCTTCGTCCTTGGCTGCGTTGTCAACGTCGCCGGGATTGACATCAACAGTGACATCGTTGTCAGCGCCGCCTTGACCATGCTCCTCCGCCCCCTCATCCACCTCCTCCCACACCCTCACCGTCCCATCTAGCCCACAGCTCACCATCAGCCGCTGCTCCCCCAGCGTGCATGTGTCCACCCCCAGGACAACCCCGGAGTGGCCCTCCAGCCGCTGTAGAATCTTCTTGCTCACCACATCCCAGCACAGCACCGATCCATCCTCGCTGCCGCTGACCACAAAGGCCTCCAGTGGCGCCTCCGGCAGCCCGTAGACTCCAAACCCGCCCAGCAGGCTGTATTTCCGGTTCGCGTGGCCCTGATAGGTCTTGATGCAGCGGCCCTCAACGTAGTTCCACAGCCGCACGCAGTCATCCAGCGACCACGCCAGCACGAACTTCCCGTTGGGCGAGAATTTGACCGCCGTCACGGGCGGATTGTCCTCGTGCACCAGCGTCCGCAGACACTGGCCTGTCGCCGTATCCCAGATGCGGATCAGCCCGTCTGTCGCGCACGACGCGATCAGCGTGCCGTCCCACACGACGTCGATGCCGCCCACGGGATCCGAGTGTGCCGGCAGCGACCGCATCACGCTGGCCGTCCGCACGTCCCACAGAAACACCGCCTCGTCGTAGGACCCGCTCACCAGTATGTTGCCCTTGGGGGAGAATGCGATCTGATACACGTAGTTGTGGTGGCCGACGAATGGGATTGGATGCGCTTTGCCCTAATGCAGAGAGTAGATTTGTCAGCTCTCGTCATGTCCCAAAACGAACACAGAACCTTACAGTCAAGACGTTCCAAAGCCGAATGGTCTTGTCATCCGACCCCGAGGCAATGGTAGTTCCGTCGGGACCCCAGGAAATAGTGGATATGCCCGCTAGATGCCCTTCAAATGTATGAATGAGCTTCCCACTACGCGAGTCCCACACCTTGACAGCTCCGTCGGCCCCTGCAGGAAAAAAACTCCAGATCAGTACCACTTCCCGTAGCAATGAGATAAGACTGCTGCATACCCCCACTGGCAATCATAGTAGCATCCGGAGAAAACCGCACGGCCGACACCCCGCGCAAATGCCCACGGAGCAGGAATTTCTGCCGATAGTTCAGTTTCTCCAGTTTGGGTGGCGGCGGAGGGGCTGGCGGCGGCACGGGTGTGGGTGATCGGTCCGAATACTCCTGCTTGAAGTCCGCCTCGCCTCCATTCTCCTCATCCTCGGCATCCATCTCGTCATCATGGTAGCGCTCCGATAACTGCTCCTGGACGCTGGCCTCGGACTGCGACAGGCTGCGCCCGCGGTTGCGAGAACGCCAGTATACATCGGCGTCGACGGCTAGTTCATCGGGGGACTCTGAGCCGCTGAAGCTGCGCGATCGCCGGTAGGGCCGCTTGGGAGGGTATACCTTCTGCGCTGTCCAACTGACGCGACGCCGCTCCACCTCGTCGTGGTCGGAGACTGCGGCTAGCTCGTCCGAGGAGGATTCGACGGGGGAATAGATGCGTCCATTGCTGGTGTGGGTGGGGGTAATGGTGTGAGTGGAAAGACTCTCGAGTCGGCGACGTTTAGGTCGGTGATCTGGATCGTCCATTGGAGCCACAGTCCGCTGAATCTCATATGTTGGCTGGGGAAAATCTTTCTGACCAAAGCAGGGGGATACAGAGCTGATGAATGATTCTCGTGATAAACAATTTAGATAATGAAAAATCGCTGGAGCCAATGATGCCACGCAGGCCTGAGGCGGTGAAGGCGTGACTTCATCATTGTTTTTCTCCTCGTTTCTCAGGCCATCAGGCATCCTCCCGTCATTTGATTGCGTTGACACAAAAAGCTTCAGGGGCTTCTGTCTCGCCTTCAATCCCATCCTATCCTCCATCTCCTTTGGTCAATATCATGTTCGTCTAATATTCCGGTTGCTCTAACCTGGCAGATACAATGTCTCCTCCTCACTCTCCATCGCCCTCGCTCGCCTCCCCACCCTCCCAGATCCGCATCCTCACTCTCAACTGCTGGGGCCTCAAGTACATTTCCAAATTCCGTCATGAGCGAATGTCGGAGATCGGGCGTCAGCTCGCCATAGCCGATCCGCCGCCCCAGATTGTCGGTCTCCAGGAATGCTGGACACAGCAGGACTACGAAAGTATCCGCCAGCAGACGCGAGACATCCTCCCCTACGGCAAGTTCTACTTCGGCGGGATCTTCGGCGCAGGGCTCGCGATCCTCTCGAAATGGCCCATTGAGGAGAGCAGCATGTTCGCCTACCCGCTCAACGGACGGCCCACTGCCTTCTTCCGCGGTGACTGGTTCGTCGGCAAGGGCGTCGCCTGCGCGCGCATCCGCTTCGGCCCCGCCGCCCAGGACGTCGCCGAGGTGTTCTGCACGCACCTGCACGCCCCCTACGAGCGAGAGCCGCACGACTCGTACCTCTGCCACCGCACCGCGCAGGCCTGGGAGATCGCCAAGCTCATGCGCGGCGCCGCCGAGCGCGGCCACCTCGTCATCGGCCTCGGCGACTTCAACATGATCCCCTCGTCCTTCGCGCACCGACTCATCCACGCGCACGCGCCCGTCCGCGACGTCTGGCAGGTCCTGCACCCGGACTCCTCCGTCGGCGCCACTATCGACCCGCCCGAGCAGCAGCGCAACAAACCCATGCCCTCCGCGGCCTTCAACCTCTCCGAGAACGGCGCCACCTGCGACGGCAAGTTCAACACCTGGCGCTGGAGCAAGGAGGACCGCAAGCGGCTCGAGAAGGGCCACGACGTCGTCGTGGACCCGGACGCGCCCTGTCCGTACGGCAAGAGACTCGATTACATCTTCGTCGGCGACGGCGGGTTCCCGCCAGACTACCCTGCGGCGCGGTGGTCCGTCGAGTCCGTGGCCATCGGCATGACGCAGCGGCATCCGACGCTGCGCTGCTCGCTCAGCGACCATTTCGCCGTCGAGGCCGTCATCGCCCGGGACGTCGCGTCCGCCGGCAAGTCCGACGCAAAGGAGATGGTGATCCACCCCGTGTCCAGCGCGCCCAACGCGGCTCTCACGCCGGACACGTACGACCGCATCATCGAGATGATTCACGCGTATGTTCGACGGGAGCGCTCGCAGCGGCACTGGAGGCTGACGCATTTCGTGGCCTCGGTCGTTGTGGCGATCGGCTGCTTTGTGGGCGTGTGGTGGACGGGAGACCATCTGCCGTATGTTGCGTTTATTCTGTGTCTGGTGAGCACGTTGAGTTTTGGGGCGGGCATCTTGGACGGGTTGATTGGGGGTCTGTTTGTGTCGAGTGAATTGCGGGCGCTCAAGGAGTTTGAATGGGAGGTCCGTAATGCGAAGCGGATTGTTGACGAGGTGGGGACACGGGGCACGGTGAACATCGAGGAGTAAGTAGTCTTCGGTCCTTGAGGGGTTGGTGAGAGGAGATGATTCATGAGCTGTACGTATATACCTAGATAATCACTACATACATACTACGCGAAATACATGTATACTAGCTACAAGGTTGGAATGCCGGCCGGGCAATTGGAGTTCAAAATGAGTGTATTACTCAAGTTCAGACTAAAAAGGCATAAAACACTTTCATTAATCCATGTCATGGAAAGAGTGAAATGGAATCCCGTCCACTGCTAGAACCGCAGGTCTCACTTTTCCATTGCAGGTCGTGTGTCGAGCAATTTACTCGGCACACTCGCGCTGGCGCTCGTCAAAGACACGGAGAGCCTCCTCGGCGGCCTTGACACCGCTGAGCACCATGGCGCCGAAGGTGGGGCCCATACGGTTGAAGCCGTCGATCTCGGACAGCTCCATACCGCCAATGATGAGACCTTTGGTGACCTCGCGGGTGTTCTTGACGATAGCATCCTCGGCGGAGTTCATGTCAAGGCCGCGCATGCCGCCGAGCTTGTCGACGGCGTTCATGGAGACGAGTCTCTTGGCACAGAAGGCGCCGAAGGGGCCGTCGTGGCCGGTGGTGCTGATGATCAAGGGGGCATTGATGGTGTTGGGGTCCATGCAGGAGTGGTCGTCGTGGTGGAGGGTGACGAGGGTCCAGTTGACAACCACACCGGCGATACGGGTCTCCTTGGGATCGCCGCTGGCCGAGGGGCGGGTCACCAGGTCCTCAACAGCAGTGGCGTTGAAGAGCTTGACATTGGGGAAGGAGAGCACCTTAGACAGCAGGGTCGAGGTGAAGAGGGAGGCGTGCTTGACCACGACATAGTTGGGGTTGGCATCTTCCTCGTACGGGACGCCGATCTCGTTCAGGAAGAGCTCAGCGGGCCGGCGGAGGATCATGGCGGAAAACAGCTGGCCACCGAGCCAAGCACCACCACCTTTTGAGACGGTTAGTCATGCGTACGTACATAGACATCAGATTCAGAACTACGGACCAGGAGAAACGGAGGCCTCAACGATGGCAATCTTCAGGTCAGGACGAGCTTTGGCCAGCACATAGGCAGTGCTCAGACCACAGGAGCCGGCACCGACAATGACAATGTCACTCTCAGCATACTTGTCTAGATCCTGGAAGTAGCGGCGGGTCATGGCGCGGGAGACCTGGCTCTCCCGGATGGGAGCAAACTTGAAGTCATCCCACTTGCCGCCAAAGTGGTCCAACAGGTGAGTCTGAGAGGTTCCAGAAGCAGGAACAGTCTCGGGGACCACGACCTTGCCCTTGAGACCAGCAGTGGGAGCCACGGTGTGCTCGAAGATGGCAGCTGGGGGAGACATTTTGTTGTTGACGAGGTTGGTTTCAAAAGACTGTCGAAACGGTTAGTCATTCCACCATGGTGGAAAACAAGAGGGAAGGCATGATCCTTTCGCTGGTATTATCCAGATCAAGTTTTGACCGTATAATCTCAGAACGAACCCACCCCATTGGCACCGTGTGTCTCTCCCGGGTGTGACATGCGAAGAGTCAACCAGGCCCCGAGGAGAGAGTTAACACGTTGATTGTGCCAGCAGGATGAGAACGAACACCGGCCCACGCCCAAGGTTTACCTGAGATACCTTGATCATTGAATGAACAGTCCAGCCGAAGTGATTCCATGGCTTCCATCGATGATAGAGAGAGAATTCGACCCCGAGAGGTCGAATCAATCAGGTGCGTATTTACATTGCAGCTTGAGCCAAGCGGGTTGCCTATAGTCATGGTCAGCCAATCTACACCCAAACATAAGAATTGAAGAGGGGGTGGCTTGTTATACTGATGCAGATTGATGGACAAAGACGGATGAAGTCGATTGAGATGAAGAGGAGAAGAGAAGAAAAGAGAAAGAGGGAAGAGGGATGGTGGGGGGAGGGGCAGATTAAATAATCCCTTCGTTGCCTGAGTCTTCCACCCGTCCAATCTAGACTCCCCAGTCCAGCACATCCGGTGCATCCATCCTTGACGAATAGAATAGCTGCTGTCCATGGCTCCATGCTTGTCTGAAGCTGTACAGCATTCGATTGGTGATTCCTGTTCTATCTAGTCGCTATCCTGAATCCATCCTCTCCGGCAGGCCCCGCCATCAATGTGCTGTCGATGATTGACTGGTTATCTACTTACCTCTGGCCCGGTGAGTTTCGTTTCTGTTTCTGCGTAGCCGAGATTGGCGTCACTTTGACATGGTCTCTCAATTAAGCCAGACAGACGATCACGATGATTTTGTTCGATCATCATTCTGATTGTGACTCCTAGTACTGCGAGCATTCATGGGTCATTGGGGGCATCTCTCGAATCGATCCGTTGACCCGCATCCACCAGCTATCTATAGACTCTGTAAAAAAACAACATCGTCGACGGAGTACTGCAATCCGACTCGACATAATAATCATTACTGGCCAGAAATATCTCGCCTCTAGCAGATGTCAAACCCCACTCGCACTCCATATTCCTCGATCCAATTTTTCTTCTTCCCAAGCTTCTCAATGTCCTCCGTTTGGTCTCGCACCATGGCCTGCATGGCAGATGTGGTTCGATCTTCTTCGTTGCACTTCACTCGGACATGCAATATATCATGCGTTCCCTTCTTCTTTGAGACAGATGTCCATGTAGTCTCGAAGCGAATCCTCCAGCATGCCTCCGGTATCCGGCCTGCAGGATACACGGCCCCGATCAACGTAGCAATTCGACCCAGGTACTGGCACCACCATCTTTCCTGAGCCGACACGCATCGGCTGAGCTGGCGATAGTATGCTTGATCGGACGGCGGGAGATCCCCAGCCCATCGCTCGCAGAGAATCAGCGCAAGGAGCGCGCGGTCGACGTGCGTAAGGCAGTTCGTTGAAGACAGGATTCCCGTCGTGGTGCAGTGCAGTGCTGCGGCCGATTGAGAGGCGCGGTACACATGGGAATGTGCGTAGAGCAGGTTTGCAAGAGCGCCTAGCAGATAATTGTTGAAAGATTCCGGTGGCTGCAAAGATGTCCTGGGGGAAGGTGATGTGGGCAGTGCTGATTGGAGGAGCCCTCTGATCGCATCTGCAGATGGAGGAGCGTAGGGCGAGGTCGCAGCTAGAAGAGGGTGCTCGGCACGTATCTCCTGTGGTAGTCGATCGAACAGAAACCCCTCGCGTACACCTCCCTGGCAGAATTGAATATGCGTGATGGCAGGTAAAGCGTCCATGATCACGTCGACCAACAGAGCCACCGCAGGGATCTGTGATACCCGCCGCTTCGACACGCCAAACACCTTGACATCAGACTCGGAGGCTGTTTCCAGGACGGCCGCCGTATCGTGAAAGTCTTTTTGGCTCGCCCTGTAGCCATTGATGATAGGGATCGGGTACGGGTTGACCTTGGACTGGCTCATGAGCATATACCCCCAGCCCCTAAACCCACCACCACACAGATACAAATCAAACCTCCCCTTACGCTCCGCCGCCTCCAACAGACTCACGGGAATCTCCAGGTCCCGATACGCATTGCGGAAATTCCTCCTCATCTCCTCCCTCAACTCCGCCTCCATCTTCCCCTTCCCCTTCCCTCCCTTCCCGCTCGCCTCCCCCAACCGCATCGCCAACGCAGCCGCCCCGTACGGAAAACTGAACGAGCCTCGCGGACTCGTCCTCACCATCCCTGCATCCTCCACCACCCATGTAATCTGCGTACTTCCGCCGCCTAGATCCATCGCCAGTCCCGCCAGAGCATGCCCACTACTCGCGATCCCCAGCGCCCCAATCCGCCCCTCTTCCTCTTTCGAGAGCATACGGACCTCCCAGCCCGTGCGCGCCTGAATACACGCGCGCAGCTCCGCCGAGTTCGGCGCCGTGCGCGTCGCCTCCGTCGCGAGAACGTAGACGTTGCCCGCAGGCACGCCGAAGTCGTCGCATGTGACCTGGAACCGCTCCAGAGCCTGCACGACTTCCTCGATGGTGGAAGCGGGGATTGGGCCGCGGGTGTTCTGCCCGTTCTGCGTGGAGAATTGCGCGTCGTAGAGGGAGATGCCGGCGCGGTCTTGGAACACTGTGGGCATGAGCCGCGCGGTGGGCGGGGAGACGTCTGTGATGGAGAAGCGGATTCCGTTGCTGTTATTTCCCCCCCCCCTTCGTGTCAGGTGGATGTTGTTGATGTATATGTTGTTTTCCCTCATGGGATGGGGAGGAGGTTGTGATGCGGGCCTTTTTTTGTCACTTACCTTCCCATGTCTACGAGTCCGTAGAGGCTCGCTGTGTTTTCTCTTGATTGTGCAGCCATTGTGACTGTTTCTTTATGTGTTCGTAATCAACGTGTTTGATCGCAGTGCCAGATGTCGATGATACCCAGGAATCGGTGCCACTCAAGCATGCATTCACCTGGTTTTCAATGATTTGGTCGAGAGCCCTGCTTTACTTGATAGAATAAGGGAGTTCTGTACTCAGGAAGACGACATCCAAAAAAAATATACCAAGAGTACGGATGATGCTGCAACAATATGTCTCAAGAAGTAGTCTAGTCTATGTGTAGATACATCCCAACCTAGTTTCTGCGGTAGATAAGCTGCCCCACTAAAGCAAGACATGCAGATTGGCAGCGGCAGAAGATCAATGCAGCCATCAACATCATATGGATATCCAGGCCTATCAAGCCATCATTATAGATCTGTGTGTCTTTTCGAAGGGGTTTGCTCGAAGAATATATAGAAGAGCAAATCGCTCTCGGTTTTACAACGCTCGTACTATTGCAAACCACGATCGCTTCTGTCGTTTTTATATATAACAAGTCCTAATTGTCGGGCCATAAGTAACCATGTTATATTATAACACATATCTGAATCCGCATCCGTAGTTCTCCTCCCCGACAGTATTCTCCTCCTGCGCTCTCTTTGCATCACTCCCGTATTTCTGGTCAAGCCGTTTGTTCTCCCAGACTAACAGGCACCGGAGAGCAAGGGCAAGAATGGTCGTGAAGAACATGAACGCCGCGCAGATGAACTGTCCTCGAATGTATCGAGGCGCATCCTTCTCCGGAAAGACATTGGTACCCAGGAATGGACCACACTGCCCGATGAGGTTGAGGATTACAATACCCATGCCTCGTCGGGTATCCGATCCTTGATTATCTATGCAATTCGTGAGTTCTGTGATCAAGTTCTGGTAGAAAGGGAAGATGACATACTCAACACCCAAGGAAGAATATTCGCTATTGAGGGAAAGACACCGACAGCTGCAAGGAATACGCCGAGGTAACGCACCCCAACCGATGTGCAAGTGGCCAGCAGCACATATCCAACAGCGCCAATGAGCGAGAGGAGAGCAATCATCAACCCTCGCTGTTGCAGTCGATCAGCGATCCAGGTAGTCGCAATGGTGACTAGAAATGAAGCAAAGTACGGTGGCGCTGTGAGACCTTGAGCATTGATTGAAGTGAAACCCATCTTATGGAGAATGGTGGGAAGGAATACGGGGAGCGACGAAAAGCTCACGTTGCAGCTGAAGTACATTAACTGTGTTACCATGTTGTTAGCTGACTGTTTCGCTTCAGGATTCGGCCGCCACCCGTACCGCAGTGAGCCAGGCCTTCAGATCCAGAAGGGTATGGACAACGTCCTTCCAGTCAATGCCTGTTACACGCTCTCCTTCACCGCTCCTCCGGAGCCCCCTGGCGCGTGCAACTTCCTTTTCTTCTTCGGTCAAGAATCTGGCAGTAGATGGATGGTCGGGCAAGAAGTGCCACGCGAGAAAGGCTGCGAGGATTGACGGTGCTCCTTCTACAAGGAACAACAAACGCCAATTGGCCAATTTGGAATCACCGGAGGTGATGCCGTACGCAAGTGCCCCGGCAAACGTATTGGCCAACGGCGCGGCAGAGACGAACAGGCCGCAACGAAGCCCCAATTCATGGCGACGATAAAAGAAAGACAGTAGATAGGGCGTCCCAGGGCCAAATGCGGCTTCCGACATCCCGAGCAGAAATCGAAGGGCCATCATACCCTGCCAGTTCTGTGCTGCCGCCTGACAAGTTGCGACAATGCCCCTGAGACGTTAGGACAGTTGCATTCTCATCGAAGTTAAGAAGCTATCCAAGCACTTACCAGCTCATCACAGTGATCGCCGCCCACCGATGGGGTGGAACGATCTTCCACATCATCGCCATAAACTCGAAGAGTGTGTATGAAATGTAGAAGATCGTCAGTAGCCACGAGTAGCGGTCCCCGCTTAGACTCAGATCTTCTTCCATTCCTGCGATTTTCGCGTTGCCGATATTGCTCCGATCCAGAAGCGAAAGTAGGTCTTTGCTCAAGGATTCCGTTCAGTAACACATGGGAGAGTTACAGGTTATGCTGAGTGCTTACACAAAAACCCCAAAAGAGTCGGGACTCTCAAGTCCAGTTTTCTCACCAGTCGACGCTCAACAGTTGGATCTATGCTGATGGCTGATGAAGGGGGCATCGTAGGTAGTGCAGTGTCTTGGTCATCCTCACTGTCTTGATGAACCGGGTATTGTTTCTCAGTATCGACGCTCGGAGCTTGCTCAATTGCATCTCCCGAGCCATTTTTCAAATCATCCTTTTTCAAGTATCCCATAGTTTGTAGAGAGATTGAAATCCAGCCAGGGGCAGGGATCAGGCTGTAAAGACAATCAACCGAAAGACACAGAGTGGATGCCTCGCAAGCAAGCGGATATGTTGCGCTCTTTATTAGATTTATTTCTCATTATCTGGGACAGTTCAAAAATGCGAGTCACATCAATATGCGCTGGAGCGATCATGACCGGATCTATTGACAGATCTGCAGCGTTAAAACCCGATCATCCTGTCCCACAGTGCTCGCAGCCATGAAAAAGAATCCAGAATGGCTGAGATGCAGCGAGGGATGACGCCATTCGAAGCTGGGAGAAGTGCAATACATAATCATGAACATCAGTGATTGTTTAGTTTGATAATCGAGGATAGACTTCACATCGTAAACCCAGTTCAGTGGATTCCGATCAATCCCAGCCAAAGCTGTCCTGGAAAGTGTCTAGTAGGTACTTACTTGTGCTTCAATAATAAGTATTGCGGAGAACAAGTGGCGGGGTGGGAAGAAAGCTTGTTCGTAAGCTCCATCGGATAGCAAGACCAGAAGGTTGATAGAGTATTGATAAAGGGATGTCCAAAGTTCCAACATGACTATATCCCCAGCACTATCTATTCCTTGCAGTCCATCCAACCACCATATGGCCGACTGAAGGAGAGCTTTGTAAATGCCTGAGGATTAAGGTGTTAATTCTGCACTGCTGGTCTCTATCGCCCACCCCACCCGCAGCAGCGTCCTCTGCGTCTCTCCAGCCAACGGAGCCTCAAATTTCCGCGTCGCGTTTCTTAGCAGTCTAGCACTCTGCGGTTTCCTGGTGCATTCTCAGTTGTTGCACTTCAAAGAGCTCACCTTTATATCCGATGCTTGATTCGTATCTAAAAATCAAATCAATAGATTAGTGCGACCGCATTGACATCCTCTTCACGCTCGTCCCCATTCCATCCCATCTACTGTTGGTCACAATGGACGACCCAGCGACCCGTGTCCCGGCGCAGCTGGTAGGTTATTCGATTTGGTCCCAAAAGCGCTTCAATGTTTGCTAATTATATGACTTCGATACGTTGTTTAGCTGCCGCACATGCATCTAGTGTCGCGGCATCGCTACCCTTTGATGCACATGATGCCCACAGATACCGTTGTTGAATACCTCCTTTCCGCCCCAAAGATCGTTCGCGAAGCGCAACCGATGCATTGGACTTTCTTAGATGGACCCCAAGATGGCACGGTGATGCTCACATGGCAGCCTCTCAACCACCTGGGCACAAACTTCGCGAGCGATGGTTATGTCTGGGCCGACGTCGAGCAGGCTTTCACATTTGAGGCCCGCGGATATGTATGGCGCTGATTCCAACACCTCACACCTCGTTTGGGCTCTTGGCTGATGCGTTAGAATGACAGATGGTAGAGATGTGGCTCCATCGCAGCGGCTATCATCCTCCGAACGAGTCCGTGGCTATCCACTGTCGCAGACGATACCGACTGTTGCCCACGAAGAACCCTAACCCGAGCCTTCCTCCGCCTGATCCTTCGCTGTGGATTGTTCATTATTCGAGAGCGCCCCCCACGGAACATATTCCGGCAAATCGAATCCCAGTCTCTCCGCAAGTGCAAAGCATGCTGGCACAGCGTCGTTTCTTACAGGGCCAAGGTCAGCTTGCTCGCAAGGACTTTCTGCTTCACGATCGCAACAACTGGCCGACAATCAATTTCCCGCCACAAATGGCGCCCCAGGGATTTGCGCAACCCCCTGGGCCTTTTCCGAACGCCATGATGGCGCGTCCGCCATACTATCCTCAGCCCGGTCAACCTGTCCCAGCGCCGGCAGCTGCGCCCCCAGCGAAAGCACCCCGCGGACACCGTGCTTCTGCTGCAGCAATGACCGCTGCCGCAGCGGATTTTGCCCTCGAGGATGAAGATGTTTCTACTGGTGATATGATGGATCTATTGACACATCGGGAGGTATCTAAGATGCGCTACCAGCAGCACCATGAATGGATGGAGGAGATTTTTGCCTCGCCATATGCTATTAGCCAAATTACGCCTGTTTCCTTGGGTCTGGGCCGCAAGGGAGAGTTAGAGACTCTCACCGCAGGGTTCTTCGATGCGCCGGTGGGACCGGCGACCGGCGACTCTAAAGATGTCACCGATTCCGCTCAGGCAACGAAGATGGAGCCCGAAAAGGCGAAAGAGTTCGCAGATCGTGTCGTCAAGAAGGTAGCGGACATGAGTGCTGAGATTGAGAAGCTCAAGAAGCGTCATGCCCGGAGGATGGAGAAGTTCAACCGCACCTCGTTACTCAAGGATGCGGAACTTCGGCTTCGGGATGCGGCAGCGAACCCCGAAGATACTGGCACGGAGATCTGGAGGATGGAAGGCCGCAGCGAGGTTCCGATCGAGGAGGATGGCGCGGAAGGTGTTCCTGTTGAACATAAGGCCAAGTACAAGGTCGATGATGTCGTCAGGGAGGTGGAAGCCTCGTGGCACAGGCAGGTCGTGCCCGAGCCGAAGGTTTCCTGCGTCCAAAAGGGCGGTCTGTTGGAGAAGATTGAGCCTGAACCCACTTCGACTGCGGGTGATGGTGACATCGATATGGGCCACGCGGATAGTCATCTTCTGGACCAGTTCGGCACATCTCCTACTACTATACCTACCCAAGGGACAGCTCCTGCGCCCCAGGGCCTCGCGGCGCATACCGGTCCCGGAGCCGGACCAGCAGCGCCCGCTGCCTCCACCGCTGCGCCGACAACAGGGTTGGATGTTGAGATGGACATGGTCGATGCCCGTCCTGCGAACACGGCCGCAGGTGAGACCGGAGATTGGGTGATGGTGAACGAGGCAAACAAGAAGGAGGAAGGAATCAACAAGCCTCCCGGTGATATGCAAGCCGGCGAAATGCCGGGGAGCGGGATCCAGGGCCTTACTCCCAACCCAGGCAGTGCAGGCGATACAGGCCTCGACAGCGCCAACTTCGATTTCACCAACATGGACAGCGCTGGGGATGCGCTGGCGGCATACACGGAGCAGAACGAAGACCTGGATCTCCCAGATATGGAGAACTCGGCGTTTGGAGACGCGTTCCACGCATCTGATAATGAACATACCCACCACCACGACGCAGACGACATGTCGTAGGGGCCAGGGAGTCGGTTACCGCTTGTTTTGTTATTCTCCTGGTTGGATGTAGGGTTCTTTAATGGTGTTTACCTGGTTCATTCATCGGCTGGGCGCTGGTTTTGTTTTTCTTCGCTTTTTCTCCGCTTTTTCTCGTCCTCCCGACGTTCTTTCCACGTGCAACAGAGACTTGTACGATCTAGATAGGAAGATCTAAAAGGTCAGCGATAATCGATCCGTCGCGGCCTGTACAGGGCCGACGGCTAAGTTCCATCTCGTGCGAGTCTATCCTCCCCACACCTTATCATAATCATCTAAACTATTCGTATTACTCTGACTTGCGACGTGATCGGTATACCAGATGAGTGATAATCTTAAATGAACTGTCCAGCAGATACCCGGTCTGTCAGTTGCCCTGAGCACATGACTGCATCACTGGGCTGAGCGCGATCGCGACCCTCACTCTTGAAATTGAATCAAATCACAAGAGAAAAATACCCGCATGACGGCAACTATGATTGTTTCTTTTAATCGGCGGTGTCTCTTGGTCGAGCGTGGGGATGGCTCATTTTTACCACCGCTCGCGTCCGTATCGCAGTACTGAAGAAGGCGACTTTGGACGCATTGTTATCTCTATAATATTCTGCTTTGGAGGCTGCGTTTTTTTCTTCTCTTTTCTGCACCATCCAGGTCCCGGATCTGGTTTTACTGTGAGGCATCATTTCATAAGTAACACCGGTTGTAGGAGCTGGTGTGCTCGCAGTAACTTATTCGTTTCAGTGTTGGTTGCCCGATTCCGATCAAAAACTGCATAAGAGGCGCATCTACGGCTCTTTGCATTCGCGAGTACCTACTGCCTGCTACGAACAGTGACGGTCTACTACCCGCGCGGGCGACATGTGCTTCCTCGAAGTCGACAACGACGGCCCCGGTCCTGCTGTCCGAGTCATCGACTATCGTCCGGGAACTCTCCGAGTCTCGATACCAGGCTCCCATCGACGCAGGAACAGTAGTAGCAGTGACTCCAGTAGCTGCAGCTGCTCCAACCCTGGCTCCAGCTCAAGTTCTAGCAGCAGCAGCAGCACGACTCATCACAAGAAAAGGAGCGACTGCCACAGTCATGACAAAACTGCGGTCATCGTACCGCGTCCTGCTTGTCGTCCACACCACTCCTACCCTGTGCACATACGGCCAGAGTCACCCGAGCCGGCGTACACGACGATAAGACGAACGAGGGTACGCACGCGGTCCGAGTCGTTCATTCCTAACTCTAGGAGATGGTTTCCTGGCCGAGGGTGCTCACCACCGCCACCATCGCATAGACATGTGGAGTATGTGAGTCCTGGGAGTTGGAGAAGTCGGCCGCATTATGGAGGGCGGGTGTTGGAGGAGGTCAGGTATGTCTCTGGGAGGATCGATTGATAATGGTGGTTTCTTGTGGCTTATTGTTGTAACGGCGATTATCTTAGCTATGATACTTAACATGAATGCAATTGATTGGGTGGAATTATTAGATACGCATCCCGTCGTTCGATCTTCTGCTGCTCACTGTGTTGTATTCCAGAGATGGAATCGAAGCGTTCATAGTCCTTCCTACTCCACTGTTTCAAGTATCGTCTAGCTCCACATCGCAGAGCAAGCATCACGACAACACCACAAGCATGCCCTCTCCCATGGCTCTGGGCTCGAACTCAATTCATCACGGTACAATCACTCAAGAGGTCGATTATATGCATCATGACCGAACTGACATTCAACTGCGTCCGTGTCATGACTTCAGCTTTCCGCAGGTCCCGCATGACGTAATGCACAAGCAACTGTGCCCATTGACGAAGACGAGATGTAGCTCAACTTATCTGCCACATTCATCTCTCCCATCGAGGAACGTCTCTTACTTGCTCGTGTTAAGAGTACCTTTGTTCTCGGTTATTTGATCCGGTCGACGAGAAGTTCATTTCGACCATTATCTTAGCTCCAATATCTCAGCAGACGAGGAAGGTGCACTCCTAGGATCTATACCTACGATAACTATACCTCTTCAACTAAGCATCCTTCGCAACAATGTACGCGCAATCTGTCTTTGATCCTCCATATCAGCCTGCTAATCATGAGAAGGAATCGAACACTGTCCATCCGCCGCAAGGATACCGGCCGTCACCGGTTCAGCATGAACACGTTCCGGGGCGTTCAGGCGCCCGAGCTCAGCAAGAGGATGACCCGGATGATCAAACAAGAGAACTCGGCCATCTCTGCCCATGAGACCGCCGGTCGCGAGCGTATCACCATCGCCGGCCAGCTCTCCGAATGGGGTGAGAACACCGAGGATGATGCCATCTCGGACATCTCAGACAAGCTGGGCGTACTGATGGCGGAGGTTGGTGAGCAGGAGGATAACTTCGCGCAGAATTTGGAGGACTATCGAAATGTTTTGAAGCAGATCCGTGACATTGAGGCCTCGGTGCAGCCATCGCGAGACCAGCGAGCCAAGATCACGGATGATATCCAGCGCCTCAAGCTCAAGGAGCAGAACCATGCCAAGGTGGAGGTTCTGGAGCAGGAGCTGGTGCGGGCCGAGGCGAACAACCTCGTCGCGGAGGCTCAGCTGACCAACGTGGTATGTCATGTTCTTTTCCCAAGTTGAACTGAATGACGCTTACAAATATTTCCTGTAGACCAGACAGAAGCTCAAAGAAGCTTACGACATCCAACTGGCTGCCCTCATTGAGCGGGGAGAGAAGCAAATCCTTCTTGCTCGTCATGCTCGCCGCCTTCTTAACTACCTCGACGATTCTCCCGTCGTTCCTGGCGATGCTCGGCAGCCGTATGAACATGCGGAGCAGGCAAAGCAGATCCTGGAGGCCGCCGAGAACGACCTGAAAACCTGGGAGCCCACTTCCATTGAACCCATCCACACCGCCGCGGGAGAGACCTCTGGCACGACGTTCTTGCCCACTGGAGCCGGTAGAAGCCAGGAGGCCCAGACAGGATCTTCTGCGCAGCGTGAGACAAACGGCACTACGACCAGTCAGGAATACGGACAAGCTAATGGAGCCGCTACTCATATCACCGACACTGCTACAGAAGACGAAGTTAGGAGTGCAAAGCAACAAGAGCCAGCCCATGTTTCCGGAGCTATTGGGTCGCAGCAAATCGCTGTTCCATATTGAAGTTAGTAGGGAGAGAAAGCTAGTATAGTTGTTTTTCCATGCGTTTGTGTATGGTGAAATCTGGTTCATTCGTGCTGGATGGGTATAGGCTCTGGGGTCCATCCGACCAGCCTGGTGTGAGGAAGGTCTTTCTGGGTTGGCAGACTGAAAAAGGAGATGACAGAGAAGACCGCGTTCATGACGGTAGGAATGCTTTTTTTGGGTCAAGATATGTACTTAATAATGAATACTTAATGTCGTGCTTAATGGGATGATTTCGCAATGATTCTACTTCTTGTGCTTCGTACAGTGCAGCCCAAGGCTTGGGGCGCACGTGACCCAGGCGGCAGGAAGTGACGCGGATGCTGGAGCTTCAATGGAGCTCTCAGGCCAGAGCTGCTGTTGCTTCCCCATCCATCATCCACGCCAGTCATCCCTTCTATACATCGAACCGCTTTTAATTTCTTGCTTGTCCCTTCTTGCTCAGAACTCCTTCAGATATATCCTACATCATGGACAAATTAGTCGCTCAGTACTCGCGTCCGCCTCACCAGAATGAGTTCTATTCGGAGCAAGAGCAGCAAGATCTGACCGAGAGTCTCCCTCCTCTTTCTCTAAAATTTGCTCTTCCCCCTGTTGCAAACGTGAGTCCTCAGCCGAGATGGTGTTCTGGTCCCTTGGGATTGTGGATGCTCGGTAGCTGTTCTACGCATGTCAAGTCGGAGTCCACGAGCAGACGACGCTACATGAACATCTGAGAGGACACTAGCTAACTGGTCTATTCATGCTCTCTTTAATCTAGTCCTCCGCTTTTCTCCGTGCTATGACCGATGATCACTCAAATCCCAGCTGCCCCATCAAGCTTGCTCACGGAACAACAACACTGGCATTCCGATTCCAGGGTGGAATTGTATGCCGTCATCCTCCTATCCCGCCCATTGCCCCGACCATTCGGCTGATACAGTGTGAAATTAGATCGTCGCGACGGACTCGCGAGCGACTGCCGGAAACTGGATTGCCAGTCAGACAGTGAAGAAGGTCATCCCTGTTTCGCGATTGAGTCGCGGTGAGGATAAGAAGCAGAATGCACCCGTCCCTGGCCTTCTGGGTACCATGGCCGGTGGTGCTGCGGTATGCATCCTTCTATACTCTTCGGAACGCTCCATGATACTGATGGTTTTGATGTTTTCAGGATTGCCAATATTGGTTGAGATATCTGAGTCAGCAGTGCACACTTCATGGTGGGTTTGAAATCAAGAAATGATACGGATTCAGTGTATTAACGTTTGGACAGAAATTCGGCACAAACGCCGTATTACCGTTGCAGCGGCGTCCAAGATTCTCGCCAACCTGACATACTCCTACAAAGGAATGGGTCTGAGCATGGGAACGATGTTGGCAGGCGTAAGCAAAGCTCGACTCCACCTGCGATGAGCAAAACAAGCAAAACTGACACCTCTCAGATGACTCCTCAAGAAGGACCGGCCCTGTACTACATCGACTCCGACGGCACACGACTCCCCGGAAACCTGTTCTGCGTCGGATCCGGCCAGACATTCGCTTACGGTGTGCTCGACGCCGAGTACCGGTATGACCTGACGGAAGAGGAGGCGCTCCAGCTCGGACGCCGAAGCATTCTTGCCGCTATGCACCGCGATGCCTACTCGGGTGGTTTCATCAACTTGTACCATGTCAAGGAAGAAGGTTGGGTCCACCACGGCTTTGATGATATGAACCCCATCTTCTGGAAGACAAAGTTGGAGAAGGGCGAGTTCTCGAATGTTACGTCGGCGCTGTAGAGTGGTTATTCGGTTTTGAGTTTCAAATAGTCGATATGATGATCATCTCGTAATCTTTATTTCTTGAGGCACTGAAGAATTTCGCGAAACGTGTTCATCGCGCCTAGGCCGTTTGTTCTACTCAGGACAGACCAGAGAGCATGAGTCTATCGATACAATAGAGGCGAGGCCACGGCTTCTCCAATCTGAAATCGGTATAATTAAGTAAAAGAAGGTTGCGTAAAGAGATCCAGTACAATTCTAGATTGTATCCCACTGTAACATACATACAAAACACCCAACAAAACAAAAAAAAAAATTGAAAAAAAAGGATCAAAACAATGCTCAAACGCTCCGCATCTATAGACATGCTTTTTTCTCGAGCCCGAGGGCCCGGCTTTCATCGAATATACATCCCTCCAACCTTCCTGCTACTTTCTTATTTATCGACCCGGAACTTCATTCTGATACCCATAGCAGCCAGTTCCACGTCGAGGTAGCGCAGGACACCAGGGACAGCGACCACGGTGACATTGTCTCCACCCACGTAGCGGCGACCATCACCGTCCTCCCACACGATGGCGCGGGAGTCCTCGAAGACGGCCTCGCGGGCGCAGCGGCGACAGCGCACGATGCCGCTGGCGCCGCCCGGAGCACCGCTGTGCTGGCTCGAGGCGTTCTTGGTGGCGGCAATACGGGCCTTGCTGGAGCCGGCGGAGGAGACGGCGACCTGGGTGGAAAGGAAGGAGCCGCAGTCGCGGCAGATCCAGGCGCGCTGGGAGTCGGAGCAGTTCATCAGACGGTCCTGGAGGATGAAGGCGGCACCGTGGGCAATAAGCGAGTCGCGCTCCATCTCGCCGACTCGGATACCACCGCCCTTGGCACGGCCCTTGACGGGCTGCGCGGTCAGCGGGTTCACGGGACCGGTGGTACGGACCTGGAACTTGTCGTTCACCATGTGACGGAGACGCTGGTAGTGGACGACGCCGATGAAGATGTCTGCGGCGAACTCCTTGCCTGTGATGCCGCTGTAGAGGGGCTCGTTACCGTAGTAGTTATAGCCGGCCTTGCGCAGCTGCTGGCCGAAGTAATCGGCGGCGGTGTTCTCCTCGGAGAACTGGAAGGGTGTCGAGTCCTGGGGATGGCCGTGCAGGGCACCGGCTTTGCCAGCCATGGACTCAATCATCTGGGCGATGGTCATACCTAGCAGCGGATTAGTTTTCGTGGGAGATCATGACGAGGAGAGGACGCGGGGTAGCGACTTACGTGAAGGGAAAGCGTGAGGGTTGATGATCAGATCAGGCTGAATACCGCTCTCGGAGAAGGGCATATCAACTGCAGGCCACAGTTGAGAGCAGACACCCTTCTGTCCGTGACGAGACGAGAACTTGTCACCAATGATGGGTTTTCTAGGTACACGGTATTTGACGCTGAGTGCCTGGCAAGGCTCCAGACCAGTCTCAGCACCCATGATCCGGATGCTGTCAATGTATCCTTCTTCAGCGTCTTTATACTTGACAAAGTGTGTGATTCCGTCGACGTTCACGTAAGAGTCCGACGAGGCATCATAGCGAACCGTGTGCCACGCCGCAACGAGACTTCCTTCCTTGACTCTGGCACCCACGTGCGGAAGACCATCCTCATCGAGGGTCGTACGCCACTCAGCACGAATCTCACCTCCGGGAGCAAAGCCGAAGAGCTTTGTGATCTCACGTCTGGATTTGCTTCGTCGAGAGTCTTTATCGTCGAGAGAGTGGATCTTGGTTTTGTAGATGGTACCATGACCGAAGCCGCGTTCGTGGGATGACTTGTTGATGATCATAGCGTCGTCCATGTCGTAGCCAGTATACGAAATAATGGCAACAACAGCATTTGTGCCGTTCGGGAAATTGTCTAGACCGTAGGCATTGTACAGTGGAGGACGTACAATAGGCGTTTGTCCAGTCTGTAGCCGGTACAGCTTGTTGTCTGTGCGGTATTGGATCGCCGTGCCGGGAGTACCCATCGTTTGTTTGCTCATCTGGCACTGATACATGTTACGGGGCGACTGGTTGTAGTCGGAGAATGGCGTCATGTTGGCGACGATGGAGAGGATGTTTGTCGGCGTGAACTCGATGTGAGTAGATACGCCAGCAACGAGATCATCTGGCAAGCATGCAATTTCCATGAAAGGTTGTTCGAAGGGGCCCACATAGTCGAGCTTGTCAAGAGGCAGATACTTGACAGGTCTGTACATTCTGGCGGCTTGCGAGAACATATAGACACCAGGATATTGACCACCATTCGAATTCGGCACATAACCGATTTCAAGTTCCCGTGGGATGTTGTTTGTGCCTTGCACCTTCCAGTGTCTAACGGTATCAGCAATCTGGCGGGCCTGCTTCGGCGAACAGTAACCGATAATTCTGCCGTCCAGTTGCACTGTGACACTTTCTTCCAGAGACACAGACGACTCAGAACGCACACCAAGTTGAACCAACAATTTGGGCAGTTGAGAGACGTTGACATCGCTAGTAGAGATGAAACACTTGTGAGCAAGATGGTTGAGAAGACCACAGGGTGCTCCATCAGGAGTGTGGACTGGGCAGAAGAAGCCCCAACTCTCAGGAAGCAGCTTACGGACAGTGGTCGTCTTCAGCTGTGCGAAGAAACTACCTCTGTGAATCATTCGGAAATGACTGATGAATCGATAGAAGTTGATCTTCTCGGCCATGACCGTGTAACCGCTTGTCTGCTGCAAATCGAGACCTGTAGGACTGACGAGATTACCAGTCGACAGGAAGTACTCAAGTGCACCACCAATGTTCTCATTGGTTCTCCTGACGACTCTGCTAAGAAAGTCACGCTCAAAAGCTGGGTCTGTGAATTTGGCGCCGCTGTTACGATTGGACCAGTCTCTCAGGATAGGGCCAAATGACCTCACCCATTCCTCCAGCCTTTCCTTAAGGATCATACCGTAGAGGAATCCACCAAGCAAGATTTCTTGATTGGAAACAGCATCCGGGTTGTCAGGGGCGCAATCTCCCGCGACAAGCGCATACAGCTTCCGGATCATGAACATGACCAGCTTGAACTTGTCGTAATCCTGGGTTCCGGTAACATTCTGGTTACCAAGGTGAGGCAGAACAACCTTGCGCAGGAACTCTGTGCCAGCATCCTCATTAGACATATCTGCTGGAACACCAAGCACGGGCTTGAACTTTTCACCCAGATAAGCTCGGCAGGAAGAGCGAGAATGCAAATTATAGCCCTTGTAGGTTCTGAGCAGCAGCTCCACACGATCGGTGACGAATGTGTTGCTGACACCCTTGGATGAAGCGCTGCCGACGATGCCTTCGAAGATTTCGCGGTCATTGGTCTCGACTAGAGCCTTCAAGATCATCATGGCTGGGACGAGGTATTCGCTCTTCCGCCATGAGAAACGGAAGGTGACATTTCCATCACTCAGATAGTGGAGAACGTTCGTCTGCGAGGTCTGATCGGGACGCACTGATCGAATTTGGATACCGTATTTGGTGTATGTGTGGCCACGACGAACAAAGGAGTTACGGACGATCGCCATAGGGAAGTTTCTCTTGCCAACAACCAACATACGAATGAGCTTCTCGTTACCGTTGACAATGAAGTAGCCGCCCAGTTCTTCCGACTCTTCCTTATGCTGGACGAGCTCCTCAGGCGTAGCCTTTTCCAGATGGCATCGATTGGTCTAGATCATCCAACCACGTTAGCCTATACCAAGACAAATGGCATACCTCGTCGATATCTAGAACCACTCACCCTAAGCATGATCGGAACCTGGCCCAGCTCTCTGATGGACTCCATCCAGTCGCCATTGTTCACTTGGTACTCAAGTCTCGCGCGCAATTTCCCACGATAAGTGGCATGTCTCTCTCTCGCTTCTGACGGGTAGACGTTGCGGTTGCGGGTCGCGAACTTGTTGGTGGCAGGAATTGACGGCTTCTCTAAGAAAACTTCCTTGATGCGAACGTTAAGCTTGTTGCGCTTGGGGGCTCGCCGTCCCTCCGCTTTCCGTGCCTTCTTCTGTTCTGGTGTCTCGACATCACCGTCTAGGAATGTCTTCGTGCCAATATCTTTCATTCCAGCTTCCAGGACTTTGCTGCCGTCGAAAAGCGCGTTGAAAGAATCGATGTGAGGCCGGATGGCTGCCGCTAACGCAGGGAATGCAGTGTGATCCTTGGGCGGGTTCTTGAAGAGCCGCTCCCGGCGAAGGACATCGTTATCGACAGTCCAATTGGTGTCTGTCGCTGAAGGAGCCATCTTGACTGGATTTGGATCTTCTCCTCTTTTTTTTTTCTCTTCTTGGTTGGAGCAGTCGGGAGAAATTAGTTAATCGAGAAGTTTTCAGCGGCACAGCGCTAGGAGTTGCAGGCACCACTGTGAAAGAATTGGCGCAGCGGGGACAATCAAAATCCCATTAGCCTCCCAGCTGAATGTCCTTCCAGCGGTTGTAGGACGGACGAGAGAGAATGTCAGTCGTCAAACGTCGCAGATGTCGACCGGAACAATCTTTCGGAGGCCTCGTTCAAGCTGGAAATTTTTCGAGGTGGACCGGCGGACAGATATCATCACGTGCTGATAGGTTGATCTGTTACTTATGATAACTACCTGAGGCACCAAGGCCACAGACCATGCATTGGTCACGGGGCCCATCTGCGAGGGCCTAAGGCAACAAGGCAGCGCTGTTGGAGGATCGTAACTTTTCAAAGAATGCCTTCTATGACACAACAATGTTCATCATTGATAGTCCAAGTACAACGTCAGAATCTCCCTGTACAACCAGACTGGTGTACTTTGTTGGACCACAAAATAGATTCTCTCTCACTGACCTCAGCGCTGTCAAGGTTGCTACTACTATTACGGAGTACTTGCGCCAACCTTCATACTCCAGCAGAGCTAAGCTAAGCGCTCCCCTCCCAAAGCGGCGCAGAGGGAACGGCATGGTCATGCGTGCGCATAGATTCAAAGCACCTCAATTTCACCGCAGAGCGAAGCAGTCTATCACAAAAAGAAATTTCTCTCATTATTGCTCCTGTGCATGCTGCTAAACACACAAAGTACTTGAAAGCTTGTCACTCCGCTGTGGTGCTTTTTTTTTCATATTCTGGAAACTCTTCTCATGATCTCCCCCTACTTATCAGGTGCAGCTTAACCTGGATCTTTCCCGCCTCTTCTGACATCTCATTCTGCGCCGCCTTTTTCTCACTCAATACTTACGTCCTGTCTGTGCTGCGGCACCTTTGACTACGGTGCAGTCTTCGTCCTGGGATAGCAGGCCATCAACTCGCTGGCAGCCCATCCACCCCACTTATTCTCTCCCGCGCACGTCCTGACCTTGGATCTTCCCTCATAAATATTGAACCCGAAAGTCGACACTCCTCCACCGACGCAACTGATATTGTGTTCTGGGCCGGTTCCCCACCACCACCGATTTTTGGTTGTTACTTTTTCCTTGTCAGTTCATAAATAGGTGCCTTCACTCGAAGATCAAGCGATCTATAGTATCCACAACATGGCGGGTATCTTTCGAACGATATATGACTGGCTCCTGAGGATGTTCTGGTAAGTGGGCCGCCGTCCCAATAAATGTCGCTTTTTGCCAGAAACATGGCCTGTACCGGGCCCGCCCCCGCATAAACAAAGAAAGCCTTGGTTTGCTAAAGGTGGTCAATGTACATCAAAAATGCAGGGCGACGGAGATGGATGTCACGATGATCGGACTTCAAAATGCTGGAAAGTCCTCACTGTTGCGCGTGCTTGCGGTATGCTTCCTTCGCCCCTATGGCGCCCATCCAGTGTCATCGCTAACATGGTGGATTCGATCCTGACAGGGAGGTGAATTCACTGTAGAGTAAGTCGTGAGCGCGTAGGGTGCAGCCCAATCATACCAGCTGTCTTAAGTCGCTAAGTTGCTATTCTGCAGCTCTATCCCGACCATCGGTTTCAACACAAAACGTGTTCAAAAGGGCCATGTGACCTTGAAATGGTTAGTCCCCAAGCATTTCAGGTGGCTCTGTGCCTTTTGCTGTACTTATGTGTCTGACTGTATCCCAGCTGGGATCTGGGGGGCCAGCCGCGATTCCGACCCATGTGGGAGCGATACTGCCGCGGAGTCAACGCAATCGTGTAAGGCTTCCAACCCTCTAGTGCTCCGCCTGAAGGAAAGAAACATCTGAATCATGCTGATTCTCGTTGCAGTTATATTGTGGATGCGGCAGATCGAGCTGCTCTGCCGGTCGCTACGGAGGAGCTGCACGATTTAATGGGAAAGCCCTCTTTCGATGGTATTCCATTGCTGGTTCTCGGGAACAAGAGTGACCTTCCTGAGAAACTATCGGTCGATGAACTCATCGACATGATGGATCTTAAGTCCATCACTCGGCGCGAAGTCAGTTGCTATGGAATCAGCGCCAAGGAGGAGACAAATCTCGACGCTGTCTTACACTGGTTGATAGCCAGGGCCAGCCGATGAAGTACTGGCTGGGCAATCTTACAGGAACACAGCCCTGTTTTGGTTTTTCGCTGCCCCTTTTTCGGTGTTCTCACTTTTCCGAGTCGGCGCACGTGTATATTTTCATGATATCAGCTCGCTGCTCCCGGTGTAATGACCTTGATGATGTTTTCCCATTCAGATGTATCGAGCGATTGATCGTTGTTCTTTGCGCGCGTTCCGAATCCCTCACCCTGCTATGGTTCATTCGTGATGATATAACGGCCACCAGCATATGTATAGTCACAATCTCTCTGTAACAAAAATGAGAGGCATTCGAGCTGAGTCTGGCCTCTGATCGATAGATTGCAAACATTCCATAGCAAGAAAAAACAAAAAGGCACATGTGACCTAGAAGCGTTAGTATCGCCTTCGGATTGTACTGGCAGCGCTCATGTTGTAGACTTCATATCCAACACACAAGTAGAGAAAACTGAAGTCCCGCAACGCAGCAGAAACGCCGCCAGCCATCGAATTTATACGTCCATCATCAGTAGAAGACCGGGGGGCTGCCACACACAGACCAACTGATGCGTTGGCATTGCAGATGCGAAGACGGGAACTAAACAAGCCCTGGTCATTCAACGAATGGTGCCCCGCCGACAGGCATTCTCAAGTCTCAACAGGTGATGACTGGTTAGAGTGGCAGAAGAGCAATTGTCGTCAGATCCTGGTCTTGAGGATGTGATATGTAGTTAGATGGGGGATGAGTGTTTTTTGGTTAGCTGGTTGATTGGAACATTGTTGGCCTGTCCATGTGTATAGATGCGTGTACTGTAGGATTTGATTTGGCTTTGCTGCGATAGAGCTGATGATTTGGCATCGATCGTGCATCATCCTACGGGATAAGTTGCTAATGATGAAGTAGGTTATGTGGGAGTATCTTGATTGTTTGCTGATCGATATCAATGCATCATATACGAAGTAGTATCCAGACTGCCCAAGGTATACTTACTACATTTGTCTTACTGCCCCAGCTCTTCATCAGCGAAGAAATGCCGGTCATGTGCTTTTTCTGGGAAGAAAACACAGCCACGCGCTGAAGCCGAAGCTGGTGGCAAAATGGCAGTGGATCATGAAATCATGATACTCTACTATCCTTCGAAGTGTGAGATTCCTGTGAATTGCCAGGTCAGAGTCTGACAAGCTGTAGCTTATCGTCTTCTAGAAGCTCCGAGGTATTACTCGAATTAATCAGCCAGATTATGGCGCATCCCTATCCTGGCGCAGTTCTTCCATACTGTGTAGTACTACGTAGATATCGAACACATCAGCTATAGAGAGCATCTCGACAGACTTAAGAGACCTGATTGCATTGATCAAGTATTTCGTCACCTCCTGATCTCTCATGAGATTCTGCGATAGATATCAAGATATTTGATAACAGTCAATAACTAATGAGACTCTGATAGGTACGGCCGAGAAACCCGACCGAAGACCAAAGGTACATACTTAATCCGTCCCATTTATGTACCCAAGCTGCCAAGCAACCCCCAGCCATCATGGGCGCACTGCGAACGTCTGAGCCACGCTCCCCCCAGCCTTACAGACCCATTATACCCATACCTAGTTAGTAGGTAGTTCACTAATAGTCATTTAGGACCCATCCTATTCCCGCCTTTTTTTTTGGTTGCTGCCTTCAGCAATTAGAAACTAGCAGTGTTACTGGACTCGCCTTTGCAAAAAGAACTTCATCTCCCCCATCTGCAACTTACTTTCCTTTCTTCTCCCTTACTTGATCACTCCCCCATCTGCTCAGATCATTTAAAATTCTCTTGTTGACATTCCTTCTGCCCAAGCCCCGCCCTATCTCTGGGTTCCTGATATCATATCCTCTGCAGACCACTGGCTTGCGACGATCTGATATACGTCATCCATCTTTTCCCTCGCCCTCTACTCTATTGAGGGAGGTCTTTCCAGCCACCATGGGAATCCTCTTTCGTCGAGAGTATTGGTTAGTATATTCTATCGCCCTCATTTTCGCTGTTATTTTAAACCCACATCACTGACCGTTTCTATAGTGACACTTGGGACAGCTATGGCAACGTATGCAGAAACAGCTCCTGGTACAGCTGGGGCCGCTGGGTTGCCTTTGCTGTTATCGTGGCCGCCGCCTTTATGATATTCTTCCTATTCGCGTATGTCTCGAATGATCTCTCCCTGATATTCTATGTTTCATTGCTAACAAACGATTCTGTAGATGCTTTAACGCTCGTCGTCGTCGCTATAACGGCCTCCGTCCTCACCCCGGCACCGCTTGGCTTGCTCCTCCTCCAGGCCTCCTCCACCAAATCAACCATACTACGCCGACCCCTACTACCAACAGCAGCCGCCACCACAATATACAGCTCAGCCGCAGTCCTATGGATATTTCGGTGGACAATCACAGCAACCGGGCATCGAACTGCAGTCACCGCCGCACGCCTACGCTGCTGGAGGCGATCGGACATATCAGCCTCCGCCGGGCCCTCCACCCCAAGGTGGTCCCAAGGTGTAGATGGTTGTCGGATCCGCTGGTCCTTACGGAAGCAAACAAGCGGGATTTGAAGTGATATCTTTGGGTTGGAGCACCTGTTGTGTTGTGTTGTGTTGTGTTGTGTTCAGGTCTGATCTGGTATCTCCAGGCAGTATCGAGACCCATTGTCTCTCACTCTTCGCTTTACCGTCTCATTTGTTTCCTGCCAGGAATATGCCGGCAAAAGAGCTGTCTGATGCGACCATGAGTTTCTGTGTTTTCATCTCTACCAAGATATTATTAGTACTATAATGACCCTCTCCAGGAAAGATCTTGCTATCGATCATAATGAATTCAACATATTAATAGAGCATGCCAACGGCCATTTGGAAGACGTGCAACCGACACATCATCTAGTCGAGCAGAATTGGTTGCACTCTGCGTGTGAGAGGATCATGGTCTTGAATATCTCTCTCTCTCTCTCTCTTCTGTTGCTGTATCCAGCCTCGGCCATTCAACCAGTCTTAAAGATAGATCTTCCTTATCCTAATCTCTAGACATATAGTTCACTAAAACCCTTCCAATTTCTACACGAACAGAATGGTCATGGTTCGCGTAGAATGAACTCAACAATCCTTGCAATGTCACCCTTACTGTCCGAAATGATATCGCAACCAGAAGATCCTCCTTTTCTAAGCTACTGCCGACTACGACTGCCAATGATATTGATTTCCACATATCCTGACGAGGAGCAGTCAACAGAACCGAGCGATCGACAGAAGACCGCAGCGCAAACGTGCAAAACTGCGCATCTAATTAAGAGCCGGCCGATGAAACGGTTCTTGGCTGTGTAAATTAACGTTTGAGAATTTGATTTAGCCCATTCCGACCACCTCGTCTATCTACAAATGCCGTTAGGTTCCTGTCACCTTTCTGCTCATCCATTGTGATAGGCGGTTTGAGCGACGGAGTATGATTGCTGATCCCCACGTAAATGATGGTTGGAGTGATTGAGGGACACTCCATCGTATTATCCTCCTCTCCTCTTTCTTTTCTTTATCCCTCCCTCTCTCTGTTATCTTCGTTTCGATCCTTTATACCACCTGCTTTGGTTTTGTGTTTTATTTTTATTTTTATTTTATTTTATTTTTTGACTACATCCAACCTCGTCTCTCATTCTGATACCGTGGACGGTTGATCCCTCCTGTTAATCCTGGGGGCGGGTTTGCGTTGAAACCTGGGGCGCAGTCCATCAACATCCCCATCTGGTCTGACTCTGTCGAGTCTTCTTTTCATTCCTATTCACTCTTTCTGGAATTTACATGGTTGCCTGGAATCCTTTAGGAACTGCAGTGCAATACCTATTTTTTGCAACAAGTGCTTGCTCTCCCTCGGTTCCGAGTCGACACATACCTCGACCAGTCGCACTCTCCAGCTGGGCTTATACGAGTCCAACTCATGTCTGCAGGATCTACAAGGCTTACATAAACGGCTATCCCTACTGCAAAATCCTTGTCGTTGTAAACTGAGTTCGACCGATTCAGGATTGATTTGCATGGTCCGAATCACCCGTCTTTCTCTCACTTACCGAGACGACTGGCTTTAGTCGCAACAGTCGCGTTAGCGTTGCAAGCGCTTGAAGCGTGCTAGTACTGGGAGAAGCGGTCTCGAAGGAATCGTGGTCTGTAGATGACCATCGCCTCGCAACTGAAAGATCGGCATCACTCTCGCATCCGCCGCCATGAGTCCGGCGGTCCAACCATCGCTTTCACTATGGGCGCGAGATATAGTTGGTGACCTGAAATCAGCCCCCGATACATTCTCGAGCTGGGACAAATGTATGGCGAAGTCTTACTGCAAGTATGTGGTCTCCCAGCTGGCCCTGTTCTCCCGCGTGGGTCTGACTGTGATATATATAGATGGCCGGTGATTGTTGGAATCATTATCGGGGCAGTCATTCTGATCTCCGTGATCGCATGCGTCGTCAATTGCTTATGTTGCGGTATTCAGTGCTGCACAGGTTGTTGCCGGTGCTGTTCATGCTGCTGTCCTTCTCCTCGAGATAAAGCCTCGAAGACAAAGTATCTAGATGACCCGGGGTATCATCAACCCTCGCCTATGCCAGTAAACACTGCCTATCAGCCACCGCCGGCGCCTACAGTATACCGCGGACCCCAGGTTGCCCGATTTGAAAATCCCCCTGCGGCGAAGGTAAATGAGGACGCATTGCCCGCCATGCCGAGCTGGAATGATGCCGTGACTCGAAGAGTGGAAGATACCGCACATCACCACGATGCAATGGAAATGGAGCCCTTGAATCCACCCCGCCAAGATCATCACCGAGTGCCGTCTCCGGGCAGATTCAACAGTCCTGGACAAATGGGGGTTCCGCCGATCAGAACGGGTGCGTCTGCTCCTGGCTACTTCCCTGCATCTTCACCATATGATGAGCAGCGCCAATATGACCATGGCGCCTCTGGACCATATGAAACATACCACACCTCGCCATATGACCGATCATACCATGATTACCCCCCAGAAGGTTATTCTCAACCCGCGGCCCAAATTCAGGTTCCTTATAGCTCCCAGCCACGCTTCTCGCCCATGCCTGCAAGCCATTCTCCTTCCTCCGATATGCCCTACTACACACCCTACCGTCAACCCTCTCCCGGCCTGTCAGGTACCACCCAACCTCCCTCATACCGGGCCCTCTCGCCCGCCGGCCATGCTTCGCCTCCTCCGCCGTTCTCGGCGGTGAATCCCGTTCCTCTTCAAGTGAGCGACCCGGGCAGGCCCCCGAGTCTGCTCCAAAGCGGACGAAAGCCCGCGCCGAACTCATACAGAGACGTCTAGCGTCTTTGATTCGCGAGAACCGCGTCGAGTGTAAAATCTCGGTTCCCTTTCTGCCTTCTCTTTCTCCGGGAGCTTACAGCGCTTCCCATTGGATATGTGCCGATGTGAAATGACCATTATCGGTTTCGGAGAACTCTCGCCTGGGACCACGCTATACTCATATCTTTTCCTTTCATGCTTCCCATCCTTGTGATGGTCAACGGCCATGCCTTTTGTATCGCGACTTGTCTCATGACTTCTGCTATGTTTGATGTATATCACTTGTTTGATGATTGCTTAGCCGACCGAGTGGGCCAGGCTAGTATGATGTATGCGCTAGCCGGTCTGGATGTCGAGAATATATACTGTAATAGGTTACAATTTCATGATCGAGACACGGAGACTGGAAGCTATAGGATCGTGATGGTAATGATACAGGCGTACGTTATACTTACTATCTTCTACCTAAAGTAGAATGCGGGTTGAAGCATCATCATCACGCGGGTAGAGCTGGTACTCGCACCAAACCCAGCCAGCGAATCCGATGGTCCCAGCTTTCAGCTTACTTAGTCTACAAGGAACAAAAGCATATCCACAGGCCCTGAGCCCTTATTCCTGCAACGAGAAATCAAACTCCTTGAACGCCTCCTTGAACGCAGCAGCGTCGGCCTCCTCCTCTTCCTGCGCCTGCACCCCATCCTTCCAATTCATGCGCTTCTCCAGCTCCAGCAGTTTCGCCATCACGCGGCGGCCGAACTGGATGTCGAAGCGGAACTCCGCCCCCAGCGGAAGCAGCAGCGTCTTCTCGGTGCCGGCGGTACCGTCTCCTCCCGACTCCGATGAAGATGAAGAAGAAGGCTCCCAGATCCAGAGACGGAAGAAATCGCCTGGCTCGCTGCTCGGGTCTGCAGAGGACTGCGGGTGCTCGAATTTTGGGTACGCAAGGTTCTCGGCCTCGACCTTAAAGGCCGCGTCGACGAGGCCGCGGCGAATCAGGTCCGCAGGCACGGGCAGGAACTGCCAGTGCACGTGAATGCCGTTTGCGCGGCTGACTTCCCAAGTGACGGCGCCGAGGGTGTTGTGAGCGCGCCGCGCGAGCATGGAGTGGAGCGCAGTGCGGTAGCGGTGCATTTCGTCGTAGGTGGTGTGGCGGGCGGATTCGTCGGTGATGGCGCTGAGGGTCGGCGTGTGTGTGAAGGGGATGATGAGGATGTGGCCGGGGAAGCCGAGGTCGGGGAAAGTTTTCGATGTCGGTAAGGGGCCCTTGGCTGTGGTGAGGTAGCTTTCGTTGCCGATGGAGGTGATGAGGTGGGTTGCGAGGTTGGGGTTGGAGAGGCAGAAGAAGCATTGCTCGGGACCTGGGGGTGGGGCCCGGGCGCGCTTGCGCGGTCGCTGGTGTGTGTCATCGTCGACTGCAAAGCGGCGATAGGAGTCTCGCTGGGGTGGCAGGGCTTTGCGCTTGGCTTGGATCGGGGCGAAAGGGGTGGCGGTTGCGCCGACGGGGATGGTCAGCGGTGGGGGAGCTTTGGGGTCGAGTGTGAAGGCGTACATCCATTTCTGCTTGGATGTTTTGCTGTAGGAGGCGAGGCTAATGAAGCGGGTGAGCGGTTTGACGTCCGGATTGTCTTCGGACGGCATGTGGAAGAATGGTTCGCGTTCGTAGAAGAACCCGTCAGATGACGATAGGTGGTATCGGGGTTTTAATGTCGAGCAGAGATCTGCAACGCATTGCACTTCCTCGGGTACTTTGGCATCGTCTGGAAGGGGGACATTGGACCCAATTCGAATCCCCTTGGGCCATTGGTGGGTGATGAGGATGTCCGCGCTGTGCGCGCCGTACAGCGCCCTGGCATCTGATTCTGTGTACCCAGGATGGTACTTGTTGGTTGATTTATCCTCGGTCTCGAGATTACCACCCAGGGCAACGAGGCGGATCCCTTCTGCTGTTTTTAGGGTGCCCCGCTTGCCCAAGAAGTACAGATTGGGACAGACTTCGTCATTCTCCTCGATCCTTTCGACTATCCTCGTGGGGAGAGGCCGGCTACCCAGCCCAAAGTACGTTGGCAGTGGGACATTGATATTCCCCTGCAACAGAGCCGCGATCTCATCCAGTTCGTGCTCTGTCGAACAATCCCCGAAAAGGTCACCCGCAACAATCGCGAAGGAGAAATTCTGCTTCACTTGTAATTTGGCGAGTTTGGTGAACACCTCCCGCAGCTCACAGTTCACACCACCAACCACAATTCTAAAGTTGAATTAGCCATTCCTGTAGTTATATAGTAGCGAAACAATCGAGCTTACATTTTGGAAGCCATCTTCCAATTGGACAACCACTGAAGACTATGATGCAAGAGGTAATGTCAACATAGCCTTCTGAAGGTTATCTCAGGAATTTCCGAAGCGGGTCAACTCTTGCTTTCTTTTTGGATGCTGTTAAACAATCGGTGCTCCGGGACAATATGTTTAGTTGTACAACCACAACTAGGCCTGCCAGCTCCTGACATCAACAAATGTCGTAGATGAAGACATCACCATTTTTGGCCCATCGACGGATCCCAAAGAAGACTAGGCCGTGATATCTCACGTGCTAGTACGCCATTCCTATCGCAGTTAGCCTTTTTCTAAACGCCGACGCTAATCTCCGCACCGGAACAATTCTGCTGCGCCGCCGGGGAACTTTTTTTTCCTGTATGGACAAGAAGAACATAGCAATCCGCAACCTCGACAAGAAGCAGTACACCCTTTTCGTCGGCGCGGCTTCTTCAGTCGCCATCGATCTCTGAAGATGGTAGCCAAGTCATCGGCTTCACGGACAATGTCCGTGAAGCGTGTGAAGACAGGAACAGAGACAACGAAGTCGTATCGATTCGAGCCGTTTTCCCAGCGTGTCGCAAAATTGAAGATCGATCCCATCCATCGAGTGCGTCGGCCGAGCTTTGGTGAAGAAGGAGACGAGACGTCATCTCATTTTCGGTCTGCATATGATCACTGGGTTGAGCTGAATTTGTCGGATAACTTTGTGCGATTCGCCCGAAAAGTCAACCCGCTATGCGAAAGTCTCGCCCAGATTTTATACCACGAGGAGAAGATTATGGAGCTGTTGGTGGAATACATCGAGAAGAGAGACCAGTTATCGATCGAGCCGCTGTTGACATTACTCGCTCAGTTTGCGAGGGATTTAGGTGTCAGGTTCGAAAAGCATTTCGCTACCGCTGTAACGCTCGTGGCGTCTGTTGCGGCCACCCATCCCGACGTCGAAGTGGTCGAATGGAGTTTCACGTGTCTGGCATGGATCTTCAAGTTCCTTTCTCGACTCTTGGTGCCTGATCTGAGGCAGCTCCTGGGTATTATGACCCCGTACCTTGGAAAAGAGCGGCAGAAGCTGTTCGTGGCCCGATTTGCCGCCGAATCGATGTCGTTCCTTATTCGAAAGGCTGGACTTGTATACTACAAAAATAAAACACCCCTGCAACGCGCAGTATCATTTTTGCTGGATGATTTGCACCAGGCGGCTGCCGATTCGAAGACCGTGGAAACATACAAAGAAGGGTTGATGGCTATGTTTTCGGATGCAATCAAAGGTGTCAAGCTCGGGCTCCACTCGAACGCCACTGATATACTTAGCTGCCTTCTGGAAAATGCGTCTACAGGCGATGAATTGCGCAGCAGCTTAGCTCTCGACGTCGTTAGCGGTGTGCTAATTAACGTAAATCACAATACGACAGCTGACACCTACGAACCAATCATCGAGACCATCGTATCCTTCATCGAGCCAACCCGCAAGAAGGCCAACAAGCAGTATGCGAACTTATGTTGTCGGTTGATGTTCATCTGCGTTTGTACCCGCAAAGGATCGCGTGTTAAAAGCTGGAAGCCTGTTCATCAAACTCTGCTGCTCTTGCTTCAGAGGGCCGCGGCTGCGCCTGGCGCGTATGCCGAGTCGATTCCCCAGCTTCTGACTACCGTGGCATATGTCCTTCAGCTATCTCCTATGGACGAAATGCTACCATTTATGCGCTCGCTTATGGATGCTGTGACCGCAGATCAGCTTTCTGCTCACTTTCTCTCATTCTGTGCTACTTTCTCGGAATGGGGTGCGGAGAGATTTCATAGTGTTGTCCTTCCCTATTTTCAGAGGTTGGTAGATTCCATGCATCGGTCTGTGTTTTCATCTTCTAACTCTCACATAGATTCGTCAATTCTTCATGGCAGGAACATGAGTACGAGCTCTGTCTGACCCTTCTTCGGTTGAACCAGGCAGGATGCATCACGTCCGAGCTCTCGCGACCTGGCTATATCGCCTGTCCGACATCCTGGAAGAGTCGCATCAAGGGCATGCTAGGCAGCTCTGGCCCTGATGCCACTGAAGTAGCACTCCTCAATGCGTATTCTAAGCTTCCCAACGCCATCTCTCTGTCCACCGAGCCCTCGCTCTTACCCGAGATGACCACGAGTCTTCATGACCACCTGTCTCATGCTCTGAAGCAGAACAAGGATGACTCGTCTCCCGCGACAAAGTTCTTCCTCGGACAAGGTTTCAAGACTTATGTGGACCTGGCTTCCTCTAACGGAGGTGCTGATTCGGACTTGTGGAGCTCAATTCTTTCCGCCGCCGCGCAGCACTCCCGAGTCCATTTGTTCCTTGAGGCCCTGCTAGCTTACGTTTCGAATTGCTCGGTAAAGTTTGATTTCGAAAATCCTGCAGTGGAAGAATTCGCGGATGTCCTGATCACCAACCTGGCGGGTCCGTCTCATGCACTCCGACTATTGTCACTGCAAATCTTGCAAGTTCTTGTTGAAACCCTGGGAGAAGATGCTACTCCTATCTCGCTAGCTATCGAAGTCGAAGAAAGCGAGCTTAATCTCCAAACCGCGCGTGTTGTGTCGATGCACATCCGTAGACTCGCCATTCTCTACCCACAAGTGGCCTCGCAGCGGTGGATGCCCAGGTTGATACCGTACTTTTGCTTTGGACTATTTTCAAAGAAGTTGGCGCCTTTATGGGACGATGCTGCTGCAGCACTCAGATCAATCAGCGAGCATTCTGCGGGAGAGAATATTGTTTCTGATCTCGCAATCCAATGGCTTCAAGAGCGTGGATCAATTGAGACTACCCACAAAGCCGACGAGGAGGATGAAAACTACACATCTGGATACTTTCAATGCTTCAATGCAGCAAAAATTGAGGACCTTGCATCCGCTAATTTCAATGCTTCCATGGAGCCCAGTTCGACACTGCTGGGCCGTTTCGAGAAGGACCACGACCAATCTGATATTCTACCCCTTTCACCTCGAACCCATGCTTTGCGTGTCCTCAATGCGGCCCCGAAAATCGCTGAAAAGAGATCACGCCAGGTTGTCCCTCTTTTTCTGGCCTGGGCCACACGCGACGACGAGGATGGGCCTGTTGGTGATATCTCCAAGAATACAGACGCGGAGGACGCCGAGGAATCATACATCCCCTGGGGCTTCCACGATCGATTGGCTTTCCTTGGGCTTTTTGGTCAATTTGCCAATCCTCGGGTGCTTTTCAAGGCATCAGAAGTTCATGAAGCACTGCTTGGCCTTCTTTGCCACGGTAACTCTCAGATCCAAAAGTCCTCACTCAAAGCACTATTCACCTGGAAGTCGCCCAACATTGTTCCCTACCAGGACAACCTTTTGAATATCTTGGACGAGTCGCGCTTCAAAGATGAACTCTCTGTCTTCGTTCATGTTGGTGGTGAAGATAGCTTGATTGACGAAGCACATAGGGGTGAACTCCTCCCTGTTCTCCTACGTGTCCTGTATGGCCGAATGATCTCGAAAGCAAGCGCAGCAGGTCAGGCAGGGCAGGCTGGACGTAGGAAGGCGATCCTGCGAACATTGTCACAACTCCCCGATAACGAATTTGATATCTTCATGCAGGTGTCTTTTGGCCAGCTTGGTACTGTCAATTTGACTCAAAATAAACAAATTGATCAAGAGGCATTTACTCGAGATCTGGTCAGCCCGAGAAGGCAGATGGGTTTGCTGAAAATGGTTGAAACTGTGTTCGATACTCTTCAAAGTCGAATGGTTCCATATGCCCAGAGATCCATGGATGCAGTCCTGTACTGTCTCGTGAGAGCCTCTCGGGAGGTGGAGAAGGACCATACTGACACTGTTGCGGAGTCTGCAGAGGGACGCATGTTGACTGTTCTGCGCAACATTCGTCAGACTTGTATTCGTTGCCTTGACTTGATATTCTCTGTCTCGTTAGACAAAGAATGGTCATCCTACGTTCGCGTCATCTTTGACGAAGTAATCAACCCTCGCCTCGAAAATTTGGCAATTGAGACAGCGCAAGGAGTTTCGGGTCTCCTTCGACTCTTCCACACTTGGGCAACTTCCTCCCGGTCGTCTTTCTATCTCGTGCGCTACAACGACACGCTTCTAACCAAGGTGGTGGACTGTCTTGCTGTAGATTCTGCCCGTGATGAGGTGAAGGTGTTCGTTATGGACGAGATTCTCGTGCCTGTTATTGAGCTTGCAAGTGGAAAAAATCTGCAAGAGAAAGAAGAGATGAGTGATTTCTCCTCAGGCGAGATTCGCTCTGAGGTTTTGTCCCCTTATATTGAACACACACTTTCTCTCCTTGGCCGTCTCCTAAAGCGTGGTCCTTCCCGCTCCGTCCTGGTATCAGGCGTTCAGACACTTTCTCTCCTTGCGCCATGTGTTGAATCTTCCAAGGAAACCTCGGGACTCATTAGCATCACCACGTATCTCCTGCGTCAGCCACCAGACAGAGTGTCCCCTAAGACAAAGTCTGGTCTCTTACGCATTCTGGAATACTTTCTGCCCTTGTACGATCCTCAAGAAGACCCGAAAATGTTCCAAGAGGTGTTCGAGGCGGTGTCATCCATGTTTGATTATTTCAGGGATGATTCAAACCGTGAAGTTCTGTCGAGAGTCTTTGGGGCGTTCTCAAAACACGATCATAAACTCCAGAAAGTCGCCACTCTATGCGCCGAGTTGAACTCGATATCTAGAAAGAAACTCGAGATAGACTACGAAAGTCGACTTCAAGCCTTCAGGGAAATCAACGAGAGCTTGTGGGAATCTTTTGACGCTCAACAGTGGCGGCCCCTGCTCTATAACATGCTCTATCACGTCAAGGATGAGGAAGAACTTGCTATCAGAGCGAGCTCTTCTTTTGGACTGAAACGATTCATAGAGAGGGCTACTAAGGAAGATGAAGGCAGCGCCGAGGAGTTTGAACCTCTTGTCAAAGATGTCTTGTGGCCTGCGCTGCAAAGCGGAGTCCGACAGAAGTCAGAGCTTATTCGGTCTGAATTTGTCTCAGTGCTTGGTTACTTTATCAAGTTAAACCCCACTAGGAGCGAAGTACAAGACATGCACGGGCTTCTGATGGGCGACGATGAAGAGGCATCTTTCTTCACCAATATCCTTCATATACAGCAGCATCGCCGTCTCCGGGCGCTGCGTCGTCTGGCCGCTGAAGCGGCGAAGGGTGGCCTCCAGCCTTCCAACATCAGCTCCATCTTCATTCCCCTCAATGAGCATTTTGTGTTCGACGAGGAAGTCGAGGAAGCCGCCCACAACTTAATTGCGGAAGCTGTTGCCACGATCGGGGCTCTCGCCGAATGGTTGGACTGGAACCAGTTCAGAGCGATCTTCCGGAGATATCGTGGTTACATGCAACGCAAGTCTGAAATGGAGAAGAATATTCTAAGGCTCCTGGGCAGAATGGCAGATGCCTTGACCAATGCAATGAACCAGGTCACGGGCGATCAGAAGGTAGACGGCGACAGCATGGAAGGGATCGAAATCTCGGTCCCCAAATGCAATCTTGCACGAACAATGCCATCGCCTGCTAAAGTTGCGGCAGAGCTGACCACCAATTTCATCCCGCAATTGACCAACTTCATCCATCATAAAAATGAGGCGGAGATGAGCTTGCGTTTGCCAGCAGCAGTCACTACGATCAAGCTGTTGAAACTTCTACCCGAGGAAGATATGGCTATTCGCCTGCCTCCTGTTCTCCTTGATGTGTGCAGTATCCTTAAAAGTCGATCACAGGATGCCCGAGACACTGCTCGAAAGACTCTGAATGACATTGCCTTGCTGCTGGGTCCCGCCTATTTCGGCTACATACTCAAGGAACTTCGCACCGTTCTCACAAAGGGCTACCAGCTTCACGTCCTCTCCTTCACAGTCCACTCTATACTTGTGGCAACAACAGACGACTTCAAACATGGGGATCTGGACTATTGCCTGGCGGATCTCAGTGGCGTAGTTATGGATGACACTTTTGGTACAGTCGGTCAAGAGAAGGATGCAGAAGGCTACGTGAGCAAGATGAAGGAAGTCAAGAGCAATAAGAGTTATGATTCGATGGAATTACTGGCGAAGAATGCGACTGTTCGGAACCTCACGAACCTGCTCCGACCATTGAAGTCTCTTCTACGTGAGAAACTCAATTCCAACATGGTGAAAAAGATTGACGAACTCCTGCGAAGAATTGGAGTGGGTCTTTTGAGAAACCCGGGCGTGGAAAATCGTGATATCCTTGTCTTCTGTTACGAAGTGATCAAGGAGACATATCAGGATCCTGCGAAGGAAGAGAAACAGAAATCTCTCACCATCTCTGAACAGCGTTATCTGGTCAACCTCAAAGGTGCAAAGAGAGGCGAGAAACGCGGAACGACTTCGTCGTACATCTACAAGTTGACTCGATTCTCGCTTGACGTTCTGCGCTCCATCCTGAACAAGTTCGACTCGTTACTCACCCCGGCCAACCTGGCTGGTTTCATTCCCACCATCGGCGATGCATTAGTTCAGGCGCACGAAGAAGTAAAGATCGCTGCTGTCCGGCTGCTGTCGACCATCATTAAGCTTCCTCTTCCGGAAATCGATGACAATGCTCATGTCTACTTCACAGAAGCGGTCAAAATCATCAAAGAGGCGCCGAGCACGAATACCGAGGCTGCGCAGGCATCCCTGAAGCTGGTCGGGGCGATGTTGCGAGAAAGAAAAAGCACCAAACTCAGAGATGGTCATCTCGCATATCTCCTCCAGCGTCTTGTCGCCGACATTGAAGAGCCGGATCGCCAAGGCATTACATTCAACTTTATTCGAGCCGTGATGGCAAGGAAATTCGTGGTTCCCGAAATCTATGAGCTGATGGATCACATCGGTGCCATGATGGTCACGAACCAAGCCCGCTCAGCGCGCGATCTGGCTCGCGGCACGTATGTGCATTTCCTCGTCGAGTATCCACAGGCCAAGAATCGCTGGGCGAAACAACTGAGCTTCCTAGCCAAGAATCTGGAATATAAGCATCACGATGGCCGTCAGTCTGTTATGGAAGCCGTGCATACGCTACTCTCTAAGACTGGACCCGAACTGGCCCAGGACATTGTCAGCACATTTTTCTTGCCGGTTGTCATGGTAATGGCGAACGATGAGGCACCTGAATGCCGAGAAATGGCAGGAACTTTGCTCGGAGAACTATTCAGCCGAGCGGATAGGGAGCAGACGAAGTCCATGCTCATGCCCTTGCGATCCTGGCTCGAGCAGACTGACAACTCTCTGCTGACTAGTACCGGGCTACAAGCGATGAGAATTTTTTTCGAGGCGGAAGGAACCGAAAAGGACAAGGAAGCTCGCTTTGTCATGGGAATACTCCCCGCCATTATGGAGCAAATTCTGAAAGACGAAGGAAACGACAGTTGGGAAGTGCTCTATTTTGGTTTGCAGCTTTTGACAAAGCTTTCCAAGGCCGTTCCTGCTATCGCCCTGGCCAAGGAACGTGCCTCAATCTGGGCAGCCGTTCGGGAATGCTTGTTCTACCCCCACGCTTGGGTTAAGACTTGTGCCGCCAATCTCGTCGGAACATGGTTTGCAGATCTGGCCAGAACCAATGCAGCACATGGTTACAGCGCGATTCCGCTGGCAGGCTCTACAGGCTTGACGCTTGACAAGGATGCCATGTTGCAGCTGACCCGGGCCAGTTTGCGCTGCCTTAGAACTCCGGGTGTAAGCGAAGAGCTTGCTATGCAGTCGGTTCGCAATATTATATTCTTGGGTCGGTGTTGCGCTCAGAATGGTCTTGCATTCCCGTCTACATCTCAAGAGGCCGATATGAGCGAAAGCGAGAGCGAGAGTGAAGATGACATTGATGAGGAAAGTGTCAAGAAGCCAGTGGAGCGCGCAGACAAGCCCACCATCCAATATATTTTCCAACAAATCTCCTTGATCCTGCGCAGGGAACTCCTTACGACAAGAGCAGAATCATTGATTCCCAAGAGCGCCTCCATTGGCCTTCTCGCGGCTCTCTGTCGTCACCTCGAGGCTGATCAAATACGTCCATCGTTGCCTACCATTCTCCTCCCTCTTCAACATTTGACAGATCCAACTATACCTGCTCCTCGGTCATCGGACGAGCGCTTCCGCGAATCATACAGGGCGCTTGTTTCCAACTGCCATGAAGTCCTTGACCTCCTCCAGAAGAAACTGGGCGCCACTGAGTACATCAATCAGATGGCAAAGGTGCAGGATTCCATCAAGGAGAGACGTGAGGGACGGCGGATGAAGAGGCGCATTGAGGCAGTTACGGAGCCCGAGAAATATGAGCGAGATAAGAAGCGGAGAAACGACCGCAAGCACGAGAAGCGCAGGGAGAAGGGAGCGGAACACCGGGGGAAGAGACGCGGCTGGTAGATGCCGCTATTTATTTGATTCACTGTGTATATTGGCATGTTGGTCATTGGCTGGGCGTTGGGGTATATAAAAAGTTATGATCAGATCATGGATAGAGTATATATTGATCTCTAATGTTGTCTATCGTTCTAAGCTACGGGCAATGTATGTAACTTTAGTAGTATCAACATCTTTGTGTGTTCAAGATTGAGCAGTGCAGTAGATTCAATGCCTCTTCGACGTACGAATTAGTCCATGATCCTGACATGTGGTTTGACCCTTATGTTTGAGAGAGCACACATAGAAAGTGGAGTTGTATATACAAAGCAATATCAAAGTATCGCTAATAGTTCACACGCCAACCAACGCCGCTATTTTTACAAGTCTGATCTTCATTTCATCTCCGGTACGAAGGTAGGAAGACCTCACGGATGCCCAAGTGTATCCCAGCACTGTTGCGAACAATCCGAAGCCCAGATTTACAGACGATAAAGGAGAAATCAAGGTAGTCCTTGATTCGACTTTGTCTCCGCGGTAGTGTCCGCATCTGAACCCTCGCGCTTCTTCACCGTTCCATCTTCCCAGAACTCCATGTCTCCATCTACATAGCCGCGCGTCAGCTTCTTTCCCTCGCGCTGGAGGATATCCTCGAGCGTGCTCTTCTTGTCAAAGAAGATGTTGAGATGATCGCTGATAACATGACGATTGTGGCAGGAAGGACAGCGGATGACAACCGTGCCCTTGTGATAACCGTGTTTCGACATCCGGTGGGAAGATCGGTTGCCGCATGGCTTGCAGGTAAAGGTAATTTGGTATGTGGGTTCTTGCTCGCGACGTTGTTTGTTCTGTTCCTCGTGCGCGGCGTCGGTGGTGGGATCGGGAGTTCGGTCGGTGAGGCCGGGGCGAGACGTTGATGCGCTGGAATTATTTCGTAAGGCCAGGTAGGGGGCCAGGAGCCTTTGCGGCGTTGAAGAAAGAGCAGTGGTTCTCTGAGAGGTAAGGTTCAGCAGCTGTGGCAGTGGTCGGCATGCAGTCTGTGGGAGAGCTGTCCGCGGAAGTGCTGTGCTGAAGGCACGAAGACCTCGGGATGCGATTCTTGCTGAATGCATATTGTGCTTTTGGACAGAAATTCAAGATAGATATATGACAGCGGATGAGACGAATACGGAGTAACTGAACTGAAATTGAGGTGATTCGGAAGATATACAGAGCTTGACAGCTGCAGAAGTGCCTCCGCTGCCGATGACGAAGATAATAAAACCCGCCAGTTGCGCCGGACTTAGTGTTGTTCCAGCTGTCTCTCTCCGCGGCGACTCTCAAGTCTACAGTTCTAGCACCAACACATCTCATTGTTTTTGTAAGATGCTGAGAGGGCCTTGGCCTCACTAAGACTGTCTTATCTGGAAGCGTCTTTGTTCTGGACTTGGATCAATTAATCTTCTTGTTGAACCTCATTCCCGCTCTGTCCATCATATTCTGCCCCGCGCAAGAGCTCTAAGTATAGATTCTAGTGGATGGCAAGTTGGCATAGTTTGAAAGATGGCTATGAGAGCAAGGCACAAGATCCGTGCTCCACGAAGGGTATGTTTTATTCACTTATCTATCTAACGATTTAAATCCCACTTTGCCTAGTCGTTCGATCTGCTGTTGCGAGCTGATCCAACAGGCGGCAGCCGCTATGCTGAAGGACCTCCCTTAAAAAGAGGATTCACTAACCATCGAATGAAGGGTCTGAACGGAACGAAGTCCGATGATTTTGATACAATCTGGGGAGTCTTGTCCTCGTCTCTCAACGAGATACATACGAAAAATGCCTCCGCTCTTTCCTTCGAAGAACTGTACCGGAACGCCTATAAAATCGTGTTGATGACCCGCGGCGATGACCTTTACGAACGAGTCAAAAAGCTGGAGGAGGAATGGCTAGGCAAGGAAGTGAAGAAGACGGTCACAGCGGCTATCTCGCCCACGTTATTGCTGGCAAAAGAGCCCGCCGATATGCAAGATCAAGCGAATGAACGAAGGGAAGCCGGAGAAAGGTTCTTGGCGGTTCTAAAGGGAGCCTGGGAGGACCATCAGCTTTGCATGGGAATGATAACGGATGTCCTTATGTACATGGTCAGTACAATGTTTCCCTATGCGTTGAGGAGCTTCGCGCTAATAGCTGTCACAATCGATAGGACCGTATCATCATGGCAGATTTTCGGAAGCCGTCAATATACGTTGCATCCATGGCATTGTTCCGCGACCAAGTATTACGATCTCCGATCAGTTCGGACGCGAAAACGACGGTTGCCGATGTGCTTGAGTCTACTGTGCTCTTCATGATTCAGTTAGAACGAGCCGGTCATGTCATAGACCGACCACTCATCCGGCATTGTATCTATATGTTGGAGGGCCTATACGAGACTATCACAGAGGAGGAAACGTCCAAGTTGTATCTCACCATGTTCGAGCCGGCCTTCCTGGAAACGAGCAAAGCTTTCTACCAAGCGGAAGGACAGCGCTTGTTAGAGCTGGCTGATGCAGCATCTTTCTGTCGGATTGCCTCTAGTCGTATTGCAGAAGAAAAAGAACGGTGTCACTACACGCTATCGCCTCTCACCGAGCAAAAAATCAAGAATGTCTTGGATGAAGAATTGATCGCCAGGAACATCGCAGAAGTCATCAACCTTGAGGGCACGGGCGTCAAAAATTTGATTGACAACGACCGACTGGACATTTTGCGAGAGATCTACGAGCTTAGTGCGCGGGTTGATAATAAAAAGACGCCTCTGACCGCGGCCGTTCAGAAGCGCATCAGTCAAATGGGCCGAGAGGTCAATACTTCGTCGACTGCTTACGAAAAGGCTCCCAGTGCAGGCGCAAAAGCGACAGGGAAAAGCGTTAGTGGCGAGAAGAAGCCTGCAGAGAAAGAGAGGCCTGTGAACCAGCAAACAGTGGCGGCTATCAAATGGGTCGACGACATCTTGGATTTGAAGAAGAAATTCGAGAGCATCTGGGAGAAAGCTTTCATGTGTGATCAAAGCATGCAAAGTGCCATTACTACCAGTTTCTCCGATTTCATCAACTCAAATGCACGCAGTTCCGAATTCCTCTCGCTCTTCTTCGATGAGAATCTGAAGAAAGGTATCAAAGGCAAGACAGAAAGTGAAGTGGATGCTTTGCTCGACAATGGCATCACTCTGCTGCGCTACATCAAGGATAAAGATCTGTTCGAGACTTACTACAAGAAACACCTTTCTCGCCGTCTTTTGATGAAGCGCTCAGCCAGTATGGATGCGGAGAGACAGATGATCTCGAAGATGAAGATGGAAGTTGGTAACCAATTCACGCAACGACTGGAGGCCATGTTCAAGGACATGACAATATCTGAAGACCTGTCCGCAAGCTACAAAGATCATATCCGGAAGACAGGGGATCCCGATCAGAAACGGGTTGACCTCGAAATTAATGTCCTTACCAGCACCATGTGGCCCATGGAGATCATGTCGAACCCCAGAGATGGGGACGTTCAGCTTCCATGTCTCTTCCCGAAAGAAGTCGAAGGTGTCAGACAGAGCTTTGAGCAATTTTATCTCAGCAAGCACAACGGCAGGAAGCTTTCATGGCAACCAAACATGGGTACAGCAGATATCCGAGCAACGTTTCAGCGGTCGAACGGCAAGGTTCAGAGACATGAACTCAACGTTTCGACCTATGCCATGGTCATTCTACTTCTCTTCAACGACGTGCCTACAGGCGAGTCTTTGACCTTCGAGGGAATCCAGGAACGGACGCGCATCCCCGAGCACGACTTAATCCGCAACTTGCAATCGTTGGCTGTCGCCCCCAAGACGCGAGTCCTGAAGAAGGAGCCGATGAGCAAGGATGTAAAGCCGACAGACAAGTTCTTCTTCAACAATGACTTCCAAAGTCAATTCATGAAGGTCCGCATTGGTGTAGTGAGCGGAGGCGCCAACAAAGTTGAGAACCAGGATCAGCGAAAGGAAACGGAGGGTAAGATGAACGAGGAGCGTGGAGCCAGTGTTGAAGCGGCAGTTGTTCGAATCATGAAGTAAGTTCAGCCACGGTTAACGAGAGCAGTTTTTTGAATCTAACGGCTGGCTAGGCAACGCAAGACGCTGGTTCATTCCTCCCTCATGAGCGAGGTGCTCAGTCAATTGTCATCTCGGTTCGTCCCGGACGTCAATATGGTCAAGAAACGAATCGAGAGCTTGATTGACCGTGAATATCTTGAACGAGTGGCCGAAGAGCCACCCACGTATGGATACATCGCGTGAACGACCTGGCTATAAGACCAGGTTCTGGCTTAGGATGCTTTCCTTCGCCTCTGGCGGAGAACCCGTCAGTTTCTTTTCATGGCACTTTTTGTTAGTTGGGAATCCCGTCGGTTTCTGTTTGCATGGTACATCATTTGAGCTTAGCGGTGACTGGCGAAACGGCGAATATATCACTCATAGATATCATACTTGCTTCCTCTTGACCTCTTGTTTTGTGTGTTTAGCTCTTGATGAATGAATGCATTTTGGCTGGCCACTGATGACGACCTGGATTTTGACACAGTTCTCAAGAGCATAGAATCGTCATAACGCGAGATGAAACCCGACGATCAATCAGCAGATGGCGGAGACAATACGCTGGACAATACGCCTGGCTATCAATTTCCATAAAACTCATGCCTAGATTATCCCAAGGACATCAAAACAATCAACACCGAAACGCCACAAGATGCAAGATACTCCCACCATGCAATTCCCCCCCCCCCATCATCCATCCCCAAACCCCTCAATCCCTTCAGATTCTAAAGAACCTCCACATCCCCCCTCTCCCACGCACCCCGGATCCCCTCCCACCGCACAACCCACACATCCCCCATCCGCATACTCGTCCCCAACTGTTCCTCCTCAACCCCATCCCCCGGCGGCACAACAACCCTCACCTCCTCCGCCAGACAGCGCACCACAACCGCCTCCCGCACCTCCGGCCCTTGCACCATACTCGTCCCGCCGGCATTGTCATCCAGCCGCCGCAGCTGCGGCGGGAACGAGTCGAGGAACGACGCGCCGTAGTGGGCCGCCAGCAGGGTCTGGTGGGCGTGCAGGAACGCGGCTTCCTGCGGGGACAGCGGGGAGGGGTTCGGGACGAGGGTTGGGTCCGGGATGGAGTCGTGGGGTTGCGACTGTGATTGCGACTGTGAGGGGGACGGGGAGGGGGGCGCGGGCGCGGGCGCGGGCGCGACGAGGAGCAGGTAGTGCATGCTGTGTTTTGTGAGTTTGGCGAGGCGTTGGCGGAGGAGTGAGCGGATGAGGTACTGGGTGCGGGCGAGGTCTGTTTGCAGGATGGAGAGGGTGAGGTTGATGTTTGTCTTTGAGGTTGAGGTTGTGGAGAGGGAGGAGGGGTCGGAGGAGGAGGCGGCGAGGTCTTCGATTTTTTCGATCTGAATGGTGGTTAATTTTTTTTTTCTTTTCCCCCATGTGCGAGTTCGTTCCCCTTCCTGGGTTTCAGTCTGGTGGGATTCGGGAGGAGCTAGCTTACCTGTCGCCGTACGCGCTCCATCATCCGCATCATCAAGGATCCTGGCCATGGGAGGAGCTCCGAGACGGCACGCTCTGCGACCCAGAAACGTGTCAGGAGCTGGTGGTCGAGGGCCGTAGACTCGGGCGCGGAAGCATCATGGCGGTCGACAGAGGCGAGGATGTCATCGATGTCCATGGCAGAGGCCGTTTGGAGGGGGTTTCCCGCATTGAGTCGTGCGCAATGGCCAGTGATGGAGATGGCTTGAGAGCGGAGTGGGATTTGGAGATCGAAGAATGAAGCGGAGCGGAGGTGGGGACGGAAGTAGATGCCTTAGGTTTTCCACTTCCTTCTTGTGCTGGATTCGAGGCGTAATTTTGACCACGATAATCGCAAAAAAGATAAAATTAGCTTACGTGTCTCCTCAGACTTGGACAAAGAGAAGGTATTCAAATTTTTTCTTCATTGATGTACTTCCAACAAAGGAAATCAGTATCTCTAACCGCGAAATTCCTCCCAAATTGTTCCCAATCGGATTCGATCATAGAACCGATCTGAGGGGATTGCTATGTACAGTTGCTCTGACAAGCTGCGAAGATACTTCATCTCTGGATTCAGGATGGTCTCTTTCGCAGATTGTCACGCATTTAATTATCGCCCTGTTTGATCTGACGAGCCGTGAGGTGGTATGTACTCAGTACGGCGAGACATCGGAGTCACTCCCCAGATATAGTACACGAGGGGGAGTTGGATTAAAAGACGGTATGGGGGAAGGGATACCTAAGCTCTGAGTGGAAAGAGGAATAAAAGGAAAAAAAAAGCCATACAGGCGAGGTATCATGAGTAGCAAACCCGGGCGATTGCCGTTGTGAAGCTGGTTCTTGGATCAAGGAAATGGTCGTATGACAAACAAAGGAAAAGTTTCAGGGAGTGGTGGGCAAGGAAACGGTTGACCAGGACGGGCCGTATTCGATCCTTCAAAGCAACGACCTCGAGTCGGAGCTGAAGTTGATCGCATCATCAAGTGTCATGCGGGTCGGTGTCGTAGCCACTTTGGGCTGACCTCGACGCTGCGGTCACAACACGGTTGTGACAGGAGTGGAAGGTTCATAAGCTGAAGGAAACGGATCAAGCGAACGGAAGGAGCTTGAAGTAGTGATTGAGATAGCGACCCTTTTGCAGGACGTTCTCATGGCATCTTCCCCTCGAATGTCCAACAATGCATAGTGTACCAACACAGCGACTCGTAGGATCCTCATCAAGTCGGCTGTGCCTGGGAACCAAGTTGGCATTGGCCGCCAATGGAGTAGGGCGGGAGACAAGAAAGAGAAAAGGAAATCATGCTCAAAAAAAAAAAAATTGGCAAAGAAAAAGAGCTCTGCGCCGCGCTTGAATAAAATCAAATCATCAATCCATGGCGCCAAAGACACCAAAAGGAAAAAAAGCATAAGGAGCGACAAAATGGTTGAAAGACGTCTCTAATAAGAGAGCATGCGACGGCCGGTGCCTCGACCCGACGTGGGTGTCCCTTCAAAGGGAGAATCCAAAAATCGGATACGCTCGCCGGGATTGTTCCGGCATCTGCCAGTGGGGCTGTCTTCCATCTGAGGCGAGTGCTGACCAAAAGCGAACGTCTGAGCACGGCCCAGTTTTGATCGTTGCTTGACCTTCCCGAGGCCACGCTCACATGCATATTCGTGTTCTTTGGCACTCATTTCCACGTAGTTTTGAGGGAAGCAGAGCGCCTGATGGTCAGCGAAGAAGGCACTGTAACCCCCGTGCAAAATGTACATATCCGGGTAGGTTAGTTGCGGGTACTGATCCACATTGACAGCACGGTCCCGATGACGGATGTATTTGGCCATGATGGGTGCTCGGTGCGCGGAATATTCGCAGTGAAGGATCAGGGCGGTCCTGGGTTTAGGATCCGCGAAAAGCTCAGCAGCCAGATACTCCTTGTCATTGAAGTTCACTGCTCCGTTGATGTGGCCGCCCTCGTACTCATACTCAAAGCGGCAGTCAATGACCAGAATGTGGTCGAAACGGTCGTTATACTTCCCATCCATGAGGTCCACGAGAATGGTCTTGTCGATGCGAGGCAATGTATCAGCCTGCTCCTCAGGAACAAAGTGAGGCAGCTGTAGGCTGGGTGTAGATTCGATATCAGTGATCGATTGTAGTGGTGCATTTGTAATGTAGTTTGCCTCTTTTTCGACAATCACATCCTCCGGGTGCTCAAACATGCTCAGTGACCGTCTGCACTGTTTCCGGGGGCGCATCAAGGGGTGGGAGTTTTTGCGAATTGACGCGGCGGAGGGAGATCCGTTTCCACGAACGTGGCTTCCATTGCTGGCGAACGGTGGTCTGAGCCGGGGGTTGCTCAGAAGGGTACCAGGGTTCCGTATCGCGGGCCTTTCCCTCTGCGGCGATTCCCCAAACATATCCTCCAGCGAAGTCGAAGCGCTCAACGAAGTCTTGTTTCCCTTGCTGTGGAATTTAAACGGCGGTGCCTGACTCTCCGGTGCTGGCTTGATCATTCCTAGCTGAAAGGACTGAGCCTTGCTTCTGGACAGACTGGGACGTAGCAAGCTCGGACGCTTCCTCCTGTTGGGGAAAAGAAAAGAGAAGCGGTTAGATAATTGCAAGCTCCTACACCAGACCTAGGGGAAGTTTTCGTTCTCTTACTCGAGTTTGTCCTCCTTCGGTCCCATCGACGGGGAATCCTGCAGCGGGCTCGGCGCGGTCGACATCATGGGCGAGTCCATTGGTGAGCCAGTCGGCGTGAGTGCATTCAGATCGATCTCCGTCGTCACGATGAACGGGGTCTTGTGAGGTAATGGTGACATTTCCATAGTTTCCATGATGGGAGCTGGCGAGGAAGATGGAAGCGGAGGAGTGGTCATCGTGTCTTCTATATACCCTGATGAGAAACAAACTGAGACTCGAAGTGTCCGTCGACAATCAAGTCATCTCTTACCACGAGCATTGCCATGTCCGAAGAGGTTGGAGGAGAACAAAGACCGCCGGGGCGTAGCCAATTGGGGACTATTTTTGGTCAGCACAGCCCTTTATCATTCACAGGACCTAAAGGTAGAGATACAAGACAAAGGAAGAGCCAAAAAAAAAAAAAAATATAGAACACGACAACGAACGAACCTTTGATCGATGTGAAAATTCTGGGACAGGTCCGCGGCAAGACTAGCTGCCGGGGACGATCCACTGACGGGCTTCATGCCGAAATAATCACCGGGGGGTTTCTTCATGGACAAGTCCTTGAAGTTGAAGGTGTTTGTACCCATCCTGGCCCTTGGACCAAAAGCAGGATATGACGTTGGGGCATCTGGACGAAAGCAATGTCCGAAAAGGACCGATGGAGGCTGCATGGCAGCCAACGGCGATGAATGTTCCATTGTTCGCTAGGAACTAAAAGCTGCTCTCTTCTACCTCTGGTTGACCGAAGTAGAGAGAAAGAAGCAGAGTATTTGCGAAGAAAAGACAACTCCTGGTGCAGAGGAACTATTCTAACCGGCACATATACTACAATGGCGGATGAAGTATGACCCAACGCCCTTGTAATCCGATCTCACTGGTTCACTCCCCGTCTTCGTTCAATTGGCTGTCTTTGTTCGAAATTCTAGACCTCACAAGTCTCCGAATAGATAGGCTTCCTGATCCCACGAACCACCGGCATGGGCCGGAACTTTTTCCCTGGACTGTAGAAGTGCCTGTTCAGAGGGACATGGTTGGTCGATCGTTGGCAATATCAGGAGAGCGTTGAAGATAGTATAAGATGGGGAAGCAGTGGAGAACAGGAGGGAGGTCTATGATGATTAACACGGCATTGGGTTAGCACAATGAGACCAGGATCAGCAGCAGCTCTGTAAGGAGCAGCCAGTAGCTCCAGTAAGCTAGGTAGACTGGGGGGAAATAGATTACCGATGAGGAACTAAAGACTTTCGGCGGGATGGAGACCGGAAGGTGATCATGAGAGAGATAGAGAGGAGACGGCGAGGTCTTAAACCAAGAAGCAAAGGACGTCTCTGGGGAAAGAAATGGAGGAGAGAAAGAAGAAAAGAGGAAAAGTGACACTGGAAAAAGGTGAAGCTGAAGGGATGTCCTGTTGCAATGGCAACGAAAAAGTGGGGAGGGATCTCCAGATGCTCAAGAAAGCGCTTAAGCGACAGATAGAGAGGTACCTAAGCTTGTAAGTACGGAGTAGTACAGACAGTATCAGAAAACCGACTCCGAACCATACAAGCTGGAGGATTATTCTGGTGCGGATTAACAGAAAGCAAAATAAAAAAAATTAAAAAAAATTAAACAGTCTGCAAGGCAATGAGGATTTAAGCAATAGACTACAAAAAGGATTGTTCAGATCAATATATTTATCCCTCTAGGAGAAGATTGATTGAATGATTGAATTTAGGTGATGGTGATAGTTAGTCCAAGCGATGGTACATGTGTCTAGCAAGGCAGAAGAAACCTAAGGCTGTACATAGTAGGTAGGTAGGTAGGTAGGTAAGTCAGTAGTGTTACCAAGTACCAGGTACCTTGTACCTTACCTCTTGTCTCCGTCATCGGTAGGTACGGTACAGGTTACAGACTGTATGAAAGACGTACGTAGGTACCCGGTACGGGGTATGTACTTATCACTATGCGGGACATACCTAGCTCGGCCCTGGAGCTGTAGGTAGTTAGTTAGTGTACCTGTACCTAGCCAGTAACCAGCGTCTAGGGCCTCGTTGCCAGGACTCCCTTGCCGCCATCGTCAGCGAACACCGACTACGGGTTACGAATTACGATGCTGCTCAGCAACCCTCCGCCTATCAGCGTCCTTACTGCATCGCCCGCTTTGAATCTGCCAATCTGGGCTGGCTGGATGAAGTATGGATCGTGGACTTGGTCGGTCTCACGGGGCTACCAAAACGACGATGGGGTTTCCCTTCTTCCAGTCTGTCTTCCATTCTGATTCTTGTTGCGGGCTTCGAGAATTCTCTTTGATGTGTCAAGTATTTGGTTCTATGGTTCAGGACACTTTAGTACCTACCTAGTACCTACCTAGTATCTATGGAGATTGGAGACCGTACCTTATGTATCATACTGACAGCTAGGTAGTACCTAGCGGATGCCGAGTGAATACTGTACAGAACCCGGAAATAATAATAGATATATAAAACTTCACTGACCTCCTCAACGAGGCCGTCCGATTACGGATTTTTTTGCCAAGTTTCAATGATCGGAATTAGATCAAAGACGCTTGGAGAAGAGGGAGAGGCTCAAGTGTACAGCCTCCTTGATGATCAGTGGACGTTCCTCTCTATCTAGTTAGCTGGTGACTCTGGACTTTCAACGAGGCTTCCTTTTTTTTCCTTTCCTCGCCCTTCTCTGTATGCTAGGATCAGTATTTACAATTCCTGTCGCTTTTACGTTTTCCCCTTCCTCTGTTTCACTTTCAAACCCTTGAAAGAGAACCCTAAATAAAACTTCTTTCAAAAGAGGAGCCAAAGAAGAAAGAGAGAGAAAAAAAAAAATAAAAAAAGAGGAGCACGGCACAAACGGAGACCAACATTTGACCAGCAAAAAAACCCTATGATGGATCATGCTGGCCGACAAATTCCCTCCCGTTTTCCCTTTTTTGATTTTGATACACAGTTCTCGAGAGCAAAATGAAGAGATCGAATCTAATACCATCTCCACCCGCTCCACTTGGTCGGAAAAAAAGAGCTTATGCGGATTCCTCTAGAGTTTGTTCGGTTTGTTCTTTCTGTCGAGCAAAGAATGGTAGCGAAAACGGGCAGTGAAGAATGCCAGTACCTCGGACCTAGCTATGTAGTAGTTGTAGTAGTAGTACGTGGCTGAAGGTGACATTTGATTGCCTACAGATCAGAGTGGTACAGCACATAACTGCAGCAGGGTACACATTCCTACAAATCTAACGACTTTCCATCTTGCTGGGTGAGTGCAGACCACACATAATGTCTGCCTGTCTCTGAGGCTATCCCATGAATCCACCGGAAATGCCAAGCGTCTTATTGACCATGAAACTATGAGTACTATGATCGCATCAAGGCCAAAAACATGTCTGACAGTACACGGAGTACAGACTACAGTAGGTCGATGACATACTCTTAGATCGAAGAAACCTGCTTTGCCCAACCGGCTTGCAGGTCAACTCGCAAACAGGCAATCGTGGAGTAAACTAACTCTCAAGATCTACAAGGCAGTACGAGTAGTCAATACGCTAATTCGATCCATCCCATCGTGGGCATACAACGTTTTGAACATGGAGTCCAATCGTGTGTTGGTTACCATCGATTGAAGATGGATTGTTCCCCGAGTCATGATCGCTTTCTATCTCTCCATGCTACAGAGCAAGTTCTTGCCCAAATGCCTGATACAAGGATATGATGATGGCGATATCCTTCGGGACGACGATTACGTCCATACGTCCATCCTGAGCATTGTCCTTGTTGCAAAATCCTGCCTTGTGCCCTTACTTTCTCTGTGTGTGCAAGACATTCTTTCAGTCCTTGACTTGACCCAGGGATACCTCCCGCATGTCATCCCTTTTTTTTTGTATAGTTCTTCCAAGGGGTTTCCTACTATCAGTCTTCCCCCGTGCTGCAATTCCCCTCCAAGCGCTCTTTCATATTGATCGAACTCAATCGCCTTTCAATGAATTGGTCCGAGTCTGTCAGCGTTCTCCGGTGGTTTTTTCCTTGTGATTGATGTGGGGTGCATGCGACTCCAACTGATCAGCAAGCAGTAGCAGAAGAACTAGCGGCAGCCTCACAATGGACGGAGTCCTCATTGTCCTCTCTGGCAAACTGTCTGGCTCTCTCGGATAAATCTGACTATCTAGACTATCTAGTTATTTACGCGGCCATGACGAAGGGCAATTAAGCTATGGAGACACGGGCCTGGGCATTGGTCTCGCAGTCTCACTATTAGCAAATACCAAGGCTGATTCGGGAGAATTGACTCCTCCCTCTGCGCCTAGGGAGCCGAGCACCGCACCCTCTATCTAGACGAGGGATCAGATCATCGGGCTCATCGATCGTGCAGACACGCACTACCGTTTCAGTGGACAACCTTGCCTCGAACTATCTAGACTAATTTCTTCATTGCAATGGTTGTATTTTGCAGGATGGGTTGAGATTGATTTTCACACCCTCGACTTTCTCTACCATTCTGTTTATCTCCGAGGGCCAGAAAGCCATGACCATCATCAGGACGGCTTATCTTATCCGGAGATTTGGAGACACACCCCTCAGCCTCAAAGGGTAGAGACCCCGAGACCCCGATCTCGCTGTTTCAGCTACAATCCTTTCTTGATTAGTCTGACCGTGGCTTTGCAGCTGCGAGCTGAATGTCAGTTAGTAGATTGATGACTACGGAGGAGAGCGGTCGCGCGGCTGACTTCAGTGGCTCGACTCTAGCCGGATGAGTTTGGGGGGATTCTCGGAGCGATCATCTCCATCTCCAGAATGGGCGGCTCAGTTGGGACTTGGGGTCAGGACTCAGGAGCCTAATAATGGGATTCTCTCGAGGCGAGGATGACGAGCGAGCCTATGATAACTGGTTTACTGAATTGCCTCGGGCCAACTTGTTGTTTACTCCTTGACACTTGACAGTAGTAGTGGAATCAGGATTGAACCTCAGCAAAGATCAACTGGCGGTCGGATCGAAGGGAGGGCGGCTGTTCGCAAGGCATATCCCCCTCACTGTTCGGTTGCAGTGCGATCGCGATGGATGATTATCTCCCTACTCTGTAGTCCTTGGTAAGCTGAGCACTAGATAGACTAGCTAGCTACTCCCTACACTCCTATCCTTTTTGTGATTCTGTCTTGTGTCGGGCTCTCCGAGGGCCTCCGATCCTTTCGCGGTGGGGTCTGACTAGGTTGTGTAAGTATGATACACATTGACATAACAGAGTGGTACCGACATGGGAGTTACCTAGTGGGTTAAAGATAAACCATGATCCTTGATACTTGATACTAAAAAAAAAAAAAAAAAAAAATAAAAAAGGCCACCAGGACCCATCTAATAATGCGCCGTCATGAGATGACCATGTGCTTTGGAGGATGGACGATGGTCTACTCCGTATGGAGGTGGTAGGTGCCGATCTATCTAGGTCGAGTCTAGAGGCAGTTTCGGACCCGATGATGTGATGGCCTTGAATTCTAGGCCATCCGGCTGCCTCAGGCGTCAGTGCGGGGGTCAGCAATGGCTACTCTACTGCTGATTGGTTGATATGGGCAGCACTAGCGCCGACAGCTCGTGCACTGGCGAAAAGCAGGTGACCAGTGACTGCTCTTCCTCACTACTAACTAGTACTAGTACTTAGTAGGTAGTAGGTACTCTGTAGGTATGTGCTGAACTGCTAATGCTAGTAAGTAGGATGATGCTCTTTTTTCCTGCTTATCTGCTGCCCCTCCATGTGGGATAAGTCGTGATGTCACACAGAAGCATCAACCAGAGTTCTGCTCCTCATGTACGGATGTGCTGGCATCAGCATCCTGTCTAGATGTCTAAGCCCATTGTTTACATGCTTTGTCGGTCGCGTCTGACGTGTTAGTGTAAACAAAGAAAACAACAACGCCTGAAACCTGTTGACCAGCATCCATCAATCAATAATAGTGCATCGATATCCCCATTCTTACTGACTCGACTCTGGTTTTTGGAGATATAGATAGACATCGACGGAGTATCAGATGGGCCTCATGTTTTTTTTTGGGGAGGTACCAATCGATGACATCAGCAAAGTTGCGCCCTTTTCTCCTTGATGGTCTTCCACCTTGCGCATTTCTCCCTCTGCATGTGCCCAATGCCCATCCCCTCCTAATCAATATTCCACCCCTCCCTCCATGCTTCCACCATCACACACACAGCACGGAGCATTATCTGCATATATTATTGAAGAATGCCATACTAATTTTCCTAAACAGTAGAACTAGTCTGCACTGACTGACTCCTGAGGTATGGTTTTTCTTCTTCAATCGTCGCGCACCGTGCAGAAAAGTCTACTTGTCTCTCTATATGCACCGTTCCGTCGATATCGAATTCCTCGGGAAGCGATCAGCAGAACTATCCATCCCGATCTTCATTCTTCGACCTATTTGATTGATTCCTTGACTGAGAGAAGTGTTCGGAACTTCTTGGAGATTACTCCGTAGCTTTGTTTGGTGTTTAGCTATCTCGCCTGCACTCGTGCCTTGACCAAACTAGCTGCATACTATCGATCGTCCATGGAGTGCATCCGTCTACTTCTCCGTGTGTATCTACAGTCGAATGTCTAGAGCATGTATTAGTCGATAATGACCATCTACCCCGTATCATGTTCACATAGCAGCCACCACTATTAGCCTCGACAGGCTGGGTGTACATTCCACCCTGTCATCCAAGCCCCTAGCCAGGCACAGCGTATCCACTGACACTTGGACGACGAAACCCACCCACTTGGTTAACTTCCAAGTTCAGTATCACTATCCTCCAGGTCTACCTTACGGATCGGGGTCCCTGCATCCCTACACAGATCTGGAAAACTCAGCAGGGCCCCATTGGACATCGAGATCGATCGCACATAGCAATGGTATGTGCCAGTGGATGTTCTGCAGATCAGGAATGCGAATTCCCCTCCGACATCAGTTGACTGGTCCTCCTCCTCGCCGCCGATATCGAGGGGTGTCTCCCATTGTACACGGCACGGAGTGCAGAGTGCAGTGCTCTATCCAAGGGCACGCTGGGTTACCAAGATTCGAGTCCTCCTCCTGGCCCCTTGCATCTGCCGACTCACGATATCGATAATGCGATCCCTATCCCCTTGATCTCTCCACAGATAAGGCTCCTGGATTCATCCCGTATCGTTCTCACCGCAAGGATAGGACTTATCCTGCCTTGCAGCCCTAGCACATGTGGAGGTGGAGGTGATTGAACGCGAACGCGAACGCCTTAGTGTGTCCTGTACGGTGTACCAAGCTTCGACGATCAACTGAGACGTATGGAGTCACGCTTGCGTGGATACCTGGATAAGCACTCGGCAAGCTTGCAGTTGCAAGGCTCTATGCTTGTAGATTCAGGGTGGGAGATGTCTTACTACGCCGGATTTGCGAATACTGCTTGTACGATCTTTAGTTCCTATCCCCCTAGGCCCTGGCTCCTGAGGGGTCAATCAATACCCTAGATCCAATGGAGGTTGCTGCTCGTACCTTACCTGCATCAAGATCCGTCTATCTGGGCCGTCGGTTCTCTACGCAGCGCTTTGTATGCCAGGAAGCCCGCATGCCTGCATTCCTTGATACCCTCCCCAATCCACACCGTACCGTACCACTAGTAAGTGCCACCCAGTGTCTATCCTCCTTTCCCACTAGCCAGGCACCGATACCGAGCTCCGCAGGCGCATCCCTTCTCGACGGATAAATGGATGCCCCCGGATTCTGCGGTATGCAAAAGAACGGCTCCGACTCCACCATCCTCAGCAGTCTCGACTCTCGACCCAGCAACCAAGTCCCCTCCCCGCAGCAATCACCAGCCGGCAGATGGCACAGACAACCCAATCCATACGAACAGCGCAGCTTACCCTGGACAGGGGCAGGGACCGGCCCTCCCCCCCGGGTGGACTGAACAAATCAGCGCCCTGGCCCATGCCCCGCGAGTATGCAGCTCGGCACTAGTGTTTCTGCGTAAGGGACTGTCTTATATATCCTGTTTCCCCCCCCCCCTTCTCCTTTCTATTCTATCTCCAAGAGCGGCGTTGTGAAGGGTAGCTTGTACTCTGTCGACGAGACGAGACGAGACGAGATACTCCATGCATGGGATGATATCGCTTAGATTGCATGTGCATGTGCAAGTGCGTTGAGCAAGGGATATGGGGATTCACCCTGTGAGATATGAGGGGTCGATGATACAGATTTCCGACGCGTTTGAGATGTCTGTGATCTCCAGCTAGATAACCGTCCGTCCACCGCATGTATGTATTCGGTGCGTCTCCGTTCGCATGGTTCCTGTGGCTTGTTCCCTGGGTGGATTGGTTACGATTAGTCTTGTAGGGGTGGAGAGTTGGTCCTTCCGTGTCTGGAGCAGCTGGCTGGCTTCTGTCCGGCGAAACTGCAGATCCTATAGAATCCATGCTGGTATAATCTGGGTTCTAGTCCCAGTGTCTCTGCGTGAGTGCAGCAGGTGGGTGTCTCTGATACCCAGCCCAGCGCGCTTTTGATGGCGAGACGAATTAAAGCCCATGTTAGCGTTAGCGTGCAGGGATCCAGGGTACTTGGAGATAGATAGATTGGGATGAGGTATCCGGTTCATTCTGAGCGATTCTCTTGAATGATTTGGTGTTGGGTGGCGTCGCTGAGATGAGGCAGGTGTTGGATGTCTCTTTTGCAATCAATGAGAGCAATGGTGAACTGGTTGGAGTCGAAGCTACAGAATTGCTGGAGAACTCGGCCTCTCACGATATATTCAATATATTCATCCAAATTCTGTTCTTAGCTTTGTTTCCTGTAAAGATCGTCCATGAAAGCATACGCGGAAATATAGGATTTGGCAGCGACATATATATATTCTTCCTAGAGCATATCAGCGGAAACTGTCCTCGCTGTTGGCGATATAACGGCACCAAAAAGAGATCTAAAAAGGACATTCGAGTGGCTCCCCATGGAACCTGACCAAATTCTGTAATTTATTCTTATTCTACCCCTGAGACTTCAGAAACCACCGACAACTATCAAAAAGTGAAGATGCCCAGAACGGCGATCCGTTGCCTCCTATCAGATGGCGCTAACCCGATTGGGGCGCCGGCCTCATAAATTTTCTGTTGTTTTGCGCTGTATCACCACCATCAAATCGCTGCATCTCCAATGAGCAGCAACTACACGTGGACACTGCTTCTCTTTGCTTCTACACGCTCAACTCTGAGAAACACTTGGGGAAATACAAGTATCCTACATCTCCAATCATGGCGCCATATCACGCCGGCTCGAAGAAGCGGCGGCGCGAGCCATTCAACGTCGATACCAAGCTGGTCGAAATCTACGAGGATCTCGCCAATGAAAAGGACGAGATCCGTCTGAAAGCCGCTCAAGCGCTGGTGTCGCACTTCACCCCGGACAAGAACCCCACTGACGAGCAGATCAAGAAGGCTCTGCAGAGGCTCTTCCGCGGTCTCTGCAGCAGCCGCAAGGCCGCCAGAATCGGCTTTTCGATTGCCCTGACGGAGATCCTGACCCAGGTGTTCGCGGGCTCCAGGGAGGCCTCGGAGCTCACGATCCCCGCTATTATGGACGTCTGGGAATCGCAGTCGAATTCTTCGGGTAGCGAGTCCGGTCAGGTAGGATGACGTCCCGACTCTCGCTCATCGATTGTTGTGCTAACTCTTCTTACCACAGGAGCAAAGGGATCATCACTTTGGACGTCTGTTCGGCGCGGAGGCTATCATCAAGTCTTCGATCCTGTTCAAGTCCAAGGTTCCCCCTGCGGAGTGGACTAGGCTTGTGGACCTGGTCTTTGATCTGGCCAAGAAGAAGCCCTGGATCAGAGAAGAATGCGGATGGATCATCTACCGCTGCATCTTTGATCTTGCCGCTCAAAAGGCTGAGGTGAAGTACGTCGAGGTTGCTCTGGAGCGTCTCTGCTCGCACGAGCTCGCCCGCACACCGGAGGGTGTCTCGATCTGGCTCGCAGTCAAGGAGGCCTTCCCCAAGTCGAACTTTCCCAGCAAAGTATGGAAACATGACGACCCCTTGGATGTAAAGGACCGGAATCAGCTGGCCAAGGTCATGAAGGAATCGTCAGCTGCCGATTCCGCAGAGGGGGCTTCCGGCAGTAACCCCAAGGCATCCGGGGTGTGGAGCTCGAAGCTGCATTTCGCCTGGGACGCCGTCATCAGACAGCTCGCTGGTGTATCAGCCAAGGAGTCTTCCAAATCTAAGAGTTCATCGTCTCGTCTCAGCTTTGCTGACTTCTGGTCCGAGGTCGTTGACAGTATGTCCTTTCTCTCCCCCCCCCCTCTCGTTTGTACGTCCTGCGGTATATCTAACCACAGACATCAAATGCAGATGGTCTTTTTGCTGCCTCATCCTCCGAGGAACGCAAGTACTGGGGCTTCCTTGTGTTCATCAAGGTCCTCGGTGAAAGCCCCCTGCCACTTGCCTCGGTCGTATTCACCAAGAATCTTGTCCGTTGCCTCACAAACCAGCTTGCTGTTGAGGATCGGTACCTGCACCGGATGGCCACCAAAGCCGTCAAGTCTATCCAGGTCCGTGTCACAAAGGAGCCCGAGTTTGCTGCGGCTTCCGTCAACGGCTTGATGGGCGCGGCTGGCTCCGTGAACTTTGACCAGGCTACCAAGACGAAGACCATTGAGAAGATCGTGGTCGAGGCCAATTCCGATGCTCTGAAGCAGATCGTGCCTCTTTTCGAGAAGCTTATTGCGAAGCCCGGGACAGACGACGAGAAGGCCGCGGCGGCATGCCGGCAATCCCTTGCTGGCCTGCTCTTGTCCATCGTGAGGTCCCGGGCTTCGGCCAGCGGTGAAGCCCAGGATGACTTGCAGGCCACCCTTGAGCAGGTTCTGCTCACACTTGTGCGGTTCGGTTACTTCAAGGCCCAGGACGATTCATCCATCCAGCCTGCCGTGAGCGAACAGACACAGGAGCTTTTCCGGAACAGAATCAGCTCCTGCTTGAACACTCTAATCGTCAACCACAAGTACGCGACAACGCTCCCCTACACCGTTGTCCGTAAGATCCGCGACGCGGCCAAGTCGGAGGAGTATGGCAAGTTCATCATCGACATGGACGAGAAGCTTCGCGACTCGGTCAAGACGGCATTCAAGTCTCTGAAGAAACTGTCGAGCATGGTGAGTATCCTCGGTCATTCTCTAGGAGGACTTGTTACTGATTACTACATCATAGGAGAAGAAAGACGGAGTCTCCGGCGTCGAGGCGTTCAAGCTGCTGTACTCGATGACTCTTCTGCAGGTGTACAACGGAGACGCCGACGCTGTATCAATGCTTGACGAACTTGACTTTTGCTACACCAAGTTCCTGGGCGACAAGAAGTCCAAGGATGACGAAGCTTCCGAGGCCTCGGACGCCCTGGTGGAGATTCTTCTGAGCTTCGCGTCGAAGCAGTCGCAGCTCTTCCGCCGGATCAGTGAGCAGGTATTTGGTGCCTTTGCCGACAAGGTCACCGAGGACGGCCTGGAGTCACTTGTCTCTGTATGTTTTTTTTTTTTTTTCTCTCTCTATCTTCCTCAATGTTGAAGAGTCTGTCGCTAACGGGGCTGTCCAGATCCTGGAAGCGAAAGAGAGTCTTGCCGGACAGCAGGAAATGTTCGAGCAACAGGATGACGAAGAAGGCGACGAAGAGATGATGGACGTTGACGAGGACGACAGTGACGTTGAAGTCATTGATGCAGAGGGGTCCGGCGAGGAAAGCCAGGACGATGACGAAGACGAAGAAGGCGATTCTGCCGAGTCCGAGTCGGAAGCCGGGAACGACGAGGACCTTCTCGCCTTCGAGGCCAAGCTGGCCGAAGCCCTCGGCACGCACCGCGCAGACCAAGACCTCAACGAGGAGTCCGAATCGGACGCGGACATGAATGACGACGAGATGGAGCAGGTCGACGAGCAGCTGGTCAAGGTATTCCGGGCGCGGCGCGACGCGCTCGGCCAGAAGAAGGACAAGAAGGACGCCAAGGAGAACATGGTGAACTTCAAGAACCGCGTGCTGGATCTGCTGGAGATCTACGTGAAGAAATGCCACTCGAAGATGCTGGCGCTCGACCTCCTGATCCCGCTGCTGCGGCTCACGCGCAAGTCGACCGTCAAGCAGCTGTCCAACAAGGCCAACGCCGTGCTGCGCGAGTACACCAAGCTGTGCAAGGGCTCGGCGCTTCCGCCGGTGGCATCCGCCGAGCCCGTTTGGGAGCTGTTGAAGTCGATTCATTCCGAGGCCACGCATAGTGGGCCGCCCGCGCATGCTTCGGCCTGCAGCCAGGCGAGTCTGCTGGTGGTCAAGGTGCTGGTGGCTCACGACAAGGCGGCGATCTCGGACGTGGTGGATGTGTATGCGGCGACGCGCAAGCAGCAGCTACTCAGCAAGAAGTGCCACGTGCAGCCTCAGTTCTTCTCCGACTGGAGCAACTGGTGTGTCTCGGCCAGCAAGCAGATGAAGAACAACTAAGCGATGGGCGCAGGCCCAAATACCTACAGCATTAGATACCTTGTCGATATTCATCTCGATATTCATAGCCGTATATGCCATAAAAATGTACAGTATGCGTTCAAAAACAGCCTCCCTCCGAACAGCCTCGTATACATAGCAGATCACAGACAGCGCTTGTTCAAAATCCCTTGATATACCGATGCTGCGTCGTCTCCTCCACCACCTCCAACTTCATCCCCACCGCCACCACCCCCTCCCTCCGCGGCGCGCTCAACATCCCAAAGCACGGCTTATACTTCATCCCCTCATCCACCCTCCGATACGCCATCAGCGTATCCCACGGCTCCCGCCGATCCTTCACGGCCGTATCGGGGTCCACATTCGGAACCTGGCAGCGCGCACACCGCGCCACAACATCCAGCTCCAACGCCCCCGGCGCACTCCCCTCCGCCTCTCCCGACGCAATCCGCACCACCTTCCACGAATCCTCCGACCACGCCGCCCCGCCGCGCACAATGATGTTCGGCCGGAACCGCTCGATGGTAATCGGCGCGGCGCCATTACCGCACAGCCGCGCATTCAGCTCCGCCAGCGACGCCTCCGACGCAATCAGCACGGGATGCACGTCCGGGAAGAACGTGCTCTGCTCGCGGCCCAGCAGGCGCGGGTCGCCGTTGCCCTGGAGGATGCGCGGCGTGGGGCCCTTGTACACGAGACAGACGGCGCGGCCCAGGAACTTGCTAAAGGGCGCGTTGACGGCCGCGCCGTAGATGTAGCCGTCTGTCTGCGTGTCCCAGATCTTCACCTGCGAGAGCATGGTGTGCGCGGCGAGCCAGGCCTGGTCTGGGCGGGCGGGGATGCGGACGGTGTCGTGGGCGGGGGCCCCCGTGATGCTGAGGATGAGAGTGCTGCTTCCGGCGTCACCGGCGTTGTCGTTGTCGCTGAGGGCGGTGTTGATGAGCGTCATCTGCGGAAGCTGGCGGATGGTGAGGAACTCGTGGGTTTTTGCGTCGACGAACATCCATTGTCGGTCGAGGTCGAGGCCGTGTAGGCGGATATTGGTCTTGGAAAGCTGCAGACCGCGGCAGGACTTGATCGGGTAGATGCGTAGGGAGACGATCTCAGTGGTTGTTCGCTTGGAGAGCTTGAGGGCTCGCAGGAGGCTTGATCTGTTCGTCCCCGTCCAGCCTATGATTTTGGGTGAGAGGAGGACGAGGAGCAGCCCGATGACGGCCACTGGGAGCGTCGGCGCTGGGAAGGCGCTCGATATCGCCATGGTGTGTTGTCAGGGCCTGGTTCCAGCTTCCGCAGGGTGTTAATGAAGCCTGGATTCCTCGAAGCGTATATCTTCTCTTATCGGCTTTAATTGGAAATCAGTAAGCAAAATCGTCATATCGGAATTCTGCCCGAGTTGACCGCCTGATCTATATCCATCACATCTCATAGCATGCTCAAAGAACCAAATACAATGTCAATTGCACAATTATCATCTGGTTTGGATGGTAAAGGGGGATTTCAGGTGCACATAGTATCGTTTAGTTGAGCATAGTACTTATCTACACTGTTGAAGTGGGACAAGTGATGCATACCCCTGGCAGAACCAACAAAATATATCTGACGATCTATGGATCCACATTCATTAAATAACCCATGCGACATATCATTATCCAAGCCATAAGATATTAGGTAGCTCTAAACCAACTAACCCATTTACTCACGCATTTGTATTATGTCCAGCAGGTGATCAACGCTTTGATCAATGCAACAGTGACCTCTCTCCCAGTTTGGACGGCCTGGTCGTTGTAGGCGCCAGGAACATGCAAGAAGGCAACGTTCCGATCCTGCCCTTGTCGATAAGCATGTGCTAAGCTAGTGTAAAAGATGAACTCGCAAAGATAACGGCCGGCGTCTTCTGAGATTCGCACGTCCTCCCCCGGCGCAAACGACTTCCACACGTTGAGAAACTTGTCGTTTGGTGGGTGAGGGTTCCATGAAGGTTGCCCAGCATGCGACAGCGACGTGTCCTGGGATTGTACTGTGACGTCCGTCATAGCGAGGGCGTTCGCTGAGCGCCCCGCTTCTAGCACCGAGGGCAAGTCCAACTCCCTCCATCCTTTCTCTCCATTTTCGTATCCTGACCGCCCTTTGACATCTGACATGAGATATGAATCGCGATGAGCCTTGGATTCGATAGAGTAGTAATGTCGAGTGCCAGCGATGCCCATGTGGATGACGATATCTGGTCTTCGACCGCCATGTGCCTGGCTGAATTCATCGATTATGGAAGGGATGGTTGCTTGGACCGTGGAATAAGCCACGGGGATAGGAGTTGGATGGACATGGATGGAGACGCGGCGAGTTACAGGGCTAGACCCTTCCGGCATGCCTGCCGAGGTGTCTGGGGAAGTAAAGGTGAAAGAAGGCGGAAGGGACGAAGCGATCAAGTATGAGGCATTGACGAGATTGGATTTGAATGGCTAAGTATTAGAGTTAGCTTGAACAACCTGGAAGCCTTTGAATCGCAACGTACCCCAAACCCGGTGACAAGGACAGAGATCTCATCCGACTCCGTAGAAGGGACTGAAGGGTGACTGGCTAATGAAGCCTGGGTAGACAGCTCGGCTGGCCCACAATCTCCCATGGTGGATAGCCGGAAGAATTGAGATATCTTTGATTAACCGGAACAAACGAGGTATCACGAGGCAAGACGTGATGGTTGAGGAAGGGAGAAATGAATGTAGGTATGTTGTCGTTGACCGTTGTACACCTGAAGCGATGGAGCTTTATCTTCCCCGCACTCTGAAATCGGTGCCAAATGCGGAATCTTGGCATCACGAGATCTGGCTGCTGCTTTGCATCTTCTGCAACTCGAGTGAGTGGAAGATGGAAGGTTCCCAAATCATCGATAGATCACACAGAGAATGCTCATTTTGAGGCACCATCATTGGAAGGTCCGTTTCTTGCGAGAATCGTCATGATTCCAAGCCGAGCGGAGACACGGTGTACAGAGGGCGACTGCTAAGACCTTATGAATCAAGGGACATCCAGTGGAACAGCAGTCAATGCTATGAATAATAGATTGGATCCTATTATTCCAGAAGTTCTTCTATTCAGAAAGAGGCAAGTGGGCCAGCGACCAACTTCAATTCAGACAACGATTGTCACCACCTAAGTGGCCAACTGCCAGCATTCCGACAGTTCCAGACTCTCAACTCCAGCCGCCCAGCAATCAGCTACAATTTATCCCTAATTCCCTAGTGCCTCTCCGCCAAAACCTACATAAAGGGAGATGGGATCACGGATGGCGCTTGAACCGAGTCTCAAAACAGTAAAAGCCCAGAAAGAGTCCATCTTTCCCCGCCAATACGATAATACGATGGTCTTGGTGGCAGCCAGAGACTCCATAATGGTGTCAAATGCTGCTCCACGACCAATGATGGTTTCTTCGCTTAATCTCAGATCGTCGATCTGAGAACACCCCTGACAAATCAGGAATTGAGGATCCCTCATCTTCAAGAAAGAAAGAAAGTAGGAGATCTTCATGCATGATTTTTCCTCAAATGCTACTTTGGATGATGAACGAGAATCGACTATGGCATAAAAGAGCTCTATCACTTGTCAGTTTCACACACGCAGACCGTGGCTTTGAGTCCAAGCGTCTCGCTTTGGACAGGATCATGGAATCGAGATGCCTATTTCAGTAAAACGCATGTTAATCAAACTCTGGTACGGAGTACGAGCTGGAGGAATGCCATACTTGCAGATGTTTCATGCTTCTCGGCTAGAAATTCCCGCCTTCCCTAATGAACCAGGAAGCAGAGGCAGCGAACAGGCCGGAAATGATACCGATGCTGCCATAACTTCTTCCCATATTAAGCACAAAAACGCAACGGTCAAATGCTGATCCCGTATTCGACGTATTCATTCGTATTCGCGACTCACTGACTTGTGCAGGGAAGTCCCCGCTCGGATGTATACATTCCGCGGGCTCAGATAGAGGCATAGACTCATGGACCTATCTATTGAGTGAATGCTTTAAGTAGCGGTATCCTGTTACTCACAGAGAGTGGCATTCTCCCTATCTTCTTCGTTTTGGTCTCTGTCGAGTCCTTCAGTCAGTCACCATGGCTTTGATTTCTGAGCTGCTCGAAAGTCGATACCTTCTCCAAGGAATCGCCCTGGCCTTTTTCTTGGTGATTGTGTCGCATTTCTACCAGGAGCTTGCTGATGGATATCCGTATCGAAACATCCCCTTGGTAGGGAGAAGCCGATGGGAGCTTTCAAATGGCAAAGCCAAAGATCGTTTTGTGAAGTCTGCGAAAGAGCTCATGGCTCAAGGCTTCAGTCAGGTAAGAATATTGGGATCATGGCTCATATGCGTGATGAAGCATCACATCAGTCCAATGATAGAAGCTGATATCCAGGACAGGGCAGGACCGTGTTCCAATTGATGTTCACTCACACCCCCATGATCGTCTTGCATCCTAAATTCATTGACGAGATCAAGAGTCACCCACATCTGAACTTCGACGAGGCGAACAAGAAGGTGGCTACATTTTGTCTAGATGCATATGTGTAGAGGGCAGGCTGACCGATAGTGCAGGCCTTTTTCGGATCCAAAATTCCAGGATTTGAGCCTTTTGAGGGTCTGGACAAAGACCACATCTTGTTGGATGTGATCAACAAGAAGCTAACCCATACGCTTGGTGCGTGTAGCTGACATTCGACTTGGTTCATCGCTGATGATGCTTGACAGGCAATCTCACCATTCCTCTTTCGCAAGAGACTGCGGCTGTTGTCAAAGAAACAATGCCCCCGCGAACTGATGGTATGTTTCCCTGCCCGATCCGAACCCATCACCTCTAACAAGAAGTTGCATTGGTAGAATGGCAACCTCTCATGTTCGCGCGCGAAATTCCATACCTTGTTGCTCGGTTGTCATCCCTGGTATTCCTGGGCGAGAAGATTTGTCGTGATAAGGAATGGCTGAATGTATCTGTCAACTATACCACCGATGCCTTTATTGGAGCCCGTGCTCTTAGACTGTGGCCCACCATCACCCGCCCCGTGGTCCATTGGTTCCTGCCATCCACGCGTAGAGTCCGGAAGCACATCCGAGTCGCCAAGAAGATTGTTCAGGACGAGATCCAAAAGAGAGAGCTGATCCGACAAGGCAAGCTTCCGGCAGAAGATCCCCCACGGACGCACGCAGATGCTTTGGATTGGTTCCGAGAAGTTGCCGCCGGGCGTCCTTTTGACGAAACGAGGAACCAGATTGGTCTTTCTCTGGCCGCAATTCACACCACGTCTAACCTGCTGACGAATGTTATGTATGACCTGGTAGCCTACCAGGAGTACATCCAGCCACTCAGGGATGAAATCAGGGCCGTAATGGAGGAAGACGGAAGTCTGAGGAAGACCAGCCTTACGAAGCTGAAGCTGATGGACAGCGTCATGAAGGAAAGCCAGCGCATGAATCCTGTGAGCATCGGTACGTCTTTTCCCATGTCCGCACCCGAGTAAAATCTCCGACATGCTGAACTTTCCCAAGCCTTCCTGCAGCGTCTCGCCAAAGCCGACCTTACCCTGTCGGATGGCACATACATTCCCAAGGGGGCGACCCTGATTGTGTCCGCTCACGCGATGCGCGATGAATCCATCTATCCGGACGCCAACCAATACGATGGCTACCGCTTCTACAACAAACGCCAGGAACCCGGCAACGAGCACCGCTTCCAGTTCGTCACGACGAGCCCGGAACACTTTGGTTTCGGCCATGGGATCCACGCATGCCCCGGACGATTCTTCGCGTCGAACGAGGTCAAGATCCTCCTGATCCATCTGTTGATGAAGTACGATTGGAAGTTCGCAGAGGACAAAGGCCGCCCGCAGGGGTTCATGCACGGCACCGAGATTATCTGCGATCCCCGAGTGAAGTTCCTCTACAAGGCGCGGACGCCGGAGATTGATCTCTCGAGTCTGGGGGAGGGATTGGCCGCATGAACTGTTTGTTACATGGGATGAATCGATTTGCGCATGCTTAGCGAGACAAATGCCTAAAACCAAACCAAACCGAAAAAAAAAAAAAAATCAAAAACACACGTACGATATGACATATGGACCTCTGTACTTATACCGGCTTTCCCCACATACTCTGTTGTAACTTGTCATCCATGCTACTTGGTATGCAACCGCTGTAGCCGCAACCTGTTTGTGAGAGATGCTGCAGCGCATCATGTAAGGATTCTGCGGGCTACAGTCGAGATATCATTCTCTTGCTGGTCAAGCATTTGGCTCGATACATCCATAGGGTACAGGGCACAGGACACAGGGTACATACAACCATCCCATTCTTCTCAACTCCAGAGTCCGCAAGATAGGATCAGCTCACAGACAGCGGCCAGAACTACTTCCAGTACCCCACGCCATCAAAGTTCTGAGTTCAACCATCCAACCTCACCTGAACACGATGAAGCCGTGAGGGTGGATACCCTAGTAACCGCAGTAGCTACACAAGTGCATGTACCCCCACAGACTCATGCAGTTCGCACTGGTCAACGCAAGGGAGACAATAGTCGGGAATCATGCAGATGCGAAGTCATAGCCAGGCTGATTCTCCATCCTGTATCTATCTATGTAGTTCTAGTAAATGGTTTCCAAGGCTTCATTCTCTGTATATTGCTGAATCAAATCGTATACTCCTACTGCGACGGAAAGACTATGTAGAGAGTTTAACAGTTCCATGTCTTCAAGCTCAACGGGCCGAAGCCGGAAGATTTGAGTTAACGACGGGGAGTCTTTGTTCATCTTCCCTGACCTATAATTCCCATGGAAATCAGATGCAGATCTTACTACTCATGTTAGCTACCAAGATCCAAGCCCAAAGAATCGATGGAGCACAGGTATAGGCGCGTAGTAAGTAATTAGGTAGGTAGGTTGTAGGTACTATTATTGAGCGATCCACCAAAGAAACCAGGAATACAATTGTCTCCCAGTGAAAGCTGCAAACCCACCGAGAGGAGTTCTCTCCAGAATTCCAGCCTCGATACCTACCTAATGCTCTTCACCAAATTGCTTCCATGCTGATTCGATCTTTGAATACCATTTCTTATTTTATTTTATTTTTTTATGTTCGTCCAGTGAGAATTCTTGCCTCGTGCATGATACGGTAATTTACCACACGCGCGGATACGCGTGGTAGACGCGTCCAGACGCGTGCTCTTACCCCTCCTTGACGCGTTGAATCCCGAAGATCTCCGATGTGATAAGCGAATGACTAAGCACTTTATACCTGGGCGGTTTTGGCTTTGTGCTTCGACGAGAGGGAGAGTATAACAAAGACCATTCACACTGTAGCCCTCTTTTTTTTTTTTTTTTTTTTTGTGATTCAATCAATTGTGAACACTGAACAATAGCTGCTTGGGAAAATAGAGTGTTTCTTTGTGGGATTACTCTATTTCAACTACCTTCGATCGAGGATACTGTGGCCCAACAATAACTGAGGGAGTAGCACTGCCTTCATGAGGCGGTTACTTCAGTCGCGTCTTGAACAGCCAACACGCACGCAACGCACAGTACGTGGTAGTCTGGTAGATACGCTGTACGCCGGACTAATGCATGCTCAGCCCAGCTTCGCATCGTGGTTTGTCAATCTGAGGGTGGAGATGTGCATCTGCGACTGCAGGAGACTGGAGTTTGAGCCTGTCTAGGAGACTAGGACTCTACTGTTACTTAGTACTTAGGCTAGACATGGACACTATCTACTCCGTTCTAGACAGTGAAACCTGTAAAACGCTTCAGAGCGCAGCGCTTGAACAGAACAGGCTTGTCACTTGTGGATCATGGAATGATCGGCTCCAAGGCCTGTCTTTGGTCAAAAAGCGGATGAACTGAACCCGTGGACTCTGTACTCTGGAGTCTGGAGCCCATTGAGCTCCCCTTCTCCAGGGTCTGGCGGTCGAGGTGGAATTCTTCCCAGCCACCCGGGGTTTCCCGTCTGTTGACCGCTTGATTGACTCGATGGATGTTGAGGTGAGGTCAGAATGGGGATGTAAATCCGTCAGCTCCAGGAGTTCAATGCCTTGATTTGGCTTGAACATTAATGGAAGAAAAAGACGTTGATGAGATCCTTCTAAGACCTCCTTGCAGTGGGATGCAGTAACTAACAACCATCATTATTAAATATCAAGTGTAAGTAGTTAGTTGTCTCTCTCGTGGGGACCAGTCACAGCCGGACAAGCAAGCCAGCACACAGCTGAGCAACACAACTGGAGGAACGACTCCATCGGACGGGCTGCGATTTGTCGACCGCAGCGAATTTCTGGAATTTTATCCCCTAGAACTGTCCACAGAGAATCGCTGCGCGCGGTGAGGCGATTCAGATTTTTTTTTTCTTTTTTGGCCCTGACCGACCAGCCGACGGAAATTAGAGACCAATGGGCGGTTCTTGTCTTGATATTACAGGGCGGTTGGAAAAAACGGAGTACTCACCAGGTACTCCGTAGTGAGACCTCTATACAGAATCATAGAAATATAGGAGGTGAGTGTCTGTCTCAGTGGGACTATAGATATTCTGTAGATTGATGGTCAGTATATCTAGATTCCGTGGAAGGCAAGGTACTTGAACCACCGCAGAGCTTGCCATGATTGCATCAACTCAGATACCTCCAGACATCCAGATCAGTAGTAGTAGAGACATTCTCTGTATGATTCATATCCAGCGTAGGGGAGCAGCAAGCAGTCAGGCTCACGGGACAATTCTCCGCATTCCAGAGAAGTCATACATGATGATGATGATGATGATGATGATGTTGTTGTTCTTGTTGTTGCTTGATATCTGAGGGATGACTTCGAGCAGCCTTTTCATCTTTCTGTCTGTCTCTCTCTCTCTCTCCTCTCTTTTCAGTGATATGATCGAGCATCTTCCTCTTGACGTGGTCGTTTTTCTCTTTGCTCGTCGAGTGGAACCAGCCCCTGAAGGCCTGCAGTGCCTAAACCGTGCCCCCCCCAAGGCCCTAAAGCATCGAGTGATTTAGGTGCTCTTCGAGTAGTCCGATACTGTATTATTACCGCTGACCATCCTTATTATTACTGTCCTCTATTTACTTCGCTCTTTTGCTTCTTCTCTCTTCCTCTACACCTTTTTCCCACCTCTCTCCTGCATCGCTGTCTCTTTTTTCTTCCCGGCGAGCGTATTGCTCGCATCAGTCCCGTCTCTTTGCATCTTTCCCTTGTCCTTGCTTTTCTTTTGTGTTGGTCTGGCGTTTTTGTGTGTCTCTCCCGTGCCCCATTTCCTGTCAAATGCCCCCCAATGGACCGTGGATCCCATCCGATGTGATACTACAACTACAACTACAACTACTCCAAGCTTGAGTCGCAACCGCTTCCTCGTGCGCTTCATCGCATTGACTGGACCATTTCAACAACACACACACAAATCCGATTGCTTTTCCTGTTTACCGACCACTCATATCTTGACGAGCTATATTTCCTTTCTTTATTTTTTTTTTTTATTTTTATTCTCTTTCCTTGTTCGCCTGACGAATTACGAACTCCCTCCTCCCTCGACCGCGCATTCGGACTGATCGAAAGGCCTGTTGAACTGTTTACTGAGACCGATTCCTTTTTGATCTTTCTCCTGGAGCTTCGATACTCCTTAGACGTCTGATTCGCAAAAGCAATCTTGGTGTTACTCAATTGCGACTGAAGCAAGTGTTTGCAACACCAGATCCAAGCTCCGCGCTAACACCTTATACATCGCAACATACTGGATGAGCGCAATGATATTCGCTTAGCATTGATACAGAACTCCCAAAAAGAAATACAATTTCTCGCATCATCTTAGCAATCCCTCCGGCTTGCGATTGGTTGCGCCAGGAACGCGACACGGAACATCCGACGTCATGGCTTACCGGCAGCAAGGGCTCTCGCGCACCCTGCCAAAGGACTTCACCTTCTACTCAGCGAGCGCTGAAGAACCACGGACACCTGAACGCACATCAATCCATGTGGATGGACCTCCACCTCCCCCTCACCATTCTAGCTGTCGTCTGCGAAGGTTGCGTGTCCGCTCGGGAACCGACCTGTTTGCGCAGGCGCAGTATGACCTCACCACATTCGATTTCCACCCTTCGGATATCCCCCTACCCTCGATTGAGATCCCTTCCTCGCGCGAAGCTCCATTGGCGCAGTCATTCCCCGAGTCCTTGATGAGAGACGATCGCTTTTTAGCTCCCCCACGAAATCGAATGGCTTTGAAGACACCTCCCGCTCAAATCCGCGGCAGCCCGTTCGATGAGCCCAGCGCTTGGTCCTCATGGGATCACCAGACTATCGGCGAGACAATCCAACGGCCTGGTTCCGCCTGGTCGCAAGCGTCCGACTCCTCAGTATCTTCGATTGAGACTTTTGCGTCCCGGCGCTCCCTGGGCGGTAGCTGCACCAGCGCGGAGAGTGATCATCATGATCCCTTCTTTTACCTGGAGATTCCCCCGAAACAAGCCCTGGAACAAACGCCCCGAATGACGGTGAATGATGGAAAAAAGCCCCGGAACGTGTCAAGGAAGGATCGATGGACCCTGGATATGGATAATCACCTCTGGAATACTTACCAGCTCTACATTCAGGCTCCGACAATCACCCCATTCAAGATGACTCCGGGCAGCATCCCGCCGCTGGGGGTCACACATCGTGTGGCCAGAGAGGCAAAGAAATCATGGGACAAGAAGCGATACCGGCTGACACGGCCATTCCAATCTTCTCTGCACCAGCCACAGCAACTACGGAGCGGTGAATCGACGCCCACACCTAGAACGGAATCCCCCAAGGCCGCGTGGCCAAAGTCGGAGGCATCGACCAGGCGCAGATTGAAACTCCTATGCAAGCGGAAATTCTCCATCGCGCCTCATTACCAAAGATTAATGCAATCTCGCAGCCCGACGCCGCCCCTGGACCTGTTCTCACATCATTCGAATGAAGTGCCTCAAATCGAGAGTCCTGGCGGCAGCTCAACCACTTATGCCACGCGTGATTTGGGTGTATCTCTGGTCGCTAGCTCCGTCCCCGGGCCTCTGTCACAGCTTGCGATGGAGCACGCCTCCCCGCCGACCACTACCCGCGAATGGACCCAGTCTGTTCATTATGAGCCCCAGAGTCATCGCGCCGAGCCGCTTGCAAGGACGCATGTCCATCTGGAGGATCCGGCGTCGGTACCGCGACTCGGATCGCCATTCACATACCACACCTGGGGCCCAAATGTTTCAAAGAAGAGCGTTCATTGGCATACTCCGAGGGCCCGGCGAGAGACAATACATGTAACTGGTTCGCGGTTGCGCCCTCCTCCACAGGTGGAAGCTCTATCAGCGACCAACGACACTCCCATTATTCAAATAGCGCAGCAATCGAGCGAACTATCAGACGAACAGGAGACGCAAAGGCACTTGGAGAGTCTCGTTCGAGACGGCAAATTGACTGACATTGGCCACCGACGTGTGCGCATTCGGAGCCGCGGTGCTACTACCAGCGCCATCACTCCCCAGAACCTCGACCAGCTCTTCTCCCCACCATCTTCGGCGTCCCGGAACGAGGAAACCGCCTCTGTCGAAAAATCTGCCCCCAACCCGCTGTTGAATTTGAGCGGCGAGAACATCAAACGATTGGGCTCACCTTTCAAAGTGGATGGTGCATCGAAACGGCCTGAATCGCGCAGATTTATCCGACACGCTCCGTCACTATCTGATCCATTTGCAAGTGGACCACTACCGCGGGCAAGGCCCGTAAACCGAGACGTTTCGTCCAAAGATCAACAGGACATGAGAGGCGCACTGCCATACGATCCAACCGAGCGAGGCATATCCGATGCAGAGCGAATCCGCAGACAAATACTGAACATGTCCTACTCTCGACAGTGACATTGATTACCTTCACTAATGACCTGGATGAATTTGGCCCTGACCGAATGGGGGATCAGCAGTAATAACGACAGACACGGTATTAACGACTTTGATGACAAACATGAAGCTATAAAACGAAAATCGATTATTTCTTTCCAGTGCGATAGAAACGAGACGACGAAAACCGACAAAAACGCCCTTGGACGACCGAAAAGCATGACCATAAAAAAAAGACATGAATACTCTTACGCTGTGTGCATCGCGCCTCCGAATCATATGTTCATTGTATCGCAAGTGGGAGGTTGACACTGACCTGGATACCAGTGGACATCTCCTGGAGATGATGGACGTGCGACCAAATTCTTCTTCTGACCTCAATCCGTACCACAGCAGGATTCTTGTCTTTCAACACTTTTTCACCTTGACATTCGATTCTCTTTTGGGGACTCGCTGTTTGACCGATGGCATTCATTGGACTCCTCTACTGGCTGTTGGATACGCACAACACAGCTGGCAAGCACGACAGATCAGAGATCCTACTACTACTACGCTTCGGCTCAAGCTCTACACTCTCTACTCAGATTTCCATTTCATCTACTTCATACACCAAACTTCAACACTCTTTACCATCAACAAGACACAAAAAGAAAATACAAAATCCTCGAAAAACATCATCCACACAATCTCACTATCCTTAACTTTCCTTTCTTTATCTCTCTTGCTTCCTTTCTGTCCACCCCATCTCACACCATCTCAAAAACAAAACCACCTCATGAATTCTTATGAGATAAACGAATGACCCCCCAATCCACAACCACATGAACCAAGGGAAGGGAGGGGAAACGATCCCATTGACTGATTGACTGAAACGTTCCCGAAACGACAACCATCCATTCATAGACGCCACGATTTCCAGCCTCAAAGCAAAGCGAAGCCTAGCCCTGATTTTATCCTATCTTTCTTCTTCTTCTTCTTCAGTCACCAGCGCCGAGCATAAGCAAGCATATTCATATTCATGTTCATGTTCATGTTCATGTTCCGTGTTCGTGTTCGTTCATTCTGTGTTCTTTGCAGCATTGCATTGCATCGAATTGTATTTGCATGACTTTGAATTCGGCGATTCTTGCTGTTGGCCGGGAGGGTTTTGCATGTTGCATTGCATCTTACAGGAACTTGTTTCTGTTTTCATTTCTCTATTTTTTTTTTCATCTTATCTTATCTTCTCTCTCTCTCTCTCTCTCTTTTTCTATCTATTTTGATTTGACTCAGATATTACGATTTGACATGATGGAGGTTGGTAGTCCTTCTGCTTAGCCGTTCTATCATCGACGGGATTGACTCCGAATCTGCAAGTTCTCTGTAGTATGCTGGCCAGATGGACGGAGTACCATTCATGTCTGGGTCGAAGGTTCTATGGACAGTAGTGTAGACATTACTAACTTAGATCCCATTAGAATATGTACAATCATCATGTGTACACAGCTCACATGAGCAGTCTGGACTGCTCATATGAGCCATACCCCATACATGTGACCGCCAAGACCATTAATAAGCATTTATGGCTCGCGCGACCTAAAATATTACCATACTATCTTACCTGAAATCTAAATACTTATATTATTTTATCTGGAAATCAAATACAGCATACTTTAATAAACTTAAGAAATCTTAAAGTTAACTACTTTCTAAGTACTTAAAAACCTAAGTACTTAGAAATTACTTATTATTTATTTTTTTATTTATATAGAAAAAATATAATATGAAGTAACTTATTATACTTATAAAAGATAATAGATATTATTATTTTAAGTACTTAGAAATTACTTATTAACTATTTAATAAGTACTTTCTAAGTACTTACTAAGTAGTTAATATAATTATCTTTTACTATAGTTATTAATATATATATCTTTAGTAGAGAGAGTAATATACTTATTTAATATAGATTATAAAAAACCTAATTTTAAGTACTTTCTAAGTACTTACTAAGTAGTTATAATAATTATTTTTTACTATAGCTATTATAATATATATTTTTAGTAGAGAGAGTAATATACTTATTTAATATAGATTATTAAAAATAATTTTAAGTACTTTCTAAGTAATTTCTAAGTACTTAAAAATTCTTTATATACTTATCTTTCTAAATAAATTCTAAGTACTTTCTAAGTACTTAGGTTTTTAAGTACTTAGAAAGTAGTTAACTTTAAGATCTCTTAAGTTTATTAGAGTATTTAATTTAGTAAAATAACAGAAAGGGTGGTGCGAGCTGAAATCTATTTCAGTATGGTAAAGGGTGGTGCGAGCATCACATGACTTATTCATGTAATTTACAGATTTACCGCTCGCCGGAGTAAAATTACGAGCTCATCCGACCTGCAACCACCAATCATCATTGAGACGTGGCAGCAAAACAAACAAAAAAAAAAGAAAAGTAAATTAGAAAAAGAGCAAACGCTAACGCTGCAAGACAAGGGGGTATAGAAAATATCGAGCAATAAGCATCATAAAATCAAGCAGAAGGGAGGCTTAAAAAAAAAACTCCCGGCTAACAGCCGACGAATTACGACCTCTCCAATTTCTTCTTCCTCTCTGCAACAACAGCCTCGAGCTTGCGGATCTGCAGGCCGAGGCTCTTCTTCTCTGCATTGGCCAGTAGCCAATCTTCCATTTTTGAACGGACATACCGCATGGATTGCAGAACGGGAAGAACCGCGGGGTTCTCCATGTCGACCGGGCCCGGGTTCGTTGCACCCAGTTCCATCTGCACCCACCGCTCGGCACCAGGATTGAGGAGGAGGTCGAAAACATCGCTCCAGATCTCCCGGTCCCAGTAGCGCTTGAAAGATTCGCGAATGCGATAGGTGCGCATCGTCGCCGAGCCGCCCTCGCTCTTCCGTACGGGGGTAGATTCGATGTACTTGCCGAAGAGCATGACGTGCACGGTCCCTGCGAGACCGTAAAGATCGATTTGGTGGGTCCAGGGCCGCATCTCACGGATCTCGTTGCACTCGTGCTTGCCGGTCTCCCAATCAGCCATGAACTGGACCGATGGCTGGAACGCGTGCATGTCGATGCCACGACCAAAGTCGATCAACGACAGGCCTCTGCTGCGCCAGCCGCACAGACCGCGAGGGGAATAATGGAGCTCGCGTGGATCGGTGATCTCTTCGTCCAGGTCGAGGAGTGATGGCGTTGTTGACTTATCATCGAAACGGACCAGACAGTTGTCAGCTTTTATGTCACCGTGCAGGATGCCACAAGCATGGAGTGCCTCGACAGTGCGGAACAGCTCAACGGTAAAGAACATGGCCAGTGCTTCATCTAAACCGCCCTCACTCGTACCATTGGCCGTGATAGATTCATTCCGAATCATGTTAACCAGGTCCAAGAGAGTACCCTGTCCCCGGTAATCCTCCACAAGAATGCTCTCCCCTTTATAGACATGAAGTTCGTGAGCCCGAATGATACTGTCTGCTGCCCGTGACAAATCTGACATCTGGTTCAGGCGTTCGTGCGCAGTCCGTATCATGTAAAACTCCCAAGCGTTCGGAGGCCCAACTTCCAATTTGATTGCCTCGAAACCAAAACGAGATGTGTTAGGGGTCATCGATCTTCTTCCAGCCGTGAACTGGGAACCTCGACTACCATCATCTGAATCGGAGGATGGGCATGCTTCCAGACTGTCGACACTCTCCGCGAGGTAAACAGGTGCATAGGCTCCGGCTCCAAGCTCTCGTCTGATGATATAGCTTCTCTCAGCACCTGGCAATTCAAGAATCGGCACATCGAACGAGGCTTCGTCGCCGCTCCGAGGACGCTTGATGTGGGTCTTGACAAACTTCTGAATTGCAGGGGCGTAGTGGCTATCCTGTTCGGGGTGGCCATGGTACCCTTGATAGGACATCAGTGGTGGGTCGAGGGAATGAAGGATGGTGTTGCGGATTGTCTTGTCGGTGGGATTGCACTGGGCCTCGTTGATGACTGCCCGGTGCTGCTGCTGCTGCCCCTTCAACGGCGAGAGTAGTCTGGGGCTGGATCGTGCCTTTTGCGCAGTCGGACTCATTGCTACATCTTCTGGGAAGCCGATAAGATTCTCCGATTGCTGTGGCGTTGGCCGAACTAGTGGAGTCATTAGAAGGTTGCCCATTTGCGGTTTAGATGGCGTTTTGGTGTTGTAAAGGCTGTTTCGAGCAGCTGTCATGGAAGGAAAGGAGTGTTCTGTCCGTTCAACAATCGGCGTCATGAAAGGCAGGCGATTCTGGGCAACCACGGCAGGATCTCGATACGGACCATATGGCGGATTATAGTCCTCCGGCATTTCGGGCACGAATCTTTCTCTTCTGGCCGTTTCATCAACACTTGTGTTATCCTGGCCCACCAGTGAATCCGGAGGAAGCAGATCTGCGTCATCCTTGGCCGAATACTGAGTCCATTCACCATCAATAACGCTTTCTGCCCGCGTTTCATCATCGAAATCCTCATCAGCTTCATCGTCAGATCGGTGGAAAGTGGTAGTCTCGTCGTCGCCAAAGTCGCTGGAAGCGGCCGAGAGGTGGCCAGTTACTGTGCTCTCACCAGCACTTGTGTAATCATCATCGTCAAAGTCACTACTTTCTGCTATCTCAGTCTCTGCCTTTAATGGCTGATTGAAGATACTGTAGATCTCATCGGTAGCAGCGCGAGTATGGATCGTCATAGTCGGCTCAGCAGTACTCTTGCGACGAACCTTGTGTTTAGTTGGGGAGTCGAATTTCATTTTGACTGGATGATCCTGTCAGTCAGCAAGCGATGCACAACAAGATGAAAACTGAAAGGAGCGAATATGGATAGGCAGTCCTCACTTGTCTGGGTCTCGCCTTTGACTTCACGAAGTTTCATTTTCCGCGCTTTGCCAGATTTACCCTCATATGACCCCTGAAGATCGGTTGCCAATTGGGCTTCTTGCGAATCTGCATCCTTCACTGTCAACTTTCGATTGAACTGCTCTGGGAGCTCATGATCGAGGCTCTGCTCAATGAAGTTTTCTGCTTGGATTTCGGGACAAGCAACATTGCCGGAAATTTGCTTTAGGGGTGCTTTTTGAGACCGCCAGTCTTTGTCCATCCAACCGCGATGCATTGCCCGAAGCTCTTCAAAACTGATTTCTTTGCTGGGGTTCCTATGATCGGGGTATACTGCCTCCAGGTTGACAAACACGCGCTCCCGTCTTCCAGTCCTTGGATTTACCGCTTCCCTTACATGATGTTCTGGAATGTGTTTGGTTGGGACTGACTCTTTGAGAGGTAGATCTGATTTTGACTGAATACATGAAATCATAACCGAAACCCGGTACATGTCACCAATTAGTCCTGTGATCGTAAATATGCGGAATTCAAGAAAGAGGAATGGAAAAGCAAATCATAACTCACCTCATCTCTGAAGATAGCCATCTTCTCCTTCGGAGCAGCCTTCTTTCCTGCCTTAAGTGTCTCTCCAGCCCACGGCCTTGCTTCCACTCTGTTCTCCTTCCTTCTTTCCTGCATTGACCCAATACTATCCCATCCCTTAGTCGGTTCGGAAACAGCAGGTTGGCTAGCTGCGGGATCGGTATCGGAGAAGATAGCCATCTTCGGTTTCCCTGACTTTGTGCGCGGAGCGGCTGCAGTCGACGGAGCTGGTCTCTGGACTTGTGCATCTGGACCCGCGGTGGCAGGTAGAGAAAATGGGTCGATTTTGGCGGCGAGAGCGGGGCGTACCGCCGGCAGCGCGGGCGACGAAGGTCCGCTATCTTGTGTGCGTTGCTCGTATCTTCTCTGGAATTCACTGTATTTTCGGATCAGGCGCTCAGTTGGTCTAGCCTCGCGGTCCACACCGAGTCGGTACACCTCCTCGGCCTGGGTCCATCTTCCAGCCCCTTCAAGCCAGGCAGCAAATTCCTCATAGAACAGAGCCAGTCCTTCGCCGATATGATGACGTGCTAGAAAAGCAAATGTCTCCCTTGGAGAGTCGGAAAAGAGCCTTATATAATGAAGCCATAACCGCAGATATCGAGGGTCATTCTTGTAGAGGGGGGAATTGAGGAATGCCTTGACGGCGCTTTCTAGTAGAGGGAGAAGACCAGACTCGGCGGTTGCTTGGGAGGAGGGGTATGCATTCAATGTCCATTTCACATAGCGGTCATAAATGTCAAGCGGGTCATCTGAGTCATCAATTGCCTTCAACTCGGCTTCGTATTCTTGTCGAATGGCATCGTTGAGAGTTCTTGTTTCATTAGGTGAAGGGGATGCCAGGCTGTCACTGGGATCTCTCGGAGAAAAGATACGGGCAAGCTCCTTTGCCGAGCGCCCCCCGGGTAGGGACTGGATGTTTTCCTTCTGATTCTCGATGATATCGAAGTTGATGAGATCGTCGGAGGCCGCCATGGCGGCGACGGGTAAGGTGGGAATAGCGGTCAAACAGGGGTATGATTGCGGTTCAGATAGTCAATTATGGCTGTTTTGTCAAAACTCAGTTCTAAACATATATTATGTCAGTTTCAAGTTGTCGAATTAGCCGTTTGTCGATGAAATTGTTGAGCAAGGTCGAGATATGCAACAGTGTCGAGAATTGATCGAGTTTGGGTTTATCGATAAACAGCTCGATTCGGTTGCCCTGGATACAGTCACGTGAGCGCCATACCAAATCAAGTAATATTCGATGCTCTTTTTCGATGTGAAGATGAGTATCGATACACAGCTAATTGGCAAATCTGAGCTGTTTTAAATATAAGATTAGGGTAATATTTGTCTAGACTAATTTGACTGTGGTCCTGCAGATTTTCAGCCGCTTTCTGCAGGGCGTGATAGTATCATTGGCTGCAAGCTGAGTAAGTAAGGACATCGGACTTCACCCATCACATACAAATGTGACCTCGTCCTTTACCTCAGCACAACCATCAAGGTCAACCCGGCTACGAACCTCGACCTAATCGTAACGCAATTTCTCCAAGCTTCAGGTTCTCGCATGCAGAAGGACTTGCTATGCCGCCCCGATCCCGCAATGTGACGTCCGGTGCCGTCTCCGAATCCTCGCCGCAAAATCGAAAAAGCAATCAGACTGGAAGTAACAAGCGAGATCTTGAGACAGTACAAGAGCAGGGCTCGCCGCTAAGGAGATCCAAAAGGGTCAAGGCAGAAGCTTCAAAGACCATATCAGGGGTCGATCAATCGGAGATCAGTGACGCTGTCGACTCGAAAAAGCCTCGCGCTCGAGCTTCCGTCAAGAAAGAAGCTGAGGAGGAAGTTAAGATATCCGTCGATGCCAAGTTGGAAACACAAAGCCTAGTGAAGACCGAGCAACCGGAAAAAGCTACAGTGGCAGCAACTGTATCGCGCAAGAGGAAACCGAAACAGGAGAAGGAAGTCGAGATGATTCCATTGAGAGCCAGGACGCAAGGACTGCGCATGTGTGTAGGTGCTCATGTCAGCGCTGCAAAAGGTCGAGCTACCCGCCTTCTATGCCCACATCTTTCGAATGTATGCCAATCTTTCTGCGGGATATAGGTGTCTTCAACGCCGTGCACAACAGCATGCACATCGGGTAATATACCCTAGTCTGCAGGGGGGTTAACGAGGGATATTGACCATGCCTCTTAGTGGTAACTCATTCGCGCTCTTCTTGAAGTCGCAGAGGAAATGGGACAACCCTCCTCTTCAGGATGACATTCGAGACCAATTCCGTCAGCTGTGTCTAGAGCACAAATACGACGGCGCGAGGTAGGACAAGCCACAGATCGTCTTGTTCCTCCACTCTACATTACTAAGGCAATGTTATAGACACATTCTTCCCCATGGTTCATATCTCGTCAACCTAGCCCAAGAAGACAAAGCCAAGGCAAAGCAGGCATACGATTCTTTCCTGGATGACCTTCGTCGCTGCGAAGCCCTCGGAATCACTCTCTACAATTTCCAGTGAGCCTGAAGCGCTACCTCACCATGTCTTTAAAAACGCTGACCAAATATCCAGCCCCGGCAGCGCAAACCAGAGCAGTCTCGCAGACGCTCTCGCCAGACTCGCCAAGGCGCTCACCAACGCACTCGAAGCCACCTCAACCGTAACACCGGTCCTCGAGACGATGTGCGGCCACGGCACAACAATCGGCGGCTACCTGACCGAATTCCGCGACCTCCTCGCCCTGATTCCGCGCGAGCACCACGCCCGCATCGGGATCTGCATCGATACCTGCCACAGCTTTGCAGCAGGCTACGATCTCGCCACGCCCGCCGGCTACAGCACCTTCATGCAGGATTTCGAAGACGTAATTGGCCTGCAGTACCTGCGCGCCCTGCACCTGAACGACTCCAAGGCCCCGCGCGGCAGCAAACGCGACCTCCACGCAAACATCGGAACAGGCTTCCTCGGCCTCCGCGCCTTCCACAACATCATGAACGACCCGCGTCTCGAAGGTCTCCCCATGATCCTCGAAACACCCATCGACAGACCCGCCACAACCGCCGCCAAAGCAAAAACCACGACCACCACCAAAGACAACAGCGACAGCGAAGCCGACCTAGACTCGGACCCCAACTCTAAACCCAAGAAAAAAGTATTCAAACGTCCCGCCGGCGCTAAGGCACCCTCTGTCCCGGACCCGTCCGTCTGGGCCCGCGAAATCGCCCTCCTCGAGTCCCTCATAGGCATGGACCCGGAGAGCGCAGAGTTCAAGACCCTCGAAGCCGATCTCGCGGAGGAAGGCAGGGAGACCCGCGAGAAACATCAGGAGCAGTACGAGCGCAAGCTGGCGACCGAGGAGAAGAAGAAAAGCAAAGCTGGCGGGACGGGGCAGAAGACGTTGATGGAGATGGTGCAGGGTTCTGCGAAGAAGCGGAAGGCGGGGAAGGCGGTTGAAAGTGAGAGTGAGGATGAGGGGTGTCAGAGTCATTGATCCATCTAAGGCGAACTCATGATGCATATGTACACTACACTTCAATGGCAGGTATAGAGATGTTACACCTGCTTGAACGGCTCATTTCACGCGAGGTACGAATATGGAGAAGAGAGAAGAAAAGAAAATGTCATTGCGATCCGTGGGTATTCTCATGCGAGATATCAAAGCAACATTCCAAATGGAGAGGGATATATAGACAGTATTGTGGGACGAATCAGTGGTCTCACTCAAGAAAACAAAAGAATCCCGTCGATACGAGAGGTCAATGGCAAAATATGTGCACGAGGCTCTTGGATATTCCAGTCGTCTAGTTGGCCGCAAGAGCTCGAGGAAATCATTGTATAGAGACATCCACCAGATTTCTACCCGGACAGTTGCACCTTGAGGAGACGGGACGCCCGAACACCAGGGACCGTGCCTTGACCCGCTAGTTCCAGACTGGCAAGACAAGGGTAGAGCGTGATACGACCCGGGGAATGAAACCAGACCAGTGGCTTTATGAAACAGGTACGATGTGGTCTTCAAGGCCTTCCTGCCGGGTTGGTCTGGTCGGCGGACGACTGACTGCTAGCGCCTGGACTCGGGCCGCGTCCCACTCGGGGCGGGAATTGTGAGTCGGGGGTCAAGACCACAGGCGGCGCGGATTTCAGCGGAGAAGGGCCGGCCAAGCGCGGAGAGAAAGGACGCCCTTCGCTGTCACTCAGATTACTCGTGGAGATCTTGAGGCCGCGGACATTGCTGCTGGCCCCGCTAGCTCTACCTTGGAATGAGCGGCGTTCATCGGTCAAGCCGTCCGCGGAAGTAAGGTGTAAATTATCGTCCACGGGCACATGGGCGACGGGTGCGACCATGCTCGTCTCTTGATCGTCGATTCTGTGATACGTTCCACGCTCCCTAAAATAAGCAGGGTCGGAATCATCGCTTTCCGAATCCAGATTCGGGCTGCGCTCCCAAGTGGCACCTTGTCGCGCCTCATCACGCATTTTGGAAATCTTCATGTAGTTATAGCACCCAATACTGGCGATGGTGACAACAAGCCCAGTGATGTTGACCGCGGTCAATTGGTCATGGAATACAATGCCCGCCGCGCTGATGGTGATGACTTCTTTGAAGATGCCGCAAATGCTTAATGTGACGACGGAGGAACGCTTCAAAAGAGAAAATTCGGCCGCGATCATGCAGAATGCTAGCACTCCGGGGAAGATCAGGAGGAAGATCGCGAAGCCGCCGCCATGTGACTCGGACAAGGCTGTAATGCCGTCGCCTATCTGAGTGGGGCCTTCGACGGCTAGTGCAATGATGATCAAACAGACGAACATGACAGGGGTGAGGAAGAAGAGGGTCGAGAACGGGTTGGAGGTGGCGGGATGCCGTAAAAGGAGGATCTGGGTCAACCCCCATCGGAAGCCCGAGAAGAAGGCCGAAGCAATGACCAATGCAAAGCCCACGGCATTGAACGCGGTTTCTCCAGCGACCATCATGACCACGCCGACAGTCATGGCAGCAATGATGATGATGAGCTTGACGGAAGGCGTTTCGAGTCGGAAAAGGAAGGCGAAGAGAAGGACAAAAGCGAGAGCGGAGGATTTACACATGGTAAGGAAGGTCAGAGAGATAAATTTCAGGGACATGTTGCCCAGTCCGATATCGAGGGAGGTCGCTGCACCGCAGGGAACAAGGCGCGTGAGATAGAAGAGCTTTGTGAGAACCGGCCTCGATTCCGTCGCATCATGGCTGCTTCGAGTCGGATCCCCAGGCAAAGCGGATGGCGGATGGCGCGGGCGCAGCGAAGGGATAAGCCAAAGAATAAAGGATGCAAGTGTGAACTGGACGGCCATGTGCACGCTAGTTGTGAAGAGAGGAAAGGGGAACACGACGTGGTCTTTGGAAAACATCCATTTGTTGTACTATCCCCCGATAAAAAGAAGAAGTTAGCAACCCCGTCATGATTTCACAATGCCCTCCTTCGCGCGCAGCAAGGATCCGTGAGCATAACCACTTACAACAGAGATTGATAAGGAAAAGAAGTACCACAAAAGGATCAGGCCGATATTGACGAGCAGTTTCTTGATGACGTCTTGATCGGCCAAACCCAGATTCAGAGGATCATATCGGGAGGCCTTGACACCAGCTATGCGAGCATCCAATTGCCGCCGTTGCTTTCTCCGCTGGCGCCTCTGGCGACGACGTTGTTTTGCTGTGAGACCGATTTCCTCATCATCGTGAAGCTCATCGTCAGAGCTCACAACACCTAGCTCCACACTTTCAGCGATTGAGGACAGATCGGACATATCTGCTTCGTCTGCCGTTAAAGGTCTCTGTTCATCCCGTTTGTAGCCGACCCCCTCGCCAATTGCTCTGGAATGGTCCTCCCTCTGTTCGGTCGGAGCTGCTAGTGAGGACGCTCCCGCATTCGTGAGCACGGAGCTCCGGCGTCGGTGGTGACTCCCCGACGGTGATAAGCCCATTGTGACGCTCTATTAATTCGTTCAGGTGTAGAAAGGACGAAAAGAGAGAGAGAGAAAGGGGGGGAAAAATAATGAGAGAGAGAGAGAGAGCGGAGGAAGGAAAATATGTTCGTTTGCTAGACTGCAGTGAACTCCATCAGTGATTGATGATAAGTCAACGCCAAAGATTTGCCCCAGTGGATGACCATCGGTGGAATGAGATCACCGCCGACCGACTCGAGGAACTGAGAGAAGGCTGAAAAGGAATGAAAATGACCGATTAGACAGGTCTCGTGGAAGATGTTGGACGAAGGAGAAGATGCTGGAGATGCAATGTATGCATGTGTAGGTTGGTGGGTGGATGCGGGTGGATTGTCGGTAAGGTCAACAACAACAAGGAAATAGAACGGAAAGGAAAGTTTATCGCCCAAAAGGACGAAAGGAGGAGGGATCAGGGGAATAAAAGAGAGCGAGATCTGTCGAGAAGGTCGCCCCCGTTTTGAAGCAAGGGCGCCGAGAGCATACAGCTGGTGGAAGAGAAGGTTGTTATTATGGCTGAGGAGAATGAGGAATGAAGAACAAGAAGAAGAAGAAGCAGAAGCAGAAGAAGAACGATAGATATGATAATAATAATAATAATTAATGCATGCAATGCAAGATAGATACTAAATACTGCCTACTGTGTAGATTGGGGGGTTATGCTTTTATGCCGGCCTTGTCAGTAATCCAATAGATCATATACTCTGTAATAATGCCAATGCTAAGGCAGTCGAATAATACCTATAGAGTATACTGTAGTAGACAATGAGATAGACGATGGAGTATCCCAATTTCGTTCAAGTAATCATGCTACGGATTTCAGCTAATTAAACAATAATAATAATAATAATAATCATCATAGCCAGAGGACTCGGAATCCTCTTGGAAATTCGGATCATCCACCCCCAGGTCCAAGCGTCCAAGATGGTCGTGTGAGTCGATCGATGCATCCAGAATTCCAGATCGTAGTAGTAAAGGTCCGTCAGGGAGTCAGGGACAAGTCGCAAAGTACATTATTCCAGGTACTAACTGGGGAAGGACATGCTATGAATATGATGCTCTGCTATCTGTATTCTTGTGCTTGGGCTATTAATATTGGACAGTAAGATACTATAATAATATCGAGTCTAAATGCTGATGATTTCTCAGACTCATACTCAACTGGAGACATGAACCTGTGATACGGTGATAGCTCGCTAATAATGAGCCCTGAAGTGCCTTAGTGCCTTAGCCCACACCCCTTTAAGTGGAGATGCCTCAGTCTGCGACTCCTCTTTGCCTGACTGCCTGACTGCCTGACTGCCTGAGGAAACGAGACTCTCGCCTTTCTTTTTTTCCGGGGTTCATCAGAGCAACTCTGGACCTTCATCTACTACTGACTACTGACTACTGGCAGTAAGGAACCTCATCCACCTGGGGATACTCAAACCACCTTCGTATTCAATCTTCAAATGATCTTAAAGTAACCAATCAATCGGCACTACAAAGTTAGTTAACAGAGATGCTGGTCGATCACTTTGTGATGGTTTGTTTTGTTGAACTGACTTCCGCCATAATTGGTGGATGCAATGTCCGTGGCTGATGACTTCATGAAGTCTGCCGCTTGTTGCAATCATGATGAAGTGCGGTGATATCACTGCCTTGATTCCAAGTCCTGGACTGATAGTACAGATGATGCTAACCTGGATGAATTCGTGACAATGAGGAAGATTTCCTAACCGACCCCAGAATCACAGAGAGAGAGATTATCAGTCTCCTTTCACACTGATTCTTGGCAGTTGAACATCGCTTTTCTGTCGGTCAAAGAGACCACGCTCAATGCTCAGACCGTCTAAATGCTATATGATCCGTCACAGCACAACGAAACTCAACTCATGCTGGGAATGCATTTGATTCGGTACCTGAGGGCTTCCAGCGCCGTGATGGTGCAATTCCATCATCAGCCGTGGCTGCGACTACCCAGGGCCAGGCCCTCTCTATGTATCACTCCATCGGAATAGAAGAAGCATTATCAAGACTCGGTCATTATTATCACCATCCTCATCATCAGCATGTCCTAGGAATTCAATGTTTTTTTGGGGGGAAAGGTTATTACAGGACATGGCCCTTCCCGGGGGCCTTCCTCCTGCTGTCCTTTCTCTCACCCTTCATCAACGCTCAAACTAGAGGTTGCTGGAATCTTTGCCCTGCTAGCTGAGAGTGCGACCTGACAAGTCAACTGTGCCCCTTGAAGATTCTACTCGTGATCTCCGTCGGTCAAAGCTTCTTATCATCGTCATGACGACTGGGTACAATGCCATCGAAGACTATGGGATTATCGGGGACATGCACACCTGTGCCCTCGTGAGCAAAACAGGAAGTATCGATTTCATGTGCTGGCCCGTCTTTGACTCCCCAAGCATCTTTTGTCGCCTCCTGGACTCGAACAAAGGGGGTTACTTCAACATCTCTCCGCCTACGCATGTCCCGGATGTGCTCAATAAGCAGCGGTATCTCCCATACTCGAATCTGCTTGAGACCCGGTGGACCAATGACGAGGGCGTAGTCACCATGCTCGACTACTTCCCTGTCTCGCCCAAGAAGACGGCCCAGGCGGCCCAGGCGGCCCGAATTCTGTCCGGATATTGTCCCTGTAACGAGGTTGGAGTCAATAGGTTCAAGTCTGGGCTGCGGCATTCGGGCTTGATCAGGAAGCTGGAATGCAGCCGTGGCGCAATGGAGTTGGTAGTGGAGCTGTTCCCAGCCTTCAACTACGCCAGGGATACCCATACCACGCGGGCCAAGCTCGAAGATGATCTGAGCAAGCATCCCTTGCAGACCGTCCACTTTGAAAGTGATACGGAAAAGCTCCAGGTGGAGATCTTTGCCCATTCGAGGGTGGGCAATGTGGTGGGATACCCAGAGGCGCGATTCAGCCTGAATGACAAACAGGAGCTCAAGGGACGCGGGCTTCACTTGTGGCTCAAACTTGAAAAGGGTCAGAGCATCACAGTAATCGTGCATAGCCCCGAAAAGGCAATGCCCAGTGATTCGATGATGGAGGCCTATCTCAACCGACTGGAAGAGGAGACGTTTGACTTTTGGACGGCATGGACCCGCAAATGCGCGTTTCGCGGTCACTATCGCGAGACTGTGGAGAGAAGCCTGTTGATCTTGAAGCTCCTCACCTACAAGCCCACGGGGGCTATTGTGGCGGCTCCGACCTTCTCGCTACCTGAAAATGTGGGCGGCGCCCGGAACTGGGACTACCGGTACTCCTGGGTCCGTGATACGGCCTTCACCCTCTACGTCTTCCTCAAGATGGGTTACAACGATGAGGCGGAGGCGTACGTCAACTTCATCTTCGATCGTATCTTCCCGCATGCACAGCATGATGTGAAGCCGGGCTCGAAGCGGCCGTTCCTCCCACTCATGTTCACCATTCGCGGCGAATACGAGATCCCTGAAGTGGAACTTGACCACCTCGACGGCTACAAGGGCAGCAAGCCCGTGCGTGTGGGAAATGCCGCCGTCTTCCACACCCAGCTGGATATCTACGGCGAGCTCCTCGACAGCATCTACCTGTACGACAAGTACTGCAACCCAATCACATATGACAAGTGGCTGGCCATCCGCCGCATGGTCAACTACGTGATCGAGGTGCGCCGCGAGAAGGACATGTCCATCTGGGAGTCCCGCGGCCAGATCCAGAATTTCCTCTACTCCAAGATCATGCTCTGGGTGGCCCTGGACCGCGGCGTCCGCCTCTGCGAGAAACGCTCCAGCCTGCCCTGTCCGGAACGCTTCCGCTGGATCCAGATCCGCGACGAGCTCTACGACGAAATCATGGAACGCGGCTACAACAGCGAACGCGGCCACTTCTCGCAGAGCTTCGAGAGCCGCGACGTCCTCGACGCGGCCATCATGATCGCGCCCCTGGTCTTCTTCATCGCGCCCAACGACCCGCGCTTCATCAGCACCCTGGAGAAAATCCTCCTCAACCCAGATAAACGGGGCCTCTCCAGCGCAAAGATGGTCTTCCGCTACGACCAAGAAACAGCCAACGACGGTACCTAACCCCCCCGCCCAAATATCCCCTCAATCTAAAACCTCCCTGCTAACCATTTCATCTCCCCGGCACAGGCGTCGGTGGCCGCGAAGGCGCCTTCATCATGGTTACATTCTGGCTTGTCGAAGCAATGGCCCGCGTAAGCCCCCCGCCACCTTACCGACTTACATTGCATTACTTACTTCCCCCTCCCCCCCCCCAGGCCGCAAAATACGACGTCCGCGTCCCCAACCTTTGGAAAAACGCGCTCGCCCACTTCGATAACATCCTCTCCTACTCGAACCACCTGGGCATGTTCTCCGAGGAGGTCTCCCTGTCCGGCGAGCAGATGGGGAATACCCCGCAGGCGTTCAGCCATCTAGCCTGCATCAGCGCGGCGATCAATCTCGAGAATCAGGCTTGAGTTTTGAGACTCTCAGGTGGATGGATACGTCGGTTGGGTCAAGAAAACGCCCCTGAGGCTGAGAAATTGGGGGTGGTTGTTTGATTTCGTAGATTGAAATTCGTTTTCGACTTTTTTTTTTTTTATCTTTGTTTTTAATTTAGGGTTAGTAAGTGCAATCGAGGCAGGTTCATCGAGCTTTCTTGGTTTTTTTTTTTTTTTTCTCGCTGTGTAGGCATAAATCTATCTACCTACTTGCTGGACAAGAGATAAATTGTTGTTGATGGTCACATTGATCGGATCATTCATTGTAGAGGTAAGTCGGTCTACTCTGGCTACCTATACTAGACAGACAAGCAAGACCACCCCAACCATATTGCATCGCATTGCGTCCTCAGATGCTTCCCTACCCTACGATACCTTCAGGTAGGGATCACATCCTACCTACACAACCGCCGCCTCCGCCGCTAACGCCGTGAGCACCAACTGTAAAGGGGGAAAAACCCGTGGTTTCATTCCGAAAGTCTGGCTTTGCCCATACCACCCTCCGCTTAGATATATGGATCGGTCTTTACGGACCATTCTTCTCTTCTGGATGTTCCCGCAAGCGCGCTGACAGGTGGTTTCACCCCACATGCCGGCTCTCCGCCTTGGAGTCGTCGGAGACCGGAGCACAGAACAGAAGCAAAAGAATCAACCTCCTTTCCGCTGTCCAGCTGCACCTGGACCCGGCGAGGGAGTGGCATTAGCCGAGCTGCGGGTGTCCTTGCCTGACGCGGAGCGTGAAAAGGCACCAGCCGTGCCGATGGTTGCGCTGGCGTTGCGGAGCTCGATCTTCTTGCGCTCCATTTCAAGCTGTTTGGTTCGTGCGGTTAGTGATGGATGATACTGATATGTGGATGGAATATGTTGTTGGGGCTTGGGATACGTACCACTTTGCGCACTCGGGCCAGAGCAGCCGTGTCACCGGCCGCTATCGATCGGCAGTCATCGACGCGGTACGGCGCCGCGATGGTGACGGCGTCCGCCACGATGATGTTTGTCCCGTCCCACCGTGCCGGCATTGTGCGACTGAACGCATCGAATATATCCTGTGCTTCCCGCGTCACGCCCTTCCCGCGCCGCGCCTCGCCCTCCTGCAACTTGCCGACGGCACTGGCCTCGCGTGCTCTGAGGGCACGGATGTCGAGCGCATGCAGCGGAGGTACTGCGTGGGAGAAGGAGGGAGAGTCGGTGGCGTTAGGAGCAAGGGACAGAAGTTGGAACGACTGTATCCGCGACACGGGGATGATGTGATAATCGCCTGCTTGGGACTGTTTGTCGGCTGTGTTGATGGCAACGAGGTTCGTGATCGGACAGGCGGTGAATAGCGTGCCCTCGATCGTAGAGGTAGTGGGAGCAGCAGTACTGATGCGGACGCTGTTGATAGCAGATCAGCACCAATACTTGTCGTGCCTCCATGGGAGGTGAAGGCGACGCATTCCCAAAGAACAGCGTCCACAGCATATGTACCACCCTGCGACAAAAAAGAATCTAAAGCGGAAGAAAGCTTACCGAGCGCCAATTGCGCCGCTCAAGGCCACCTCCAACGGCACCATGGCAGCTGCCATTCCTGCCGCAGCGACACCGGAAGACCCTTGTGATGGTACTTTCACTCCGGCACTCTGGCGCTTATTCTCTGCCATATGAATACCGCGTGTAGGAAAGCGGATACCGAATGTATCGAAATCCGTAACTCTTCCAGAAGCGTAGAAAGATCGATCGACAGAATTATGCGCCGGATGAGCTTCGAGCGTCAAGCTGCAAGCTTCGCCGTCTCGGAAACCGCCACGGCCTAAGTGTTGCTGTTGATGCAGACACAGGGTTTCGTCTGCAGGCAAGCGAACGGCGGTGTCAGCGCAGAGACGGTGTTCCTTTTCCTTCCGGCAAATTCTCAAAGCTCCGCCGGTGATTACTCCTCCGCCACAATAATACAAGCTCGATGATATCAAGCAAAGTGGGACGTTGCGGGAACCGAGGAATTAAGTTGGCAAAGGAGCGACAGAGAAAATGGACGACAGCAAGAAAGAAACAAGGCCAGTCCCGACAAGACAAGACAGAAGTCACAAAGAAGGAGGAGGAGGAGGAGGGGGAGAGAAAATACACGGGCCAAGCAGACAGGAAGTCTACTACAGCTGCCGGCTCGTTCGAGAGAAGACGTGGGTGTCGTTCGACAGCCTGAGCGGTTGTTTTGGGGACGTTGCACTGCGGGCAAGTCATCATTGCCTGATGCGGTCTAGCGCCGGTCCAGTGACTCTGCCATCTTACTGTGTATTTCTCCTTCCACACTAAAGGGCAACTGCTACAAACTAGATACTGGATATGGATGTTTACACCGGGTGTCACTGGATCATAAACTCGAACGTCGTGAATACCATTAAAAGCATCTAAGTACATTGATATAGGCCATTTTTTTTACCGTCATCATCTATGTGCCCCCCCCTCCATTCATCGACGGGCCATGCCACATTTTCCAATCACACTTTCCTCCCAGGCAGAAGAGGTCTTACGTCCAGCGCAGTGCGTGGTGTCTCCGTGAAATGTTTTTCTTTTCTTTTAAACAATGTAGGTGGAAGCGGACACATCACCACCACGGCCGGTCCAGTTGACGTGGATGTCCTTGCCCTCGGGGTAGTTCTCGTTGGCGTGCTCGGGCTTGATGCGGAAGGTGTGAGCACCGAAGTAGTCACGCTGAGCCTGCAGCAGGTTGGCGGGGAGATCGCGGGTGCGGTATCCATCGTAGAAGCTCAGAGCGGTGCTGAAAGCGGGGGTGGGGATACCCCAGAGGGCGCCCTTGCTGACAGCGTTTCTCCAGCCCTGCTGGGCCTTGTTGATGGCGTTCTTGAAGAAGTCATCGAAGAGCAGGTTCTCCAGGTCGGGGTTCTTGCGGTAAGCGTTGGTGATGTCCTTAAGGAAGACGGAGCGGATGATGCAGCCACCACGCCACATGAGGGCGATGGAAGGCTTGTTCAGCTTCCAGCCGTACTCACGAGCGGCCTAATTGTGCGAGACAAAACATCAGCAAATTGCTCTTGAGACCCCCCTGAAGAACAAGAATAGCACCGAAAAACAAGAACAAATAAACTTACCTCCTGGATGAGCATGAAGCCCTGAGCGTAGGAGATGATCTTGGAGGCATATAGAGCCTGCTCCAGGTCATCGATGAAAGCCTGCTTGTCACCGGTGAACTCGGGGGTGGGGCCGCTGAGGAGGGTGCTGGCACGGACACGCTCGTCCTTGATGGCACTGAGGCAGCGGGCGAAGACAGCCTCGCCGATGAGGGTGACGGGCATGCCGAGGTCGAGAGCGTTGATGGCGGTCCACTTGCCGGTACCCTTCTGGCCAGCCTTGTCGAGGATCTTCTCAACGAGGGGAGTGCCATCGTTGTCGTTGTAGTAGAGAACATCACGGGTGATCTCAATCAGGAAGGAGTCCAGAACACCCTTGTTCCACTTGGCGAAAACATCGGCAATCTCGTGGACGGGCATACCCAGACCGCGCTTCATGATGTCATAGGCCTATCAGGTGCGTTAGACCAACACTACCCACAGAAATAAAATCGTCACCGCAGTGGGAACATCGGCTTACCTCGCAGATCAGCTGCATGTCACCGTACTCGATACCGTTGTGGACCATCTTGACGAAGTGGCCAGAGCCCTCATCACCAACCCAGTCGCAGCAAGCCTCACCGTCACTCTTGGCGGCAATGGCCTGGAAGATGTCCTTGATGTAGGGCCAGGCCTCCTCGTTACCACCGGGCATGAGAGAGGGGCCATAACGAGCACCCTCCTCACCACCGGAGACACCGCTGCCGACGAAACGGATGCCCTTCTCCCTCAGGTAGCGGGTACGGCGGTTGCTGTCGGGGAAGTGGGAGTTACCACCGTCAATGATGATATCACCCTCCTCGAGGTGGGGGAGGAGAGCCTCGATGAAATCGTCGACGGGCTTGCCAGCCATGACCAGGAGCATGATGCGACGGGGGCGCTTCAGCTTGGCGCAGAACTCCTCGATGGAGTGGGCACCAACGATGGACTTGCCTAATGAGAGTCAATCAGTTTGCCAAATTCTTGATTTTTTATCTTTTTTTTTTTAACCGTATTTTTGTTCCCCTTCGAATGGAGTCGGGAGAGAGAGGGGGGGGGGGAGAGTAAAGCTTACCCTTGGCCTCATTGGCAAGGAAACGGTCGACCTTGGAGGTTGTGCGGTTGTAGGCGCAAACAGTGAAACCGTGATCAGCAACGTTTAGGATCAGGTTCTGGCCCATAACGGCCAGACCGATAAGACCGAAGTCAGCACTAGGCAAATGACGCGCCGGTGCGCCGACATTGATGCCGGCCAAACGGGCGCTTCAAGTCAGTTGATGTCAATAACTGGGATAGGGAGTGAAAGGGGGAAATGATTGTATTGGGAAGAACAAGCTTTTTCCACTCTTGCAGTACACCGGTGAGATGATGAGATGATGAGATGTGAGGTGCTGAGGGGATGAGGGGATGAGGGGATGAATAAAAACCCATAAAAGGTACTTACACAGCTTGGTCAGACATGATGGATGGGATGAAGTTGAGGGAGAGAAGACGGATGAAGGTATTGATGGATCGATGAGGAGGGGAAGAAGAGGAAGGAAGAGGAGAAGAGAAGAAGAAGAAAAGGAGGAGTAAAGAAGGAACAGGATTAAGGCTGATTACTCTTCGAGAGTGTTACGGAGCAACCTTCCGTCATGGTGGGAACTCACCAACAAAAGAGAGACAGCGGGGCTTTGGATGGAGGAGCAGAGTCGTCCGGTGAGGATGCAACTAGGCCTAGGGAGATTCCTAATAATCACTAGATCATTAATAACTAACTATCTTGCTACTCCGGAAGTACCTAGTAGTTATTCTATATTGAAATCTATTCTCCCCGCGGGAAGAATTCTGGGTGAATGTCGAGATATGAGAGTAGTATCCCACGGATGGTGGGATTGTTTGGATCGGAGAGTAGTAATCATCATCAAAAGAAGACCTCAGATCCGTGGTATAATCATGATTACTGGACCGCTTCCTCCATCTTTGATACTCCTATTTCCTGCTCGTATATCATAGCTACATAGTCTCCCCTCTGTTGCAACTTGCTCCCTAGACAATAATAGTAATGGATAATAATCGATCATATCTACAGCTTCATCGCAGTTGAAACCCGGAGATGACGGGGGTTTTTCTGATGGCGGGGCAATTGATGGTTGACGATGGAGGGGCACAGAGCTGGATGGGGTTTAGCGCCACCATGAGAAAGTACTGCTCGGTGAAGCAAATCAGGAGAGAACAATTCTTCCGGTGGCTATTCAGGGAATACGGAGTCCTAACTAACTATAACTAGGTAGATAGTCCGTCTTCCATCTCCGTGGAAACGTTGGAAGTTGGGACAACTGCCCCCGTACTCCTCCGGGCTGTCGTCGCATGGAGCATGAAGTAGCTAGCTATATGAGCAGAGAGTATTTATGCACTACCTTCCTGACAATTGAAGTTCAATGCAATCTCAACGAGATGCCTCTGCATCATCATCATCATCAAGAGTCATGTTCCCTGCGCTGACAATGATATGGTCAGGATTACTGATGTCTTTGATATAGTCCCTCATGACGCCGTTGTCGGCTATTGCATTCCCCAAAGCGGACTAGGGTGGGGGTTGCATCATGGTGGTTGCAGGTCGGATGAGCTCGTAATTTTACTCCGGCGAGCAGTAAATCTGTAAATTACAAGAATAAGTCATGTGATGCTTGCACCACCCTTTACCATACTGAAATAGATTTCAGCTCGCACCACCCTTTCTGTTATTTTACTAAATTAAATACTTTAATAAACTTAAGAAATCTTAAAGTTAACTACTTTCTAAGTACTTAAAAACCTAAGTACTTAGAAATTACTTATTATTTATTTTTTTATTTATATAGAAAAAATATAATATGAAGTAACTTATTATAATTATAAAAGATAATAGATATTATTATTTTAAGTACTTAGAAATTACTTATTATTTATTTTTTTATTTATATAGAAAAAATATAATATGAAGTAACTTATTATACTTATAAAAGATAATAGATATTATTATTTTAAGTACTTAGAAATTACTTATTAATTATTTAATAAGTACTTTCTAAGTACTTACTAAGTAGTTAATATAATTATCTTTTACTATAGTTATTAATATATATATCTTTAGTAGAGAGAGTAATATACTTATTTAATATAGATTATAAAAAACCTAATTTTAAGTACTTTCTAAGTAATTTCTAAGTACTTAAAAATTCTTTATATACTTATCTTTCTAAATAAATTCTAAGTACTTTCTAAGTACTTAGGTTTTTAAGTACTTAGAAAGTAGTTAACTTTAAGATTTCTTAAGTTTATTAAAGTACTCTGTATTTGATTTTCAGATAAAATAATATAAGTATTTAGATTTCAGGTAAGATAGTATGGTAATATTTTAGGTCGCGCGAGCCATAAATGCTTATTAATGGTCTTGGCGGTCACATGTATGGGGTATGGCTCATATGAGCAGTCTGGACTGCTCATGTGAGCTGTGTACACTTGCATCATGCTGTGGTAAAGCTGTCGGTCTGCTTAGTCAGGATATGGTGGCCAAGCCGCGGAGCCAGGATCAATGATATTCCGAGCCGGCTACTGTACGGGAAAGCAGAGACACCATCAATGTTTTCTCTCTCTTGGCACGATGCGCAGAACCGAACCTCATCATCACGTAGATAGAGAGAGACTGCGGGCTGTTGTTGATTCCTTATCAAGATTATTGACAGACTTTCAGTCGGAGTGGTATCGGAAATAATACTCATCTAGAGATTGCACTTGGGGTTCTCGTCGTCGTCACTCCTTCTGAATACCTTCTCGTCTTTTGACCTTCTTCGACCACTTTTCTATCAGTTTCCACTTGTCGCAAGACACAATTGGAAACCTCCATCGCAAAGATCAAAAAGGCTTGCGCTTGCAACAACCCACTGACACATACCCATATTAATCCAAGATTCAACCCCCTTCCAGGCGTGACAGCTGACGTGTGACTGCTACGTCAGTCAGACCCTGAAGGTACGTGTCTGCTGCTACTCTGCACGCGGCGCAATCAAACCATCCACACCGTCTCTCCTTATCTCCCTCTGTATCTCGAACGCTCCGTTCATCATGTCCTTCCCACCACCTCCAGGTCCAAGACAAACTCCCTCGTCGCTCCCTCCACGGCCACCAGCTCCCGCCAGCTCAGGTGCTGCATCCTATCAACCTGCATACTCGGCCGCACCCACATATGCGGCACCTGCGACCAGCACTGGATATGGTGGGGGTGGTCCTCGGACAGGCTATAATGCCATTACGGCCTTCCAGCCTCGCTCCGTAGCATCCAGTCAACCTTACCGGAACAGCAGCCCGGCTGTGTCGACGCCCCCAGCTGCAGCGGCGGGATACTCGGCGCCGGCCACGGCGAACTACGGTAACTACTACTCTCAATCACAGCAGACACAACAGGCATACCAGAGCGGACCGTCCTACTACGGTGCTGCGCAGTACAGCGATAACACCTACGGCCCAACCGTCCCTCATATCCAAAACCCATTCTCGGCACCAGGAGGATCCGGGAAGAACGGACGCCAGGACTCGGGACTCGATCCCGACACGGAAGCGCAGATCGCGCAATGGCAGAGTGCCTACGCTAACAAGGAGGACGTCTCGGCGAGCGTTCGGGGACCGGGTCGTCGGGACGGAGCCATGGGCATACCCGGTGGCAACGTGGGAACCAACACACCCATCAATGCGACTGCAACGGGCGCCAACACCCCCACACCTGCGCCTGGCCCTGCCGAGCCGCCCACCAAGACTGTGGCCCGCTCCGGCGGTGGCCAGACATGGTCTGACTCCACGCTCTTGGAGTGGGATCCAGCGCATTTCCGACTCTTCGTGGGCAACCTGGCAGGCGAGGTGACTGACGACTCGTTACTGAAGGCGTTTGCCCGCTATGAGTCGGTGCAGAAGGCGCGGGTGATCCGGGACAAGCGCACGCAGAAGAGCAAGGGATACGGGTTCGTTAGCTTCAGCAATGGCGATGACTACTTCGCAGCCGCCAGGGAGATGCAAGGAAAGTACATTGGATCCCATCCGATCTTGCTGCGGCGGGCCACCACGGAGGTCCGGCCCGTGTCAAACAACAAGGGAGGAAAGAAGGGCGGCGGCAACAAGGGCGGACTGGGAGGCGGCGCCGGCGGCAAGGTGAAGCACGATGGAGTCAAGAAGCCGGGCAAGACCAAGGGCGGCCTGCGGATCCTGGGATGATTGTTCCTTTGACGAGATATGGCGTTCTAATCGGTTCGTATGTATTTGCACTCTTGACCATGACGATCCATATAATACAATTCTGCCCTTCTACCACCAGTATTTTCCACTCAAATCAATATCGACATAAAAAGAAACCCAACATGAGTAAACTCCAAGCTCCGTCCCTTATACCGGGACAAATCCAAACCCATGCAATAAATCCGACTCGCAGCTGGCCACGCCCTCTCAGCGCATCCGCCGACTGTCATTCCCCTCGTCGACCGCGTTATATTATATGCGTATTCGTTCCTCAAGTTGCGTCGTCGTCGTCATCATCATCGTCATCAACATCATCAACCCCCAACAAAACTTCCCCAAGATCCAAAGAAAAGCAAAACATCAATAATCATAATCATATAACTCATTCAATGCCGGACTCGTTCAACCGCCATCGTATCGTCATCAGGCTCGGGGCTGGAACCAGCCGAGGGGGGGTATACAGTCCAGTCCACTTCTTCATCCAGAAACAAAAATCAGGTTCGGATCGAATCCAATCCAACTCATCAAGCAGCAGCTCCAGCAACCGGAACAGCAGCAGAACGGGGTTAGGGGGAGTTGGGGGGGGTTATCACCCGTCCCCGTTCTCCTCATCGGTGGCCCGTTTCCCACTGAAGGCGACGTGGTTCTTCATGGCGTAGATGCCGAAGCCCGCGGCGGCGAGGATGATGAAGAGGATGATGATGATGATGGCGATGGTGATGTTTTGTTGGACCATTTTGGTCTTGGTTATGGTCTGGGTCGTTTATGTGTGTGTATATATTGTATATATATGTATATCCGGTGTAGTATGGACCACGTGTGGGGTGTTGGACGAACGGTGGTAGGAATGTTCAATGTTCAAAATCAAACGCTATTTGATAAGGCCAGAGGATATACGCAATCTGGATTCCCCAACAAGATACTTTTGACGTAAGTAGATGGGCGCAGACAAACCCTCCTTACAACCTTGTAAGGGGACAGTTTATGAGCATGGACTGTGGTATGAGGGAATCACCACAGGAAAAAAAAAAGATAGCATTGAGAAAAACCAAAGCCATGGGGGAATGCCAGGCAGGGCGTCTCGTAAGTTTTAAACAAACGTGCAACCCAGCCATGTTGATTTTTTTCCCCTTTTTTTTTTCTTTTCTTTTTTACACCTTCTGGATGGATTGGAAAGGAAGTGAGGTGGCTGGGGGATGAGCTGCCGCTTTGCAGCCCGAGACAAGTTGCAACTTGCAAGTATGTACTGGTGGATGGAAGCAGGGCTTGTGATTGGGTTGCGGGGACTTAAGCTGTCGGGCTAAAGTGTTAGGGCGAGTAGGTACCAGGTACTTTGGACCCAGCCTCCGCATTTTATGAACATGAGCATGGGGCGGACTGGACTCGTGGATGCTGGACTGGAAGTGAGGATTGGATACATATGTTTGTCTATATCATTATCCGTGGGAGTTTGAGGCTGATGTGGTGACTACTTTCCTGACTTTTGGGATGATTCAACCCAAAGACTGGCTGGATTCTTGGTAGTTGGGGTGCCTGGAGGAGGACCAAGATAATATGGATGATTGGGTTCAATAAGACAGGTCTTCCAACAAAATTTGCAGACCATACTGGGAGGAATAGGAGTAGAGTCATTTATGTTAAAACCTCGAAGCAAAGAGCCTACTTATTAAGTAACCAGACAGACAAGCCTGTTGTGTGAGTGATTGAGTGATTGCTTTGGAGATACCATCGCTGAAGTACCTACTCTGTAGATCTCGAGCTTCACGTGACACTGGGAAGCATGAGCTTCTCTCACTCCGTGTCTTGAGGCACAAATCCCGAATATCATAAAAGATCCAGCTACAGAGTCATTTGTACGACAGGTTACTCCAACAGCCGTCGCTTACCTGATCTGCTGTTGTTCAATTTCACCTCTTGGACATCACATAGTTGGATATCCAATCGAATATTTGGCATTATAACCTTATTGCTAGCTAGCTAGCGGCCATCGTGCGTCTCCATCGATCCGGGAAGCTGGGAACACAAAGAGCAACACTTTATGCACTCATAGATACTCCGTGGCGAGGAGAACTTGGAGATATCTCAATTGAAGCGTCGGCTTGACTCATTCCGATCCACCGGAATACCTGATTCCCAGGTTACACGTCCGCGCCCAGCTGCTCGAGTGATGATTTCATCATGATCGCCATAGACTCCATTCCCATCGATGAACCACAGATGGCGCTGCCGCACTCCACGCGATCCCTGGGATGCGTTGGGACATCCGATCGGCTTTCGGGTCTTGCAGCCTCCGCGCTGGAGATGATTGACAAGCGTATGAATGAATCAGTCAGTCGTCCATCATCGGGCTTCTCCTCATGCCGAAATTGCCCTCTTCCAATAGAGGCCTAGGATCCAGCTCGTTCCCTGTTGAACTGCCGAGCCAGATGTGCTCGATGAAGCTCGATTAGCCCAGATCTGACACCAAAAGCAATGGGCTACCTGGATGACAAGCTTAGAAAGCATGTATGGTCACTGACGTAACTTGTTTTCCTGTGTCCCTTAACTTCTGATCGGTTTCCTGCAGCTTTGGTTTACGAGCCCCTCTTTGCTCCTGGGTTCTTGTATCTGTAATTTTATCTGCTACCTGAATGTAAATCCCAGTCGCACCTCAGTACCATGGACTCTGCACGGGCCGGCGAGCGCGAGACGGCCGCGAGCTCCTACCTGGACGGGCAATCTGCTCAGAACACGATTGCGGACTCCGCAGCTTCAATAGCACCATCTAGCGTCAAAGCTAATGGGGATTCCTCCTCATCGGAGAATGGAAAGTCAAGTTCCCTAGAGAAGAACGATGACTCCGAATCGCACGGGGAACATCTGTCAGGTGATTATGTCAATCGTGTCCTCTCCCGCCGGCAAACCAGCCATAGCAGCGACGGCGAGGACATGGCTCAAATAGCGATACTGATGTCCCGGATGTTCGGCAAAGAGAGGAAATCTGCCTCCAACGAAGAGAAAACACGACATCTTGGAGTGGTCTGGAAGCATTTGACAGTGAAGGGAATCGGCTTGGGCGCTGCTCTTCAGCCCACCAATGCTGATATCCTTCTGGCAATACCCCGTTTTATAAAAGCCCTCTTGACGAGAGGCAGGAAAGGAATTGGTGCAGGGCATCAACCACTACGCACTATCCTTGATGACTTCACGGTATGTCTTTTCGGATTTGACCTTTAAGACGCCATGGTCTGACGTTCCCTGCAGGGCTGCGTGAAACCTGGTGAGATGCTTTTGGTCCTTGGACGGCCAGGCTCTGGGTGTTCAACTTTTCTGAAAGTGATTGGAAACCAAAGAGCTGGTTATAAGGATATTGAAGGGGACGTACGTTATGGAGGGGCCGATGCCGAAACAATGGCAGACAAATATCGCTCCGAAGGTACAGTAGCTGCTTAAGCTGATCAGGAGCTGGATGCTAACTAAATCCTGCAGTGTCATACAACCCCGAGGACGATCTGCACTATGCAACTTTGACTGTTCGGGACACTCTGATGTTTGCTCTCAAAACCAGGACCCCAGACAAGGCCTCCCGTATCGAGGGCGAAAGTAGAAAAGAATATCAAAAGACCTTTCTTTCTGCCATTTCCAAATTGTTCTGGATTGAACACGCCCTGGGCACAAAAGTCGGTAACGAGCTCATCCGGGGAGTCTCAGGTGGAGAGAAAAAACGTGTCTCCATTGGTGAGGCGATGGTTACCAAAGCCAGTACGCAGTGCTGGGATAACTCTACCAAAGGCCTTGACGCCAGTACAGCGCTGGAGTATGTTCAAAGTCTGAGAAGTCTGACCGATATGGCGAATGTGTCCACGCTCGTGGCTCTCTATCAAGCTTCTGAAAATCTTTACAACCTCTTCGACAAAGTCATGCTCATCGAGGAGGGCAAGTGTGCATATTATGGAAGTACCCGGAATGCAAAGCCATATTTCGAGCGTCTTGGTTTCGAATGTCCCCCTCGATGGACCACCCCGGATTTCCTCACATCAGTCAGTGATCCCCATGCACGTCGCGTCAAAAGCGGGTGGGAGGATCGGGTGCCACGTTCGGGGGAGGACTTCCAGAGACTGTTTCGCAGAAGTGACATCTACAAGGCGTCCTTGCAAGAAATAGACCAATACGAGAACAAGCTTCACCAACACAAGCGCGAATGTGAGGCGGCCAGAAAGGAGATGCCGAAGAAGAACTATACCATCCCCTTCTATGAACAAGTGCTCGTCCTCACACATCGACAATTCCTTATTATGCTGGGCGACAAACAAACCTTGGTAGGGAAATGGGCTGTTCTGGTGTTTCAAGCCCTGATCATTGGGAGTCTGTTCTATAATCTTCCGCAGACCAGGTTGGTGTCTTGTCTCTGTCGAATGGTGCCGTGGCTGATGCATAGTATAGTGGAGGTGTCTTCACTCGAGGAGGCGTCATGTTCTTCATTCTCCTGTTCAATGCCCTGCTGGCAATGGCGGAACTGACGGCGTCTTTTGAGAGTCGCCCCATTATGCTGAAGCACAAAAGCTTGTACGTTCGGCAAGCTCCGCCCACTTTTCTGAAGGCTAATGTATCCAGCTCATTCTACCGACCATCTGCCTATGCCCTTGCCCAAGTAGTGGTCGATGTTCCCTTGGTCTTCATTCAGGTGACTCTTTTCGAGCTGATAGTCTACTTGTATGTTCCTCGACATATTCAGTGTCTCCTGAGGACGATTACTGACCATTTCTGAAGTATGTCAAACCTTGCTCGGACAGCATCGCAATTCTTCATTAGCTTTCTCTTCATCTTCATCCTCACGATGACTATGTACTCCTTCTTTCGAGCTCTTGGAGCGATCTGTGCTTCGCTCGACGTCGGTATGTTCTACATACTCGCACCAAAGGCCGATACTAACCAACTTAGCCACTCGCCTTACTGGAGTTGCAATACAAGCTCTCGTTGTGTATACAGGTAAGGCAAAAAAGGCTTCGGTTATTTAGCGCCTTTCTAATACGGCAACTTAGGTTATTTGATTCCACCCTGGAAGATGCATCCTTGGCTCAAATGGTTGATCTGGATCAACCCCGTTCAATATGCTTTTGAAGCCGTCATGGCCAATGAATTCTACAACCTTGACATTCAATGCGTACCGCCAAATATCGTACCCGATGGTCCCAATGCGCAGCTCGGTCACCAGAGCTGTGCCATTCAGGGGAGTACCCCAGACCAGACCGTTGTGCGAGGCTCCAATTATATCAGAGAAGCCTACACGTATAGACGATCGCATTTATGGCGGAACTTTGGCATCATCATTGGCTGGTTCATTTTCTTCGTGGCCTTGACGATGCTCGGTATGGAGCTGCAGAAGCCCAACAAAGGTGGTAGCTCGGTCACCATATTCAAAAGAGGTGAAGCCCCAAAGGATGTGGAAGACGCTATCGAACAGAAAGAGCTCCCAGAAGATGTGGAGTCGGGACAAAAGGAAAACGCCGCAAAGGCTGATCCTGGCAAGAATGAATCTGAAAATAATGGAACTGAAGTTAAAGATATTGCTCAGAGCACGTCTATCTTTACCTGGCAAGACGTTACCTATACCATACCCTACAAAAATGGTCAGAGAAAACTACTACAAGGAGTGCAGGGATATGTGAAGCCTGGTCGTCTCACTGCCCTGATGGGGGCTTCTGGAGCAGGGTTAGCTGTACCGTCAATGTATCAATCAAGCCACTTTGGCTAACATTTGCAGAAAAACCACTCTTCTCAATACGCTGGCACAGCGGGTCAACTTTGGTGTCGTTACTGGCACCTTCCTGGTGGACGGAAAGTAAGTCTTGCTCTGGACGATGCGTAGTGGCTGGTGGCTTACCATTTCCAGGCCTCTTCCAAAGAGCTTCCAAAGGGCGACTGGATTTGCTGAGCAAATGGATATTCATGAGCCCACCGCGACTGTTCGAGAATCGCTCCGCTTCTCAGCACTGCTTCGTCAGCCCAAGGAGGTCCCCATCCAAGAGAAGTATGATTATTGCGAGAAGATCATCGATCTACTCGAGATGCGTCCGATTGCCGGTGCCACAGTGGGCTCTGGTGGTGCGGGTCTTAACCCGGAACAGCGCAAGCGACTCACCATTGCAGTAGAGCTGGCAAGCAAGCCCGAATTGCTACTCTTCCTTGACGAACCTACCAGTGGACTGGACTCCCTGGCCGCGTTCAACATTGTTCGGTTTCTTCGCCGACTTGCAGATGCTGGCCAAGCGATTCTATGTACGATCCACCAGCCTTCTGCTGTCCTTTTCGAAGAATTTGATGATCTCCTACTCCTGAAGAGCGGAGGGAGAGTTGTTTACAGTGGTGAACTGGGGCGGGATTCCAAGCATCTGATTGAGTATTTTGAGTCAAACGGTGCAAAGCAATGTCCTACTCATGCAAATCCTGCCGAGGTATGCCAACTTCTTCCTATGTATTCGAACAGAGATTGACAAAGCTCTAGTACATGCTTGAAGTCATCGGCGCCGGGAATCCTGACTACAAGGGCAAGGACTGGGGTGATGTCTGGGCTCAATCCCCTCAGTGCAAGGAACTCTCCGAGGAGATCAGTCACATCACCAGCTCGCGCCGTAACAGCGAAAATCGGCAGAACAAGGACGATGGCCGAGAGTTTGCGATGCCGATCTGGGTGCAGATTGTGACGGTCACAAAGCGGGCATTTGTGGCATACTGGCGTTCTCCTGAGTACACTCTGGTATGCGTACTTGTCCTTCATCATGAGGCGCATCTGACAATCAAATAGGGTAAATTCTTGCTTCATGTCTTCACTGGCCTCTTCAATACATTTACCTTCTGGCACCTGGGGAATAGCTTCATCGACATGCAATCGCGGTTGTTCTCAATCTTCATGACTCTCACCATATCCCCTCCTTTGATCCAGCAGCTCCAGCCCAAGTTTCTTCATTTCCGCAACCTCTACTCATCACGAGAGGCCAATTCCAAGATCTACTCCTGGACCGCGATGGTCACCAGTGCCATCCTCCCCGAGCTACCATACTCGATCGTCGCAGGATCGATCTACTTCAACTGCTGGTGAGCACGGCCTCTCCCTTCCCACGGTCTTACGTCCCAAAGCCCCTCCACCTAACCGACGCATATAAAAACAGGTACTGGGGCATCTGGTTCCCCCGCGACTCCTTCAGCTCCGGCTATACCTGGATGCTCCTCATGCTCTTCGAGCTCTATTACGTCGGCTTCGGCCAGTTCATCGCCGCCTTCTCGCCCAACGAGCTCTTCGCCTCCCTTCTCGTCCCCTGCTTCTTCACCTTCGTCGTCGCCTTCTGCGGCGTCGTAGTCCCCTACGCCGCCCTCCCCCACTTCTGGCAGGCCTGGATGTATTGGCTCACCCCCTTCCACTACCTCATCGAGGGCTTCCTCGGCGTCCTCACCCACAAGGTCCCCCTCCGCTGCGTCTCTCGGGAAATGGCCTCCTTCTCCCCGCCCAGCGGCTCAACCTGCCAGGGCTACGCGGGGTCGTTCGCCCGCCAGGCAGGCGGATACGTGCAGGACGCAGCCAACGGGCTATGCTCGTACTGCCAGTACTCCGTCGGCGATGCATTCGTACGTCGTTCCCCCTTCCCCTCACGAACCCCAGCCAAACTAACAATCCCCAGGCCGCGAGCTTCAACGTCTTCTACTCGAACAAGTGGCGCGCCTATGTGAGTCACCCTCCACCCCTCCTCCTTCCCCAATAATATACGCCTTCATACCTTCCAAGTCATGGATGACAGCTGACCAATTTCCACAGGGCATATTCTGGGCTTTTGTGGGCTTCAACTTCATCGCCGTCTATTTCTTCTCCTGGCTTTACCTGCACGGCGTCGGGGATTTAAAACGGATGATCAGTGCGCGGAAGACGAAGAAGAGCGTGCAGTAGTCGAATCGAAACCCGCGTTCGCGTTGGCCATTTACCCATGGCTCCAGTGAGGGATGTGTGGGGATGTCTTGTATTGTATTCTACCATATAAGAGAATAATGATAAAATTGATTGAAGAAAGGAGGGGGAGGGGAATGGAAGGAAGGAAAAAAAGGAAGGAAGGAAAGAAAGGAATCTGGTTTCATTTTCATTCCGGGATATGTACAGTACAACCCATGCAAATGCAAATGCAGACGCAGACTTTGACGCCCCCACTATCCCGCGATAGGTAGGGAACAGGAAGGTGGAAGCTACAAACAGCGTGTATTAAAACATGATATGATACGAATTTGGTGATTTTCTTGCTTTCGTTCGTGTAGAGCCGGGTCACGCCCCAGAGCTCGGCGGCGGGTTCGCCCCGGGTTGACTCGCCAGACTCGACACCGCTAAGGACTGGTGTGAGTTCCATGTGTTCGGGCCGCTGGTCGGCTGCTGGGGCCCATCGGTCGCGTTGTTGCCGTTCATCAGACGAGGCCGTTTGGGCTGGGGGCCTGTCTGCGGGCTCCGTAGATATGGCGAGGTGTCCTGGCTGGACGCGGCGGAGGGCCCACCCGTGTGCGGGGAGGATTGATCCGGGCTGGGCGCGGGAGCAGGATGCAAGGCGCGCGGGCGTGACAGGTTGTTCGGCGCAGACATAGACGCGGATACCGGGGCTGGGGCTGGGGTGGCTTCGTCAGCGGCGCGGGGTTTGGAGTCCACGCTGCGAGGATCGTCTAGGGGCGGGTTCCCGTATCCGACGCCGACGCGGCCCATGCCCTTATCGTGCATGACGACGCGCTTCCACTTGGCAACGACGCTGTCGTAGTCCCACCGCGGCGAGTTGGGGCTGATGTGGCTCTCACGGGCGTCCAGTTCGCGGGCAATGGCGGGTGGGAGCGGTAAGGTATCCGGAGGGAAGAGGGCGAACTCCCGCGGCCATTGGCAGGAGCCCAATTTCTCGACCTGGGCGCGGAGCTGGTTGGCTTCCTGCTGCACGCGGGCCAGCTGGTCGTCTAGGGATTTCCGCTTCTCGACCTCGCGGGCAAACGCGCGCGTGATTTCAAGATGCCAGCCTTCCAGTCGGGTCTCTGGGGGAAGCGAGACCCAGTGCTTGAAGGCCAGCTCGAGATGGCGGATGCTCATCTCCTCGTGCTGCTGGGCGCTGCGGCTGATCATGTTGGCGTCCAGACCAAGTCCAGGCCGGCCGGGTTGAGAGTTTTGCGCGGATTCTGCAGATAGCTGGTCGGATTGCCACTGGTCAATCTTCGCACGGATTGCCTGTCGCACGATTTCAAAGTGCTCCACACCCGGGGGTTTCAGCGGGAAGGACGAAGGAGACGGGAACGGATTGGTGGAGAAGAGACTCGGAGGTGGAGGTAGCATTTGAAGACAAAGCGAAGGGAAGGTCTCGGACTGGATATCGAATTCGAAGGGTGACAGTCGAGGGCGCGTTCGAGTACTACTATGCGCAGTGATTGTTAGCTCAACACACAACCATCCATCTAATGCTCAACCCCCTCACACAGGTCAGGAACAGGACAAAGTAGACGCACGTTGCAGCCTTGATATTATCCAGGACTTCCCGCAGAGCCAGCTCCAGCGCTCTCATCGTATCCGGATCCTTGGCGCTGGCGCCTCGACTCGCGTAGTCGGGAAGAGTGATAGGCCCCGTTCGGGGCTGCGCGGCAGCAACCCGCGACCCCTCGTGCGGTTGACCCGGGTTGGGAATATCATTGATGACACCGGTCGCATGCCACGTAGGCGTATTGAACATCATCCTGACCGCGCCATCGCGCGGCTTCGCGCCCTGGTCACCGGCGCCAAGCTGATCGGACGAGCCCTTGCCGGTGGCCCGCTCAGGAGTATCCCGTTTCCCGGTCGAAGTGCGAGCCTGGCGTCTGGTGATACCGCTCCGAATGCGCCGGATCTCCTCGACGTCGTGGATGCCATCGGGCTTTTTCTTGAAGAGGAATTGGTCCAGGTGTCGACCGAGGGACGAGGAGGTGAACGCCTGGTTGCAGTACTGGCACTTTCGGTCCTTGGCGGTCGCGGAGTTCTTGGATTGACTGCCCGATTGGGTCTGGCTCTCATCTCCTGCGCCAGGAGAGTTCTCCGGGGTCTCGATTGGATGAGAAGATGCTCGTTCGGCCATGTTTCACGAGACCACGAGAGGTTTCGATTGCTGGTAAGCTTGCAGTAACGGTGGAACCGGGAACGCGTCGTTCCAAATCGCATCCGAGGGAAGCTTGGCAGCTCAGCACATGAAGCAGAAAACGCCGGTAAAAGTAAGTGGAGGAAGAGGTGACAGAGAGTAAAGATCGGAATTAAGCGCGGGAGACGCGACAAGCTGCAGATTGAGAGAAAAGGGTGGCCGATGGTACTCCGTACAGCATCTAGAGGAGACTAGAGGGGAGAAAAAAGTGGAAGCAAGAAAGACGAACGACGAAGCGAAAGTTGAACGTGACGATCGACGACCGCCAAGATTTGGCTGGGTCGCTTGCCTCCGAGGTTTAACTACTACAGAGTATGTCCTATGTAGTATTATTTCCCAACGCAGAGGATATTCTTCATTTATCTGCAATAGCGATATGATTTACGATGTTCGGGACATTTTTCGTCGCGATCAATGAGTGTGCCATTCTGGAGTCGAAACAGAAACTAACTTAGTTTGTCTGGATGCAACACAACCAGCAGCAATAATCGCACAAAACAAGGCCACGCCACGCATCCAGCTCCAGGGAGTCCGTTCAAAGTATCCTTGACGATCTCATGTTGTTGCCTTCTTGACCTTTTCGCCAATGTATTCGGCCAGTGTCAGCATCTTCTCCTCCTGGAAGCGACGTCCGACGATCTGGAGCCCGGCTGGGGCCCCGTCATAGGTCTCGGCATCGTCTGGTACAAAGTTAGCAATTGTCGATTCATAGTCTGTGAGACTGGCTTACAATCAATATAAGTCAGTTCGTCCAAATCGCCCAGAAACTCGGTCCTTGGCTCAGGCACATCGATGGACTTATCGGCATGGGTTACCGGGAACACGACACTAGTGTAGTCCAGCAGGTTCACGAATGCCGTGTATCCAATGGAGCGATACTCCTGGGGCTTCACAGCTGCATGTGGTGCGCATGGACAGATAACCCCGTCCACAGGCCGTCCAGTATCTGTCAGCTCGGCTGTGCTGTTCCAATATTCCATATAGAGCTTCTGATACTCTCGCTTCTCCACGTTCAGTGAGGCGACCTCCCGCGCCGACCGGTGTGGGAGCCCGACTCCAAGTTTGACCAAGATCGGTGAGGGGGGTTCTTCTCCGGACAGACCAAAATGGTGCTCAACGTCTGCTCCGCCGTCGGCGTTGTAGGCTCTCACCTGCCGTTGTTAGTACCAAGAGGCTTCAGACCAGTAGGGATGCGGGGAACTTACAGCCAAGTCGACGGCAATGCTGTGAGATGGCGGCTTCCATTCGATGATCTGGAGCAGATTAGCTTGGGCCCTGCGATGACCAACGCCAATGACTCGAAATCATACATACCTTGTGTCCTAGCTTCTTCAGGGTCTCTTCCACAATTCTCATAGCTCGTACAATGGGAGGATGAGGTTTAACCATGCCATCATGAGACATCATGGCAAAAGCCAGCTTACTGGGATCAGTAGCTGATTGTTCCACCAGCGCACGTGTAGCACTCTCAATATCATCACGCCAGGGTATCTCAGCCACCAGCGGATCATGGAACCAGGGCTCCTGGCTGAGTACACCCTTGAAGAGCAGTCGCAGGGAGCGGGCTGTCGAGGCTAGTGGCCCGATCACCGACAAGATTGTATTCTGACCATCCATCGAGTTTGCGGCGCCCTCGTACGGGATACGCCCGGCCGAAGGACGCATTCCGTAGAGGCCATTGAAAACAGCCGGTATCCGAACGCTACCCCCAATATCTGTTCCGAACCCACCGGGAGATCCCTTCAGGGCGATCAGCGCACCCTCGCCGCCAGAACTGCCTCCGCACGAAAGCAGCCGGTTCTTGGGATTCGTGGTATACTTGATGATGTGGTTGACGGTCTCTCCCGTCATCAAAGTAGCAGGAACACTTGTCTTGCAGTATAGCACCGCTCCTAGCTTCCGGAGCTCCCTAACAAGCTCGCTCTCAAAGATGCCCCGTCTGGGATCGCCCTTATTTCCCTGAAACTTGCCAATCCAACCGACGTACCCCATCGTTGTCTCCACGCCTCGCACATGGAATTGGTCCTTCAGACTGACTGGCAGCCCATGCAGAGGTCCGACGGGCTTCTGATATTCTGCGTAGTATGCATCTAGTCTCTTCGCGTCTTCAATAGCTGCGTCGAAGAACACCTCATGTAGGCAATGTACCTAGGCTCGGATCAGTCTACCGAATGAGACCCCAAAATTTCCATCATAACGTACAAGCTGGTGCGCCAGGGCAGCTCTGTGACAGAAAGCCTCAGCTACTTCAACCGCAGTCCAGTTTCCTGTTGTCGTCTGTTGTGCAATATCAGCGGCATCGTTCTCGGTGATCTCCAGCTCCCGCGGGCTCAGGAACTGTTGGATATAGCCAGTGACGTCTCGTAGTTTGGACGGGGAAGGGATAGGCTCCTGGATTCTCCATTTGGCAGGAATAGCATCTAGGATGGCCTGCCGTTTGGCAGCAGCTGCCGCCTTCCAGTCTCCAGCCGTCATGATCGTTGGTATACCGGTGACTTTTGGTGGTCGTATGAAGCAACGGAGTTGCAAGACAGGGTGTGTAGTACAAGATATATAGCAAGGGGGGGGGGGGGGCGGAAATCATCCGCCTTATAACGTAACCACGATGTCGGGGAATGGAGGCATTTGCTTTACTCTGTCAGTTTATCCGTCCATTGCCCCAAAGGAGTAGGTTGATGTAGTACTAGTACTACTCGACCATAGTTGGTCAATAGTGCAGCACAAAGCATGTTGATAACCGAGGATATGATAGCGTTGATTGCAGCGGGGTATGCTGTACGCGGGGCTGGGTTATCTGCTCTGCCCCAAATAATGTATATAATAGTAGTAGTAGTAGTATGTGATACGATGAACGCAGTAGGGCTCCGAAGAGTTATCAGTTGGAGCAGCAGTTGTCGACTGTTCTGTTTATAGAGTAGACTAGGTAGATAGTTGGAGTCGGTGGAACAGAGACTGGTTGTAGATAAGGTTACTTACTGATCTTACTACTGATAGTCCAGTAGTAGTAATCCGCAGCAATGCCAGCACAGGGACTGTGAGATCCTGGTCAGAGCCCCTGTTCGATCTTCGCTAGATCTGCCTATCACTGGGAATTAAGATAAGTATTTCAAGCTGAAGCTAACAAAGTCATTGGTGGATATAGGGTGTCCTCATTGATGCTTTGACCTTTCTTATCGTGTCGAGTCTCCCACGATCACCTGGTAGATCCTGTGCGATTACCTGACAGCTCTTTGTTCAATCTAGCCTTCTGGAAGTAAGATTAAAAAAAAGCTACATTTGTCATCATTTTGGAAGAAGCCCCGGTGGTGAAGCCAAAGTGGCTTGAATAATGTGGGATAGCTATCACTGCAATGGGAGCAGCGGGCAGATGTGAATGGCTTCGAATCCGAGTAACACGTTGCTTCACTGGCTCCTAAAGGGACCTTCAGCCACCTGAAGATTCAGCATATGTGCTCTGAACAGCATAATGATTCGCTTTGAGGTCACAGTTGAACGCTGAAAACTTGAACGTCTTCAAGAATTCTCTGAGACACGCCACGCTTTCGATGGAGGAACACCATTGTGGCCAGTGAGTGTCTTGCGGCTCTCAAGGGCGTTTTCGGGTCACCTTCAATCAATCCCATATAAATTACACGGACAACTGGGATGATGCAGGAAGATCGCTGCTCCTCAAGTTCGCCGTACTACTGCGCGCAACATGGATTATGTTTTAGGGGTTCTACCGCTGCACTAAAAAGGTGTCCAGACCCTAGTTAGTCAGTAACAGTAGTCTTATGACAGATTACATGATCAACCAGAAGCTGGGGATGACATGATACAGTATGGTTCGAATATTATCACTCAAGGCCAACAGATAGCTGTATAGCAGTATGGACATCGCAATGATTGAAATAAGTTTATTTATGAAGGAATTTTCCTCTTTTTATAGTCTCTTTTCTTCCCGCGATTTTTTTTTTCACCGTATTGTTTGATCAAATTTGCAGCTCTTGGACTGCATGAGAAATGGAACGCAACATATTTTCCCATCCGCATGCGACGGCCTCAGGTTGCATCATATATTCTTCAAAGGCACATCTCAAGCCCTTGTTGTTCCGAGTCAACCATGAGGCCCAGTGGCAGACATCTGTCGGACATTCAAATTCACTCGCTTTCCGGCCATCCACCTCTTCCATTTGTCATATCGTGTCACGTCAGAGCCTTTGGAACTGACAGATGGCCAATCAGCCAGCCACTCTGGGCATGTACCGGGAACAATCTTCGGTACCGCGTGCCACGCGAAGCGGGAAGTGCCATCCATATACACCGCATCTCCAGACCGGAGACGAATGATTTCGCAGCCAGACCCATCATCGTGGCTGATAAGGAACAGTCCTTCGCAGCCAAAACTAATACTGATCAGACCGATATCACACTCCTCGCTGACATCTCGATGCGGACTCAGGGTATCTCCAGGTGAGTAGACATTGAGAATAGCTGCTTCGGCCTTTGTCTGTGGGAAGACAGCCCGCAGAAGACTCGCGACATCATTAGGAAATGAGGGCGGGCATCCAGGGGGGTACACTTTAGCAGTCCAGTCGTATTGCCCGCCGAGGGTCACCCAACGAAGTCTCTTCGTCAGGATCTGCTGGACTGTGAGGGGCCTATGTACTTGCGGGTCCTTGGGATATAAGACTCGGGAGGGATCATCTTCAAAGAAAGATACACTTTGAGATGCTCTTTGACCGTTCTCGGCTGGAGCGAGATCTGGCTGATGGGTGCTCGAGGCCTGGTCGGGATAGGTGATATCGTAATGCAGGTGAAGGTTCGTTTGATGCTCATTGTTCGATAGATCCCGGTGAAGCAAGCGAGAGAGAAGCTCTATTTGAATAGCAGGAGGTAAAATTGATGGGATCAATTGTAGACCTACCACTTGTTAGGGATCGATTGCTCTAATTCCCAAGTTCCTTATTCGAAGCTTTGGGGTTGTGTCATGCTAACCAGAGACAAGCTTATGGGTGAAAACGGGCAAATTCTCCGGAAGATTATACTTCTGGTCCCCAGCAAACTGTTCGAATGCGAATTGAAGGCCATCACTTGAAACCCAATGCGACAGAGATACACTATCCGGGAGATCCTCGGGGTTCAGGGTCCTAAGGTCGATGATGCCATGGTCTTCATCAATGTCGGCAAGCGTTATCTTCTGATATGTCTTATAGCGTTGTCGGATAGCCTCCGGAGGGCGTTCGTGAGCATTCAGCTCCTGGATTTGAGCCATGATGATGTGCGGTGATAAGCTTTAGATAAGTATAGAAGCAGTTAATCCGATAGAAATTTTTCCAACTGATAGCACCCCATCATGAGTGGCATTCTTTTCAATCAGTATCATTGATCAACATTGCATGCTTTCGGGATCGCACACATTTTGGCTGGCTTGTCGGTCGATGACATCCAACCTCTGAAGCGGAATGATGTCTTGTTGAAACGAAAAGAGGATGAAAAAAGAACGAAAGAAACGCACTTGAACGCGCTCACCGCCTTTGTCGCGAGGGATTTGTTTGTGTACACTTTTTCCTTATGGGCTGACCGCCTTTGTCTCCCCACCATCAAAAGCAGAGACGAAAATAACAATAAGACGACCTGGTTCAGTCGACTCGACAAGCAGATCAAAAGACCATCAGACGCTCGAAAATCATTGTACTCAGTCGACCTTGACCACTGGACGATCTCCTGTGGTGCATAGCTCGGAATTGGCTAGTCCCCTCGCTAGCTTTCGAGGTTCAACTCAATCCCTATCCGACCCTCGCAGCGGTTCAGAACGTCGATCGATATCCTTCTATTCATTCACCTTGACTCATCTTCTGCCTATTCGTTTTGATTGATTCTACTTGCTAGTGATCTGAATAACCTCGTTCCCTCAGATTTATTCATTCCTTCGGACTACAGTATATCAGAAGTTACACCGTCACGATGGAGAATTATCAAAAGATTGAAAAGATCGGTGAGGGTATGTAGTCAAGCTGTGGCTCTGCATCGACACCTAAATCTGTCATATCCGTTTTGTTGCACCAACAAAGCCGTAGAGTCATTGGGCTAACCTGTAGCTTGATGGACAGGAACCTACGGTGTCGTTTACAAGGCCCGTGAGCTCACTCATCCCAACCGCATCGTTGCTTTGAAGAAGATTCGGCTCGAGGCAGAGGATGAGGGTGTTCCAAGCACAGCTATTCGGGAAATCTCGCTACTCAAAGAGATGAGCGACCCAAACATTGTACGACTTCTCAACATCGTTCATGCGGACGGCCATAAACTCTATCTCGTCTGTGAATTCCTGGATCTCGACCTCAAGAAATACATGGAGGCGCTCCCTGTGAGCGAGGGTGGACGTGGAAAGGCGTTGCCAGACGGTTCTGCGCTCAGCAAAAGCCTGGGCCTGGGAGATGCCATGGTGAAGAAGTTCATGGCTCAGTTGATTGAGGGAATTCGCTATTGCCACAGCCATCGTATTCTGCATCGAGATCTGAAGCCTCAAAATCTGCTGATTGACCGCGATGGCAATCTCAAACTGGCTGATTTCGGCTTGGCGAGAGCATTTGGTGTTCCACTGAGAACCTATACTCACGAGGTAGGATCCCAATGGACAAATTCTGCTGTCTGATGGCGATCTCATCTAATCTTATCATTCAGGTCGTGACATTATGGTATCGCTCGCCTGAAATCCTTCTTGGTGGCCGTCAATACTCCACTGGCGTCGACATGTGGTCTGCCGGCGCTATCTTTGCTGAGATGTGTACCCGCAAGCCATTGTTCCCTGGTGATTCCGAGATTGACGAGATTTTCAAAATCTTCCGGTACGGTGCTCTATCCGGTGCAATATCTACCTCACGATTGGTGTTTGGCTGACATTATCACAGCATCCTTGGTACTCCAGACGAAATTATCTGGCCTGGCATCACTTCCTTCCCCGATTATAAGCCGACTTTCCCCAAGTGGAAGCGTCAAGAGCTCCGCTCACTTGTCCCGGGCTTGGAAGAGGATGGCATTGACCTTTTGGAGGCTCTGCTCGAATATGACCCCGCGCGACGAATCTCCGCCAAGCAGGCCTGCATGCATCCATACTTCCAACATGGCAGCTCCTACTACTCTGGTCGCGGCCGGAGAAATAATTACCACTAACTGAAGATTCGTGATGATCTTTGTTTCTTCGTCTGTAATGTATTTATGCATGAGATGACTGACAGATGCCATTGACACTGGAGTCCACTTGAGCCCATGCTATACGTTCTGGGCTTGTGGTGGACGTACTACGGCTCCAGTCTCTGACACTGTCTCGATTCTTTCTTTTCTCTTCCTTCTCACTGTCTTCTCTATCTGTTTATGGCGTTACTTCCGGTGTGATATGGTGGGAAAGAAATTAGGTTACTGGGTATTTTCATGGAGTGTTTTTTTTCTTCTTCAAGTCAATGGAAGCGTATACCATTCAAAGTATCCTGTCTGCATCTAGCATGAATTGAAAATGGTTGGCCATTGATTATCTGAAAGGCTACATGGAGTATGATATTTGGGGGTCAGTGATCGTGAACATAATTTCAGAGACCAAGGCTTTTTGATCCCGCGTCATCTTACTTCCATAAATATCACAATTCACAACGTGTTCTCTCTACATCAACCTCGCTTATATCGCAAGAGATCGATCGATCAAGGGGGAAACACGAAATGCGGTATCCCTGTCAAGGTGAGACGCTGACCAAAATTTAGAAGCTCTGAATCCTGACAGTCATGAACCAAGTCCAAATTCCGACATATTGTCTGACTGGGATCATTAACCTAACTCAGCCTTGCCAGGACCCGGGTTTCTGGATGCTTATCTGTATCGACTCAGCCTCGATTTCAACGTGAAAGTCAGGGACTAAGGAAGGATATTACCTACAAGATCATGACTATCTATCCGGTCTGCCCTATGAAATAGGTGCATCAAAAAGTATCCCACAGCTGTCCAAACCGGTTGGTAGTTTCTAGTGCTGACTCTACAATTGCTCATCCTCGTGCTGATGCAGGTTAGATGATCATACTTGTTTTCCTAGTCGAGCATTGATTCCTGAGCATTCAGCTGCTCATGCAGAGTTACGATGTTATTTTCAGCTCAGGGGCTCGGCGCACCGACAGACAGGCCCTGGCAACGACCAATTGCACCAATCTCACTCCCCTCTCATTGGTGGGGACCATCCGACCGCACTATCTACTGCATAAGCGTTTACGACTTGGCGACCATGTGTCGATGGTGCGAAACGCTGATCCAGAACGGACGGGTCGCTGACATGGGGGGCCCCTAAGGGGGCCAGGGCTGCATTCAGGGCTTCCGGAGACACATTTTCAAGGCCTCGCTATTGGTCGGTCGATTATCCTGGTGCTATTCTCGCATAGGTGAGTCCGACATGGTTCGTCTATGCCGGTATACTTAATTGGCTCAGCCTCAGGCCGGGCTCAAGATGGGCGTAAAAAAGGCGGATACTCATGGCTATCTTACCAGGTTTGTCCCCCTCGTGGACGTAATATTATCACTGCGTTACAGTGCCGCAAGTATCAAGTGTCAGCCGCTTCAAGACTAGTTGCTTACAGCTGAGGACAAGGGAAGGGGTTTATAAATCCTCCTCCGGGCCGTGTTTTCCTCTTCTCTTCGGCAGCATCCAGTCTCACTGGCACTCGCTTTTTGAAGATAGTGATCTCGACTTCCCACAAGAACAAGTGGAAAAATCATGGAGCTTACTGAAGACTATAACGACATGGAGTCTACACCTCCTCTTTCCACCCGCTCGGAGGGTCGACCACCGCGAAAAATGCAGCAAAGCCCACAGGATATCATGAGTCAATTCTGGAATCAATTCAATACCAAATTTCCCGGTAAGGTCTTCACTGTTCTCCCTGATAACCCCTATGCACGCTCGAAAGCCGCGAGGATACCGAGGGGTACAATCAGAGGGCAGAATGCGGGGAAATCATACGAACAAGCCAAGAGGGAATGCCAACGGACCGTTGAACGCATTGTCAAGGAGTGCAGGCGGGTGAATCAAAAATATACGGATCCGCATTTCGACGTCGAGGTCGATCTCAAATCTGGAAGAAGAGACTGCCTGGACTCGCTGGGCCAGAAGAATATGGAAATGCGCCCGAGGGGCGTGAAGAGAGTGACTGTAAGTTATACCCTCAAACTCATCTCATCAGCTCGCTACATACAGGACCGACATTAACGGGCTGGATGGTCAGGAAATCTTCGAGAATCCACAGTTCTTCGTCAATGGGCCAACTGCTTCTGATGTCCGCCAGGGCCGCGATGGCGACTGTTGGTTCATGGCTGCGCTTGGCACTATGGGAAACAAGCAGGGTCTCATAGAGAAGATTTGCGTTGCGCGAGACGAGAAAGTTGGAGTCTACGGCTTCGTCTTTTACAGAGGTCAGTGTATGCTGTCTAGACTTTTATCAACGCAGCTGACAAAAGTTTCGGTAGACGGAGAATGGCAACAGTGTATCGTGGATGACAAGTTGTACCTGCGAGCAGCAGACTACGATGAATCCGTAGACGAGAGACCCATTTGGGATGACATCAACCGAAAAGATACCGAAGAGGAGTATCGCAGAGTCTGGCAGACTGGCTCACGAGCACTCTACTTTGCCCAGTGTGTGGATCCTAACGAGACATGGCTGCCTTTGCTGGAGAAAGCCTATGCCAAAGCGCATGGTGATTTCTCCTCCATTGAGGGCGGTTTTGTAGGGTAAGATGCGTTCCGTGTGGCCTGCGTATCTCCGCTAATGCTGTTTAGCGAGGCGATCGAAGATTTGACGGGTGGTGTCACATCAGATATATTGACCAGCAACATCCTGGACAAGGATCGTTTCTGGAACGAGGAATTAATGAAGGTTAACGAGGAGTTCCTCTTCGGCTGCGGCACCGGACTGTTCTCGAACTGGTTGGATCCTAGCTATCGAGGGCCCCCAAGAGACAGAAAAGGTATATCCGAGAATCATTCATATTCAATTATGGATGCAAAGGAGATTGATGGCCAACGTCTGCTCCGAATGAGGTACTTCAATCGCTCCTCTGCACTACATAAATGCTTATTTGTTACAGGAACCCGTGGGGTAAGAAAGAATGGAATGGTGCCTGGAGTGATGGTTCCGAGCAATGGACTGCTGAATGGATGGAGAAACTGGGCCACAAATTCGGAAACGATGGCGTACGTTTTCTTTATTTATATATGGTTTTTGATGCTGTAAACTGACACCTCATCAGTTCTTCTGGATCTCCTACGAGGATCTCCTCAAAAAGTATCAACATCTTGATCGCACACGTCTCTTCGGGCCTGAATGGACCGTCACTCAACAATGGACCACTATCAACGTCCCGTGGTCTGCGGACTATCACAGCACCAGGTTCAAGATTGACGTGACCAAGGCTGGTCCGATTGTCATTGTCCTTTCTCAGGTGCGTACCGTCTAAAGAACGTGGCCCTTCTCTTGCTGACAATGGAAAGCTCGACACTCGGTATTTCAAAGGTCTGGCCGGCGAGTACGATTTTGTCCTGAAATTCAGGCTCCAAAAGGAGGAACAGGAAGAGTACATCGTCCGCAGCCATAGCAGCTATCTCATCAACCGATCAGTGAACGCTGAAGTCGACCTCGAACCCGGCCGATACTCCGTCCTCGTGAAGGTTACAGCCTACAGATACGACAACATCGAGTCTGCAGAAGAGGTTGTTAGCCGCCTCGCATCAGAAAGGCGAGAGAAGCTGGTTCAGATCGGTCTCTCGTACGATCTTGCGCACGCAAAAGGCTTGGTCGTGGAGACGGAGCCAGAGAAGCAAGCGCGAGAAGAGCGTGAACAACGTCGGCGCAAGCTCGAAAGACGAAAACTGCGCGAGCAGACAAAGTTACGATTGCAAAAAGCATGGATCCGCGAGCGCAAGATGGAGTTACGGAAAAAGAGAGCCACAGAGAGACGTTCGACATCAAGCAGCGGCAGTCTAAGCGACAAGCTTAACCAGCGGCCCACCGAGCAAATTATCCCCGATGGACCCGAGCAATCACCAGCAGATATGTCTAATGGTTCTGTCAACGGCTTTGGTGCAAAGTCTTCCCAAAACGGCAGCGTTCCGAGCATTCACCTCCCTGGACAGAATGGCTCCAAGTCGATGAGACAACGGAGCCGGGACATTCCCCGCTCGAGTGTGGACACATCTGTCTCTTCGTCATATTCGGTCGTTTATAGCGAACAGGAGCTGCTGGAAGGGTTCGAGTTTGACTCCGACCTTGATATGCCCTCCGAGGAGCACATGGAGCCGAAGACGGCTCCCGCAGCATCCAATACCGGTGCCGGGGCCAGCAGCGACCCCTGGAACGCGGTATGTGTAGTAGGATTGCGGGTATATTCCAAGGATCCTCAATTGTCTCTTGAGGTCGCTCGTCCTATGGCCGAAGACGACGTTGAAGCGGCTCTGGACATGGATGATCCGGCTGCAAGTGCAACTCTAGAGAAGGCCAAGTGCCGGTCGATCCCGACCAACTGGTCTTGAAGTTGGTATAAAAGTCAGTGCACGGGTTAAACTAGACACGATCAATACATAAATTTCTTTGTTCATAATAACCGCTCAGCTGAATTCCAGATAGATGTATCACACAATGATCAGGCTGACCCCGATATTTGTATATTGAAGAGAATAACTCAAGCGAAAGTACTACCTTCAAGAAAATAAGGCACCATAGCTTTAGCTTATAGTACACTAATATACTTCGGAGTTGCAGTTTCATAACCAGTTGACGTTATAGAGCACGTGCTAAGAGCTCCCTTTGTTATCGTTATCTCATTCATCAGCTTTCACATCTCTCCTTGCTGCAACCTCATACCAGCATGGCGCAATGCGCCAACTCGCAATAAGATCGCTAGATGGATCTGTTCTAGCCAGTTTCACCCCCGCCAAGTACTCGTTAATCCGTTTCCAACTCCGAGCAAGTTTCCCCCGCTCGTTTTCCAGCTCGCGAAGCACAGCGTCCACCACCACCACCACCAACCAGAGCTTCCAGGTCCCTGTCGGAAACAATGGGCATGTTTCATTGAAGTTAGTCCAAGTCCAATGACACTTCATACTTGTTTCTATACTGAGTGATACTGACACGAGATTTGAATTGCAGTGTGGTCCATGCTTCGTCGTCAACTGTGCCAAATCGAGCAAATGTGATTATCCATCTGCCTCCAGGCCCGGTATTTCGCAACGACGATAAACCCCAAACACACACATATGATACCAGCTTGAGCCCTGCTGGCAATGAAGATGCCAAGGTTGCTGACGCCTTGGCGTCTGCCACATCCTCGACAGTGGTGACAATCAACTATCGCTTAGGAGCTGTTCCAACCTCGAATAATCAGTCCGTGTACAGATACCCGACGCCAGTCCACGATACACTCGCCGGGTATGACTGGGTGTTGCGGAACCTTCAGCCCGGGCGCATTGGTGTCATCGGCACACATGTCGGCGGCTCCTTAGGGCTGATGCTTGCTCTGACCGAAGCACAATCCATACGTGCTGTGGCAGCCATCGAGCCCATATGTGACTGGACCGGGTTGGATGAGTACTGCGATCTTACCGGGAACGATCCATTGGAGCAGGAGAGCATTACTACCAAGAAACCCAGGGGTCGAAGTCGTGCTCTCGCCCCGCCAGATCTAGTTCCGCTTCTCGAAGCTCGGGAGAGATTCTTTACTACACCGGAGCGTTACTTTGATGCCTTTGCTTCGCCTGTTCTCTTCTTACGATCTCCGGGCAAGGATGTCCCCAAGATCATCCCGAGATACCAGACGGGCCCCGAGTATCCAATCCCTGTGCTTTTGCACAAAAAAAGGCCCGGGGGATCTATCGAGGATCTCGATATCAACACACTGCAGAGTGATATTTACGATTTCTCCACAACACCTTCAGATCGAAATTCGGATCCCGAATTTGCAGTTGAAGCCAACATTGAAAATGAAAGGCGACCCATCCGCCGTCGCAAAGCGCTCCACCGTTGGCCCCCGTATGGCTTGGACTATGGCGTTAGCGGCTCCTCCTACTCCCGTGCTTACAACCAGGGCATCAAGAGGCTTGAGGTGGCACTTCCTAGGATCAATATTTTTGTCGGCGATGACAAGAATGAGCGTGGAGACCCCACTCCTGCACCCGATGAGAAACGGCCGACTTCCCGCAGTACCAGAAAATTGCAACGTCGACCCGTTCTGGTAGACCAGGCTAATGAGATGGTCGATGTCATGCGCAAGGCATGTTTCTGGGGTCGAGAAAAGGGGTTCGGAGAGAGTAGAGTCACTCTTTCGCAAATGCGATTTGACGCTGGGGCAATATCTAACACGACGGATGCAGGCAAATGGATGGGCGATGCATTAGCGGACGAAAAGTGACTGCACTAGATAAGCTGAATCAACAATCAATAACTGGCAGGAGATGTATGCATCGTGCATGCGCGGAAACCCAAGCCAACGAAGTACTCAAGGAAAGAGAAGAAAAGCAAATCATAGGATGGGCTTGCGGCTGAACACTATCTACTCAAACTGGTCCATATTCAACCCAACTCCTTTTTTTTTGCAGTTTTGCAGATGTCTTTGAATCAGCAAATATTCTTAGGAACTTCCAATACAACCTGCCTATAATTATTAGAGCTTGGATCACTTCAGAAGCGCGGCTCGACAGCCGCTTTCGTCTGATTGAACTCGAAGTATGGCGGATAAGCCACAATTGCCCTTTGCAAACGGTGAATATCCTGTTGGCTGGATCTGTTCCTGTCAAAGGATTTCGCAGCAGCCAAGGGAACTGGACAAGAACAGAGATACAGACTCCACCAGCTGAAGCCGACCACAACTCTTACTGGAAGCCGTGGGCAAATTCGAAGCTGTGATCGCTTGTCTTCCCCTGACCAACTTGGGTCCCCCTCTGCCACGGCCGTTACAAAAGAAATACCTTTTTACCTCTGGACTTTTATGATATACGTTTCCTTTGCATGTTTCAGAAGTGGAAGGTCCATAGCGAATGACGACTACATACATCCAATTTGCAATGCTGGTAGATTTGACATCTGCGAGCAGTGTAAAAACTGGGGAGCAGTATGCTTACGAGACACACAAGTTGACTCATGATCTACTCTGGGAAGCGTCAATCAATATGGCGGCATGGCCGAGGACCTTTAATGGAAGCTTCAACACATATCATTGACCACCCTCTCCCGAATTAAGGCTATGGTCCTCAGGTTCCATGGGAAAGGCAAAGGCAGCAGCAACTATTAATTATGCCACCATAGTTCAGGATGAATATACAGTATATTTGCAAGGTGACTGACACATGGTTGTAAATGTGCTTTCTTAGTGCTGCTCCTTTTTTGGTCCCTAGTAGTAGGTAGGAAGGGTATGATCTCAGAGGGAGGCCCGGCAGGGCGAGGAGCCCGTCTGTTGGCAATCCGGCAGAAGAGGTAAGGCATCAAAAAGAGGTTGGCATTATCTAGCAGATTCTAACCTCTCAAGTTAAGAAACGCCTTTTTCCATAACCGCTTAGAAAAATGTGATATGCCATTGCCTGTCCTTGTTCGATCGCGAGAAAGTGCACAGTCGGAGAAGGGAATCAATGATAGGTTCATCATGCCAACAAACATTTCTCCTGGAGGGCGTCGAAGTAACTGTTTGCGGACCAAGTTTTGATTGACACTGGCCGACAGCTACAACGTCTGATTGACGTCCCGATCAACGTCCAAAGAGTTGGCGCATGTCTCAATGTGTAGAGGCAGAGCCGCCGCCGCTCTCGACGGCCATCTGCATCTTCATCATCGCTGCCCCTTTCTGCCCACCGGGTCCAGTTCCAAGCACCTGCTCGCCAAACATGCGCAGCTGCATCGGCATCAATTGGTTTCCGTAATGCTCGCTAACGTCGTGCTTTTCCACCGCGCATCCAAGATCGCTCCAGCTTGCGGAATCCGTGCCGTACCGCATGCATTCCTCCGCTTTGGCTGGGGTCCACCACCTCGGAAGGAGATCGGGGTTGCGTTCAACGCGCTTCAGGAACCGGCGGAAGCCAGCGCGTCCGCCATCAGTGGCACCGCCGTAGATGCTATCCGCATCAACGTCCCCGGTGAACGTGTAGTCATCGTCCAGCCGGAGACGGTAGGTGTCGATCAATAACTTGTAGGTATCCTTTTCGGTGCGGTCATGGAGCCAGGTCTTTGCGTCGAGGCGATGGAACGGCTTCGGGAAGTCAGCCTCCAGGGCTTTGGTGGATTGAGTGGCGTTGGCATCAGCCGCGGACTGGGTGCCGGAGCCTGCGTTTGCCTGAGCGTTGGCGGCGCAGACCTTCTTGTGAGTCTTCCAGTCGGCTTTCTGGCAGTCGCGAGAGCAGTAGACGGCCGATTTTCAGCGGGAGCAGTTCTTCAAGGGAGCATTTTCGGATTCGTCCTTCTTGCAGCTCCGGCAATTGCGTGTCTCGGTGGGATTTGAGTCAGACATGATCTTTGCGAGTGCAATTGTTCGGTAAGATGTTGTGAGGATGAGTTTGATTTTACCTTTTCACTGCAGGTGATATAAGCAGCAGTGTACTCGCCTGGAAAGTAATTTCTATCAGCATAGTTATAAGTCCACATGGTAGATGGTATAGTAGGTGGTAGATGTGGTACACGTGACGCGTGCGCTGAAATGGATGGTTGTGGAGCAAAAGGGGGCTTACAGTTGACCGAGGTTAGAAAAATTTTGCCCCACCTAACCTTGGCCAGCTTTTTAGATTCCCTATAGAAAAATTTTTTCTAACCTTGGCCAACTTTTAGCCCTTAGGGATAAAATATACTATAGTTTCATAAAAATAATATTTTTATAAAAGTTTTTTAGTATATACTAGGTATATACTACTATATATATAGTAGATTACCTTATATAAATACTACTTACTATTATATATATATATTTATAGAACTCTGGCATCCACTATACCGGCAAAAAAAAAACTCTCTGGCCAACACTATAAGGATCTATGATCCGCGAGAATTGGAAACTAGTGTGAAAGAAGAATGTTGTGAATAGATTCAAAGGTAGGTGTCCTTATTCAAAGAGATTGTCACTAACTTCAGAGTTCAGTGGTCACGGGCAGGGTTTATATCTTTGTATGTCATGTGACTATTCACATGACCTCTTGTGAGGAGCCTTCTCATCAATAAGCTCTTCTATGAAGGTAGCTTTAATATAATACATAATAGACCTTCATGATCCTTACAAACACCAAAACCCCCCTACCATTCATTTTTGGTCAGGAGAATGCTAAAAATTATATTTAACTACCACCTGAGTGGTTATTAACTAGCCTTTTTATCTTAAACCTACTTATTACAGTATAATAAGTAGTAAGAAGAAAAAGGGAGCTCCTGCTATAGCAGTAGTAGGAGCCTCTATACTAATCTAGTCTACTATATTATTTAGTAAATTTAATAATCTTAACTTATAGGCCTATTTAACTAAGCTACTAGAAGCTATTATATTGGAATTACTGAGGGTAAGGTAGTATCACCCAGGGTGAAGAGAGATAGGCTGGGCTGATGCCTCTTTACTTACCTGGGGTAAGATCTTATATTTATATCTAGCTATTAGCTATCTATCTAAAAGATAAGTTATAGATATTATAGAGATTTCTTAGGTTAACCTTAGTAACCTAGGGTTAATCTTAGTAATTATTAATCTACTTATAATATTTATTTACTAATATTATATCCTCCCCTACTTAAGATAAAGCCTGTCCTTAGTAGGTTATCTAGCTTCTTACTAAAAGGTCCTTATAGTCTAAGGGAGTAATATTATATATAGTAAGTAGGATTAGATTTATACTTAGTAAGTAATATTAGATTATATTTAGTAAGTAGTATTAGATTATGCTTAGTGAGTAGTATTAGATTATACTTAGTAAGTAGTATTAGATTACTTAGTAAGTAGTATTAGATCATGCTTAGTAAGTAGTATTAGATTACTTAATAAATAGTATTAGATTATACTTAGTAAGTAGTATTAGATTATATAGTAAGGAGGGTTACTAGTATGATTATTATAGTAGAGGTAAGGTAAGGTTATATATTATTTATTTTAATTTTAAGTAACTCTACTTTTACCTTACTTATTCTTTTTTTATCTCTTATATTTCTTCTTCTTTTCTTCTTCTTCTTCTTTCTCCTATAAGTATCTTTCTTTTTATTATATTAATTATTATCTTCTTTTAGTAAATCTCTTTCTTTATATACTAGTCTCCTATATTCTTCTTATACTTAGTAAATATAAGTATCTTATAAAAGAAAGATAAAGGCTACCTTATCTATTAGAAGGGTATAGTTACTTCTAGTAAGTTTAATAAGTATTCTTTTTTACTTTAGTAATTATCTCTTACTAGTAGTAGAAGATTATCTTAGTAGGCCTAATAAAAACATATTAAAGATAATAAATATTATTTACTTAATTATCTAGAAGTTTAATAAGGATGGGAAGCTAGATATAAAGGAATATACTTACTTAGGTTATATATTAGCTATTATTCTCTAGTAGTAAGATATATCTTATAACTATATATTAGCTTATAGTAATTATTTTTTAGATAAGGATCTCTTTAGGGGATGTATCTCTACTCCTAGTTATAATAGATTTATATTCTTTTAGAGGTCCTGTGCTAACTATACTTAGAGTAACTAAAGATTAATATATTTATTTTATATATAGGGCCTTTATATATAGAATTCTAATACTTTTAATAAGTATATATTCTCCTTAGTAAATATTTCTTATCTATAGTTACTAATCTTTTTTTACTCTTATAGACCTATTATTTAAGCTAGTAGTCTTAGTTTTCTTATTAATTATAGTAATAAGTTATATAATTTATCTATAGAGTTAGTAATAGTAACTAATAATTATAGTAAGGAGTTAGATAATAGCACTAGTAAAGGTTCTCTAGATAATAGTAAGTATATATAATCTAATATAGAAGATGATATTAATTCTCCTATTATAGAGATAGATTCTTTTAGTATTTCTTATAATAAAGGCTCTTCTCCTATAGTAAGGGTAGGTTCTTTTAGTATTTCTTATAATAAAGGCTCTTCTTCTATAGTAGAGGAGGCTCTAGCTAAGAAGTATTATCTTTCTTTAAAATATTTTATAGTAATAGTAATTAGTCTAACTAAGAAATATTATTCTGCTATAGTAACTTTCTCTTATTCTTAGGCTAGTTTTTCTTTAGTAACTCCCTCTCTTACTTAGGTTAGTTCTATTATAGTAACTCCTTCTTATACTTTAGTAAGTACCTTATTAATAACCCTAATAGGAAGCCTTATTAGGTATTATTCTTCTTTATTATTACTTAATTATAAAAATCTCTTTAATAGAGTTTATATTCCCTAGCTAGTAAGTTATATTAACTAGGGTAATTATTATAATCTTTTTATAATTTTTTAGGATCTTTAGGTATTTATTTATTATATTAAGGCTTATCTAAAGGAATTAGCACCTCCTCCTAGTAATAATAATTATTTATTCTAGTTAGCTAAGGCCTTATCTTATAGGGTTCTTAATATAAAGTTTAACTTAGACTTTTAATTAGTAATTATTTATTACTTTAGTTAATTAATATAATTCTTAATACCTTATTATAATTAATTTTCCTTTATAATTAGTAAAATCTACTAATCTATAATTTCTTTTCTTCTTCTTAGGAAAGTAATTCTAGTATAGTACTATTTTCTAATCTATCTATATAAATATATTATCTTTATACTACTCTATTTACTTCTAATAAGAAGGTATTATAACTATAAATAATCCTTAAAAATCTATCTCTCTAGTATTCTTTTAAGATATTAATTCTAAATTATTACTTTAAATTCCCTTCTAGTCCTTATTATCTAAAATAGTTAAGTCTTCACTATTCTATAGCTCTAGTAACTCTATTTATTATTATATAAGATGGCCATTCCTTACTAATTTTTATTTACTAGTATATTAAGTTTTTTATTTATTTATTTTATACTATATCTTTAATCCCTCCCCTACTTATTATAAACTTTCTCCTAAATATTTTTACTTATTATATCCTTCTACTACACACTATAATAGTTCTTTATATAATAGTATTAGGGGGTTAGTCTTATTAAGTATCTTTTATATTTTAATTAGATTAGAGATTAATAGGCCTATTTTTTATAGCCTAATATTAAGGCTTACTAATATCTATAGATATTATAGATTATCTTCTATCTCTACTTCTACTAGTCTCTATCTATTAATAAGATTTTTTAGGGTATATCCACCTAGTTCCTATAATATATATATTCTAAGGGGGTAGGCCTTAATTATCTTATATAATCTAAATTACTTACTCTTAAACTTCTAAGGACTCTTATTTTATATAAGGACCTACTAGCCCTCCTTAAGATAACTCTTTTTTATTTATAAATCTTAGATTATCCCTCTCTTAATTATATATTCTAATAGCTTCTTATTTACTAATACTTATATATATATTACTCTTATAAGCCTATTATAATTATTTTTCTTTATAGGTTCTCTTATATCTCCTAGTAATCTTAGTTTAATCCTATATAATAGGTAGAAGGGGCTTTTACTAGTATTTATATAGGTATATATCTATATTATAAATACTATTAGATAAAGATATTCATCCTATAGCTATGTTAGTTTCCCTATTAAATATTTTATAAGTATTTATCCTAGGAGTCTATTAAGGTTTTTATTCTTTTTATTTATATAGGGATGGTTTAGTATTATTATTTAGTATTTTATTTTTAAGATTTTTATAAAGATTTCTACTATATATAATAGCAGGTTTATACTATTATTAGATACTATCTTATTAAAGGTGCTATACTAAGTAAATATCTCTTTATATAAGAACTTTGCTATTATTTTATCTATAGTATATAGAATAGCTTTTATAATAACCTATCCTATTATATAGTTAATAATAGTAATAATCTATTTATTACTATTTAGTATTATTAGTAGGCATCTAATAAAATTAATACCCTAGTATTTAAAAGGCTAGATACCTTTCTTCATCATATAATATTACTATTCCTATTTAAGATGTTTCTTTAATCCTTATAATATTTAATAATTTAGGCATTCCTTAACTATAGCTTAGATATTATACTATAGAGAAGGCTACTAAGCTTAAGTTCTAATAGCTCCTAGTAATACTAGGTAGTCTATATAATTATATTCTCTATATATTTCTTATAGGAAGTCCCTTTAGAATAGAATCTCTAGGTATAGGGCATCTCTAATATCTATAATATAGATTAATTTCTAGTAATATATAAATTATCCTTCTAGGTATTATCTATCTATAATTTAATTTAGTAAGAGGTATAGTACCTCTTTTTTTAGTTTAAAAGATAGGGTTATTATTAGTATAAGCTCTTACTTCCTTTTATCCTATAATAAGATCTATAGCTCTAGGTATTCTACTATAATATTATATTATTTATACTTTATAAGATTATTTAAGCTTTTAAAATATCTTATCTCTACTATCTCTTATACTTCTAATATATTAAGTAAAGTTCTTTTAATAATATTACCTAGCCCTTCTTTTATA